TAATTTTCTTTAGTCCCGTAGGAGAATTTTGCACAGCTCTGATACCACTTTATACAATGGAAACATCGATATTGCCACTCTGTGTCTCTTTTATTTAGTTTAGATTCGATAACGTAATGTCACTACAATCAGATGCTCAAAGGTAAGCTCATTACTGATTCATACTGATATTTAAGAACTGGGCTAATTTTTTTTTTCCATGAACACACTTGTGTCACTTTTTTCCACTTGTTTGTTTTTGGTTTTAGCTTTATTTTTATTTCATTGACTAATCATATTAGTTGACTTAACTTACATTTTGAGATGAAGAAAGAAGAATGGGCAAAGCTTAGCCAATAATGAACTTACCTTATTGAAAATCCAATTAGTTGACTAATCAAATTAGTTGACTTCACTTACATTTTGACTATACTTTCATATTGTGAGCTTTGTTGTAAATCCAATGTGAAATGCTTGTTGGTAGTGTCTGAGCCTGACCTTATCGTTTTTTGTTTCATCTAATATCTTTTAATTGAGGCACAATTAGTTAGCACAAGAATACAAGAAGACAAAATTGTCTCTAAAGTTCTGCTAATGACTCTAATTTAAGAATCCACATAAAGTGACTTAGAAAGAGAAACACTTGCCTGTCATTGTTATATGTATAGGTTCATCGTAGGTATTTATGTTCTTAAAAGTAGTGTGACTCCAACATCTTATAGCCTTGATTCTCAAGAAAACTATCAGTTGCCTTCATTTCCTCCGATAGGCTTCTTCCGCTGACTTTTGAGCTCTTATTTTAGTTGCAGAGATTCGCAAAACAATCAAGTTTATTTTTTCATTATAAAAAAAAGTTGTTGAACATGAAGTTTATGCCAACAGAATCACTTTTTTTTTTTTTTTTTAATCACATCAAGTTTATTGCCTTGTATAATACGTAGACTGCATGAACATGGTGATGAGTTATTCTATTGATGTGATCAAAGAAAAATAAAATGTGATTCTGATTGCATAAACCATGTTTAGTCGACAGATATTTTCCTTTTAATTACCTGTAACCTTTAATTACTTGTAGCTTTGAATTCCATTAATTAACTTGCTCTTTATATTGTTTTGACTGAATTAACTTGTTCTTTATTGATTTTCTTTCATGGAAAGAAAATAGGCAATGTCTGTAAATTCTTCAATCGTCTTTGATTGCAAGTTGTTCATTATAACTGCTTCTTTTGATACATTATTCATTTACAGAGGAAAAATTGGAGCTAAATTCCACTTTTGAATAAGTCTACAATGGGTTCCTCCAATAACCTGGTGTTACTGATTCTGTTCGTATTAGCAATTTCTCTTACGTTAGTCGCTGAAGCATCTCAGGGACACCGAGAAACACCATCGGAAGAAGAGAAGAAAGATCTGAAGAGGCAACTCAGAGCTATTAACAAACCTGCACTCAAGAGTTTCAAGGTTTGTCCTAAATAGCCTTCATTTTGAAGAAACATGACATGATTTTATGAATACATATAAACTAAACTCTATGACACTCGGTTTCCAATTTTACTTTTGGACAGACTAAACAGGGTATAATATATGATTGTATCGATATTCACAAACAACTAGCCTTTGATCATCATCTCCTCAAAAACCACTCTGTTCAGGTTTTTGCTTTCTACACAATTTTCTCTTCCTCTCTATTCTCTTGTACTAAAGATGAAGACTTTGATTGAATTTGTGAACGTATTTGGCGTACATGCAGCTGAAGCCAACCGTTTTACCTGAATGGATCACATACAAAAACATTTCACAGAAAGTTAGTCCCTTGCAGCTTCTGCAAAAGGGCATAAGTTGTCCAGATGGAACAGTAATTGTTAAAAGGACTACAATGCAAGATCTTATGCATGCAGAGCGTTTGAAATCCGTTGGATTCAATAGCTCAAATCGTCTTCCAGCTGGACATCATGTAAGAACCCTTACTTTTGCAAGTATAAATTAAAACACCATTTCTCTTCTTAATTAGTTTATTTGTTGAATATGGATATTAGTATGCAACAGCCGATTATAAACGTACCAGCGTTTCTGGAGTAAAAGGAAGCATTAACATCTGGGATGTACAAGTGGCACAAGATCAAGTTAGTATGGCAACCATGGCCGTTGCCGGAGGTCCTGTAGAACAACTCGCCAGCATTTCAGTTGGGTGGATGGCAAGTCAAGTTTCTCCTTCTTTTCTTTGTCCAAAAAGTCACATGAATCATGAATGTGAATGTGATGGTGAAATTCTAATATTGACTACAGGTGAATCCATGGTTGTACGGAGATCACGTACACTTGTACACGTACTGGACTGTAAGTTTTGAGTACCCATTTGAAAGTTTACGCTAATATTTTTTCAAACTTCCGGGTAGTCTTAATTAGTGCAATGGTGGTTGATTTAAACAGGGAGATGGATATAGAAGAACAGGCTGCTACGACGTTAGATGTCCAGGATTTGTGCAAGTCAGCAAGAGGATACCACTTGGTGTCCTTATTCAAAAAGTTTCAATTTATGGTGGTATACAATATCAAATGGACTTAGTCTTGCATCAGGTAAAAAACAAGAATCAAGATTCTCTAGTAGTGTTCTCTGTTCTTAAGTAATTTTGAATATTCATCTTTTTAAAACCGGGAACAGGATCATGCCACAGGAGATTGGTGGTTTATATTTGGGGGTGAGAACGTTGGATACTGGCCAGCGTCGTTGTTCTCGCCCGGGGGCGTTGCGAACAGAGCAAATTATGCATCTTGGGGAGGTCAAGTGTATAGTCCATTGACAGAGGCGAGTCCAGTTATGGGCAGTGGGCATTTCCCAGATGAAGGTTTTGGGAAAGCAGCTTTTATAAACGGTATCCAAATCATTGATGGTTCTGGGACAGCTTTGATTCCACAAATCTACACTATAAAGACGCATGAGACCAGTCCAACTTGTTATAAAGCCAAGTATATTCATGATGATGAAGAACCTTGGATAAGAGCTATTTTCTATGGAGGTCCTGGAGGTTGCATAGGGCAATAGTAATCTATGTTCTGAAAATTTACATGATCTTAAGAAATTAAGATAGGCTATAGGAGAAATTCTATAGATTTGCAATATATCAAAGCATTACTTATGCTTTTATGAATAAATAATCAAGTATTACACCTCTAGAACTTTCAGCACCAACTTTTTAATGTTTCTTGAACATAGATTATGTTCAAACTCACCTAAAAGTTAAGAAAAAAATCAACATATTTCTTGGCTGCAACATCAGGTAACTGCCTAATTCTTAATTTGATTTTAACAGATTTCACATCAAAGATACGGTAAAATTGATAAACTCCCTCTATTTAATTTAATTTTATTTCATTCGTGGTTTTACATTTTTCAATGCAAACAAAAGTTTCTTAAAGAAAAAGAAAAAAAAACATGACCTTTCTAGGGTCGCTAGGGCTTGCTCTATCTCCTCTACCATGTTAAGAAGCAAACCCTAGAAAGGACTAGATATAAAGCTTCTTAACATTCTCAGCTCACAAGACCCCAAAACAGTTAAAGATGCCCTTTCTAGGGTTTGCTCGATCTCCTTTACCCTTTGTCCGATGTCAACAGTTCAATAGTCCATCGTTCGGTTTTCATCACGTCGATTGGTATCAGAGCTACGCATGATGTAATATAACCAAGCGTCGCTCTGATACCAAATTGATGCCATGGAAACATCGATATATTACCTACTTCCGTATTTGTTAGTTTGTCGTGATCACTTATTCACTTCTATGTTTCAGGTTTCGTCTCTCTCAAAAAGAGAAAGTGGCTGAAGATCTCCCACGAGTCAAACTCAAACAAGAGAATTCCATAGTCAGAGATTTTAGTTTCCCCTCATGAGGGGTATGGATCTAATCTAGAGCTTTGGGGGTTTCTTAGAGCAGAATAGGCCATAAGTTTTGGAGGTTTTCTGTATCTCTTTTATCGTTTTGTTCTGAACTGGAGTCATAGTCGCCTATACACCTACTGGACTGTATTATTCTTAAATAGCTTTACAAAGACATCTAGACTTTTCTGGTATTCTTATGAGTTATGATGGCGTGTCTCGTTATCAATTGGTATGTGTCGTATTGTTTAGTTTAAAACACAGGCATATGTCTTTAACAAGACAGTTGCTATAATTAAATACATGCATTATGTCCTGAGCACCAAATTCCCACTTGGCTGCCTTCTTACACAAGTTTCCACTTACAGTGGGGAACAATATGTATGAACTAGGCCTAACATAAAAGGTCTTGCATCAACTTCCTCATATTTGCTCATATGAGAAGTTCCATAAAATGAAATGAGCCAAATCCACCAAAATTTGAGGCTCTTTGTTAGTTAAGATAATGCAGTGTGTTTTTGTCTAGTCCACTGAATGAATATATGTAAGGTCCATATGTATCAGCGCCTGTTTTAGCAGGACCGCAATTCACGAGATTTGGGGTTGGTTTTGTTTGGTCCGACACTATATCTCTCTGCATTAGTATCCTCTGTTTTCTCTTTTAATTTGAAAAAATAAAGCGGTATGTTCTCATCTTAGATCTTAATTTTTGTGAGATTATAAAGTAATACTACTAGAATGTTTTGGACCTTTTGGTTGTGTAATAAAATCAATTAAGTTGGAGACTAATGGGGTCTACTTTCTAGTGTCCTTTTTCAACATTTATGTTTCCTTAAGTAAGGCTTTAGCTAAGGTATGAATATGCGGAGTTGTATCAGAATTGTTTCCTCTATTTTTTTTTTTTTTTCTGTAACCGTTACTTGAGCCTAAGATAAAAGTCAACTTCATTAATGAAGTCACATTTTATTTGATTTATTTTTCCATGGATTGGTGTAGGCCATTCGACTGTAACAGTGTAACTGATATCAGCACTTAAATTCATTGCCAAAGAAAGATAAGAGCCTCTTTGCCAAATATATAAATAGTTTCTCTTTTTCACTAATCGCTTGGAAAAAAAATAGTTACCTTTGGAATTATAAATACTCCGGCATGAGTTTCTCTGAAAAGCTTCTTTTGCTGTTTTTTTCAGCAGTAGCTCTCATTCTAGTTGTAGAGAGTCACAGAAAAACACCTCTGAAAGAGGAGGAAAACGAGTTGGAGAGATTACTCAAATATATCAATAAACCTGCTATCAAGAGTTTCCAGGTAAGTTTAATATCATTTTAGGTTTTGGTTGTTTATGCGACAAGAATATATCACTTTCTTGTCAAATCACATAAAGTTTATTGCTTTGCGTTTTGACAGACTGAACATGGTGATATATTGGACTGTATCGACATTCAAAAGCAGCTAGCCTTTGATCATCCTCTGCTCAAGAACCATTCTATTCAGGTTTTAAGCCTATATATAACAAGTTCCATACTTTGGGTAGAAATTATCAAAAGATCTAATTTTGTGTGTGGTTTGAAATATTATGTGCAGCTGAGGCCTACAACCATACCTAAGTGGACCATAATAAATAACAACAATTCTAAAGAAAGTGGCTCACTGCCGTTTCGACAAGATGGGATAAGCTGTCCACTCGGGACAGTGATTGTTAAGAGGACCACACATGAAGATCTTATACAAGCTCAGCGTTTGAATCCATGGGGTCAACGTATGTTTCTTCAAAGGGAGAGAAAATTGATTTAACCGGTTTTCATGTATTAAACCAAACTAATACATTCCCTTCTCCTTAGTGGCAATTTCTCATTATACTAGTAGTGACTTCTTTCTTGTTATTTGTTTCTCTTTATACTTTAGTTTGCCGTGGGTGAGTACAAATATTACCATTATGGAGCCAAGGGTAACCTTAACCTCTGGGAACCAGAAGTTTCACCAACTCAATTCAGTTCTGCAAGTATGCTTATTGCGGGAGGCTCTAACGAACAGTTTCAGGCCATTAGAGCTGGATGGATTGTAAGTAAATATTTAGTGTTTTCCTTTGCTTTCTCCGAATTTTACTCATTAATTTTTATATCCCTACAGGTGTACCAATGGCTGACCAAGAATCAGAGTCGCTTATTCACCTATTGGACTGTATGTTCTCAAAAATCTTTTAAGAGCTTTAACGAGAGCATCTTGACTTTTCTTCATTTCTCATGTTGTGTCTTGTCCAGATCATATATGTGAGTTGTATATTCTTTGATTCAAAACAGGCAGATGGGTTTACAAAGACAGGCTGCTACAATACACTATGTCCCGGTTTTGTACAAGTGAGCACCAAACTCCCACTCGGCTTACTTCTTCAACCAGTTTCTAGATACGGTGGCCAACAATATGAAGTTAACGTCAGCATTTATCAGGTACTACCGGTGTTCTACAAATTGTTTACATGAAATGAAAGTGGAAGTTGAATGAAATGAGCCTAATCTACCAAAACTTGATGCTCTATGCTAATGAGAATGTGCATTGTTTTGCTTTTCTCATAGTCATTTGAATGAATACTGTAATGTCCAAATTGTAACACTACCTGTTTAAGCAGGACCAAATTGTAGGAGATTGGTGGTTGGTGGTGTTAGGCGAACAAGTTGGGTACTGGCCAAAATCATTGTTCACAAAGGAGGTTTATGTAAACATACTTTTACATGAACCCTAAGACCTTCAAACATCCAGAGTAATCACATAATAGAATCATAAGAGTTTATAGATGACTTACCTCCAGCCATTGTAGAGAAGAGATGGAGGTATTGAATCTGAGGTAGGTGATTAGGTTTCTCTCCCCTTGCCTATGAGCTTTATGTGTCTTGACTTTTGGGATGCCTTTACGATGGACTAAAGGCATATATTTATAGGTGGAGAGAGGACCTAATTCCTCTTTAGGGTTTCCTTAAAGTTAATCTCAACCGTCCATCAAAGTAGAGATAAAAAGGAAATACTCCATTATATTTAAGTTAATTAAATACCAAATATGTTATGGAATAGTAATAGCCCAATAGGAAAACGGATTAATATAAGACCATATAATAGGAAGATAAACTTATCTTACAGTTTAGACCATGGAGCGAGTATGGCATCATGGGGAGGAGAAGTGTATAGTCCAGTGAAAGAGAAGAGCCCAAGCATGGGAAGTGGACATTTTCCGAAAGAAGGTTTTGTGCAGTCAGCTTATGTGAATGGTATTGAAGTTGTTGATGATTTTGGAGGCACATCTTCGAGGCCAGAAATTTTTACAATAACGCCATATTCAAGCACTCCAAATTGTTACAAAGCCATAAAGAAACCTGGTAGTAGTGAAATTTGGTACGACGCTATCTTCTATGGAGGACCAGGAGGTTGCGTATTCTAGTTAACATGTGTTTTATTTTCTGTTTTTCAGTTTTGTAAGAACTCTCGTCTTCATGTATTCTCTGTTTTTCTGCATATCAAAGCAATTATAGCCTTGATTCCCAAGAAACATGAGATGGCCTTACTCATATTCTTTTTGCTGTGTGTCTCCTCATCATTTATATGTGTCGTCTTGTTTTGCTCAAAACAGGCAAATGTCTTTAACTAGACAGGTTGCTATAAATACATTACGTTCTGGGTTTGTACAAGTGAGCACCAAATTCCCACTTGGCTACCTTGTTATACAAGTTTCCACAGTTCCAATAAACATGGTGATGTATTATTCTATTGCATCGACATTCACAAGCAGCTTAGCCTTTTGATCACCCTCTGCTAAAGAATCATTCCATTCATGTTTTATTTCAAGACGCTAGTCGAAATTCTTAAATGATGTTTTCTGTACGGATTGACATTAGCATTGGAGCTTACTTAATAGTTTACTTTTTTTTTCTTCTTAAAACTTTTCTGTTTGCTCTAGCTGAGGGAGAAGATTTTATCTCTCAGTATTTACATACACAGATGAATCTCACATTTTTTACCTTTTAATTATATGTAACCATTAATTACTTTTTGACTTGATTGCAAGTTGTTCATTATTACTGGTTTATTTTGATTCGTTATATATTCATTTACAGAGGAAAAATAGGAGCGTACGTCTGACTTTTGGATAGGTCTACAATGAGTTCCTCCAATAATCTTGTGTTACTAATTCTATTAGTATCAACAGTTTCTCTTACGTTAGTAGCTGAAGCATCTCAGGAACGCCGAGAACTACCATCGGAAGAAGAGAAGAAAGATCTGGAGAGGCAACTCAGGCACTTGGTGCGGCAGGAGGTGCGATAACGATCATGGAGATGATACCTGAAAAATATAAGACTATGATTGGAGGGGCTGCAGTATGGAAAGTTGATGCACACAATGGAGCTATCGCAGAAGTGATTCTAAGTTTTTGTATTACATTTTTGGTTTTGCTGATTATCCTAAGAGGTCCTCGGAAGATGCTTGCTAAGACTTTCTTGCTTGCTATCGCTACCGTCTCAGTATTTATGGTAGGATCTAACTTCACTAGACCATTCATGAATCCTGCTCTTGTAAGTTCATTATCATTGACCCTATTTTTTGTTTTTAAACGTTTTGAAAACGAATCTTGATAGTCTTGTGGTATATATATTGTGCGATGCAGGCATTTGGGTGGTCATATATACACAAGTCTCACAACACATGGAAACATTTCTATGTGTATTGGATCAGCTCTTACACCGGAGCTATTTTATCTGCCATGTTCTTTCGACTCCTGTTTCCTCTGCCACCTCCGGTCCAGAAAAAACAGAAGAAAGCCTGAGAAAATATCACTAAAGCTTTCATTGAATCATCATTTGTTGCATGTTATTGTGTTGTAGTCCTACAGATCTATTGGTCTTAATTTGTACGTTGTAGACTCATTTTTCTCCGGTTTGTGCGTACTTTATTCACTCTCGTCCGGTTTAGTAAAAATGAATGAAAATTAAATTCACCAATAGTTTGCAAGTAAAAATTAAATAATTACAAAAAGTAGATACAAAACCAAAAGCGAATGAAAACTTGAGGGTTGTTAATGTAAATCACGCAAACATTATGATACTAGTTTTATGTAGATTTTTTTAATCCTTTGAATAAAATTTCAATTTTAACTGTATTGTGCAGAAGCTGATTGTGGGAGTTACTACTTACTAGTTACTAACTTACCATCATCTCCCGCAATCGTAAGCCAATAACGTCTTTTGTTTGTTTGACTTTCGTATCGCTCGAAATACAAAAATACAGATCTGAAGCACAAACTTGAAATCGGAGCTTTTCTTCCAGATCAATTCCGGCGTTACTTAGAATCACATCGTCGATCTGGAGCCGTTACAGGATCCGCCGCAGACCACGGCGTCCTCCGGTACCGGCAACGGCAACGGTAAGATACGATACCGTTCGCCTTCCTCCACTGAGCTCCTGGAGTCCGGAACTGCCAACGCTTCCTCCGGTCAATACTCTCCTCCTTCCTCCGATTCTCATCAGGGACTTCTCTCTGTTGACGGAGGGAAGATGACGGCTAAGCGTGGGATTGGACGGCACGAGTCTATCGCCGACAAGATCCAACGCCATCGCGGGATTCTGCTGCTGATTTCGGTCCCCATTGTGCTGATCGGGCTCGTTCTTGTGCTAATGCCTGGGAGATCGGGGTCTGACGCGGTCGTTGAAGAGTACACGGTGCATAACCGCAAGGGAGGACCCAATTCGAGGGGTCCGAAGAATTACGCCGTCATTTTCGACGCCGGAAGTTCTGGAAGCCGTGTACATGTTTACTGTTTTGATCAGAATTTGGATCTTCTTCCTCTCGGGAATGAACTGGAGCTCTTCCTACAGGTAATACATTGTTTCCGTTTTTTCTCTCCGATCATAATCGACTGGAGAATGTGCACGAATGCCTACTAGATATGACTCTAGGACTGCAATTTACCGGCACTGCTTGATAGATTTTGTGTGGTTTGCGAGACTTGATTCAATTGCTTGTGGTGATTTGTGGTACATTTGTGTTAGTTTAAGTTGATATAATTGGTAGTGTGTGGAAGGACTTGGGAAATGTGGCTTTATTGAGCTTGTTTAAGATAAAATCAAACTCGATCTCCCTGATCCTGCAATCTTCAAAACTGGAATTATGTGAACTTTGCCTTTCGAAACCGCCCTTTGAGATTATTTGAATATATGGGGGAAATAGTATCAGTTTTCTGTTTGGATGATGAAGAAGTTTTTTATATTGCGCAAGTCTCTATCTTTGATTCTGCTCTAGATCTCTTGATCGCAATATCTTTGCTCCAAATGTCTATAATTGACATGAACTCTGTGTTCCTGGAATCCCAGCATGAAGCTTGAATTTCTTGTTTATTTTGCACTTAGTAGTGCGGGCTGGAACTTTGGCTCTAAACCAATTACTGATTTGATTTCAGCTAAAACCAGGGCTGAGCGCATATCCTACTGATCCCCGGCAAGCAGCAAACTCTTTGGTGTCTCTTCTTGACAAAGCAGAAGCTTCTGTTCCCCGAGAGTTGCGTCCGAAGACACTTGTCAGAGTTGGGGTATGGAAATAAATTCTTTCCACACGTAGACAATTGAAGCTCTTTCATTTGTGCATTGTTTATTTTGGGAATCATCTGAAACGTTCTTCTCTATATCCTGGCAGGCAACTGCAGGTTTGAGGACTTTGGGTCATGAAGCATCTGAGAACATTTTGCAAGCGGTAAATCTGTTTCCATAGATTTTCACACACACTCGCTTGCTCGCTAGATCTTACACTTTGTTTTCATTTTTGTTTATAAGGTTAGGGAACTCTTGAGAGATAGAAGCATGCTGAAAACTGAGGCAAATGGAGTTACTGTTCTGGATGGTACCCAGGAAGGTTCTTATCAGTGGGTATGTTGTAGTTCTTCCCATTTGTTCTTACAGTTAGTCTATGATGTCGAATGGTTTAAAATCTCAACCTGTTGTACCCTCACCATCCTTTAGTCAAGCTGTCATTTCTCTTGACTGGCTTTAATTTTTGCAGGTGACAATTAACTACTTGCTAAGGAACTTGGGAAAACCATACTCAGATACGGTAGGAGTGGTTGATCTTGGAGGCGGGTCTGTTCAAATGGCCTATGCTATATCCGAGGAAGATGCTGCAAATGCACCAAAACCATTAGAAGGAGAGGACACATATGTCCGAGAAATGTATCTGAAGGGACGGAAGTATTTCCTCTACGTTCACAGGTTTGTCACCTCTTATGGTTTTCTTGATTTCATGTTTCTTCAAATTATCTGTTAGTAATTGGTACTCAAGTGTGTGGATGGTTTTAGGCTTTTCCACTATATCTGTTTATTCTCTGGACTTAGTGTACTCGTCGCATATCTATGCTAGCCACACAGCTTGTTGCTATCCAAAGTCTATAATTTGAGATGTTATTGGCTTCTTATTGCTTTGTAGCTACCTACATTACGGATTACTGGCCGCACGAGCAGAGATTTTGAAAGTTTCTGAGGATTCAAACAACCCCTGCATCGTTACAGGCTATGATGGTGAGAGATTATTGTTTAATCAGTAAAGCTGTTTCTTTCGAATTCTAGAGTTCTCTCCATTTACCTCATGTCATTATCTTCTTCGCCATCCTTTGCTAGGAACTCGCTGGATATGCAATTGCTTTTCGGTTTCCATTGACACATTGGGTTCACTGTAGGTACTTACAAGTACGGAGGAAAGGGATTTAAAGCGGCTGCTTCGCAGCCTGGTGCGAGTCTTGACGAGTGCCGGAGGATAACACTGAACGCACTCAAAGTGAATGATACTCTGTGTACACACATGAAATGCACATTCGGTGGAGTGTGGAATGGTGGTCGAGGTGGTGGCCAAAAGAATATGTTTGTTGCTTCTTTTTTCTTCGATCGTGCTGCTGAGGTATTACAACTAAAACAAACACCTATGCAGATTTCTTTTAAAACACACACAAACCTGTTTCTTTGTGTTAAACAATTGGGTTTGGTTTATGTTGCACAACAGGCTGGTTTCGTTGACCCGGAGAAACCTGTTGCTACAGTTCGTCCATTGGACTTTGAGAAAGCAGCAAAGAAAGCTTGTAGCATGAAGCTGGAGGAAGGAAAATCCAAGTTTCCACGTGTGGAGGAAGAGAATCTGCCTTACTTGTGCATGGATCTTGTTTACCAGTTTACTCTGCTCACTGATGGATTCGGTTAGCATCTATCTCCAAGTTTTCAGTGTTTTTTTTTTTGCTATGTAATTTCTTCCCTATATCTATTTCGTTTGCCTAACTTTTTTTGTTTTTGGCATAACAGGATTGGAGGCATCACAAACAATAACGTTAGTGAAGAAAGTGAAATACGGAGAACACGCCGTGGAAGCTGCGTGGCCATTGGGTAGCGCCATAGAGGCCGTATCCTCACCGTGAAAGGCATTTTAGAAAATTACACAGAAACCTTATTCTTTTGATTTCTCCCAAACTTCTTCTTTCTTTCTTTTGTCAATTTTTGTCATCCTTAAAGCAGAGAGGTACTTATCATTTTTATTATAATAATCGTATTTAGAAAAATTGTTTTGTTGCTTATATATGTCTATCCACATTTTACAGATCTTTGATTGATTATTATTTTGTAAAATAGAGTACCTTGATTGTCCCGGTTTGTTATATGTTTATGAAAAGATTGGAACATTATCATCTTTAGTTCCCACTTCGACTGGCCACTTCGAATGTGGCTTATGATGCTGTGAATTCCTTGCTGTTGATAAAATCTATTAGAGAGCACAAACATGGAACTTCTCATATTGATCGTCGAAAACAAATCCCAGAGCTTTTCTAATTGTCCATGCTTCTGTCGCGAGCCTATGTCGTTTCAAGTACTTGAGTTGTGGTGTGGTGTTTAACTGTTTATCATCGATTTGTTTTTATATAATTGTATTAACTTTCAGTATGATATTTAGTCTAGTACTGTATCTGTATGGTGTGTGCTAGTGTTGTCTCTTCACTATGACTTGCTTTTGTTTGAAAAACAAACTGCCATACTAATAATTTTATTTTTTAAAACTCTCATTTAGAACTGTCACATGCATTCTTTGACACTCGACTGAAATTGAAGATTTTTGAGTCTTAACTACGAAAATTATGTTAACCAAAAACCATGTAGTGTTGCATGAATTTTTGAGTATGGATAAATCACAATTGTTTTCGCCAAAATAAGCCGCTATACTAAGCATATTCGATCGTGACTCGCTGATCATCAATATTGATGCAATGATCATTTATTATCTGATAAGGCATCTACGATGGCGTTGTATAAGATTTGAATCATATACTTTTTTTTTTGAACAACTTTTCATTAATGAAAATAGATGGTTACACAGCGTCACTTAACGGAGGAAAAATAGACGGTGCGACAAAACTAACGGCGAGAACACGAGAAGCCGCTTTGGCTAAAGCATCGGCCTTCGAATTCTCCGATCGTGGGATGAATCCGAACGAAAGGTATTTTATACTAAGTTTTTTAAAAAGAAGGTATTTTATCAAATTAGCCAAAAATAGTAAACTGATGTGTTCCCTTTGTCATTGTGGTGTATCGTAAATCCACGTGGAGATTGAACTCCAATTATTGTCCCTCGAGGGATAGGGTATTACTTGCACACAACAAATGGTGAATCATCACTTTATTTGGCTTTTTTTTTAATACAAATAATCATCTTCAATAAACCAAAATTTTGTAAAAATTCTTTTCAGTATTTGTGTTTCGTAGTATATTAATTGTAACCTCAAGCTTTGACAAACGGAGGCATATTTGCTTCTTTTTTCATTACTAAAACCAAATTCGGGGGCATATTTGCTTCATGGCCGAGTTCATAGTTAACAGAAAAAATTAGATAAATATCTTTACCCGGAGTTGGAAATCGATAAAAAGGAATTGCACAGTTTGTTTCCTCTTTTCCCCTTCTTATGAATCGTATATTGTTCATTATGTTTATATATAAATCATTGGTTAATTAAATCAATTGATACTTTGTTTTTTCTATAATTGGGATTCAAAAATACATGTAACATCAATATCTAGGAAAAGGAGGCATATTTTCAAGCTTCATGGTGAAGTTAAGTCTAATTTTTCAATGAATTATTGGGGAATCATTTGAATTTTAACAAATAGAATAAAGCAATCCCAATAATATTAATGTGTCCATAAAAACGAGGACATACAACACATATATTTTCAAAGAAGAATCGTACAGGTTACTTTCTCAAATTGAAAAGACTACTCTTTGATGGAATGATAACCAATCTCGATCTTTTTAATCAACAGTTTGATTCTGGAGACCCAACAAACTTCAAAATAATCTTATACTGAATATTTTTCGTGTTTTATGTATAAATTTCTGATCTATTGATCATAAGTTTAAAAAAAAAAAAAAAATTGATGCGCTATTGTTAATTGCAGTGATCATGAACTTAAACTCAGACTATATAGTGGAAAATATTGAGCTTGAGTCGTTACATCATTGGACTCAGACTAAAGAGACGATTTTTGTTTTGTTATGATAATTTCTATAGAATTAAGTTGATTATTGGAGTATTGTTAAAAGTATAGAGCAAACATGAGTGTAAGCCTAAGAAAAGAAAAAGAAATAATATATCACAAAGGAAAATTCGATGAACACGCATGTACAAGTATGGCTTTGATTGGTGAGCTAAATAATTTTTATAGATGTGACACTTATTTAAGACCCATGCATTAGCCAAAAAAATGAACCGCGTATATATATCATCCTTTGTTTAATCTATATAAAAAAAGATATATATCCTTTGTTTAGCCTATAGCTTAATTAGATGCACACAGCACACATGCATCAAGCATGGATTTATATCATTTGTTGTAATAAGATTTGATTCAATGCTTGATGCTTTTAGATTGTATGGTTGGGTGTGTGTGTGTGTGTCGTTAAAAATACATGTATAGTTGTCTTGTAATGTTTGAACAAAAAAAAAAAAAGAAGTTGTCTTGTAATGGGGGAGCAATTACACGAAGACTGAACAAGTCGTTTTCTAATTCAAGTTAGTCTCGAATTAATTCGAGTCGTAAGAATTGGATTAATTAAAAAAAATTATAAAAATTTGACAATCAATATCAACATTAAATACTGAAAAAAACACGAATATAATAATTATTCCATGTAGCTTATTATACGTATGTCATAGCTTTTTTTAACGCGTTAACATTATTAGGATTTCAAATTCTCTATCAGTCAGTATAAAGGAAAAAAAGACTTTCTATTTTGGGTAAAGGGCTTAAGAAAAACTTTTTTTGTTAAAGAAAGGGCTTAAGAAAAACATACTTAAAAGCATATATATCAGAAATTGCGTCTGAATATACTTTTAAGTTAGCTTTGTAAATAATACTTTAGTTATATATACATTTAACGACTTAGAGTTGATGAAAATAGAAAACATTTAACCGTAAAATATATCTTGTGATGCTAAATTACAATAATCCTTTTTCGGACGTGCTAATAGTTTGTCCACTAATAGTTTGTCCAAACAATTTCTTTAAAAAAAAATGAGAGGCTTTAAACCCTAGTTATAGCAAGGTGTGATGATCTCCAAGGCATAAATCTTATGCTATTGTTTGCACGTATAAACACATATACGTGTTTAGAATATAATGTATACACGTACATGTATACTTCTTCAAAGCATATTGCTACATGCTAATCATTTTTTTATCCACCACTAATAGATACGATCCGCATATGGATTTTGGATAATATTTTCGACTTCTGTATGCTTTGTATCTTCATTGACACATGCAAAGGAAAATATATTTTGACAGATGTATGCATAAATCATATCAACTTTAGTTTTATTTGGCCAATAGTTTTCTTTATCTGTGTTTCAATTGATCGCTCGATCGTTGCTTGTGTTAGGACAGAGTCTTGTGGGTCTGCAGTCTATTTGTGGGTCTAACTATTAGAGTTTTATATTTATAACTAATGAATATTTTTTTGTTTTAATTTCTGTTGTATTACTGAAAGAAATCAAGAATATGTTATTACGATCTACATAAAACCAGCATCTTTTTACAAAAAAAAAAAAAAAAAAAAAAAAAAAAAAAAAAAAGACCCAGCATATCATGTATGTAGATTATTCTAGACATCAAGAATTTCCAATATATTATATGTAATGTATACATTGTATATACATACGTAGTAATATGGTGAGGTGGAACATGAATGACAGAATGGTCTGTCTAGTCTAATTAATCCGCTAACAAGCCCTCGAAGAAAATAGGTGGCCTATTGACTTTCAAATTTAACAAATCAAATTTCCAAACCAATTAATAAGATAGTCACTGATATTATGTTAAATACGTTTAACAATATTATCTTTTCCCAAGTGACGTAAGACTGCCTATCATATTTAATGTTCTAGTGAATAAGACAGATGGGATTAGTAAAACATACTCTAATGTTAAAATACAACTGTCGACATAGATCCATTTGATCAAAGATATTTGGTATTCACATTAAACTAGATGTACATACAAACAGATAGTATATATTCAAAACTATCTAACAAAAAGACTCATATTTTCATTATATTAAGAAGTTTTTTTAATTGTTGCATCTCAAAGATACGTAGAACTTCGTTTAAATCATTAATTTGTAAATATTGTATACATATTTTAAAAATACCATCAAACACATCATACATGTAAAAACAGTTTGGTAGTTAATAGCAATAGACACTGTTATAATATTACGATTTGTCGCACCACAATATTTCTAAGCAGAAATCAGGCTTTGATGTGCGACCAAAGTGAATTCACTAAATGACGAAACGAATTAAAGAAACTACAATATCTTACTCTAATGATTATTTGCATGGTAACTATCTTAATCTCTATATATGTTTGACTTATTCAGTCTCTTTTTTTTTTGTAACTTTTCTTTACATTATTTTTGTTTTATCTAATCAAGTGCAGTTACGATTGTGCATAGAAGCTTAACCCAAATTTCTGTAGTCGAAGTAAATCAACTATCTTTAATTAGTCTATAACATCACATGAATAATAAAGAGGCAATTTAACCTTATTTATTTTTTTTTTTATTTTTTTTTTATAACCGTTGGGATCCTAAAGGTTTCTAGGCCCAAAGAATTTAACCCTATTTTGATCTGCTGCTAAATCCTAAATAACCATTTATACATACATTTATTAATAAATTAGATTCCTACCAACAAAAAACAATAGTAACATTTTATGCTAGCTTGTTGCATCTGCAACATACATTTATGGTCTGTCCCAAACTACGAAACAAACAATTTAGGTCTATATTTTATTTGAGCTATTGGAATATACTACTTATAATAAGCTCGTCAATTTGATCCACAATTCCATAGAAAAAGTATTTTATAACTCGGCGAGATTAGCTTCTAAGATTTCCAATTTACACATAAATTATATATACACATAGATGCCTGAGAATTAGTGGTGGTGGCCATGACTTTGAGCAATGTTGAATGACATCATATCTATCATCATCACATCATTGTTATGTTACATGTGCTAAATATTCCCATTACACCGGCTTTACATATAGCCTTTTTTCAATTACACAACAAACATATATATGTTCCAAGTAAAAAAAAAAATAATAATAATATATATATATATATATATATGTTCCAAGTACAATACAAATAATTATATATTTTATGTACATATATCACCAATTTGCATAAATTTTCTGGTATTCCGAAATGATATCACTATCTTGTATCTATTTTTTTGGGGGGGTCAAACTAATGTCTTGTATTTTTGTTCTCATTCCATCAACTACTTTTTAAAAAAAAAAAGTTGGTGCGTCGTCCAATTTCACAAAAATATAAACTAGTGTTTTTCTTTCCAAATATATAAGGCTTACTTCATAAAAACCATTTGCTGAATAAAATATCGACTTGTTAAATGAATAAAATTGAATTCAAGTAGACTATACTTGGGAAATACTGTATCAAATATGTGACGAAAAAACTGATTGTAGTCTAATACCGACCGTTGGTAACTTGGTATGACATAATCTCGGGCCGCACATCTCAACGGCTTATGGTGGGCCCACGTGGCCCATAGAGATCCGTCGAAAGGGAGAGTGATGACGTCAAAATTGACGTCAAAGAGCCCTCATCCAATGATGTGGCTCCTTCGCTTTGCAGTCTCGTCTTCGGGAGCAAAAGTCAACCATCTTAAGCTACACCCACATACATTATATAATTCCCTCCAATGGGTCCACACGTCGAAAAAGAAATTAAAAAAATGACCAGTGAATTTTACCAGGAAATAGTATATATTATGTATTTATTTATTTAATCCCTGGTTTCATTCCATATCTTTCGGACCACATCAATTAATTTAAACATTTTTATCTGAATTTTTATTCTTATCCAATTTCCTTAATACATGCTCCGCGTATGATAACAAACGCGTTTAAACGAGGTAATTACGGGCAAAGGAAATCGAGACAAAAACAATGTAAGGGAAAAACAAATTAAATAAGCATATACTGTCAAAATTAAGCATTTGGACTTTACTAACCTTTCCGATAAATCAGTTATATAAACAACAATTTATAGCGGAAGGTAATCTCGTGATTAAAAGGTTATGGTTTTTTAAAAACGCGAAATAATTTATGATATACGATCACTTTATTTATAACACTGTTTATAACAGTGAGACAAAATGCAGTATATATTTTGTTTGGTGTTGTTAATATATCGATGTCATGAAATTCTCTACATACGCTATATTCTACATCTAACCAATAAATGTCAATACTACTAAGAAATGTTTATATTGGTACCTGTTTTGTTCGTCGGTCAATAAAACGAACAGATCAAACGAAATAAACTAAGATGACTAATTAATAATGTGAGCTAAAAGCCTACGATGCAATAAATATGAACCAATGAGTATATTTTATTTTTTGGTGCGAATGGTAATTATTTTTCAAATGCTGGAATTAAGTCGGTGTTTGTTACAGACTTACAGAGCGTACTGACTAATTCCTCAAAAAGACTAAAACGACTTTCCAATTTAATCTGAGTTGGCAATGTGTAGATTAATATTTGTCTTATGTTAATAACTTAATATTATCCAGAAGATGACAGGCTGGGAAAATTGATAGACTTTAACTTTTAAAATGCGTACAAAAAAATTATACAGCAGTATTCAATTATTATTACTTGTAAAAATCAATATCTATTATTTTGTTATAAAAATATATTATTTGTAACTGTATGTATTTAGTTTGGAGTTCCTAGTAAAAGTTTATATGAAGCAAACAATATAAAAGCAAAAAAGTATATATGAAAATCTCAAGTAAAACAATCAAGAACGGTGATAAATATATGATATATTTAAAGTATTTGGATATATGATATAACTATTGTCTAGACTAGATTGTGCAATAGCATAGCGAGTGAAGACAATTGTACAGTTAATTTCGTTGGAGATTAGGTGCCATAAACTTTTTTCGATTTTTTTTGGAATGAGGTGCGAATTTTGTGTTTCGACCAAATCAGAAGAAAATGACATGCGAAAATATCCTAATTATCATAAACACTGTCACTGATGAATGATGTTTTAATTATTTTTTGTTGTTTTAAATTACTAAAAGGCAAAGGATTGTGATGAATACTAGTATATATTTACCTAATCAGCACACAGGCCAAAATCATCCAAACAAAAATACATAGGAATATACAAATGACATTAATATATTAAAACGTATCAGCGCGTAGATTAAATTAAGAGTAGCATTGGTAGGGGGGAGTATAGTTCTCGGTAAATTACAAAAAGTCAGACGAAATAATAAATACTTAGAAAACACAGCCCACTTTTCTGTTTTGATGATGGTATATTGAATGACCTAATTTTTGTTTTGTTTTTGACGTCGATATATATGACTGACCTAGTTATTATTTCTACAAGAGTAGAGAGCAGTCCATTTTATTGATATTGATCGATTTGAAACTAATACACTGACTATATTCTACCGAGTTTGTATATATATGCAAATCTTAAATTCGTGCGTGGACATTCTAATATAATTTTTACTCATCTACTTGGAAAATGTCAGGTTAGTTCCAAAGTATATAATCTAGTAGTACTATATTACGTGTTATAGTAATATGTGAACTGCAAAATGATACATTTTTTGTGTGCTATATAAACTGAAAATCCAAATCATTTTTTGGGTCAAAACTGAAAATACGTAAGATGGAGCGTTGGGTAAACATTTTAGTTGATTATTTATTTTATTTTTTTTTTGTCAACAATTGATTATTTATTTAAATGTTATTTTTCGTCTTTTCTTCGGCTTCACTGGAAAGGCTAAAACATACACCACAGAAAAAGGCCACAGCCTTTTGCAGTAGAAGTAGCGATGCTAAACTTCAACATTTAAATATTTTTCAGTTCATATTCTCTAATGACATACACGGAAACGGTAATTTATATTATTACGGATAATTGTATCTAGACTCAGTAAATAACAAAAAAGAGAGGAGATCGCTTAGGGCTTTCTTTTCTGTAAGACATTAATCAAATTGAATAATGAACAATGACTTCAATTATGGGTCCACATATAAAAAGTTACTTTAACTTATAACCAGTTCTTAGTTAATTTATTTGCCACACGTTTTTTTGTTTGTTACCAATTTGTTTTCCTAGAGTTATTTCCCACAGATTTTGTTTTTAAAACAAGCTATATAAGCATAAGCAGATGTCAATTGAAAAAAGCAATATATAGCATGAAAATTATAAGCCTATAGTACTTGAGAAAAATAATTAACGATATGGCCTCTTAATTATACACTATGTCAGATGAATTTGTATCAATTATATTTGAGTAATTATGGAGTTTTTTTTTGGTTATTCTATTAAAAAACAATCTCAAAAGCTTTTTGAAAAAAATGTACTATTAACGTCTGATTTTGGACTATAAAATATGATAGATTGACAGAGATTTACAACATTTAAATTTATATAATAGAAAAAAAAACAAACAAACAAATAATAATCGAATTGTTGTCTATGTGAAGCTTGTTCAACAATTCAGGAAGTTGCTTGGAGCCTACGTATCTTTCAAAATCACCGAAAAGAAGGAAAAAAGAAAAAAAGAGGAAGAAACAAACAATAATAAGTTTATCTTAATTTATTTACAAAGCTCCTCTATATAAGCCCCCTTTTTCCACTCTTTCAATACTTTAATTTTTCTGCCTTTAACTGCCCAAAAGATTCTCCAGCTAGCTTTCTCAAATCATTTTCTTTCTTCATCTTCTTCTTGTGTGTCTCTCTCTCTACATTAGCACCAATCAATCTCATTTTCCTCAATAAAATCTTCTGGTTTTTTTTTCTTCTTATTCTCTTGTTCTTGAATCTTTCAACTTAAAAAAAAAATATACATATATAGCTGTTATATAGTTATGGCGGTTGTGGTTGAAGAAGGCGTGGTGTTGAATCATGGAGGTGAAGAGCTTGTGGATTTGCCACCGGGATTCAGGTTTCATCCAACAGATGAAGAGATCATAACATTCTACCTCAAAGAGAAGGTTTTGGACAGCCGATTCACGGCGGTGGCCATGGGAGAAGCCGATCTCAACAAGTGCGAGCCTTGGGATTTGCCAAGTAAGTAGTAGTCGAAATCATTTTCAAGAAACCAAAATTCTATTCATCTTTGACCATTTCAAGAGTGTTCACACATCAACCTACAAAAGGCTATAACTTCTTGATTAAGATTACCAATTCTTGAATCATGTTCTAACACGAGGCTAGCTTGTCTTTATCCATTTTTCAAATTTCAAAACCAAACATATTTCAATCTTCCCTTGACCGTTTTCAAACACAAAAGGCTTCTTGATCAAGTTTCTGATTCTTGATTCTTGTTTTTTTTTTGGTGGTTGGTGTAGAGAGGGCAAAGATGGGGGAGAAAGAGTTCTACTTCTTCTGTCAAAGGGACCGCAAGTATCCGACCGGGATGAGGACGAACCGTGCGACGGAGTCCGGATACTGGAAAGCGACAGGGAAGGATAAGGAGATCTTCAAAGGCAAAGGTTGTCTCGTTGGGATGAAGAAAACACTTGTGTTTTATAGAGGAAGAGCTCCAAGAGGTGAAAAGACTAATTGGGTCATGCATGAATATCGTCTTGAAGGCAAATACTCTTATCACAATCTGCCCAAATCCGCAAGGGTAAGATTACATAAAAAACTACTCCTTATACTCTCAAATGTTTTCAAAAAATGGATTCCAAAAGGAGAAAGATCTAAATTTCTATTTATTTATTATTCTTAGTTTTCTTAAACGAAAAGACTGATATATTTGGTGATTCTTTTTTGTCGTTTTGAAAAGAGTCTAATGTTTTTGTTGTTTATGATATTTGATTACAGGACGAGTGGGTCGTGTGTAGGGTTTTTCACAAGAACAATCCGTCTACTACAACACAAGTCATGACGAGAATACCGATTGAAGATCTCACAAGAATGGATTCCCTAGAGAACATTGATCATCTCCTAGACTTCTCATCTCTTCCTCCTCTCATAGATCCGAGTTTCACGGGTCAACCCGAACAGCTCAACTTCAAACCCATCAACCCTCCAACCTACAATATCTCATCACCAATCCAGCCTCATCACTTAAACTCTAATTACCAATCAATCTTTAACCACCAGGGTTTTGGTTCTGCTTCTGGTTCCGGTTCTACATACAACAACAAGGATATGATCAAGATGGAGCAGTCACTTGTTAGTGTATCTCAAGAAACATGCCTAAGCTCAGATGTGAACGCGACCACGACCACGGAGGTCTCTTCGGGTCCGGCAATGAAACAAGAGATGAGCATGATGGGAATGGTGAATGGTAGCAAGTCGTACGACGATCTATGTGACTTGAGGGGGATCTTATGGGACTACTGATTTATTTTAGCGTGGGAGTATTAAGGTTATTTAATTATTTAATTGTAATGAAAGAGTATATTTGGGTGGGTTTTATATCATTTAGTTAATACATATACATATAGGGTTTACTAGGGGATTATCCTAGTTATTTCACTTCATTGATCATATTTAGTTGATTGTTTGATTAGTTTATAGTGTGGGGGAAAAAAAGGAAAAAAACGGGATTGTGATCATTTGGGTTTTCTAGTGCATAGGTTATAGGTTATATATATCTCAATGGATACTGTATTATACATATAAGTAATTTTCATATATATATAGTTTCTTACAAAGTTTTCGTTATTAAACTATGTGACCTTCTAGCGTTGTAATAAGTTGAATTCGACACACTCACAGAAGTTGGAGGACAATTATGCTAAACAAATATGAATTTTCATTGTATTGTAAATCAGATACAGTCCAAACTCAAAGCTCAAACGCTCCTATTTAAAAGCAAAAGACAATCATAGTAACTACGTATCGTTAGCTCGATTTGGCATTAAGGGTGAAACCTAGAAATCGCATGATTGAATGATTGAGACGCAACCATGTAAGACGTTTTGCTCTTGAGTCGGGTGGATTGTACAATTATGTCAAAAAATTCTAAGTTCTAAAGAAGAAAAACAAAAAAGGTGGTGATGTTGATGATGAGTATATTTTTGTTTACCGTTTATAAAATGCAATACAAATCAGATTTGAATACGGATGAAAACACAATAACATCATTAATGCTAAAAATGTTAACAAATGGTTTTCAAATTCATATTTGCATCATTGTTAATCACTCAACAATTAACATAATGTTTTTGATAATTTTTTTTTTTCAAACATTTCTTCATTAGATTAAACCTTGAAACTACAACAAGAGGGAATATGACATCCTCTTTTGATTAAAGCAAATAAACATGAGCATCTAGAAATTAAAGCATAGAGGTTCCTATCAAAGGAAGAAGACAACAGATCCAAAGCAAGGCTCAGATGCGTCGGTGGAACAAACATGGCAATGCCGAAGTTCGTAAATTTAGTTATTTTTAAAGATGACGTTGAAAACCAAGTTTCACCTCCGAAAATCGTCGAGACGAAAACGGTTGCTTCTTCTAACTCCGTAGAAGGAGCTACATAGGAAAACAAGTCGGTGAAGAAATTGGATAACATACCTCAGAATGAACTCGAGGGAAGCAACTCCATACTTGATAGAGAGCTCGATGGAGGTAAGATTCTCTCCTCTAAGGAGGAAAATGGAATACGTGATCTCTCCCATAGGGAGGAAGTTCTCTCTGTTACGACAGAGGAAGGTTCACAAAGCCACACGCCTAAAGATGTATCCAATGATGGAGCTGGTGTGGTGATGAAAATTCTCGACGAAGCACCAGAACATGAGACAATACACGTCACCCGGACGGAACTGCTCGGAGGGTACGCCAAGGAAGGAAGCTTAGACTTCTGATAAGTCGCCGGAGATGATACCGGCGGGACTGAAAGTGGAGCACGCGGTGGAGCCAAACGATGGCAAAGTCTCGACGAAGCACCAAAGACAAAACACGTCACATGGACGGAGCTGCGAGGGTACGCCAAGGGAATAAGCTTAAACTTCTGATAAGTCGCCGGAAATGAAGCCGGCGGAACTGAAATTGAATCACGCAGTGGAGCCAAACGATGGCGGACTGAAAGAAATAGCTTCGAGAGAGAGCTCCCTCCGAAGAAACCATGCTTCAATCCCAAAATTTTACAACGCCGGACCAAGATGTCCAAATTTACGCAACCGGGAATCCAAGATCCCGATGTCCCTTCACCGGCGAGGAGTAGGACGAGAAGCTTCCATTGGCCAAAGCTTAAGGAGATGGTGGATAGGAACGATAGATCTGGGAGAGTGACGGAGATAAAGAAGGATGACAGCTGAGATGAGTGTGAAGGGTAAAGAACCAAGGGTCGAAGGCAAATCTGTAGATCCGGAGGTTTTGGTGGAGGTTTCGGCATCGCCGTAAAGATGCTCACTCTGAGTGAGAAGGGCTCAGCGTACTGCTCCGGTAAGTTGAAGAAGAGAGGCGAGAGATCCGTCCTCGAGAACTCTGCAAATCCCGTCAATTCTGTCACCGGAGAAGAAGCACAACCGAGAAGTAACAGGAACCAAAAGAGTCTCGCCGATGAAGAAAGCGCCGGCGGAAAGAGAGCCAAATTCATCGGACGCCAAAGCAGAGCCCGGGAAAGAGGAAGCCGCGCTCCAATTTCAGGAAAGGAACCGCCGGTGAAGGAAGTTCATTCCGAAATCGGAGCAGAGCAAACAGTCGGAGAAGGAGGAGGCGGACTTGGGAAGCGTGCATGGGAGAAAAAATTAGGGCGAACTGTTTTTGATAAATTTATTAACTAATACTTCTCTTTGTTTGAGAAAAAAAAAATGAGAGAAATGAAAAATGCATGTAGATGAAATCTGAATGAAACTCAAATGCATGTAGATGAAATCACAATAAACTCAAAGAGAAGGGAAAGAAAACACAGCTCATGAAGCATGTGAATGTTCCCCGAATCTGGGCAGCATATTAGCCTTCTCATATGGCCAGTAATTTAGATTATTAGTATGACACTAGTTGTAATTAAAAAAATTCAAGAACAGTGATTAATGATGGGTTTCTTGTAAAAATACAATTCCAGATCCCCAAGTCTTGTGTCTTAAGGAACTTGGTTATTACATCAATCACATTACGTTTTTTCCTACTTCATTTTTTTAATAACCGAATTTTTTTCGTACGTTTCATATCATTTAATTTTCCAGCTCCTTAGTATTACATCTGTTGGTACCACATAATCTTATTTTCTTCTAATTGTATGTATAGTATCTTAAGGAATTTTTTTCTTGGGTCCCGAAGCACAAAGCTTGTCTTTACATAGAATAAGATATGGCTGCAGATCTGTGTTTAAGATTTGGCAGGAGATCTGTTTTTTGGTTGAGTGTACTATAATATTCTTTGAAGTGGATTCTTGATATTTTTATATAGAAACGCGACAAAGACATACATTTTTACAGAAAAAAACATAACACTATAGCAAGAACATTATAGCTATACAAACATAATGCCTTGATTAACATAATGTTATTAGAAAAGTTTTAAACGTTTACATAAGGTAGTAATCATCTAATCGACTATGAATAAATAAAAGCTTAATTAACCGTACGTAAATAAATGACTTTGGTTCAATGTACTATGAATATGATTGTTTAAAATAAGCGTGTGAGTTTCTTCCACCTCAAATTCAGGACATAAAACTCATTAATTTTTTGTTGAATTTTGGATTTGGATTTAATTGCTTACAACTTGACTACACTAAAGATACTTCCGCCACAATAGAGAATAAATAATTAATTTCCTTTGTTATTCGTAGATTCTTTATTTTTTCTACCATATGTTTTCTTCCTTTGATTTTCAAATGGCTTAACTGTGCATTTCCTATACTATTCTGTATGGACGATTTTATCATATCTTGAGGAATCGATCTATAAATGAATGGAGTAAATATTAATTTTGGGAAAATAAGCAGAAACTAACAAAAAGGAGAAAAGAAAATGCATGAATGGGAGCATTATTTTAATATGCATAATAACAGGACTTTCCTTTTAAAGCGAAGCTTTAGCTTTTAGATCGATACTTGCAGCAAAGCTAACCGTTCTCTTTCCTCTTTTTCGGTTTTCTAGATGATTTCTTTCGCCTCCTTTCTACTGTCTCTTTCTTCTTCCATTTTCTTTCATTTTGTTATAGTAGTGTTTATGTATGTACATCTAAACTAATCCTAGAAACAACCATTTGTTGTCCCAAAAAAAAATAACGATTGTAATATTTCGTAATACTTCTGTTTATAGATTTTATCACCTAAATTCCAAAACGATAGAAAACACGAATGCATTTTAATTCGACAAAAAGGAATACTTTCCATTATATCATCTTCAATATTTTTTTAACCTATGAACTTAGTTTGATGCACGAATGAAACTAACTAATGTTTTTTTTTGGCATTTAACCCAAAAAAACTGCTGAACCAAGAGACCAAGTAATGTTTACTATAAATCACACACATATTTTAACATATTCAAATTTGGATAGTAACACGACAACAACAATAACACAAAACTAAATTACGAATCAATAATATACTTTATTAAAAAATAAAAATAAAAGACACCTTAAAAGCAGCGGAAACAAAATTTTCTCACGTTTTAGATCCATTAGAAATCCCGGTAAATCCGGTAAATGCGCTATTCGACGGTTACATTCACTAGACAGCGTACAGCTTGCCATTCTTGCGTGATCCAAACCTCATACAATTTCGAGACATTTTGTTTAATCAACCGGTCCAAAAAGGTTACACTTAAAGCATCTTTATTGAGGGTATTTCAATGCGTATCTCAAATATAAAAGAAAAGAAAAATATTGAGAGTAAAAGAACCTCTCATGCCACATGTCTAATTTTTTGTTTACAACTAAAAGTTTAAACACATAACTAAATTATAATGAAATATCATTGTTGTTGAGATACCTACGAGGGGTTCTCAACCAGTGGAGATACTCTTATATGTATTCTGTCAATTTTTGTTTCACCTTTTTGGTGGATCGGGTTCGACAATAAACAGCTATGCGATGGCCCATGGGTTTGACAGAAGAAGGGCCAACATTAATAATGTGAAGTCCATCCATGGGCTTTAATTAATCAATGTTGCATTTAATTAATTTTAAATAAGTCGCGTTATTGCTCTGAGGTAGGGATAAAATGTTCGGTGAGCAAACAACTGCATTAAGAGTTTGACAAACCTGGCACCAAATACTTGAATCAATCAATCATTTCGTTAGTTGAGTTTGAAAGTTGATTTTAGTAGACCAATACTTGAGTAGGGCACTAGTGAAACACCTTTTACTCGAAGATACCAATAATTGGTTTTGGTATAAGGATTAGCTATTGTCAAAGTAATGAAGAAAAATTAGAAAATAGCATTTGTAAGAAAATGTGCTTTATGTTTCATTGTTTAACAACAAAAAATCAGTGAGTGGATTAACAACAAAACGAAGATCAATGATTAAAATTAAAAGACGACCGGCGTAATTATTGGCCAATCACATTTACTAGTCACAGCACTCGTCTCTCTCTCTCTCTTCATTTCAAAAGAGGAAGGCGCTCTTGCTTACACTCGCCTCGCCGCGTTTCCGCCATCGTTTCTGTCAAATCTCTCTACTTTCATCATCGAAATAACCAAAGGCCTTCTTCCTCAAGCCAAGATTGTCACTTTCCAGTTTGAAGGTGGGTTGTATTCAAAATTATCCTTTCTGTGCAGTCTAATCTGGCTTTCACCGACACTTTATTATCTTGTCGAAATCCCAATTAGTTTCTTAATTTTGCTTTTCCTATCACTGGAGTCAGTTACCTTTTTGATGCTTGAAGTGCTTAATCTTAGTTTGACTAGTGATGCGTATGTTTGTAATCCAAACGAAGTTCTTGCTGTTCTTCAATGGCTTAGTTTTTAATATCTGAACATTGGATTCAGCTGCATAATCAAGAATTTTCATTTATTAACCAAGTAAAGATTACACAGAGTTTACATGTTACAAAAGGCCTTTGGTTTTATACTTTTATCTGACACCCTTCTTGATGCAGAAGTCTCTCTGCCATGAGAATGCGAACGTAAGAAGATTACTTCCTTTAGGCGGCAGTGAGAGTTAAACAGAGCTCAAAAATGGGTGCACTCTGTTGTGTTGTGGCCTCAAGGCCACTGGTAACAACAAAATCACTACCACCACACAGCGGCAGTAGTATTCCTCCACCGAGTCAAGATGATCCCAGGCAATGGCGGACGAATCTCAGCTTCTCACCAGCTGCATATACTAGAGATGATGATCAGGATATGGGAGATGAGAGCCACGGGTTTGCATTGTGCTCGAGCAGACAGAGTATGAGTTTGGAATCCTGTTTCCAGCAATCGCCAAGATGGGCTTCTGATGGGAATGAGCAGAAAACATGGAACGTGAACAGTACACCAAGATCAAATATCACAACGCACCAATGCTTGAATGAGGTAAGTTGGTCATCGTCTTCACATTGCCATATGTTAAGCTTCTCACGATATCATCTTTGGCTGAACCTTGTTGCTCCTTCATGTAACTTCGTCCCAGGAGAAAGGTACAGCCATCTCCCAGAGTTTGAGGTCTTTGCTATCTCTTTCAGAATCAATTGCCCCATGGGAGACTCCAAACGAGCAGCCTGTCAGCCTCACTCACTGCTCTTACCCTCGAGTCTTCTGCAATCCAGTTTCAGAACCTCATCATACGCCAAAGGACTCACTGACAAATCCCAATGCCAGTTTCATGATGTCGACTACAAGAAACCATCAGAGCTCACCAGTAGAGGCAGCATCATCACCAAACCAGAGTCACAGAACGACGAGTAGCAACGAAATGTTGGTAGATGTGGAACGGTCCAACGAAGCAGAAGTAGAAAACCCAAGATCTGAACCAGGTACAGTGACACACCAGAGATGTGGGGTTTGCAAAAAGCTTTTATCTCAGAGATCTCCATGGTGCTCTTATAAGATACTGAGATGTGGAGACATGCCAGCAGCTGGTGTGTTCCCCTGTCACCACGTCTTCCATGTTGAGTGTTTAGACAAAGTGACCCCCACAGCTCAAGAACGAGACCCGTCTTGTCCTGTCTGCTCAAACACCGTCGGAGCGATGGAGCAGCCGCTAAAAGCGCCTGAAACGTTGGAACTGGCACTTAGATCTCTCAGAAGAAACCGCACAGCTATGAGATCAGAGACACTAAGTAGCACTTGCAATGACAATGAAAGAAGACAGATTAGCAGAAGCAATAAATGGAGAAAACTCGGATGTTGTATGAATATAAGACTCTATTAGGTTCTTCTATAACTCCTACTTGGATCTAATCGTACTCTTAACCATATGGTTCTTATATATAAAGATTTAGTATAACATTATAGCAAAAAAGGCTGAATCTTCAAGCTTTTCGTTTATGTAAGTGTTAGGACACTATGTATAGCATTGCACTCTACAACGAACAATAAGCATGAAAAACGAACATTGACAGAACAAAACCGTTAAAACAAGAGAAAAAAAAAACAAAACTTTTCACTGTAAAATTTGCCTTCCATTGAATTGCTTAAGCTACGATTAAACATTGACAGAAGACGCAATGAGCTCATACGTTAGACGGATCTCAAATAGGATTGAAACAAAAACCAAGAGAGTAAAGAGACAATGAATTGGAAAATTAAGAAATCAGATTCGAGAAATTCGTATTATCAATGGCAAGGGACAAAAACAAAAACCTAAAAGAAAAGAGTTTGAAACAAAAAATCTAAAATTTCAAAAACAATTTTTTTTTGGGATTGGGGGGTTAAAAGCTCGCAATAGCCATCACAGCGCCGAGTAATCGTGCGCTCAGGCAGCAAGCAGTCTTCATCGCTGAAAACAGAGGGGGCAAAAAGGATTTGAGGCATCGAAACCATTCCGTCCCCAGAGCCGCCGGCCATTCCCTCGAAAGGAAGGAGATGTGGTTGCTCGACGAAGATCGGAAAGGCTCGAAAACCCTAACCCTAAACCCAATTTCTCAGCTCAGATAAGATCAAGTAGTGTTGGAGCTTACTGTATCTCACCAGCTCGACTTTTATAATGCCTTTGGTCAAAGCCCTAAGATTTTTCTGTATCTCATACTGAATTTCCAAAACTACCCTCGTGTAAAGAGAGATATATATAACGAAATAGAGCCTAAACTATTCAAGTATTGTTAAGAATCCCCACAACTCCTGTAAATGACAACAAAGGTCGAGCTTTCTGTTTATGAGTGAACAGAAGGATTAATTGACATAAATTAGAGCCATTGAGACGGTTTAAGCTTTTGTTTAGCAACAGAGAGTTGTATAAAGTAGAAGCATTTACACCAAGAAGCTCTCTCTCAAAGAAAAAGATTTGACATACAAAATGGAGAGAAACAAAAGAAGAAAAAAGAACAAAAGAGAAAGAGAGAGAGCTGTGCTGTGTGTGTGTTTTACAGAGGAGAAGTCGAAGACTTGTGCATTTTGTTATTCTCTTGTGCCTGTGGTGGCTGAGACGAATGGACTGCTGCTCGGTATGAAGATGAAGCGAGCTGTGCCAGTGCCGGTACAGTACCACCTGCAAACATAGACGCAGGATTCAAGAAATTGTTTATAAGCACTGAAGGACGAGGAAGTGGAAGAAGATATCAAAACCTGCTAGTCCAGCACAGGCTGATGAAAGAACTATAACAGGAGGTGCCTACATTTGATACAGAATTGAAAAAAAAAAAATCCATTAGTACACAAATTTGATAACTTGGAGCAAAATCAAACAAAGCATGATGAAAAGAAGAGAATCTGCATCGTAGTTGATGACTTACCCCAACAAGAAAATGTAACCACATGGGTCCTTTAACCCACTTGCGTACAATTGGCATAACTGCGTCAATCAAAAAGAGCATTTCAACAAAACCAAACAGACACTAGGACTCTCTTTTAAGCAAGCTCTAAATCTGACTGTTATCACTATAGTCTGAAACATAGCCACACAATCAGGCATCAGATACACGCAGCCCTTTCCTTGGAACAAGCTATAAAACTACGATTAATCTCAAATTAAGTCTTTGTTATCATTTCTCCAAGCTATAAGAAGAAAGTGGAAGTCAATTACCGGCAGACACAACCAATGAGACTATAACTCTAAGATAAATTCACAAGAGAATATAATTTCAGACAACAATCGAGCTCAGATTTATAGTCAAGAGAGAAACTATACATACCATGGTTAAATCCAATGAATGCACTTGCGGTACCACCAACAGCCGATCCAATCTAAGATCATATAAATTGAAGCTTCAGAACATAAATAACTAAAATTCATGTGAAGCAAAAACAAAAGGAAAAGTTCGCATTCTCACAGGACAAACTTTTATTTTTCAAAAACAAAACTGCAGCAAGCTACAATTAGACTTAAAGAGTTGAATTTTCCCCCAAAAAAACAAAATTTCTGAAAGAAAACTTACCATAGAGAAGCTATCCCTTATGAACGGAGCTACAGTCCATTTAGTGGTTTCCTGAAATCAATCAACTTCCAATTTAAAATTTACTAAGAGAACGAACCTTACTCTACAGAAAGGATAAAAGGAAAAGAAAAGTCAATTATCATCTGCAGTAGAGATCTGTATCTACAAATTCATGCTGGATGCGGAAAATAATACCAAATTTTTCGTAAGAGGGCCTGCGCAATGATGGCATCTGATTTCGATCTCCTGCCTCGAATCCGTCATTTTACTCACAGGAAGAAGAAGGATCCCGAGAAGCCCCAACGAGATTTTTCTTTGGGTCGTAGGGTTTATGCTCTGTTGATCTGTTTGTTTCCTCCGTTCGACAAGAAAGAGTGTCCACCGTTCACATTAAGATGACGTGTCAGTTTAATCAAACCGAGCCGATCCAATCGTGAAATGTGCAGACACTAATCGGAATTTTTCGGACCGGTCAGAACCGGTTTAGTTCAGCTCCATCTATTTTTAGGTGGTATTGGTGTTTTTTTTGCTTATCCAAGTTTGTCTTTGGAATCTTACTTCTCCATGTTCCAAAGGGTGAAAAACAACTTTTTTGAAATAAATGTGTAAACGAATATGAAAAGAAAGTAAAAAAAGAACAAAAGAATGTGTACATAAACTAAAAAGAAGAGAAACAAGGAATGGATACTACTAACTACTTGCAACTAGACAATCAATCTTTTTACGATCCGATTTGTCGAATTTTGCCTACTAATATGCGTTTGCAAGCAGTCGCGCCATGCCCCTCTCGGTTTTTAATAGTTTCATAATAGTAAAAGTCACAGAACTGCTACATTTGTTTTCGGTTCGATGATACAGTCAGTACTGCTGAATGTTAACACATGTAACTGAAAACATTATTGAGAATTTGAGATGAATATTTAAAAAGATTATTGAGTTGAGAATGCGACTCACCAAGTTTTCTTTAGTTTCGGATTCTCATATTCTCATTCTATAGAATCTATAATATAAGGAACCAACTTTTCGTCTCCATTTTCTCTCAAAAAGAATATAATTCCGCCGCGGTCATTTCCCGCTTCCTGTTGTTTAATGTAACAAATCCTCGATGCGTTCGAGCATGCAGTCACAATCCTACGATGCACCCCACGTGTTGAATTATTCTCCCTATGGAGACCCAAAACGTAAAAGTTAATAAGCAAGAATCTGTAAAAGGGAAATGAACGTACAAGTAAGAACATTTAGTCTGTATCACTCCTATCTTTTACTTAAAGAGTGACATTTCAACGAGCAAAGTAAAGGAAAGGAACAGTGGACATATCAAAGAACTAAGCACAAAGTAAAATGACACATGTAATTTAAGATTTAAGAGTAAAACAAAAATTTGCGATAACATATCATAAAAATGAGTTAAGCATGATATCAGCAGCTGGAAATCTGGACCAACATGTCAGAACAGTAATTTTCTTCTAATTTCTTGAGCGGGTGAAGAACAGACCCAGCTGCAAAAAGAATACCAGACAAAATTGATATTTTCTGAAACTACATTTGACATAGAACAGAGGATTATCTATAAATATCTGGTAAAAGTGAAACCAATCAAAAGAGTACCAACATCATATCGTGCTTGGTTTAATTTACTTTTATTGGTATTCAAATAGACTTTTGAAACTTGCAGTACACCAATATTAAGCCTCTCTTTGTGGAAGCATATTCCCACTCACATGCCAATCAACTATTTAGGCAATATGCTGAAAATACTTAAAACTCAAGTTCTTCACCAAACAGAATAAAGTGTTTAATGGGAAATCAGAACCATGAGATTTCAACAAAAAAGGTTGAAAAATAATGCAAAGATATCATTCTAGGAACATAAGATTTTTTTTTGACAATTTCCTTTGGAACAATAGACCAAATTTCTCTACCAAGTTTTTTTCCCCAATGGCATCTATCAAACTCATCAAGATATGTGAGACTCTATACTGGATAGTGAATATATTCTCAGTTGCACATAGGGCCTGACTGGTTTAAACGCTGCGGTTGCGGTTGCGGGAGTTTGCGGTTGCGGGAGTTTGCGGAAGCGGGAGTTTGCGATTAAAAGCTGTTTGTACGACTGGTATAGCAATTCATAGCGGTTGCGTTTGCGGGATATTTTTGACTGGTTAACCAGCGGGTGCAAGAGCGGTTTAACCAAAAGTTACTAAAATAAACATAATATATAATTATTTAAAACATTTATAACCATATTATTAATAGATTTTTTTTAAATATATTCTTTGATTAATTTTTAATTTGAAAACTACCCTTATTTTTTTTGGTTTTGAAAAATACACTTTTTATATGTGAAATGATTATTCCTAATTTGAAATTCAAATAAGAAATATAAAATATTAAGATTTGATAATAATTTTGTATCATTTTAACATACTAAACCATCCTAATTACCTGTTTAGATTTTTTTTTAAATCAATAATAAAAATATAAGGTTATTTATATAAAGTTTAAATGGGGTGAGATTAAAGTTGTTTATATAAAGTTTCAAAAATATTTAAATTTTTAAAGATAAACATTAAAAATGAAAGATATATTTCTCCATTTTTAAATTTTTAATAATTCATAAACTTTAAAATATGTAAAGTTTTAATTTATTTAAAGTTTCATTTGGTTGGAATGTGTATGAGGTTAAGTTGTTTACATAAAGGTCCAAAATATTAAAATTTGTTTCAATTTAACATATACTGTATTTATTGAAAAAAAACTTATTAATTCTATTATTTTTTAATTTTCGTTTTTAATTTGTAATTATTTATTATTTTTTGTTTAAATCACGTCAAAACAGACTTTTTACATTTTAAAAGTGTATTTTTCAAAACAGAAAAAATTAGGTATTTTCGAAATTTTTAAACATAATTAGGTATTTTTCAAAAAAATATACCCTTATTCCAAATTTGGAGATATTATGTTTTTTTTTTTTTTTTCAAACCGCAACCGCCCGCAACCGCAAACGCTTGCGGAAAGGAGCTTTTGATTTCCAGCGATATAGAGCGGTACAGAGTGGTATAGAGCGGTTCAAAGCGGTTGTCGTGATTGTTATAAAACGCTAAGAACCGCTACGAACCGCAAACGCTGCGTTTGCGGGTGGTAGCGGGAGAACCAATCATCACCATAGAGAAGCCATAATTTCAGCATTTGCCAATCACGACTTATATGCATATATTTCTTTTTCTATGAACTTATTCTATATAGCTGTATATTATTATTATCATATGGGAAAGAATCTCTGTACTAATCCGGCAGGAGAAATTTAACTGTGAGTTCCAAATCAAAATCAGATCTAACACCAGAATAGGATCGACAATGGAAATTAAAGCCATAGTCATCACGAAAGTAGATATAGAGAAGTATAATGTAAGTAAGAAAGTAGCCAGACATTAGCTGTATAGATCCTTCACGAACTTACACACACATATATGTAAGATGTACACACATAAATACACAAACAATACATGTTAAATTTTATCAAAAAAAAGACAATACATACGTACAAACATGGATTGAACACATGCTATGTTGTCTTTAGACAGGAAATGTTACACATACATACATGCATACATAGATAACACAAGCAAGGATGATGGGCAAATATGTTGTGCCAATCAACGAATGTAAGATATGGGTCCCCAACTAAATTTTATACTCTTTAGAGAGAATAGGTACTAAACTTGTTGAAGGAGACAACATGAAACATTCCATTCGTTTTCTCACGTATTGATTATCTTTCAACACAAAACATTGTTGAAATATAAACTTTCATCCCCCTTGCTGTGAAATACTTGAGTATCCTTCATCATTATACTGTGTTGAAACACGGCCACATAGGCCATCTTGATATCTGCAAAATCTAACTTAAACTTTCAATAGAAAGCGTTAAGGCTAAAAATGTATCAGGCCGGAGACTGAAACAAATCACTCTCAAGTAGGAACAAAAACAATCCAGACAAGTGGAAAGCATTGAGAATATTCCGAGAGAGAGAGAGGTTAGAGCTGTGGACTTTGAAGAAACAAATATTGAGGAATAAGAAAAGAGAATGAATTCGCCTGCCCAAGTAGAAAAGTTGTCAAATCTTTTTGGAGAATAAGATACTTTGGTATACCAGAATGGTGAAAGAATTCGCATATGATTCACTAATTGTGGATCAATTCTGGTATCTAATGCAAGGCTTGAATTGCACTAAAAAGTTGTAGTCCAGAAGAATCATGACAAGAACAAAAAAAAAGATCTAAGCAAATAAACTACAGTTTTAAACGATAAGAACAGAAACAACAAAAGCTACGACTGGACCAGTTATTCATATTCCATACCTTAGTTATTTATTATCTTCTTCTCCATTCAACTTTCTATATAAAGCAAAGTTGCAAAGACCTTTTGCTCTTGAGAGACCCCGGCCTGAGAGCATAAATAAGGAAAGCGGCAAAAACATCTTCCCAAGTTGGTGGAGTTGCAGACCATATTAGAAGTGCATCTCTGAACTGAGAGCAGCAGGCTGCATTTTCAAAACTAAAGATTGTGTCAGGTAAAAGAAAAACATTTGGTCTTTACACTCATTCTTATATTGCGGTGTTGCTATATCTAGATGGGACAAACTTACATTTATTTTATTTTACTTTGAAGACATGTATTACCACAACCAGCACCAAGGAAAGAGCATCCTCTCTTCAACGAGAATGCCCATTCCTTCTGAAAGACATCCTTTCCTCAGAGGAAATGGCGCAGGAGATTCTGGACTCATCCTCTCAACCGATGCCAAGCCACGACTAAAATGGACTCCAGATCTTCACGAGAGATTTGTTGAAGCAGTCAACCAGCTTGGTGGAGGAGATAGTGAGTTATTATATTATTAGCAAAAAAAATCTATATCTTTTACAAGCAGGATTTTTAGACACAATAATGTATTAATGTGTATATACTTTTGTCTATGCAGAGGCTACTCCTAAGACGATCATGAAAGTCATGGGTATTCCAGGCCTTACCTTATATCATCTCAAGAGTCATCTACAGGTAAGCCATCAACACTTCATATAAATATATGCTTAAACTCTCAAGGTTTTTGTATTTACAAATGTTTATTTGATGATTTTTGACTACCAGAAATATAGGCTGAGCAAGAATCTTAATGGACAAACTAACAGCGGTTTAAACAAGACAAGTAAGCTTATAGAAGAATCTTTTTATCTAAAGATTAAATATTTTTCCTTTTTCAAAACTTTTTCTTCAAGGAACACTACTAATAATAAACTGGTTTAGGTGTGATGACGATGGTAGAAGAAAACACCCCTGAAGCAGACGAAAGTCACGGCGAGAGTTTAAGCATTGTACCACAGCCGAGCATGTAAGAATATGGCTATTTGCTTACATCTTCTAACTTGTTGAATTTTCAGAAAATAAACTATCTATATTTGTGCATGCACACAGGAACTTGCCCATAAGTGATGCACTTCAAATGCAAATAGAGGTTCAGAGAAGGCTGCACGAGCAACTTGAGGTATCATATATACTCTACTCTCCAGATTCACTCAGAATAGAGGATCTCAAGTGTAGAGAGCATCATTAGGGACTCAAGGAAAGTAATACTATGTAGATAGTAGAAACAGAAAAAGAAGACAGCATTTAGTTATGATATCATTAAAATATTTTAAAAACTGAGTCAGGTACAGCGACATTTGCAGCTCAGGATTGAAGCACAAGGAAAGTACCTGCAAGCGATTTTGGAGAAAGCACAAGAGACTCTTGGAAGACAGAACCTAGGTCCAGCTGGAATCGAAGCAACCAAAGCTCAACTCTCAGAATTAGTATCCAAAGTGTCATCAGAATATCCAGACACTAGCTTCCTAGAACCTAAAGAACAGCAAATTAATCTACGCCAACAACAGATCATGCAAACAACAACATATCCTCCACCTAACTCCTCCCTTGAAAGTTGCTTAACCTCAAGTGAAGGAACCAAGAAAGCCCCAAAAATGGTTGAGAACAGATTAGGTTTAAGAACGTATATTGGAGATTCAACTTCAGAGCAGAAAGAGATCATGGAAGAACCATTCTTCCATAGAATGGAGCTCACGTGGGCAGAAGAAGAAGGACTCAGAGAGAATAATAACCGGCAATATCTTTCGACGTCGATGGTTAACAACGCAGAAGCAAGAACCTCGTCTTCAAGAAGAAGCCCTGGAAGATTGTCTATAGGAGTTGGATTACATGAACACAGAGGAAGGAGTAGCAACAATGGGTATACAGAGAATGTCGTCGAAGATTGCAAGCTCGAAACACGCAACAGAACAGCGTTAGATCTTAACACACATGACGAAAACTACGGCACAACGCGTCCTAAACAGTTTGATTTGAATGGTTTCAGCTGGAACTGAGGGAGAGAAGTTAAAAGCTAAAAAGTCTGCACCAACCTTTTTGGTTTCGTTTGTCAGTCTCAAATTAGACATATTGTGCAAAGTGTAATTGTGTAAACCATTATTTTGCGTCGTTACTTATCTCATATAATACAGATAATTTTTACTAACGTCATTTATGGAAATGTATTCATATTTTTCAATGAAAACGTTCGTTGAGACTTGAGAGATCATGATCATGATCAAGTTAAAACTCGGAAATCAACACAATAAAAACAGGATATGTAAATGGGAACAGAGTAATCAAGTTACCAAATTAGATTCCAATAATTGGAAAAACCTAAAAAAGGACAAAATATTATTAGGGGTATAATTCAGAAAGTAGTGAAAAGAAGAGGGGGCAAATCGGAGAATAAAAGCCCGCTATATACTTTAATTTTGGGCCGTCAATGTCGAAATCGTATTCAACTCGTTCTGATTTTGCTATCATCTCTTAACGATCCAATCGGTAGTTACACATCATCATCTTCTTCTTCCTCTCGCTCTGAAAGCGAAAAACCCTATTTCTGGTTACCCAATTAAATCCGGAAAAAAAACCCTAATACTCTCTCAGCGGGACTTTCCCAATCCAAATTCCGACGAACTAAAATTCACGGAGTCTCTTCTCTGGTTCAGCTGGAATGGGTGCGAGTCGCAAATTACAAGGCGAGATAGATCGGGTGCTGAAGAAGGTTCAGGAAGGCGTTGATGTTTTCGACAGCATCTGGAACAAGGTAGAATTTTCTCGCTACAATACAATTATTCGAATTGTTTTTTTTTTTTTTCTTTGTTCCAATTGTTCTCGATATTATAGAGAATGCACGAAGATCTGTAGGATCAAACTTTACATTTGCGTGTTAGGAAATGCGTAGCATGTCATCATTAATGTAGAATTGAGCTTACTGAAGCAGTGTGTGAGATGATCTATTTGCCTTATGAATTTGATTCGGATTTTTTTTTCTCTATTACCATTGGGTCTCTTAAGCAAATTCGAATTGGATACTTATAGTGTTCTAGTCTAGCTTTCTGTGATTGGAACCGGTGGATGGGGATTTGCTAATTTTGGTTCCTTGTATGTAACTTTTTGTTTTTGTTTTTGTTTGTTTTGTGAGTAAAAATATCCAGTGGAACTCAATATCGAGCTCCGTTTGTTGTTTATGCAGTGGAATGTGAGCAGAATGTTTGTTTTCGAAGCAGAAAAGTTTTTTACTGGACAGAGGACAAACCCGGACTTTTTTGGTGTTTCAGGTATATGATACAGATAATGTAAACCAAAAGGAAAAGTTTGAGGCGGACTTGAAGAAGGAAATCAAGAAGCTGCAGCGGTATAGAGACCAGATCAAGACATGGATTCAGTCCAGTGAGATCAAAGATAAGAAAGTCAGTGGCCTCCTTCATCTTCTACGCCTTTTTTTATTATCACTTTTGAGGTGCTCTGGCTCCCTTGCATTCTCTTTGGTTTCACCTCTAAGACAATAATCTAAAGTTATAGCTAAGGTCTTCCTAAAATCTGAAAGAAAAACTCTGATTTTGGTTCATTTGAGTAAGGTGGTTTCGCCTGTCATATACTTCTTGGTTGATCTCTAGCTGATTTTATTTGATTTCATAGAGCTGAAAGGAGTAGCTTCATCTCTGTTTTCACTTTCATATCTCTATTATGTTGTTCAGTTTTATTGGAATCTTACTACCGATTTGTTTTAGACTGAACTGAGCAGATTGTCTGTTATTTGACTTAGGTTAGTGCATCATATGAGCAATCCCTGGTTGACGCTCGGAAGCTCATTGAGCGAGAGATGGAGAGGTTTAAGATCTGTGAGAAAGAGACCAAGACAAAAGCATTCTCTAAGGAAGGACTGGGTCAGCAACCTAAAACTGTAAGAATTTCTCTACTTTTCCTTTCTGTAAAACAATTTGGGTGGTTTTATATATTACTTCAAATTCTTTTCGATAGTCAGGCTACTGATTGTGTCAGCTTTATGTCTAATAGGACCCAAAAGAGAAAGCAAAGTCAGAGACAAGGGATTGGTTGAACAATGTGGTGAGTTATTTTGGCGTCTTCATGCTTAATTATTATTTGTTAAACCCTTCCTTTAACATTAACGTCAAAGCAAATTAAAAACTAATGGTATTTGTGAAGCCCCTAGACTAATTATGGTTGATGTGCCAGGGAAACTAGGTAGTTAGGTCCTTATGGATCATCTTAAATCAGTACTGTAGCTGATTTATCACACATTTTCTTTATTTTGATAGGTGAGTGAACTTGAGTCGCAAATTGATAGCTTTGAAGCTGAATTGGAAGGACTGTCTGTCAAAAAAGGAAAGACAAGGCCACCCAGATTGGTAAGTACTGAAAAATATGCGTCGGTATGCAATTCTTAAATTCCTTATCTCGTGGTTAATCATGTCATTTTTAATTTGTTTTCCCCTTTCAGACACATCTTGAGACATCTATTACAAGACATAAGGATCATATAATAAAGTTGGAATTGATCCTGAGGCTTCTGGACAATGACGAATTAAGTCCGGAACAAGTAAATGACGTCAAAGATTTTCTGGACGATTATGTTGAACGAAATCAGGTGATGATATTTTGCTTATATGTGTTTTCATGTAGTTCAGTCTGGGTTTCCAACATTAGTAGGCTGATATTGTAATGTTTAACCTTTCTCCATGTAGGATGATTTTGATGAGTTCAGTGATGTCGATGAGCTCTATAGCACGTTGCCACTAGATGAGGTGGAGGGTCTTGAAGATCTAGTTACTGCTGGGCCCCTCGTCAAGGTGACTTTTCGGTTGCAGTTTCTCTATTTGCTTATATTTTCCCTCTCTCTGTGCACACAGGAAGTGCTATGTGCATCAGGCGAAAAGAGCTTAGGAATTCATGATTCTTTTTGAAAGAGACTAGTTCAAGAAATTTTCACTGTAATTACCAGTCATTTAGCTTTAAATTTAGCAATAACATAACTCAAATATGTCAGGGTACCCCTTTGAGCATGAAGAGTTCTTTAGCAGCGTCAGCATCTCAAGTTCGGGTAAGTAATCCTATATTCCTTTGTTTGAAGAATTTATCATTTATGTTTCTTTATTTTGGCTTTGTTTCAGAGCTTAAGTTTGCCAACACAGCATCAGACTACTTCTCAGGAGAAAACAGAGGATGCAACTTTGCCGGATAGCATTTCTGAGACACTTCCAAAAACCCCTCCCGCGAAGAATGGCGCAAGCCTTCACTCAGCACCATCAGCACCTGTCGGGGGACGTCCAAGTTTGAATGTTCCTGCCAGCAATGTTTCAAATGCATCAGTTTCCTTGTCAGCTTCTATTCCTATTCAAACTTCCACAGAGAGCATGGGAAGTTTGTCTCCAGTGGCTGCCAAGGAAGAGGACGCAACAACTTTGCTTTCCCGTAAACCACCCTCATCTGTTGCTGATGCTCCAATGAGGGGCATTGGTAGAGTTAGTATCCCTAACCAGTCCCAACCAAGTCAGCCTCCGTCTCCAAGTCCAGTTAATGGAGCTCGCCTTAGTGCTACTTCAGCAGCTGAAGTTGCAAAAAGAAATATAATGGGAGTTGAGAGCAATGCCCAACCTCTAACTTCTCCGCTGAGCAAAATGGTATTGCCACCAACCGCGAAGGGTAATGATGGAACTGTCTCTGATAGTAACCCTGGTGATGTTGCGGCTAGCATCAGTAGAGCTTTTTCCCCATCTATTGTATCTAGTTCGCAGTGGAGGCCTAGTAGTCCCTTTCAGAGTCAGAATGAAACGGTACGTCTTTTGAATTTGATTATGTATAAGTTGGTAGTCTGAGCAGTATCATGGCTTTGTTAATGTTTCTCCTATACTAGATCATATACTTAAGAAAAACTCCTAACTAGGGTTATAACTGCCTTGGCTTGTTGTCTCGTGGTTTGCTAGGTTCTACTGCCTTGTTTTCGTCTTATTAAATACTGTAGTTGATTTTGGCTTTTAGGTCCGTGGGAGAACTGAAATAGAACCAGATCAAAGAGAGAAATATATACAGCGGTTACAGCAAGCACAGCAAGGTCATGGTAATCTCTTAGGCATACTTTCTCTATCTGGAGGAAACGAGAAGCAGTTTTCTTCACAACAGCAAAATCCTCTTTTACAGCAGGTAGCAAATTTTATTTGTTTGTATGCTGTGTACATACCAGTATAGGAGATGATTAATGATACTTAAAACCTTTCATCATAATAAGAGATAATCTTTTCTAATATGTTTCTCAGAGCCCTGCCATATCTCCTCATGGTAGCTTGGGAATGGGAGTTCAGGCACCAGGTTTTAATGTCATGAGTTCTGCCTCCTTACAGCAGCAGTCAAATACCATGACTCAACAATTGGGCCAGCAGCCTTCTGTTGCAGGTAAAATCATCATTTAGGTTATTTCGGTGGTTTATGATATGATTGTGGATAAACGTAATTTCTGAGTTTAGCAACTAACACTTACGGTGAAGTTAACTCTAAGATTTATATTATTTGATTATGATAATTCTTTGTGAAGTTAAACCACTTTGCGAAGGAGTTGTACACATCTTGGCAGATACTTAAAAGCCCACATTTGTTGGAGCTCGGTTTTTGGTTTCGAGTTTTGGAAGTAGAGATGAAAGATATTCGTAAAATAAGAGACGTGTTCTTGATGTTTGTGCAGATGTAGATCATGCCAGAAATGATGATCAACAACAGCAAAACTTACCTGATGATTCAACTTCCATAATGGCTTCAAAAAATATGGCAAATGAGGATGATTCTAAAGTTCTATTTGATACTCCGGTAAGCATGATCTGTGCTCACGTTTATTAGTCGTTAGTATATCTTTGATAGACGCTTTCCATCAGATAGATTTTGAGAGAACAGTGAAAATGAATAAATTATTCTGTCTTTGTTGGTGTTGGTGAGTGTTTGATTTTTGTCATTCCTTCGCTTAAACTTCACATACACAGAATATTAACATCTGTATATGTTTTACCAAGCAGCTAACTTACGCTGGCATCATATTCTACCTACTTTGTGTTTTCTTTTTATCTACAGTCGGGAATGCCCAGCTACATGTTGGATCCAGTACAGGTAAGTAGGGAAGGTCCTGATTTCTCTCCTGGACAACCCATACAACCCGGACAATCGTCAAGCAGCCTCGGGGTCATCGGACGTAGAAGTAACTCGGAAGTAGGAGCCATTGGTGACCCTTCAGCTTTAGGGCCAATACATGAACAGATGGAAAATCTCCTGATGCTTGAAGCTGCTTACCGCAGAGTTCCTCAACCCAAAGATTCAGAACGTCCTAGACCCTATACTCCGGTGCACCATTCTTCTGAATTATCTTTGGCCTCTTCACTTGATAACATTTGCTTAAATCTCACATTCCCTTTGATTTTGAACAGAGGAACCCAGCAATCACACCTCAAACATTTCCCCAAACACAAGCACCGATCATCAGCAACCCTTTGCTCTGGGAACGTTTTGGCAGCGACGGTTATGGAACAGATACTTTGTTCTTTGCATTTTATTATCAGCAGGTACGCTCTGTTTTTTCCACTAAACCCACCCATCTTTTATTTTTTGTCTGTCTTTATGGCCCTTATCGATTAAATGTTCTTCTTTTGTTTTCCGTTTAGAACTCGTATCAGCAATATTTAGCTGCAAAAGAGCTGAAGAAACAGTCATGGAGATACCACAGAAAGTACAACACTTGGTTTCAGAGACATAAGGAGCCAAAAATTGCAACCGATGAGTATGAACAAGGAGCCTATGTTTATTTCGATTTCCAAACCCCAAAAGACGAGAACCAAGAAGGAGGATGGTATGAATCCATTCCCTACTGTCAATTTTTTTCGTTTATCTCTATTTTTGGCGTTGGAGATGCTAATCATTATCTAAAATGTCTTGTGTAGGTGTCAGAGGATCAAAAACGAGTTCATGTTTGAATACAGTTATCTTGAAGATGAACTCGCCGTATAGAACAGAGAGAGATATATGTGTTTTATATGTATATACTCTTCAGCAAGCTTTATTTCCTGCATCTACTACTATTTGTACTCTTCTTTTCAATAAACTAATTACTTTCAGTTTTTATTATCTAATCTAAGTTTGAATTCTATGTTGAGCATAAAACCAGAGTCTCATAGCGGAATCTTTGATAATGTCTAATACAAGCCCAAAAGAAAACTACGAGCCTGGTTCTATGCGTCGCAGTCTATAATCTTTCAGGGCAGTTTTCCTCAAATTGAAAAAATGTCGGCCTTAAAACAAATTTTTTATGTGAATAGTGATTACTGGAACACTATTGAGATATAATCCAAGTATTTACTATTGTTGGTCTAACGTTGAGAAGTAATTATTATCCCTTAAAATATGTACAAGAATGTGCATGTACCGAAGATTATGCAGATTATGCAGAAGAGTCTGTTGCTTGTTTAGTGGATCGGTGGAATTTCGTCACCACAAAGTAAGCACGTGGAGATTTCGTCACTTTGCGTTTTGCTTAATGCATAACAACACATCTCAAAGACCGACCAAAGAAATAAAAAGAACCTCAACAGATCAACATTTATTACGTATAAGTTATAATATAAAATCATTTAAATCTTAGCTACCCGATGTATAGTCTTCGAACTCCAAATTCATAGTACTGTATAGATGCAAGAAAATCATAATTTAGATTAGCTTCATTTAGAGTCAAATAGTTTATACTTCACAACAGTTACATCATCAGTCTTTTTAAAAACCTTAAACCACAATCCCAAATCTTCATACCTTTTTGTTTTCCACAGGCGGTCAAAAAGAGAGTAAATTCGAATGAGTAACCGACGGAAACAGAGCACCACTGCATTCATCTTCATCTGCGTCGCCATCTCCACCGTATTTTTCTTCTCAGACGAAGTCTCCGCCTTGGGAGTAAACTGGGGAACGATGGCAACTCACCAGCTACCTCCAAAGACGGTGGTTCAAATGTTGAAAGACAACAACGTACAAAAAGTGAAGCTTTTCGATGCCGACACAAACACCATTGGAGCTCTATTCGGCTCCGGCATCGAAGTAATGGTTGCAATCCCTAACGATCAGCTCAAAGCCATGGGAAGCTACAACAGAGCTAAAGATTGGGTCAGAAGAAACATCACTCGTTTCAACGACGGCGTCAAAATCAAGTACAACACTTTTGATTCTTCTTCTCACAAGAAAAATGAAGAATTTTTGTAACTAAATTAAGTTTCTTTGCAGATACGTCGCCGTTGGGAATGAGCCCTTCTTGACATCTTACAACGGATCATTCATAAACCTAACTTATCCAGCACTCGTCAACATCCAAAACGCACTAAACGAAGCCGGAGTCGGAGATTTCATCAAAGCCACCGTACCTTTAAACGCAGACGTCTACAATTCCCCACCGGAAAACCCACTTCCTTCAGCAGGAAGATTCCGTCAAGACATATTCGAAGAGATGAAACTCATAGTCAACTTCTTAGCTCACAACAACGCTCCATTCACAGTCAACATTTACCCTTTCCTAAGCCTTTACCTCAGCAGCGACTTCCCTTTCGATTACGCCTTCTTCAACGGCCAAAACACCGTCAACGACAACGGCGTTACATACACAAACGTCTTCGACGCCAACTTCGACACCCTCTTGGCTTCGCTTAAAGCAATAGGTCACGGAGACATGACGGCGATAGTCGGAGAAGTTGGTTGGCCAACGGACGGCGACAAGAACGCCAACATCCCAAACGCAGAACGCTTCTACGAAGGCCTGCTTCCGAAGCTAGCGGGAAACAGAGGAACACCTTTACGTCCAGGTTACATCGAAGTCTATCTCTTCGGATTCATCGACGAAGACGCAAAGAGTATAGCTCCTGGAAACTTCGAACGTCACTGGGGGATATTCAAATACGACGGCCAACCAAAGTTCCCTGCGGATTTGTCAGGGGAAGGTCAGAAGAAGAAGGTCTTGACCGGAGCTCAGAGCGTCCAGTACCTGCAAAGCCAGTGGTGTATGTTAAACCCTAACGGCTACAGCTTCAGCAACAACACTAACCAGCTTGGAGATAACGTAAACTACGCGTGTACCTTCTCTGACTGCACGGCTTTAGGGTTCGGCTCCTCTTGTGGTAATCTTGATGAGGCCGGGAACGCGTCCTATGCATTCAACATGTATTTCCAGGTGCAGAATCAGAAAGCAGAGGCTTGTGACTTTGAAGGTCTTGCCATCATCACAACTCGGAATATCTCGAGAGAGGAATGTAATTTCCCTATTCAGATCGGTGATCCAACTTCAGGTCATTGTGATCATAAATATGGTTCGATTATGGGGTTGAGTCTAATGAGTATGTTGATGCTCTTTATGGCACTATGAAAAGAGATTGTAACAATTTTTTACTACTTTTAGTTTCAGAATCATATTTCATTGACCAAAGAAACAGACTTTCTCTAATAAACTGAAGAAATGAAGGTGTAGGACACTAAACCTTGAATCATCTGAGGAAGGCACCATTAGCAACAATGACTTGGCCATTGATCCACTCACCAGCATCACTAGCTAAGAACCCAACAACATTAGCAATGTCTTTAGTCTCACCAAGCCTACCAAAAGGGCTGTTTTCGATGATGTACCTCACCGTCTCCTCGCTCTTCCCGTCGAAGAACATCTCAGTCGCGACAGGGCCCGGAGAGACACAGTTCGCGGTGATTCCTGAACCTTTGAGTTCCTTGGCGAGAATCTTGGCCATTGTTTCAACAGCTGATTTCGATGCCGTGTAAGCTCCTTGTCCCGGGATTAGCGCCTCCGTTAACGACGACGTTATCAGTATGATACGACCACCGCCTCCGCGTTTTAGCCTCTTTGCAGCTTCTTTACAGCACAAGAACGATCCTCTTGTGTTCACTCTAAACAAACGAAGAACATTCCAACGAATCACAACCAGATAATACGACGAGAGATGGAAACAAAGTCTATTAAGTTTTAATAAAATGATCAAACAGATACATTCAAACGAAATCTAGCAACTTCAGAACTGAAATTTCATGAATGTGACATTTATTTCTCAGAAAGATTATTGTTACCTGAAGATTCGATCGAAGTCCTCAACGGGAGTGTTGGCGATGGTAGGATAGTTGGGATCGAGGATCCCGGCCGAGTTAACCAGGATGTGAACCGGCGATTTGAAGGCTTTCTCCGCCGCGTCGAAGAGAGACTCAACCTGGCTCGGATCCGAGATATCGGCGCGTAACACGACGGCTATTGGTTCCGGACCATCACCAGCACCGGCGGATGAGTTGATTTCCGCGGCGACCTGATCTGCCTCAGCGGATCTGGTGGTGTAGTTGACGACTATCTTCGCGCCGAGCTCGGCGAGGTGTATTGCAACGGCTCGGCCGATTCCGCGAGATGAACCGGTGACTATCGCGACTCGGCCGGCGAGGGAGAAGGTCGGAGAAGAAACTGAGGAAGGTGCAGCCATGAGAATCAAATTGGTCAAACGACTGTTGACTCAGCGTGTTGGTTGACTGTGTGAGTGTGCTGTGTAGCGTACTCTGTCAAAAACGATGCCGTTTAGTTTCTTTTTATGAATATCTACAAATAAATTGACCTAGTGTTATTGGTTTGTGTATTTTAATGGATTTGGAAACAATGTCAAATCTAGTGTTATTGGTTCTATGATTTTGAATTCTTTGATTATATCCAGTGTGTTATTAGTTATGTAATCCAGTGTTACTTAATCTTAGGGTTTTAAGATGGTTCTAGTGGTGATTCAGTTCCTTGTGCATCTTTTCCCATTGTCTCTCAAGTTCCTCTTACCTTAGACAAGCCTTTGAAGAACTGCATAAGAAAAATGGAAACATTGTTTAGCGCAAAAACCAAATATTGTGCATAAACCAGTAACAGAAAGCTACTATATATATAGATGAGAAATTGAAAAAACTTAGCTAAAAAGTCTAGTCAGACCTTTGTAAATTCTTGTTTGCTTCTTCACTACGTTTCAAAGAGTAGCAGCAAGAGCACACACAAATTCGAAAGAGGCAGGGACTTCAAGAACAGCATCACACCACTCAACCTTCCCCCAAATATTTCCACTTATGGTCCTTCTAAGTGCAATCACCGCACACCACATGGTCGTATTCTGACGGCAAGGCACCGACAAAACCGCAATCTTTCCACCATAATCTACCATCTCAACAAAATAACCGGACATTATTTCCAAATCGACAAAACCCTTGACACATCTCCACTTTCTCATCTTAGAGTTGTACCACTGCAATCCATCCAGGTAACTATAACAATACAGCACGTCACCTACAGTGCACCAAGAAACTCCTTCACATGATAAATTCAACCGACGCCTTCCCATCACTTCCCATCTATCTTCCTTTGGCTTGTAACCCACACAAATCTTGTTACCAAACATGTAGATCTCTCCATCAATCGATTTGCTACTGCTCACATAACATGCGTAACTCTTTGCAAAAGGGCACATCACAAGCTTCCAAGCTTGCGTCTCTGGATCGTAAACCTCCATCCGAACGGGGGACTTGTAGTATCCACATCCTCCTGTTACATATATCTTCCCGTCAACGACGTTAGCTTCTGGGTAAGACCGCTCCACAAGCATACTCGGACCTTCGCGCCACGTGTTAGTCCGGCAGTCCAAGATGGAGACTTTACTCGACCGCGCTTCCTTCTTGGCTCCGCCAATGGCGTAGATACTATAACCAACAGAAACCATAGCCACACCACTTTTCCAATGAGCTTGAGGTGAATGGGGAATCGTGATTGGGGCCAAAACATTGCCACTTGGATTCTTCTCGTTTTTATCCTCAGTGCCATTGATTAACTTTCGGGTTGGTTTGCGGCAGAAAGTGAACCAGCGAGGGCTAGGATCATAAGGGAACTTTAAGCACAGATAGAGACAACTCTCGGTGTTGCTTCGAAGGGATCGGGTCTCGTAAAGCTCCTGTGAAGCTATGAGAGATCGAAAGCTCTTGGAGGCGAGAGAGAGAGCCGGGTAATACGACCTGGTTATGCGCGCGAAGCAGTTATATAGCAAATCATTCGGAAGCGAAGGAATCGGCGTCGCCGGAAGTATTGCCGACGGCATCTTCTTTCTCTTCTTCTCTGGGGACGACATTGTTTGGTTGGCGCGTGAAAAAAAACAAAAACAAAAATTCAAATAATTTGGGAGAAGAAACTTTGATAAATCTCAAATGGTCAAGTATTTATACAAGTCTAAGAAAGTCTAATCCTAATACTAAAAGGAAACTCATTCCAAACAGGAAAGTAGAGAATTGGAAATTATCTAGAACTGTAATGAACTTTTTTCTTTTCTTTTGTTCAACTTATTATAGGATTTATGACACGGAAACAAGGACGATGACATTGAACAACAAACAATAGGTTAGGAGAACATAAGCGGGTTTCAAGTAAGGCTAACTTCCCGCAAAACCTTGGCTACGTCCTCTGGGAAGACTGGGTTTATGTAACACCCTGAGCCAATCTCAAACCCACCTACCCCAGAAAGCTGAGGTACAATCTGTAAAAACCAATGCGTATAAGGTAATTGCGTTTCAGTGACCTTGAGAGGAGAAGTGTGGATCATGTAGTTGTAAGGAGGGTCGTCTAGTTGCTTTGATATCTTCTGAAGCATCAGTTTCAAAAGTCCTCCAAGGTCAACAGCCTGTTGTAAACCATCAAAACTAAAGTGAGTAACAAAAGGTGATGACAAATCCAGGAACTTGCATTTGTACTAGCAGTAAAAGGTTTTAACCTTGGCGTCATCGAGATGATGGAAGTGTGAAGAATGATCCTTTGGAACAATCCAAACCTCAAAGGGATACGTAGAAGCAAAAGGAGCAACGGAGACGAAATGAGACGACTCATCGATCACAAAATGTTTCGATTTAGCTTCACAGAGACAACATTTGCCAGTCTCGTCGAAGTAATCTTTTGTACCATCGAGTCGTGAAGAAACTGTTGGAGGAACCACTGGGAGAGCCATTATCTGACTGTGGGAGTGGCTCATTGATGCTCCAGCAGACGCACCTTGGTTCTTGAAGACCTTTGGATTACGAAGAACAAATTGAAGCAACACACAAAGATCCACACATAAAACAAGCATTCATGGCTAAAACGATATATTGAGCTTAAATTAAGCTTATTTTGGTATAGACTTTGACTATTGGATTTTAAGATAGAATCTATGGAGAAAATGCTTACCTGAATGTAACTGATCGAATCGTGTTGTGTGATCTGCTCGATCCTCTTCCTATACGCGATCAAAACATCGCCGATACCCACGGAATCGAGATCGGAGAGCTGAATCGAGTGAAGAGGGGATTCGATCACCACGTCGTGGAATCCGAACCCGGTAATAGTCCGACTTGTATTTGTCTCGGGCTGCTTCGATTGGGTTTCGATATTCCTGCTCAGAGCTGGGTACAGGTTCTCGATGACGCGGAGTTTCCAAGTTGGATCATCTGGCACACGGAATATCTCCGGAGCGCATTCGTGCTCACGGCCGATGCAAAAGGGGCACGACGAAGGTTTTGGATTAGGATTCTGTGGAGATTTGGATTTGAAATCTGTCGGCCTTTTGGCGCGGGCGGGAGAGAATATGACCCACCGGTTAGTCACCGGGTCCTTCCTGAGCTCAGGAGACTGAGTCTCGACCGAGTCGCCATCGCCGCCGTGATCGGGGACATGACTCGGTGACGCCATCATTTCTCCGAGATGAGTTACGAAACTTGAGCGATTTCCGTTTTGAAGAATTCTAACCGACCCGGTTTCGAAGGATTTCAAATCGAAGTTATCGGTTAGTTCCAACCGAACCGAACCTATAAATTCGGTTAATTTGCCGTCCCGATGAAATTGCTTAAAGAATGTTTGGTTGGTTGAAAGCGAAATGACCAACTTTTTTTGGTTTTTGTTTTTTAATTCCATTCGGTGAGAAAAAACTCTTTTATAGGAAACGGTTAAAAAATCGTACTTAAAAAGCAAAAGAAATATTCGACAGTAAACTCTAAAAATAATTCCATAAGCTTCAAAAAAAAATCAAGACAAAATTTATATTTGGAAACTACATTTTAGACTAATCGTCAATTCTTTTTTTTTTCCCTAAACATAAGGATGTGGTTAGACACGGCCTTACACGTGCGTTTTATTGGATACAAGTCTCATTTCATACGTACGAACGTGCTAAATTATTAATATCGATAGATTTAAAATTTAAATCATATGAGGAGACCGAAGCAAAGGGCAATAATAAAGACCATAACATTAGAGACTGAGGTACACACACATGACAAGAAGAAAATTCATTAAATATTTCAAAATGTAAGTTTTTTCAAAACACAAAGGAAAAGTAAATTAAATAAAAATCTTCACCAAATATATGCCAGAATTTCTAAAGTTGATCAATCCTTCCAAGAAAAACCAAAAACAAATTGGCAAAACCAAAAAAGAAATAAAAATCCTTCCCCAAATCTGCACCTCCTCTCATCTTCATCTCCATCTCCATCTCCGTCTTCATTATTTATAAACCTAATTCTATCTGCAGTTTTCTCTCTCTTCTCTCCGTCTCTTTGTGTGCTCACAGCTATAAAGTTCCAACATTTAAATCGCCGTAGTTAGAGGAGCTATCGGTTTCTCATTCAAAAAGTTTCCAGGGAGATCTGAAAGTTTTGATTTTTCGGATCGATTTCACCGTCAACATAGTCCGATCATCGCTCCTGTGTGAAGCTTAATCCTGAATCGTTCATCGGGTAGAATGTTTTTGACATCTCGTTTTTATTCGGTGGTGGTTGTTGTGTTTGGATGTTTAGTCTTTCAAAACTTGTACTTGCGTTTTCCGGGAAGATCTTGCTTTTGGATGATGATTGAACATATTTTTGTGTCAAACTGTTGATTTTTTTCTGAATCTATATCTCTTTGTTTCTCTTCTGCTTTGTTTCTGTGAAGATGAGAATCACCAAAACGTTTCTATTGATGGTTTTTGATCTATATATTCGACCTTCATAGATTCTTTTTATGTATTGGCCATCTTCGGCTCTCTTTGATTCGGTTTCCTCGACATTAACGATGATTTTGATACTCTTGAGCCAAAGCTGATGACTGTAATGGTCTGGACTTTGGTTACATATGCTTGTGATTTTGATTGCTTAATCTGTTTGATTGGAAAATGCTACTGTATACGGATGACAATAAAGTGATTTAATGGAATAAGAATGCTCAAAGTGTAAGCAACTGTTTCTTGTGTTGTATTAGGTTGTATTGACTCGCTCTCTTGTAGATTGTGAAGGAAATGGCAATGAAATTGTTTTACTCACCAACTAACTTGTTATCCTCTGCTCCTGCCTTTGTTGCCACAGGTTAGGTAGAAGGAGTTCACTGAAAGAAGAAGATTTTCTTACTCTTTGTATGGAGTAAGAATGCCAGAGTTAAGAAGTGGAGCACGTAGATTGAGACAACCTAACCCTCAGGTGATTGATCAGGCTGAAAATATTGAACTTCCTCCTCCGGCTGCAACAAGAAGAAGAGGTGGTGGTGGTAGAGGAAGAGGAACCGCTGCAGCATTAGCCAAAGCCGCTGCACCTCCGAGACCAACTGGTGCTGCCGGTAGGGGTCGAGGGATCAGGTTAATAGATTTAGAGGCAGAGCCTTGTGAGGTTCGTCCAGCAGTAGGTGAACCTGTTTTAAATCAAGTTGAAGGGGTAGCTGATAAGGATATAGCTATGGAAGGTGGTAGCGGAGAGAAGATAGTTGGTGCGGAAGAAGATTCCAGCACAGCTCCAGTCCCTGAAAGGGTAAATTTCATGCTAAACTTATGACATTCAACCGCCAGGTTTTCGTATGGGAAAGATGTTGATTTTGATTTCATCTATGTGTGTAGGTGCAAGTTGGAAATTCTCCTGTTTATAAGACTGAGAGGAAACTCGGTAAAGGAGGATTTGGTCAAGTGTTTGTTGGTAGAAGGGTGAATGGTGGCAGCGATAGAATTGGGGCAGACGCAATTGAGGTACGGTGTAAAGACCGCATACTGAGGATTCATGGGGTTACTGACAACTAAATATCAAAGCTTACGAAATTATTGCTTTTTCTTTTTCAGGTGGCTCTGAAATTTGAGCACCGAAATAGCAAAGGGTGTAACTTTGGTCCACCTTACGAGTGGCAAGTGTACAAGTAAGACTTGTGTGCATTCCTGAATTTCTCTGCCAAATTTCTCTTATCAACTTATTTGTCATCTAACCTGTTTTTTTGTCCTTTTGTTGTCAAGTACGCTCAATGGTTGCTATGGAGTTCCTGCGGTACATCATAAGGGTCGTCAAGGAGATTTTTACATTCTTGTATGTATTTTTGTATATACTTTATATAATAGGTCGAGTTTGGCCGTGTTATCATGTATTAAGAAGCGTTTTCCTGAAAATGTTTCAGGTCATGGACATGCTTGGTCCGAGCCTCTGGGATGTTTGGAATACTTCAGGGCAATCGTAAGTACTCTTCTCCTTACACCACACGTTCTTCTGTTTGCAACATTCTAAATATAATCCTTGTTCATGTCTTGTGGCAGGATGTCTCCAAACATGGTTGCATGCATTGCAGTTGAGTCCATATCTATTCTTGAGAAACTTCATATGAAAGGGTTAGTAAATGTATATACTTGTTACCGTAGCAAATAGCTCCATTTATTTAAAGGAAAAATGATTTTGTTTTCTTTCATTAAGCTGATTGTCATCCCATGTTCTACACCTATATCTAACTAGGTTTGTCCATGGAGATGTGAAGCCTGAAAACTTTCTACTTGGTCAACCTGGAACAGCAGATGAGAAAAAACTCTACCTTATCGATCTTGGTCTGGGTGAGTTTTTGTCATCTTCTCTTCTGTTGCTCCAATGTTTTCTAGGATATGTAAAACGGTTCTCTTCTTTGATGATTTTATTAATGTTAACATAATCTTCTGTTGTTTCAGCATCAAAATGGAAAGATTCGCACTCAGGCCAGCATGTTGAATATGATCAAAGACCTGATGTGTTCAGGTATTTTCATTAGTGTTTATTCTTTTCTCTCTTTATGTATAAAAAAATCATATTTCCTAACATGTTTATAATGTTTCGTATCCAGAGGAACAATAAGGTATGCAAGTGTTCATGCTCATCTAGGTCGTACTGGAAGTCGGAGAGATGATCTAGAGTCGTTGGCTTATACATTGATCTTTCTCTTGAAGGGAAGATTGCCATGGCAAGGTTATCAGGTCTGTCTTTATTTCTTTTCTTAACCATAATATTATATCTGATTCATCTTCTTTGTTATCGCAGTCGATTATATAAAATACATTGTTTGCTGTCTTTGCAGGGTGACAACAAGAGCTTTCTTGTTTGCAAGAAAAAGATGTCAACTTCTCCTGAATTGATGTGCTGTTTTTGTCCACCTCCGTTTAAGCTATTCCTCGAGGCAGTTGCTAATATGAAGTTTGACGAGGAGCCCAACTATGCAAAGCTTATTTCGATTTTCGACAGTCTTATTGAGCCATGCGCTCTATCTAGACCAATTAGAATCGATGGTGCTCTTAAGGTTGCAGGCTGTTTTCTCATCCCTTATTCTTACATATTCTTGCAACTTGTTATCAATATTTCTGAAAGTGCTGATTTACTTTGTTGGCATGATTAGGTTGGGCAAAAACGAGGAAGATTGCCTCTTAGTGCGGAAGAGGATGAACAACCAAAGAAGAAAATCAGAATAGGCAGTCCTGCTGCTCAGTGGATATCAGTCTATAATGCTCGCCGTCCCATGAAACAGAGGTAAGTAATTTTCCATATACACTTGATAGTTTCGAAAACCTTTGTAAATCAAATTCATCACTAACAGTTGAATCTCCATTTTCTATTGTAGATATCACTACAACGTTGCAGACACAAGGCTGCACCAGCATGTACAGAAGGGCAACGAAGATGGCCTTCTAATTAGCTGCGTGGCATCAGCAGCTAATCTCTGGGCCCTCATAATGGATGCTGGCACTGGATTCACCTCTCAAGTTTATGAACTGTCAACGGTCTTTCTGCACAAGGTATCAATCACTTGAAGCAATTAGTAAAAATAAATTTAAAACCAGAGTTTGTAGTAACTCACCACTTTTTGGTTTCCAGGACTGGATTATGGAACAATGGGAAAAGAACTACTATATCAGTTCCATAGCTGGTTCAGATAACGGGAGCTCATTAGTTGTTATGTCAAAAGGTAGGTGATCATAGTAATTTGTCATGCCACACTTAATGTCATACTTCAAGAATAATACTTCAAGATAACATGAAGTCCTTTTTAATGTATTTCTACTTGTTGTGAAATTGGTAGGAACTTCTTACACTCAACAATCTTACAAAGTCAGCGACTCATTTCCATATAAGTGGATAAATAAGAAATGGAAAGAAGATTTCCACGTAACCTCCATGACAACTGCTGGTAATCGTTGGGGTGTTGTAATGTCAAGGAACTCTGCCTTCACTGATCAGGTAGGTTTCCCATCTCTTTTACCCGACTTGTTTTCTGGTGTTTTCTCTTACGCTAAGAGTCTTGTTCTGATATGATAAATTGCTTTGGAAGGTCGTGGAGCTCGACTTTCTGTATCCAAGCGATGGAATACATAGGAGGTGGGAGAATGGGTATAGAATAACATCAATGGCAGCAACTGCGGATCAAGCAGCTTTCATATTAAGCATACCGAAACGTAAAATAATGGATGAAACTCAAGAGACTCTCCGCACCACCGCCTTTCCAAGCACTCATGTCAAGGTCAGTTTTCTTTGTTCTGAACAAAGATTGGATTTCGTTTTTGCTTTTGGTTTTGTTTCAATAGACTAATAATGTTCGGTGCTGGTTGATATTTCAGGACAAATGGGCGAAGAATCTGTACATTGCATCAATATGCTATGGCAGGACAGTGTGCTGAATGCTGCTGATACGTACTTAGCATCATATGTTGTGTCAGAAAGGCAGAAGAAGACTATTGGAGCCTTACGTACGATCGACAAGGTGAAGCCAGACGCAACCTGTTTGTTAAATGTAATGAAATGGATGTGTCTTGGTATGTATGTACAAGTACAAAAAGAGATAGAAAAGAGACGAACGATGGAATTAGTAATAGAAAGTTTCTGAGGGCTTTTTTAAGCCTTCAAGAGTGTGCTTATTTAATCGTTTATCATTTCCCTTGTTTGATGATGATGCATATCTAGGTTTGTTCCTTCATTTCGAAGGCTTTTTAAGCCAGAACCAAACTTAAACCAAAACCGTTAAACAAAAAAACATATAAGATGCTCACCGTAATTTCCATATGAATAAATAGTTAAATACCAATAAATCATGTTTACAATCAAGACCAACGTAAATGTCAATAAAAACTTTAAAATGGTAATGTCAATTCGTTAAATGATATTTTAACCGACGTCAAAAAAAAAAATGATATTTTAACCTGTGTGCTTCAATGCAGGTCAAGAATTAAAAATTCCCGGTTAAACGAGTCGTAACCGGTCCGCGATTGCCCAAAACCCTAGTAGTCACTACCTGTACACTCCAAACCTTGTCTCTCTCTCCTCTCTAAGAACTCAGAAAACAAAAAGAACAACTCGAAAAACTCCGAGGAGCCGAGCAGAGTAACCAAACCAAAAGATGAGACCACCACGTGGCGGAGGGAGCTTCAGGGGAAGAGGAGGAAGAGATAGCGGCGGAGGTGGACGTTTTGGAGGTGGGCGATTTGGTGGCGGCGGACGCGGAGGAGGTGGCCGCTTTGGTGGTGGTGGTGGTTACCGTGACGAAGGACCTCCCAGCGAAGTCGTAGGTTCGTATTTCTATCCTCTTACACGATTCTCACTCTTCTTTCACCGATATCAAGCTGAATAATTTATTGGCAAAGTTCTCAGTTATAAACATTGATGAGAGCGTTTGCTGCAGAAAGTTCACATTGATTAATTGTTTACTCTTTTCCCTTTGTTAGAGTTTCATAGTTGAGTTGAGATATTTGATACAGCTAGTGTGTAAGACGTTTATTGCTTCGGTTCAGTGATAATGTTTCGTTTATTGGGTTATACAGAAGTTGCAACCTTTCTTCATGCTAGTGAGGGAGATGCTGTCACTAAGCTCTCGCAAGAGAAGATCCCATATTTCAATGCCCCAATCTACCTGCAAAACAAGACGCAGATTGGAAAAGTAGATGAGATCTTTGGTGCCATCAATGAATCTGTATGTGTTCAGTCTCTCATTCTCTCTCTCTCTGTGGCCTTCTTCTTTCACTGATATTGGAAAAGCATTGATTCTCTTTTCAGCTCTTCTCTATCAAAATGATGGAAGGAATTGTAGCTACCTCGTATAACGAAGGCGATAAGTTCTTCATCGACCCTGCAAAGCTTTTGCCTCTTACAAGATTCCTTCCTCAACCAAAGTATGTCACAAAGATCGCTTCTTTCTTATACTTTACGCTTGTTGAGTCACCAATAGTTAAAGTGTTCTGTAACAACACTCTTGTTCTGTTCTTCTTGCAGGGGACAGTCCATGGGAGGCCGCGGTGGAGGTCGTGGAGGAGGCCGCGGTGGACCTCGTGGAGGAGGTCGTGGAGGATCTTTCAGAGGTAGAGGCGCTCCAAGAGGCGGTGGCAGAGGATTTCCATCAAGAGGTGGTGGTCGTGGAGGAAGCTTTAGAGGCCGAGGGAGAGGATAGATTCCTAATCTGTATAACCTTTAGCTTGTAATTTGTCTTTGTTTATCTTGTTGGATGATGAAATTGCTTTTAAGAACCTACGATGATGATAAATCTTTTTCAAGATTCTAGCTTTTAAGTACTTTGGTTTTATCAAGCGAGTAAAAAGTTGATCAGTTATCAGATTTCATGGTTTTATAACATACACAGATCTGTTAAAACTCAGGAGGATCTCTAAGCCAAGAGTAGAGAGAAATTAAAAGGTTCTCTCTGTTTTATTAAGAAGCTTTCATAGAGATTAGAGAGAATTTTCAAGCTCCCCATCCTCTGAGAACGGTAGCTCGAGCCACACGATTGACACCGAGTGTGAAAGCTCCCATCCGGAGATCGCAGGCGTGAGTTTTGCACATGTCTTTCAAGTCCTTGAATCCGCGAGTCATGTATGTCTTTAGCTCATCGTTCACCTTCTCTTCTTCCCACATAAACCCCTGTATGTTCTGCACATTACCAAGAAACAAACTAATCTCATCAATATCGGTTTGATTCGGTTTGTCCAAGGTTCCTTGGTTTAGAGTTTAGACTCATACCTGAACCCATTCGAAGTAGCTGACAGTGACTCCTCCAGAGTTTGCGTATATGTCTGGGAGAATAACCACACCTTTCTTACTCAAGATCTGTAATGAAACAAGAGTCTCCATTTACAGTTTTGTAATGAGAATTTTCGTTGTGTAAAAAGAAATGACTTGTAAAAATGAAACCTCATCAGCATCAGGATCAGTTGGATGATTAGCAGCTTCGATGATGAACTTTGCTTTAATCTCATTCGCATTCTCCTTGTTGATGACACCTCCAAGTGCTGCAGGGATGAGGATATCGCAATCCTCGACCAGTATCGAGTTTGGATCAATCGGATCCGAGCCATCAAAGCCTTTAACACCTCTGTGCTCTTTGGTATAGTTGAGCAAGCTCGGGATATCGATACCGTCCTTGTTCTTGATTGCTCCGGTTATGTCACTCACCGCAACTATCTTCCCACCCTTTTCACTTATCAGCTTCGCCGCCCATGAACCCACATTCCCAAATCCCTGCAGAACCAAGAATTAAGAAAACTCGCAAGAAACCGCAATAGAGAAATGTTTAAAAACTTCACTTCACCTGGATGACAAAACGCTGCCCTGAAATGCTCTTGCCGTGCTCGTTAAGCAAAGCTTCGGTTCCAAACATGACTCCTCTTCCAGTAGCAGCGTCTCTCCCTAGCGATCCACCAAGATCCTGCTCATCAACACATTACCATTCTTGTAAATATCAGCGATTGGCAAACACAAAAGACAGTGATAATAGTTGGTCCATCACTTACAATGGGTTTTCCAGTGACAACTGCAGGAGAGTATCCATGGAACTTAGAGTACTCATCAAGAATCCAAGCCATTGTCTACAAAAAACAAACCAAGAGAAAAGTTGAAGATGGCTCAAAAACGTTGTGGAAACGTTTTTGAGTGAGTTAGGAAAAAACCTGAGGACCAGTGCCCATATCTGGAGCTGGAACATCAGTGTGAATCCCAATGAGATCATGAATCTTCTGAGTGAAAACTCGAGTCAATCGCTCGAGTTCAGAGATGCTAAGCTTGCTCGGGTCACAACCGATCCCTCCTTTGGCTCCTCCGTACGGAATCTTAGCCACTGCTGTTTTCCATGTCATGAGCTGAGCCAATGCATTCACTTCGTCCGGCTCAACCTGTAAGGAGGATATACTCGATAACCGGTTTCCACCATACCGAACCGAAATTGTGTGATGAATTTAGAAAGTCGAAACCAAACCAAACCTCGGGATGATATCTGATTCCGCCTTTCATGGGACCTCTTGAATTGTCGTGTTGGACTCTGAAACCAACGAACGATGCCAATGTCCCATCGTCCATCGGTATGGTACATTCCACCTGCAAAATTCAAAATTTGACAACCGGTTTGATTAATTGGTTCGTTTCGGTTATATGATTCAATTTTCCGGCGAAGGCACTGGATCAGGGTGAATTTTCCGACAGAGAATTAACTAGTTTGAGACCCAAATGAACACAAAAAAAAAGTCGAATTTCCGCGAGAGGAGAAAGGAAAAGGAGAATTGAAGTAGACAGAGGAGTGAGATTGATGAAATCGAACCTTGATTTCTCTGAAAGGGATGAGAAGACTTTTCTCGAGCTTAGAATCCAAACCCAGAAGCCTAGAAGCTAGCTTGAAGTTTCTGTTTGTTGCTGCTAAAGCATTCATGGCTTCTTCTTCTCACTTTTTTTTTCTCTCTGTGATCTTTACTTTCTGGGCTTTGATCAGAACGCTGTATAATAACGATGTGTGTCAGTGAAATTGTAAGTGTGTATTTACTATACACGCAGATATATATATATAGTTGGGTGTGTGTGCGTTTACTGTATACACTGCACGTGATCGATGCTTAGGTAAGATTCAGTGGAGGTGGAGCTGATTATTAATGAGATTAAGAATCAGTGCAGGCAAAAGCTGATTACGAAAATTACAAATGTCAAGAACACATTGATTATAGCCTAGAGGAAGTTGGAATTAGTTTTTTTTTATATTGAAAATATGCACGTGAAAGTTAGTTCACATACAAAAACATTAAAGATATGTTTTGATGAATTAAGACAGACACGCTTTAAGATAACTCAAGAGTCATTTTCTTTTTTATAAACACTCAGTACTAATTGAATCTATACCTACAACTAACTTTCATCTGTTAATCTCTAGAATAAGATATGCACTACGAGTGTTTTATTTGTAACTTACATCCAATTTGGGATGAAATAGACTAAAACTATTTGGACACTCATCATCAACGTTCCAATTCATATTTACTGTTTGGATGTGTAGTATAACTACATCTAGTAACAGGGTAAATATTCTTAAAAAAAACAAAAAATGTGCTATGTATTGTCAGAACATAATCTAGCTAGTCAGCCGAATAAGAACACTACATGCATTATATGCCATCTCAAGCAAAATATTCCCAAGGAAAATGAGTGGAGAAATTAATGTGACACACATAGGCAAACATAATCTTTTTGATTTGGAGAGGATATGGTTGCATCGTCATGTTCGCATCAATTCACAATTTTCTTTGATTATTCTTAGTTGGTGTCTGTTGACTTATAAACAATCCTATCCACTCTACTTTTGTTTGGTTTTGCAATTAATATATGTCCAAAACACATGTATCAATAGTTTAATCCGCATACAACGGCTGCTTTTATTTCTTTGGAGTTTGGAGGCTATTGAACATTTCAAGAGATCGATCTTGTCTTTGTGTGATATGAAAGTTGCTTTGCAATTGCGTTTGTCACTTGTCAGTGTTGTTGTTGGATTCGTGGTGAAGTCTTTGTAGGAGACAAAGTTGTTTGAATGAGACAAAATCATGTGCTTTGACTAGGCGATGCAGCCTAATAATAGCTTAGGCTTCATCTCTTACACACGTATTGTAAATTCTCTAGTTTGCTTATGAATGTTCACCATATCAGCCACCAAAATTTAAATGCCATTGTTTCTAACTTCTAAGAGATTGAGGCGCTACTATATATGCATGCAGTGGTTTGCAGCAGAGCAGGAGTATAAGAAATGTTGGGATATATTCCAACTTAGGATTAGGAATGATAAAATTATGATAAGCCCTCACTTGGGAACGGATAAAGATTTCAAGAAGAATGTATAAGATTAGATGTCACTAAAGGGAAAACCAAAAGGAAACAAAATAAACGCTAGTATTTACCCAAGTTGCGAGACTCTCTATGTGATGTATACAGAATCATCCCCAGGTCCACTGCGACACCTAAATTCAAGTATATCGTCTGTACTTCTTTAACTATATGACAATAATTTCTTTTCTATTTCTGTGAAAAAGGATCACATGACAAATGCTAGAAAAAAGAACAGAGGAATCTTATTTGGGTGCATCCTAAACACATGTTACATATTACGTATCATACAACCAACACATGTTATAGTCTCTAACAAATTAACATTAAAAAAAAAAGTCTCAAGCATATGGACGTAATCTGCAGCATCCACAAGAAAACATGTTGGAAATAAAGAATTACCAAATCAGCGGTTACAAGAAAAGTCTTTAGAAACTTGCATAATAAGTTATTACATTCTTTAAAAAAAAAAACCAAAGCCCTTACAATGACATGAAACTCTCAATGTGATTAGGTAAAACACAAAAGTCATTAATAAGATCACATCCAAGTCGATCAGGTCGCCAAACGTCGTCACGTCCAATAGCTTGAATCTTAGTCTCTCTAACACTTTTACTCTTCAGATCAAAATAGACCACATAAAACGAGTCCTCAAAACTACTCGGCACGTAAATAGCCTCACCATCATCAGTAACACCTTTCAAATCCCATGTTTGGTAAATAGGTGGTAAAAGAAACTTCCTATACGACCATTCTTGATTCTCCGCGTTCTCCAAACTCCATATCCCAACACCAGAGCTAACAGAACTTACCAAACCTAGCTTCCCCTCGTAAGACACCATTAGACAGCGATCGTGATCAGGCATCGGAAACTCAATCGGTAAAAACTTTTCCGATCTGAGATCAAAGCTCATTACAACTTGCTTCAGAGGCCGGAAAGATAAATTAGCCCTATAGTAGATTACTCCATTAATGCATCTCCCACAATCTTTAGTAGGCCAATGCACTGGCTTGCTACTATCATTGGTTGTTGTTCTCCATGATTCTTGAGCTCCCAACGTGAGAATCCGAGAGTCCCTTCCAGTGAGAATGCACAATGCTTTGTATGTACCATCGACGGGATCATAACCAAGAAAGCCTCTCTTGTAGTTGCATTCGCTGGATTTGGCTTCTGGTAAAGTGAATAAACGTTTCAACGTCGGGTTCCAAATCACGAGCTGCGTAGGGGCTTCAAGACAAACCAAGCCGTGGACGGACTCGAAACGAGGGAGGAAACCATAGTCGGGGATTGGGAGTCGGTAGTTTCCGACGTGAGAAGAAGTGTTGTTGCGAAGCGGAGACGAGAAGACGGCGAGGATGTCGTATTTTCGGAAGGTTAAGAGAACACAGGGACGTGACGCGGAGGAGCGAGCCTTGGTGAATAGTGGAGTGGTGGTGATGTACGCCCAGAGCTTGGAGACGGAGCGGAATCTCACGACGGATTTCGTAGGAAGTCTTGAGAGTATCTTGAAGGTTACTTCGAGAGGGAACGGGACTGGTTTAGATCTGTTGTTGTCATCTGAGGTCGATTGAGATGAAGATTGTGTTGTTGTGCTCCGATTCTCTTCTTGTTCATCCATGGCCGATTTGATGAAGGAAGAGAACTGATATCGCTAGAATAATGTTGATTCGGAGAGTACCAAATCTTTCGAAAGCTCTCTTTGTGTTAATCAAAAGTGAGTATCCATTAGGAAGCATATATTGTTCCCTTCTTTATATGGCTTAGTAAACCCTAAATTGAGAACAAAGAAACGCGCGACTTGGAAATTGGAATTAAGGAATTTCAGATTAAAAAAAAGTAAAATTAACATAAAAATAACAATAAAATCCAATAAGAAAATAATAAAAAAAATGGAAAATATATATGTTACATCAGATCTCTTATAAAACGAAAAAAAAAAAAAAAATGTTTGAAACTTAAAGATTAGCGGTGTTGATGTAAGATATAAACTTTATACTTACATTTTTATCGATTTTTTCCCATGATTTCAGTTTTCTACAGAGCCAATTTTGCATGCCAAGATTTAATGTTGTCACCCACTAAAATGCAAGCATTGTGCCCTCTGTTTGACCATCAGAATACATTTTTCTATTTTAATGTGTATATTTATTTGCTACGTTTTTTATTGTTAGCTATATCAAGATGCATGCAACGACATTGAAATATAAAATGTTTTCCTTTGAACCGCCTTCATTGCTCAAATATACATGTTCACCAGCAATCTCTATGATGATTGATGCTCCCCCGAAACTAGAGAATGCTGACATCTTTAACTGAAGCAAATGATCGATAAATAATTTTGAGTTTAATATTTGAAACCACTACAATCAAGCCAAGACTCAAGAGGACTTGCAATATTTTTAATTCTTATGGATTAAATACAATATATTTCAGTAAAGACATTATCAGAACATTCAATAGTGTAACTAGTTAGTATGTTACATATGATGTTGACAATTTCTAGAATGTCCCTCAAATTGTACCGAAACAATTAGACTTTTTTCGAAGAGCTACTGCAATTCTATAATTGCGTTCGCGTTGACAAAACTTTTATCATACAATAAGACAATAATACAACTGTACAAATGGTGGTTGTTGAGGTCATCGCCTTCTAGACTTTCAACACTTCTTCTATCTATTTACTTATTTTGGGTTTCTTTCTTTCACCCTTTAAATTGTAACCTTTTCATATAGGCCCCCTACTTTTGCACGGTTACCTCTACACACCCTCAATTTTCAGTTTAAACTATCACCTTTTTTTTACCAACTCAATTTATCATGGTTTGGACAGGAAAAATACAACTCGGTTTTACCTCACATAATCTTGGATAGTCAAATTATGACAATATTGTAAAAATTGAGGATTTATTGGAAACATTAAAAGATACTGGGGCTGTTTTTATAAATTATAGAAAGATAATGGCTTTTTATGTGATTGATCATATATGTCAAAATACCAATTCCTACCATTGCTGAAAAATTCAGATACGCGTTTCCTTTTTACGCAGTGAGAGGGAGACATGATGTAATCTAATCTCACCCTTAAATTTGTCAATTTTCTTCTGTTTCTAATTCTAATCCATTTCCCAGAATCTCACGAACCCTAGAACTTCCATTCTTCAATCACATTGATATCAATTCCAACTTCTTCTTCTCCTTCTTTTCCCTCCCAATCAGGAAATATGTGTCCGTTGAGATTCCTATTGGTGTTCTTCTCGGCAATTCTCGCCGGATATTTCGCATGGAAGACGGTGAGTTCTTCGCCGGAGCTCATCTCAGACGACTCGCCGGTCGAATTGAATGACAAACAAGGACTCAATTTCAAAAAGGTAAGCAGAAATCTCCTTGGTTAATTCTGTTTTTCAAAATTCTGGGATTTCTAATTGCTCTTTATTGTTCATCTGCGATCAACAGAAGATGGAGAATGGGTTCTGGGTGTTCGTCGATATGGCAAGCGGAAAATACCTCTGGAGGAATTTCAAAGAGATGAGAGGAGAAGAGAAAAGTCAATGAAGAAGATGAATACAAAAGTTTCATCTTTTTTTGGTTCCTCTTTGTGCAGAAAGCTTATACAAGTTTCAATACTTAGACGAGTTTGTTCTAATTCTTCCCACGAAAACTTTTGTAATTTTTGATCATTTGATACTTCTGTTTGTAATCTGTAAACAAAAAAACAAAAACAAAAAGAGAGTGCAACAACATTTCACGAAATCTCTTCTCTTTTACTAATCAGTTTTCTCGACACCCAAACAGAGAGAAGGATACAGATTGAAGAGAATGTGCATCTAATTATTTACTACTACCTAACTTTGAGACTAAACCGGACGTAGAGATTGAGCTAGCTAGAGTCGACTTGAAGCTTGATCGACATGTAGAGGAGAGTGAGAAGAGCTCCATGTGGAAAAGGAGCATGTCGAGCTAAACCGGTGCAAACCCACAACGCCACCACCACTAGAACCACGAAACCGCTGCTTGCTTTCCCACAGAGCCCGCTTGCAACTGTCAAACAGAGAGTGAGAAGGATACCGCCATTCCCGCCGAGAAACCAAGCAGTCACGAAGCCGAATTTGTAACCCATGTCAAGTTCCTTGTCGAGCAAAGCCGTGAATGTGCTAACGGTGAGAGAAGCCAGGCAACTGACTGTGTAGAGAAGAAACACCGACAAGAACAAAGACCAGAAAACTTTGGCAAAGGAGTCTCTCTGTTCTTGCGTTGTTTCTTCTCCTGCTTGTGGCTCGCTGTAGAAACGAGAGTTGGGATAAGTAGAGTAGTAGTGTCCGTGGGATCTCTCGTATCTGGACTGGCGTCGTGTCTCGGACCAGCTGTGATGATACTTCACGGGATCTTCAACCTCAGAGGTGCTGTAGTAGTAATGCCTTTTCGATCTAGAGAAGCTGGAATCTTCTTCAAGTTTAAGTGCTCGATCGTACTGACTCCTTGTAGCTTCATTGGATAATACCTTTTGGGGAAATTACAGGTAAAGTGAATTAGATTCCATCGGTTCATGTTACATTGATTCCAATTGAAGGAAAAGAAGCTTTAGAAGGAATACTCACTTCGTAGGAACAACGGATGCTCTTGAATCTCTCTCCAGCTCTAGTGTCCTTATTCACATCCGGATGAAACTGGCAAGTGGCAATTAGCAACAGAGGAGAACGGTCATAAGCATATCCCAAAACAAAGTCAGCTAGATTTCGAATCATAACTCGAGAGAATTTCATAAGAACACAAGTATATCACCAGATCATAATTGAGAAAGTGTTGTATTTCCTCAGTAAAACCAGATACTAATTGCAATTTCATATCTCATATCGAACAAACATCTCGTCTCTACCACAGCAATCAATCAGACCAACGATTCAAAAGCAAGCAAAATCTCAGTGAAGCTTTCCTCAGTTACTTTCTCGGGAGATACAAAACGAAAAAGAATTTTCAGAGAATATGCGTACCTTTCGAGCGAGCAAGCGATAAGCTTTCTTAATGTCGACAGATGTGGCGTTGCGAGCGACGCCCAGAACAACGTAGTGGTCCTGCACGCCGGTGTTAGAACCCGAAGACGAAGAAGAAGACGCCGCAGATGTAACAGTCGTCTTCCGACGGCTGCGCTGGCACCGGAATCTGCCGTCGCGGTGTCTTCGAAGGTGGTGGTATAAGTCTCGGACAACCGGAATGAAAAACGGAGGGAGAAGATCGCCGGAGATGGCGGAAGAGAATCGCCGGCAATGACATCCCTTGATTCGGCTGGGTCCGAGAAGAAGGTGAGTCTGCATTATCTTCTCCACACAGGTCCTCTCAACGGGACCACTCGCGTTAAGTGGCTGTGACGGAGGAGTTTGGACCGTTAAACAAAAACTGGCGGGTCAGAGAATCTCGTTGGATATACGTTGTGGGCCTTATAGACCCATTAGGCTTAATCATTTTGTTGTCTTTATTGCTCTTGTTTTTGTATTGCTTGCAAACTATATACATTTTGTATAAATTTTTTATTTTAAATACTTTTTTTTGTTGTTTTTTTCCTCGTCTTCTTCAAATATCGTTTATTTCATAACCATAGTAAACATAAAATTTGAAATTTATCATCATTCTACTATAACATGACGTAGACTATAATGGGAGAAAATTTACAAACTTTATGCATCGAGACCTCCCTGATAAAATTCGTGTATATACATAAAGTGCCACAAGATCGGATGTAATGGTTCACTCATTCAAGATGTTACGGCTGTGATTTAAAGTCCATTGTAGTATCCTCCAAATGAGATTTGAGCTCTTGCCACCGGAAGACTTTTCATCACAGAGATTGCTTCGTTCAATTTTGTTGCATGCTTCACTACTTCGTTCATTCGCTGCAATCACAAAAATAGATTTATAAAAAAAATATTCATGATCAAATTATTAAGTATTGAAATATATATTTCAAATGTTGTTCTTGCTCTTACATACCTAGATCACCAATAAATCTATACCAATAATATCTGACTCGATCCGAATTAGTATGTGACTAGCTAATATTAATCTTCTGCACGTAGCTAGTTTGAAGTAAATGCAAGGAACAATGACTTTTTTTGTGAAACGTGTTGTTGTTCAAAGTGCGACTTTGACGCAAGAAGAGATAAACACAATGACGCACAAAGACAAGATAAGAATCTTTCCCTACATTATTGATTGCTCACTTAGACACGTAATGGGCCACACCGCCAAACGCATCCTTATCACTTTGGTCACAAACTACTTTCCTAAAACGTTCCAGTTAACCACCAAACACATAAGTTTGTCTAAGTTAAGATTTAACTTTAATAACACACAGTAGAAGAAGCATACCAACATTAATAATCATTCGCAATCAGTCTTTGATCTATCCAAATATATCAAATCCCCCATATAAAGAAATTAGGATTCATCAAATAAAATTCAGACTAAATGTGAAATTAGTGCTATCTGATTTAAAATAAAATGGCTATTTGACTTAAGAATCATCTTTTTCTTTTTAATAATAAAACTACCTTATTATCATCAGAGTAAATCTGGAACCTGAGGATCTGGTTCTTGTTCCGACAACCTTGGATGTTACTGTTGTGTCCAAGGAACAAGACACAGATGGTGGCTGCAGCAGCTGCAACACCAAATGAGCATATAGCTCCAATCCCATTAAGACCCTTCTTCCACATATTCATTTTCTCATCACCTTCATTCCAATCAACCTCTTTCTTGCTCCTCAAGTCACCATCGTCTTCAACCTCTGATCCCATGGTTTCGTCGTAGTAGTCTCCTCCTAACCCTCCTTTCGCGTCTGAGAGCTTCTCATCTTTTAGAGGTAGATGACTTGTGAACCTCGCTGGTATGTCTACTTTCATGTCGGCAAATTCGTTTTCCTTCGTTGTTTTGAAGGTTATTCTCGGCGACGGAACAGAGTCCGTCAAAAGCTCCGGGTCTAGGTCCGAGAAATCCGGATCCGGGTTCTTCTCGTTCTTGTGATATGTGTCCTCCACGGTGTATACAGGTTCCCAAGTTATGGGAACTTGGAGGAGCTGTGTCTCTGTGGGGACCACGCTCGATTTTTCCACAGAGTCTTGTGTTGGGCAGATGAAGTAATCCATGTCGAAGCTTTTTCCGGTGTTTCTGATCAACTTCATCGCTTCTTCATGATCCTCTTCGTGGTCGAGATCTAGACCCTTGTAGATGTTTTTAGGGAGTATTTCCCAATCTTCAAGATCCATTTCCTCAGAAGTTGATTGATTGATTTCTCTGTTTAGAGATTTGGACGAAAAGAGAGTATTTATAAAGTTTTGTTTTTTTCGGGGTAGTAGTGATCTTCTCAATTATTTGGGAGAGTTGGGTTTGGTAATTCTGAGGGGAGACGTCTCTCTCGCTCTCATCGTTTATGAAGTGGTTTTTAGATCCTTTTAATAGAGAGCAGAGAAGAAAGAAGGAGTGCGACCAAACCAAAAAGAAAGATTCAGACTTAGAAATGGTTACAGTTACAAAGAAAGATTCAGACTTAGACTTGGAATGATTCAAGCTTGATTGATGCAATTAGTGATAACTCACTGCTAAAATAGTGCACATATAAAATCATAAAATGTTGAATAGTGATTTAAAAAAAATGATAAAGTAGATTACAGAATATTTAATGGATGTTAAAACCAAAAATTTACGATGTACTATCTTGATCAGTCACATAATTAAGCATGATAAATTGTATTTGGTAAATTCAGAGGCTAAATCACGTTCAACCCACCAAACGCATATATATCCCCATTCTCATTTCTCACCTTCAAACTTATGATTTTGTTAATGTTTTATCTAAAGTGAAAAACACAATAACTTGCAAAGACAATAAACAATCTAATATTAATTATATATTGGTGAAACTATAGAACATAATCTAGTTTGCTTTCAAGGCGTGGGCGGTGAGGTTAGAGCATATCTACACATGAAGTGACAAAAGAATATGTTACTGTTTTTGGACCCACTTTAACAAGTATCGATTGTCTTCTTTGACAAGGTCCCTTCTTCTCTCTTTGATATTTTAGTTCCTCTTGCCATTGGTTAATACGTTAATGGATTTCGGATAATATTTGATTATAAAAACATTTAGCGATGGAGTCATGTTTCAATTTGTTAGATGATGATTATGAAGAATCTTTCGTTCTAAGTTCTACCAATGAAAGTTTGATGATAGTTTCGAGTTTTTTAAAAAGGTATATGGATTGAGACGTCTTTCTAGAGGGGTATTTACTTTTCTTATACTATAATATAACAATCACTGGTGTTGAATCTTTCTAGACAAAGAAAGATAAGTAGGAGGAAACTTCAAGCATAAACTTGGTATACCATTACCACACTACATGAACGTTTATTTTGAATATGTTTCTTAAATTCAAGTTAATTAACAAACTTTCGTAACAAACGAATCGAAAGAACAAAGTAGGAGAGGTTATGTGTTATACAAGTCACCAGTTTAAAGTCCTTTTCTATGGAGAAAAATATCAAAAAATAGTAATGGAGGTTGCTTGCTTGCAATTACTACCGTTGTTCAAGAAAAAAGCCACGAAATTTTCATTTAATAATAAGAAAGTGATTTCCGACCAAAAATAAATAAATAAGAAAGTGATTTATGAAAAAAGGAAGTCAGTTAGTATATTAAATTATTTTGTAACTCTTCGAAATATATGTAAACTCGTTACAAAAATGATAAGATACAAAGTTAATTTGGAGAAACAAAAAAACCTCTAAATCTAGAAAAACAAAACAATATTCGTAACATTTACTTTTGCGCTCACGATTCCATTTGTTTTTGCTTTCACGGTTTTACTTATCTGCTGCCTACTTTATAAATATAGGAGATTGTTTCCTTGATATTAGGCTTTAACAAGTCATTTTATATCTGGCTTAATCTTACGAAAAAGCTTAAATCTTAAACCATCCTAAATTGTAACAACTAACAAGATAGAATCAAAATGCATGTTGTTGGCAAAATAGAAGACAATCTCCTTGAAAATATCTAATTAGAGATTCAACTGTCATACACACGCAAAAACGACAGGCTATTCAACATGTGAACCAGAGTAATGGACAAGTTTCTTTCACATATACTATCCAAGTGTCGATCTCTAACACCAAACGAAGAGTGGACCCGAAACAAGAATATTCAAAGAAGGAACAAAAATATTCACAAAAGAAGCAAATCCGAGTTTTACATACAGCGACAAGAGGAACTCCAAAGTTATAGAAACATGTCTACAGAAAAGTAAAGTTATCTAACTAAGCTCATCGACAATGAAGTATCTCTGAATCAGCCTTCTTTAAGCTGATTGTGATGTAGATTTTCCTAGCGAGACCGATGCAAGAGCGTTCTTTGCCCTTTCTTGGAAGTTCCTTGTTTTGGTGAGTCTAAGTTTCATCCATAGCCTCCTCACATCGATCATGTGCAGGGCACGGCCAAACAGTTGGCTAGTCTCACCGAGTATTCCCAAGCTCAGATGCGGAGCATAAGATGCCCATAACATTCTCAAGCGCGATCCCAAGAAGGGGAAGATCAAAATTGCCAGTTTCAAAGACAGAAACATCAGTGCAAGTACCAAATATGGCTCTCTTTCCGTTATTTCTGTGATAGATGACCCGTTGCGTAGCCATGTGATCAGGTTACCATCGGTGTCCAAGCTTGTTGGCTCACCTTCATCCACGTACTGGACAGGTTTATGACCTGGAAAGCCACAGAGATACAACGAGTGGAGCTTGTTACGACAAAAGTTAAACTGATTGATTTTCCAGTCATTCATGTTTCGTCAAGAGATTTTCAGATACTCAGAAAACACGAGAAGAAAGTACAAACCGAGATTGTGAAGAATGCTCTCACCTGTTGTTTCCTCGTAAAACTGAATGAGGGATGCAAGATCCTTTTGACCATAGTATCGCAACTTCAATGTTTGATTCACAATCAGGATTGACGGCAAGCTATGGATACCATACCTAGAAAAGACACTGCAATAGTGAAAACCATGAGATCAATCTACTTGGACCACAGAAACATGTAGTAAAGCGTCAACAAACAAACATTAGCGTTCATTTTCTGTCATCTTATCGAACTATTCATCCTTTCTTGGTAAAACTAACTCAGTTAAGGTGAAAACTTTACCAACCAGTGAACTGGCAAGGTACTAAAAAATCTGACAAGGAACTTAAAGTCATTTTTTTTCCACCAAGTAAGATACCAACACCCAAATTTCTAGTTGTGGATAATTCCATAGAGATGTAAATGGAATTATATACATATTCTATAGCAGAAGTTACTTCTTACGATGGTAAAGCCTGAGATTGCTCAACGATAAGGTGCCCTATGTGAGGAAACATTGAACTCAGAACATCAAACTTTGGGTGAATTGCTCTCGAAAACGGACACCGTGAGGAATAAAACAGTATGGAGGTATAAGCATTTCCATGGTTTGCATCCATGAGTCTATCTAGCAAGTCTCCATCCACCTGCATTACCAAAAACCACAAATTAAGATACTAAGTGAGTTACAACACATCTAACCATATGGAGAAGCACAAACACACACACACACATATACTAATATTGCTATATCACATTTTCTGCAATTAAATCTGCTATAGCCTCTATCGTTCTCCATAAGTACTTGCGTAAACTTGTATGAGCCTACGCTTGCTTAATGAAAGCTACAACAAGACTGAAAATGAGAGTTGTTACCACCACAAACACCAATTCACATTAGGCAATAATCTTATAATCTGAACTGCAAGAGATGAAAGTCTAAGCAGCTTATCTACTTTACAGCTGAACACATCAAACTTTTAAGATAGAAACGCCACAAACCCGAATCTGTGATTTCCACACCATAACTTATCTAACACAAAGCACAAAACCTAATCCAATCGGAAAATCACAATCATTTCTCTAACAAATCAAGTAACTTGAGCAGAAAATGAGGCGAAACAATGATTACGCACCTCTATAGGAGGCGTCGGATACAGAGAAAGGGGACATTTTTTCTCAATTCCAAATCGGAACACATTAATTTCGTGATCGCAAACGTCAACGTCTCGCAGAGACGAGGCGGACCCAGATGGTAAACATGACCCAGCTATCGTACAGAGGAGGATCAAGGTGACCCGGAAATTCATTAAATTAAGTTGAAAGGAAGAGCAAATTAAAACCAGGAACCTTCTACGGCAAAGAGAGATCGAGATTCCAAATCCGTTTAAGCAGTTTATGAGAAAATTTCAGCAATTACACACAAATACAAGAGAATAAGGTAAGCAAATAATCATACTCAAGGATGAAATCGCATAAGATCTCGAGGCTAAAAGCACGACTCTAAGAAAATGAAAATCCTCCAACTACACAAAATTTATCTAAAAAAAAATCCGATTTAGCACGAGGACATGAAGATAAAAAACTGCAGAAAACGAAAATGATTCTCAGAAGATATCTAGAAAAAAATCTGGGGAAAAGTCTCTTCAGATCCGTGAAAATGTAAAAGTTGAAATGTCACTTGTTTTTGCAGAAACAACAGATCGAGACCGCCAAAATCGATTACGTTGACAAATCGCATTCGTCACATTCCTTTCTTTTTTAATTTCTCTCTCCCACCACTTATCCTCCCGCGATACGTGGCTGTTTTTATATTTGTTTTTTTAGCGCTTGTGTTTATATACCGAACAGACTAACGATCTGACCCAAAAGGACAAGGCCCATTAGTTAGACTTAACAGGGCCCATCAGCTATTATTCTCCAGATTTTTGACCTTTATGTATTTGACCGAGAGTAGTCAAAGAGTTTAATCTCACGCCCCTTCCTCTTGCTTCTTCCTGGTTAGATTAGATATTTAGGGCTTTGAAGCCGAACGCCTGAAGCTGAAATCGAGAAGAAGAAATGGAGATTGCGGAGAGGAGGGACGATGAGATCAGAGACGCCAGAGAATCGGCAAACATGGACAGCATCAAGTCGCAGTACGTTACCGACTCATTTGCCGACGAACGCCACTCTCGTGAGCTCAAGGCTGGTCTGCATCCTCTTCGGGTTTGTCCTCTATTCTTCGTATCGATTGATTTTCAATTTCGAGTCTGATCTTAGCTCGAACTTTGATCCCCGCGCGTCGACGATTGTTAACTTCATATATGACGGTTTAGAGCTTGGGTAGTGGAAGATTCGGATTCGAAATCTATATTTCTGGCATTTTTGTTGTGAGCTTAGCTTTCTCGACTTTGCTTGAATGTCTGTGAGCTCAAATTTTGTAGAAAATTCGGCTGTTGGTGCTGATTATAGCTCTATCTTTTGGCCTTAATTATCCATTCATTAGCGATTAGATGTTTTAGTTATGTAACTGCGAGAAAGATGAGATCATTGTATATATTGGCTGAGTGGCTCTGCGTTTTGTATGTTTTGGGAATGTGCAGTACAAGTTTGCGATTTGGTACACCCGTCGCACACCAGGGGTTCGGAGCCAGACTTCTTATGAGGATAACATAAAGAAGATTGTGGAATTCAGCACGGTAAGCTCGAAAATACCAATGGAAGTTCGTTTTTCGAAGCTCTTTGCAATCTTATTTTGTTCATTTCTGAGATCTGGCTTTGGTACCTAAGGTTGAAGGATTTTGGGCCTGCTACTGTCACCTTGCTCGTGCTTCTATCTTGCCGAGTCCAACAGATCTTCATTTCTTCAAGGATGGGATTCGTCCGTTGTGGGAGGTAGGTATTACTATGTGTGATTTTTCTCACTGTCTTTGTGTTTGTTCGTGTGTGGATTATAGATAAAGTACAGATATTTTATACAACAGAGATTACTCAAAAAGTTGCATTTCTTTTGATACACCAACTAAACTAGCTATCATCTCTTTCAGGACGGTGCCAACTGCAGTGGAGGAAAGTGGATCATACGTTTCTCAAAAGTTGTTTCCGCTCGCTTCTGGGAGGATCTGGTGAGTTTATTTTCTTGTGAACACTTCTATTGAGTCGTGACACTTCTCTACTTCATTCAAAAGGAACCATTTTGTAGATGTTATTCAAGTTGTCCATCTTCTATACTTAGATTGTTGGTTTTTGTAACTAGGAATCATATTAAACTCTTCCATTTCTTTTTTTTTTCGTCAGCTTCTTGCGTTGGTAGGTGACCAGCTTGACGATGCTGATAACATATGTGGGGCAGTACTGAGTGTCCGTTTCAATGAGGACATCATTAGTGTATGGAATCGCAATGCTTCTGATCATCAGGTGAGAATATTATTTCCAAGAAGGTCTCTCTCTCTCTCCCTCTCTCCCTTCTTCTGTTTTGCGCTTACACAGTGCAATGTTTTATGTGAACAGGCAGTGATGGGTTTGAGAGACTCAATCAAGCGACACTTGAAGCTGCCTCATGCATATGTCATGGAATACAAGCCCCACGACGCCTCTCTCCGCGACAACTCTTCCTACAGAAACACATGGCTGAGAGGATAGGTTCAATGCGGGCCGTTGTGTCACATGAACGTGGAGAAGATTCAGGACGCTCTCGGGGAGCCTGAGAATATATCTGGATTGAACAACTCTGTATTCAATAGCATACTGTACCGAAAAGTTTTACATTCTCAGAAACGAATATCCTGGCTTCTTCTGTACGTAGTCAATTGTTTTCTTGTTTCTAGCTCTTTGTTACCTTTAATGGTTTGTTTGAAACTCTCAAAGATTAATTTTCAAATAACACTTGGCTCGCAGTTCTTATACAGTAAATCAATTTACAATCTTCTCTTACTGATTTGTCTCTCATGTACATCAGATACATATGAAATAAGTGTGTGATTCTTGTCTGGATAGTCCATTGAGCTCAACAGCTATAGTTTAGCGTCCGCAGATGATTGTAGGCCGATGATACCTGATTCAACATCACAGCCCAGAGTGAGTTCATCAAAAGAAAAAAGAAGAGATAATAGAGTTGCTCTGTTTTTTTAAAATGTTAGCTTTGTAGCAATACCGCATCCAACTCTTGCGCCTGCGTTTCCTGTTGATTTGCTAAGCTTATGTCCTCCTGCACGTTAACAACGGCAAAGAGATCAACAGAGCGCAACATGAACCTAAAAACTATGGCAGATCCTCAAACAAAGTGACATTTGACCATTTGCATATTCAAAGCCATACAGAAGTTCCTACCTTTGCCAAGGTCATCAGGATCAGCATGTACAACAACCGCCCTCCCGAGTATCGAATACTGCCCACTTAGCGGTATCTGTGAAATCAAAGACAAGTCGAGACAAATGGGGAAATGTCAAACAGAAAAGGGAAACGAGAAGGAGGTCCTTTTACCTGTTTGTCTTTGAATGAGATTTCAGCAACACCTGAAACAAGTCATAAACATACTACCAGCATCATTCTTCGAAACTCGAAAGGCACAAACATGTATAGATGAGGAAACAAAGAGTGGGTGTGTACCGTCTGATCCTGCAAGAATGTTACCCAAATCGCCCGCATGACGCTCTTCCTCATTCGGTGGGCCATGAACTCGATTTAATGGATTGAAGTGAGTTCCTGAAGTTAACATTTCCGCAAGAAAATAAAGAGTAAACACCATTCAAACATCTATACATGAGATTTAATCTGTATCTGCTTCTATTATAGCTAAATCTAATTGGTTGTTTGAGTCAATTCTTTGGCAACACTACGATTCCATCCACAGAAAATTCCTCTCTTCTGATTTCAGAAATGGAACAGAAGAACCCAATTCAGTAGAAAGCAGATAAAAACTCAGTAAAACCTCAATCAAATACAAGAAACGAACAACAAAAGCATCGAATTTTCAATCTCGAATACGAAGTGTATAGTTAGAGAGAGAGAGAGGGAAAGAAAACCAACCAGTAGAGATGCAACCATTAGTGGTATCACCAAAAGAGTGAATATGAAATCCATGGAAGCCAGGAGAGAGTCCTGTGATCTTCCCTGTAACATGAGTAGCTCCTGAAATCACACAAAGACCCATCGAATGAGTAAAACGTATTTCCAAAGATTAGAACACTCAACACCGAGAAAGAGAGAGAACGATAGATCACCGGAAGCTTCTTGTATGAATTGAAGACAGCCTCGGACGTTGTTTTCTCCGGCGATAAGAGCCACCGCTCTCAGATTGCCTCTCGGAGGTTCCATCGGTTCTGTGTTTTGGGATTGATTGATGCGGTGTTGATCGGTTGAAATTGAATTGTCAACTGGTTTAGAGGGTAGGGAAGAGAAAGAAGGACCAACAACCGAATCAAACCGGAACTAAAATCCAAATCGTAATACCGAACCAGAGAGAAGAACCATTGGATTGATTTAAGTCACAATCAAACAAGACAAAATAAAGATTGGTTCCTGAGACATTAACTAGTTAGAGAGTGATCAAACTAAAATCAGTACATGAAACATTACATCATTATCATGGAGTGCGATTTTTGGAGACACTGAGAACCATCTCGGTTGGTTTGACGAGCGTGAAGGTGCAAACATCTCCGACCACTAGACCTAACTCTTTGGCCAAACGAATCCATCCAGCAGAGAATCTTGACTGTACATCAGAGACAACATACGTAGCCTCCCATGTCTTCTTCCCTTTTGAATGATGAATCTTGAACACCTTTGACTCCCTTGGCATATGCATCTCCGCAAACTTCTTAGGGACCCCCTGGTTCACAAAAAGCTAACTCAATTATTTCGTACATACATAACTCAATTTGAAAGTGTTACTGGTCTTTGTCTTGCTTCTCTTACCAAGAACAGGAGATATGATTTCTTAATGGTGAGTGTAAATTCTGGCACACGAGATGACGTGCCAGCTTTAGAGTCGTTACAAACAGTCTTCACCTTCCTCTTCTTCTTCTTCTTTGATTTATCAGTTTCCTCGGATTTCTTCTTTCCCAAGCTAAGACCTTGTCTTCTTCCTGTAGATTCAGCTGTTTTGTGGAAAGGATAGATCGATTCAGACGAAGACACTATCTCTTCCTTCTTCTCTTGTTCTCTCTTGTTCCGTCCTGATTCACAAAATAATTAACCACATGAGTAAGCATTTTTGTCCTTTTTTCCATTAGGATTATATTTGAAAAACAATCACATAGATGAAAAACTTACCGGAAGATGAAGAAGCAATGGTTGCAAATTTTATTGGTTTGAGAATCTCCTTGCAATCTATTTGGTATATGTTTACGCTGAAGCACATATTTCCCTTGTGCGTGAAGGTAATAAACTCGTTATTACCTAAAGCGTTGTCTCTCACAAACTGGTCCCATCCAAATTTCTCCATGTAGTGAAAGCTTGGGTTCTTGGAGATTTTGATTGGCCATGAGCTTCCCCATGCTACTTTCAAGACCATCTTAAACGACGTCGAGCTGTCTGGAATGCTTCTTATCAAGTGAGGAGGAATCATTCTCTTTACAAGGACAACAACAAAATCAAGAGAGACATCAACAAATGATAAAATCAAGCTAAGTCACTTAAGCACTTGCATGGTCAAAGTTTCAACCCTTTAACTGGTAAAATCGGATTAGTCTGATAATTTCACACACAAACCTGACAAGAAATCGGAAAACAAGAAAAACAAAGCAGAGCAAAACTCACTAAGAACAAACAGATCTACTTAAGCTCATGAGACCACCAAGACGCATAGTGAGAGAAAAGCTCTAAATCTACTTTAGAGACCCATTAGAACATGAAAGAAGAAGAAACTCGGTGATTAGATATGGGAAAATTAAGAGGAGTTACCACGATTTCAGATGACAAATCTTCCTTTCGAAGAATCTTGAAGAAACCAGGATTGTCACCTTCTTCTACAATCTGACCAAAACACTTGTTTTTCACCATCTCTCTCTCTCTCTCTCTCTTTCGAAATCCTTCTCTCTTCAAGATCTCACTCTTAATCCCTTCTCTCTTTTTCTCTTTCACTAACTTGCCACTCCTCTTTCTAATAATTACCTCTCACTCATCACTCGCTACTTCTCTCTCTATATCTCTTGTTATGGGTAAAAGGTTTCAAAAATCAAAGGGTTTTATTCTTCTCCATAAATTTCGACATGTGGGGTTAGATGAGAAGATTCCCATGTTTTGTCGCACTAATTAATTTCGTACCTTGATCTCGTAATAATATACAGAAATAGGAGTAAGCTAGTGACTTTGCAGACACGCAAAAAGCAGAGCAAATTTCTTATTTTAGCAACTCATCGATTCTTAAAAAAGACAGCGACGACGTTTTTACAATTCTTTTTGTTTTTGTTTGAAAACGCTTATCATTTCCAACTACTATGTAGACTTTTGGGCAATGCGTGTCTTCATAATTTATTAGGAAAAAAAAGTAATAATACTGTTGAATAATTTGAAACAAAAGTTGGGAGTTGTATGGTAAATTTATTGGTTTGCTATGTTTTCACAGCTATACTCAAATGTCACTGTAGGCTTCCACTAGTTACGACTTACGACCCCACACTCTAGGTGAGAGACACTGAAACAATTTACGAGGATGGACAGTAAGTCAGTAAATAATCGAAGAGTACAAAGTACAAACAACATAATTGAGTATGGAGAGTGGATAACATACTCAATGTTGTACTATTCAATTATGAGTGTTCTTACAACGAAAATACACTCTCAATGTGGTTGGGAAAACATCTAACTCATTCAAACTTCAAACATCTAAATTCGTCACATACAATACCTTCAAACTTAGTTTCCCTTATATATACACAACATGGAACGATTTATACAAATTAAACTCACTGGTGTATAAACAAGCTCAACAGCATCAGAAACAGCCTTCAAATCTAAACGATTACATATCAATATTGGTAGAAAACCGAATCGTACCGGATCTCGGTTAAGAGCAAAAGGCAAAAATAGAAATAGCAGTAAAAAGATATCCGGATATATATGTTCGGGAGTTTGAACCCGACGTGAATCGAACACGCAACCTTCTGATCTGGAGTCAGACGCGCTACCATTGCGCCACGGATCCGGATGTTTAATACCTTAACTTATATTTATTTATACATAATTTAGTATAATTAAATGTAGTTCCTCAACGGTTGTGGTTTTTATTTGTCAATGATCGATGCACAATGTATTGTATCATGCATGAGTCTCATGATCTTGTCTTTTGCAGTAAAAAATTGGTATTCTGTATTCACTTTCTAAACAACTCTTTCAAGAAGAAAGAGGAAAAAAGAAGCTCCTATATTTACAATCAATGTGTCTATTTCTAACTCGGAAGAACAAAATAATGGATACTCATCACTGGAGCCGAGAGGTTACGTTGATGAAGATATCTTCATGACATGGAATCGTTAATCCACCCATTGGATGATCGAACCCGAATTCTTCTTCAGATTTAGTGAGAAGAGCTTGAAAAGAAGGCTGGCTCAAGTATGAGATTGGCACCACATATCTCTTCTTCTGGCTCCCTCCTACGTACACCGCAAGAAACCCTTTTGGTGCCGCTGAGGCTGCTCTTTTGCTCGTAGCAGCTGCTGAGACCGAGAGGCCAAGAATCTTCTTTGCACCCATTAGACTTCTCATCAAAGCCATTTTTCTACTTCACTTTTTTTAGCTGAAGGTTTGAATTCTTTTGAAGCTTCTGAAGAGATGTGTGAAAAGATTCAAGTTATTGGATTGGTTGTTGTTGGTTGATGATAGAAAGAATGTAATATGTGTGTTATATATAGATCAGTGAATGAGTTAAAGCATCTCTGAAAAATCCTTGAAACTTGTGGTCTTGAATCATGGGACAGTCTAAAACAGAGTTTCACATGGTTCTGTCTATAGCATCTTGAAAAGTTTAGTTTAATGCCAAATGTTCTTGATGAGATAATTCATTGTGTGTGGGGACACAATAAACTAAAAACAAACTCCATATGGAATTCACAAGGGATTGTTTGTTCAATGTTTATTTAGAAAAGACATATGCTATTGTCAATAATAAAGACCAGCGAGTTTTTTGTTCTTCATGTTCTGTGACGATCCTATTCTCTCATCTCTGTGGTCATTAACAATGGATTTAATAAGAATTTAAAAGTGGGGACCTGAAGTTTCTCAACAACAGAACAACAAGTCTTTGTCACATGTTAAGTTGTTCTCTGATGATCTCCACAAATAGAATTAGACAAGTCATTTAAGTTTTTCATGAGAGGGGCCAGTGTTGGGTTTGTGGTGTGAAGTCCCTGTCGGAGACAAAGCTATTGAGAGAGATAAGACAGGAAGACAAAAAGACATGAGCTAAAGTTCCCCTCTTGAACCAGAGATTAAGGCAAAAGCTTTCTTCAAGTACACCGTTGCTGTGATCTTATTATAAATACCTACTAGGCTGCTTAGTGATTCCTCAACAACTATCTCTCACTAGCACAATTTCAGGAGCAGGAGAAATATTCCAGTCTTAGAGCTTTATTTCAAAGAAAACGAGTAATGGCGTTCGGATTCTTTTCAGGCAAGCACAGTACAACTCAAGAAACAGAACAAGAAAGACAAGAGACCATGTCATTGGGTTAAACATACAAAATGTGAAAGTTAAGAGATGAACAAGAAAAACAAAAGATCTCCCATTTAACACACTTTTGCAGAGTTTCAGATTGATCTTAAGCTTTAACCAAGGAAGCTTTTAACAAGCTGAGCCACAGAATTAGCCAAAGAATCAGCATCTTCTTGAGTGGAAGCTTCTGCATATACTCTCACAACATCTTCCGTACCTGACGGCCTTATGAAAGCTCTACCACGCGTGTACTTCTCGATTTCAGCATTAATACCATCTTGAATCCCCAAAGGTTTCAGAGCCTCGGTCTCTTCGCTTGTGGTCACAACCGCTGTTCTATCCGGAACTTCAACCTTAATCTGTCTGCTAGGAAGGTCCTCGTACAGCTCATTCCACTTCTCCACTGACCATCCCATATGTTGCAGAATCACTTCAACCAAAAGCAATCCACTTAGCGCATCACCAACCGCTTGGTTAATCAGATTACTCACCGCCACTAGTCTAGAAACAGCTTTATGCTCTTCAGATCCCTGAGTAAGCTCCTTTTGTTTAGCAACTAACCAAGTTATGTAAGACTCAGAGAAGAGTACAGTCCCATGGCCATTAGCTTCAAAGTAGATTCCAATATCAAACTCTGCTGCTTTCTCATGTAAATGCTTCACCCCGGTTTTCGCGAAAGCAACATCCAAACCCAACTGCTTGAGATAATCCGTGGACGCACCATTGGCGTAAGCCGTCTGCACAACACCAAGACGAGACTTCTTCCCTTCTTTGCCACCATCACCATCACCGAGAGTGTTTAGCTGCTCTTTGATGAAGAGAGCAAACAAAGATAGGATCTTGTCACCGTCAAGTAGCTCAACCTTGTTACCAGAAGACACTGAAGGAATGTAAAAGTAAACCAACCGATCCGCATCACCGTCGAAACTCGCACACCTCACCCCAACATCACTTAACCCGAACCCTAAAGGCACAACCTTTTCTTTCTGCACGAAGTCAGCTCCTACACCTTCGTTAAGTACACCTCCTTCTCTTCCTGTGTTACGAATCTCAAGATCTAGATTGCTTAAAGAGCCTCTCATCTCCTCAATCTTCTGTCCACCTACACCATTAGCACCATCTACAAGCAATTTGCTAATCTCTACCTTGTTGTTTGGGATCAGATCAATCAAACATTTGAATGAGGTGGAGAGATTCTCAAAGTAATCATTCTCCGTTGCGCCGAGACCTTTGTTCTTGGCTCGAACCATCCAATGCAACTGCGGAGTCGTCAAAATCCCCATGTCGATCGCGACAGATCCCAAAACAGAGGAAACTCCGATTTCCGCAGCTCGGAGAAGCGATTCGCCGCTAGGTCTCGTGTCTCTTCCCAGCCATACCTCTGCACCTTTCTTCTTCTTCTCCTCTCCGATTGCGATCTCTTCCTTCTCCACGAATTCTCTGATCAGCGAGACGAGTTCTCCGGGAGACGACGCGTTCGCGATCTGATCTGCGAAAGGCTCCCATTCCTGAGAGAGCATACCGCCGGATGGATCTGAGACTTTAATGCCGTTGTCGGAGACTTGGTTGTGCGACGCTGTGATCATGAGGCCGATGGTCGCTGACCCGAGCTTGAGCGATCTGAGAGCTGAGAGAATCCCAACTCTGTAGACAGTCGATTCCAGCAATTTTGCGTCGCCTCGGAACCCAGCCGTTCCGTAGGACAGCTTCAGGCCTTCCGGAATCGGAATGAGCTCCGATGAGTTGAGGAGTGAAGCGATTTGGCTCTGGTCCATGGCGCGAGCGAGCGAGCGAGAGAGCGAGAGTTGAAAAATGTAAATGGGACCAACGATGGAGGAAGATGACACTCAGATATTGGAATAAACCTAAAAAGGAAGCATTTTTATTCGACTATACTTTAGTTTATGTGAGCACCTTCGATCTCTCATATTTTCAGCTCATTGCACAACTTTTTTTATTAATATTACAAAAACAGTGAACATCATAATCTGAAAGAGATCAAGAGTTTAATTATCTTGGAACTTTGTGAAGGTTTTCATTTAATTAGTTAGGAGATTAGATCTTTTTACAGCTCGCTGAAAATGCGAGGAAAAATGTTACATCAGTTAAGAAGGAAAGCTTTATATGTACAAGATGGTGACTAACAACAAAAAATCTATAGAGTGAGATGTGTGTGTTTCATAGAGAAGAGGTGAGATGAGCAAATGTGTCTTCACTGCAGGGGATTGTTAGTCTACCCTTTGGGTGATCAAACCCAAATTCATCCTCTGCCTTTCTTAGTAGGTCTTGAAACGATGGTTGGGTCAAGAACGATATCGGAACGACATGTCTCTTCTTTTGGCTCACTCCAACGTACACTGCAAAGTATCCCTTTGGAACATCAGCAGATTTTGAGGTAGCAAAGAGCTTCGCTTGCCGGAAGATTTGCAGCACACGAGGAACTCTGAAAGCCATGGAATGGTTTGATGTGTATGTGTGATCTTTTTTCTATTTTTCTGTATGTAAAGATGATTGCAAAGAGAAAGTTATTCTTGTGTGGTTTAAGGGTTTGAGAACTTCTTTATATAGATATACCACTTGAAGGTATCTTCATTTGTCTTTTGTGGCTTAGAGAACTCAGCTAACATGCTTTGTCAAGTCTTGCCCAACATTTTGTTCTAATAAGGCCCCATCTGATGGTTACTCTGATGGTGGTGGTTCGATGAAGCTTTTGGAGAGATATCCACAAGGATGTGACAGCATGACAGATTAGTCGGAGCTTACATTTCAATCAAATTTAAGTTTTACAACATGAGATCATGTCCTTTGAACATGAATGCGTCATTCTTGTTCTCTTGGTAGGCAACTTAAGGTCCCGCCACATCATTAATAAAATTCAAACCTGTTAATGTATATTAGAGACAAGAGAATATGCAATATCTTTTTTTCTCTCTTTATTAATTATAAAAATACTGAGAAAACAAACCCTTGTGAAGTGCATTGTAATGTTGGTTAGCTTTCATTGCTTGTCATGTAAACAAAACCATGTGAAACTTTGTTCTTGTGTGTCCCACGCTTTTGTAGACCACAATTTCATTGATTCCAGGATGGTTTTAGCTCCTTCATTGATCTATTTATACATTGAGAAGCAGAACTAACTCTTCACATCACCAAGTAGTAAAGCAATCCAAAGCTTGACTTGTTATCCTCAACCCATCTTCAGTTCAGATTTTCAGAGACTATAAATGGCTTTGGTGAGAGGTCTTTTGGGTGCAAAGAAGATTCTGAGCCGTTCTGTATCAGCTACAACACCAAAAGGGTTTCTTGCGGTGTACGTTGGCGAGGACCAGGTCCAGAAAAAGAGATATATAGTTCCTGTCTCATATTTGAGCCAGCCTTCGTTTCAAGCTCTGCTCAGTAAATCCGAGGAAGAGTTTGGGTTTGATCATCCGATGGGTGGCTTAACGATCCCTTGTCCTGAAGATGCCTTCATCAACGTAACGTCTGAGCTAAAGGGAAGATGATTCGAGAAGACGAAAGATCTAACACTATTTAGCTCGACTTAGAGATAGAATTATTCAATATGTAAAATACGTCAACCTTTTTTTCCACGTTCTTTGTGAGAAAAAGAGTTGTTCAAGAGGTTACAAAACTCATGTAAATGTCAGTTTTTTGTTGTGCAAGAATCAATGGAGTCAATGCGAACAAGTCTTAGAGCTTTGTTACTTCTCTCGCTGTTACGTGTGTTTTAAGACCGATATAGTAAAACATGGTATTGACTTTTGAGGACTAATTACTAAAAGTTGATAATTCATTCCCTCCCTTAACAATTTAGATGTACTGAAGACTGGTCCTAAATTTGGTTTTTGAGTTTCAATGAGAGGCTAATGGAGAGGCTGATGTCGAATTATGAAATCTCTATTAAGGAAAAAACGAGTGACGATACATCAATTTCATGTATGTGTTGGCGCCAAATCAACGGTAATATTTATAACTAGATAACTCTTTTTTTTTTTACTATACGCAGTTTTTAAACTTTTCAAGTTATATATTATGAGGAAAAAAAATATATATATATAAATGAATATAATTGTTAAGAGGACAAAAAGGAAACAAAATCTTTCATTAAAATTTGGTGAAAAAAATGAGAGATTTAAGAAAATACGTAGGGAAAAAAATAATACTAAGTCCTGACACTAAACTAATTATATTAGATATAGATGAAACTTCAAAACTAAAGGATACTTCTGTAATTACATTACATAATTAAATATATGATTCCGAATTTTAACACTAGTTTTCATATCTAAATGATATTAATTTTAATACTCTATTTGAAAAATTCAACGTAAATACATGTTCCCTTTCATAACAGGAGTATAGTAGGCATCAAAAATCTGATTAAATAGATAAACTTTAGATAAATCATATTAAGAGATTCCCACTTAGTGTCGAGATTTCATCACTCTCTATAAATAACTTATTTTCATCTCTCTCATAAGTCATAATGAAAACCTTTTCTGAGACAACCAAAAACAAAACAAAAATTCTAAAGCGCTCCTTTTTTGTACTATGTCTATGGTTGAAGAAAACTACGATGAAGAGGAACAGGCTGGGTTTCGATTTTATCCTTCAGACGAAGAACTCATCATCCGTTATCTCCGCCTAAAGGTTGCCAGTCAACCAAATCCTGACTTTGAGTTAGATGAGAAGGACGACATCTACAAGAAAGAGCCGTGGCGTCTTAAGCACACAGAGACCGACTTTTTCGAACCTCACCAGTGGTTCTACTTCGTGAACAAGACTCAGCTCTTTGATAAAGTCACCCGGAAACGGACAAAACGCCAAGTGGAAGGAGAGACGTGCCAAGGAAGTTAAGTTGGTTTGGTGATTGGGAAGAAGAGAAGTCTCAGTTTCTACGTCAAAGGTGAGAATATATCGAGTGGTTGGACCATGATCGAGTACTCTCTCGTCGGTGGTGACTCCTCTCAAAACCAAGTTCTCTGCCACCTCAAAGCACCGTGATTCTCTTTTGGTCAATCTCGATGATGATGAATAATCTTTCTGACGAAGACTTCTATTTTTTTTCATCTAGTTTCTGCTTATTTGTTTTATTCTGTTTCGATTGAACATTTGTTTGTATACTTTTTGATTTATTGATAAAGTTTTAAGTTGTTTTAAGGAGAATCTCAGATGTTTACTTGTTTGACAGATAGATCATGAGGAGTTTTTGTAAATTTTCACCAGCTGATTTCCATAAACAAAAGTAATATTTCCTCTCACTCGGATGTGCCCTAGGGAAAAGAAAAAATAAATTCTCTTTTTCTGATATGTAAACATTATTTTTCTTATTGTTGGAACCTAGCTAGTCTGAATTTTATAGATTGGGCCCGTTTATATCTTGATTGATCTCTTGGCACCTCTGCCCTTTTTTGGGTGAAATTTACGGAATAAAACGAGTAAAAAGAGATAGAGGAAGAAAGAAGCTTATGATCGTGTCTGTTGTGAAATTTACGGAATAAAGTGAAATATACGATCGACAATGCATGTATTGTCATGAATCTCATGATCGTGTCTGTTGCATTAAAAAATTGTATTCACTTTCTAAACAACTCTTTCAAGAAGAAAGAGGTAGAAAGAAGCTCCTATATTTACAATGAATAAAGTCTATTTCTAACTCGGAAGAACAAAATAATGGATAATCATCATCATTGGAGCCGAGACGTTACGTTGATGAAGATATCTTCATGACAAGGAATCGTTAAGCCACCCATCGGATGATCGAACCCAAACTCTTCCTCGGATTTAGTGAGAAGAGCTTGAAAAGAAGGCTGGCTCAAGTATGAGATTGGCACCAAATATCTCTTCTTCTGGCTCTCTCCTACGTACACTGCAAGAAACCCTTTAGGTGCCGTTGAGGCTGCTCTTTTGCTCGTAGAATAGCCAAGAATTTTCTTTGCACCCAATATATTCTCACCAAAGCCATTTCTACTTTCTTTCTTTTTTTTTAATCTGAAGATTGAATTCTTTTGAAACTTGTGAAGATTCAAGCTAGAGGATTGGTTGTTGTTGGTTGATGATAGAAAGAAAGTATTATGTGTGTTATATATAGATGAATGAGTTGAAATCTCTATGAAAAAAATCTTTGAAACTTGTGGTCTTGAAGCGTTGGACAGACTAGAAAAGAGTATCACATGGTTCTGTCTTTAGCATCCAGAAAAGATGAATTAATGCAATTTGTTTACTTGGATAATCTCCATTAATGCAATTTGTCTACTTGGATAATCTCCATATGAAATTCACAAGGGCTTGTTTTCTCAATGTTTCTGTGAGTTTATGATGATTAAGTGGTTGGTTCTTTGTCCTGTCCTCTTGTATATATGGTCGAAATGGATTCAATAAGAGCTTAAAGTGGGGACATGTTGTTTTTCAACAACATTACAATCTGTCACTGGTCAATTTGTTCTTTGATCACACATGACAATTCTAAGTAAAAAATAATGTACAAGTGTCTCTCACTTCAGTATTTCAGGAGAAAGATAAATGTGTCGGTCGCTGAGCTTGATAGATAGAGGAAAAACAGAGTAAAAAGGATAATATAAATTATGGTTATGCATGTCACACACATTGATATTATTTCTCTCACTGTTACGTGAGCTATAAGACTGATATATAGTAAAACATGTTTTAAGGACTAGTTATTGAAAGTTGAGGATCCATTCCCTCCCTTGAAAATGTTGACTGAGGAAACTTTAGCTTTACAGTTCCAGTGAGAAGACTAATGGAGAATCTGTTGTAGGATTATGATACAGAGATTAAAAAAAGGTGATGGTACGTCAATTCTTGTATATGTTGCCGCCAATATAAAGGTGACATCTAACAAGATAAATTTTTGGCTATGCTCAATATTTATACTTTATAGCTATATGTGAAAAGAAGTTATATAAATGAGGATAAAAGTTCAAGAAAGAGGCAGAGCAATCGGTAAAGGAGCGAAACAGAGCAAATATCAAAGAAACAGAACTAGAAAGACAAGACAACTTTACTCGGTTATTGTACTAAGACTTTTCTAGCAGATTGAACTTTACTGCTAAACAGGATAAGTAATATATAAAAACTCTTAAACTGAAAGCTAATAACCTAAAGGAAGAACTTTGGCGGGTTGGTGAAAAGAAATGAGGAATATTAATGCGATCCAACATTAAAGTATAATTAAACTTTTCATCTCTTTGCTTTGCTCAGTTTAACTTAATTTCATATATTTCTTTGATAGATGAAAAACTTCAATGGATGAGAACCTGGTTAATGAACAACAACTTATAAAAACTTTCGTTTAGTTTTTTTCAATGATCGATCCAAAATGTATTGACATGATCGTGTCTGTTGCAAAGGTATTTACTCTCTACGTAACTCTTTCAAGAAGAAAGAGAAAAAAAATCCTTAATTTACAAGGAACAGGTCTATCTCTAACTCTAAGAACAATATGTTGGATAATCATCATTGGAGCCGAGACGTCACATCGATGAAGGTATCTTCAGGGCAAGGGATCGTTAAGGCACCCATTGGATGATCGAACCCAAACTCTTCTTCGGATTTGCTGAGAAGAGCTTGAAAAGAAGGCTGGCTCAAGTATGAGATCGGCACCACATATCTCTTGTTCTGGCTCTCTCCAACGTACACCGCAAGAAACCCTTTTGGCACCGCGGAGGTTGACCTTTTTCTTGCTGCGGCTGCTGCTGTTACGGAGCGGCCAAGAATGTTTTTGGCACCCAATAGATTTCTCACGAAAGCCATTTCTATTTCTTTTGTCTGAAAGTTTGAATTCTTTTGAAGCTTCTAAGGAGATGTATGAAAACTGAAAAGATTCAAGTTAGAGGATTGGTTGTTGTTGGTTGATGATAGAAATGATGTAATATGTGTGTTATATATAGATCAGTGAATGAGTTAAAGCCTCTATGAAAAATCTTTGAAATCTGTGGTCTTGAATCGTGGGACAGACTAGAACAGAGTTTCACATGGTTCTGTCTTTAGCATCCAGAAAAGTTTAGTTTAATTGAAGTTGTCTTTATGAGATAATTCATCGAGTGTGGGACACAATAAACCAAAAAAAAACTTCATATGCAATTCACAAGGGCTTGTTTCTAATTTTTCTTTTAGCATAAGACATGTGCTATTGTCAATAATGAAGACCAGCAAGTTTCTCTGTTCTTAATGTTCTGTGGTGATCCTTTTCCCTCATCTCTGTGGTCTATAATAATGGATTTAATTGGAATTTCAAGGTGGGGACCTGAAGTTTCTCAACAACAGAACAATGAGTCTCTGTCACAGGTTAAGTTGTTCTCTGATGACATCCACAAATAGGATCGCACATGACAGTTGCAAGTAAGAGATTGAACATCTCATTTATTCTCTTCATTTATCATACAGACATGGCGAGAACAAACAGATAATGCTCGTTGGTAGCTTTCGTTTTTTGTCATCATATCATATCAAGAAGACAGAACCATGTGAAACTGTGTTTGAGTATGCCCCCTACTTTCAATGGCTCCAAAGGGTGGTTCTAAGTCCTTCATTAATCTATATATACACATCCAGAGACAACACCAACTCTTCAAATCACCAAGTAGTAAAGCAATCAAAACCTTGAATCTTCTTCTTCACAAGCTTCAGATTTAGATTCTCCAGACAAAAGAAATGGCTTTGTTCAGAGGTCTCTTGGGTGCAAAGAAGATTATCAGCCTTTCCGTAGCGGCTACAAGCAAAAGGACAGTTTCACCACCAAAGGGGTTTCTTGCAGTGTACGTTGGCGAAGACCAGGTCCAGAAGAAGAGATATTTGGTGCCAATCTCATACTTAAGCCAGCCTTCTTTTCAAGCTCTTCTCAGCAAATCCGAGGAAGAATTCGGGTTTGATCATCCGATGGGTGGATTAACCATTCCTTGTCCTGAAGATACCTTCATCAATGTGACTTCCCGGCTTCAATGATGCTGTTCCAAAAGAAGAAGAAAACTAACATTAGTTATAGCCAGAGTTAGAGATAGAATTCTTCAATGCATATATGTTAACTTTTTTCCTCTTTCTTTGTGAAAGAGAGTTGTTAAAGAGGTTACAAAAATCAAATGTGAAAATGCCCATTTCTATGAGTAAGAACAATGGTTTCAATTATACAAATTGCAGCAAGTAATTGTGCAACAAACTCTCTGTAGAAGTAAAAGCCTGAAAGGGAAAAAAACGTGTGTATCTATTTGCAATTATTTTCATGAAACTAAAAACGACCCCATCCAATAAAATTTAAAGCAAGATTTGAAAGAGATTCAGGAGGAGTAAAGGATACACTAAGAAGCAAGCAACTGAAGAACATCAGATACATAGGAGAACTCTAGGAAGTGTGAAGAAACTGAATGAGAAGTGGCTCACAAAATGCTAGAAACAGAGCATACTTGTGCAATAGTCTATCTGCAGTACTACTTTGTAATTGCATTTGATCGGATCACATCTTAAAACCCTTATTCCGCTGTTTGCAGGTTCAGGTAAAGTTAAGAACCGTCTCATGCTAGCAATATTAGATTTTTTTTTGTTGCCAATAAAAAAAATATTTCCGGATATATATGTTCGGGATTTTGAACCCGCAACCTTCTGATCTGGAGTCAGACGCGCTACCATTGCGCCACGGATCCGGATGCTATTTACTCTAACTTGTGTTTATCTAACCAGGATTTAGTATAATTAAAATAGTTAACTTATCGAACACGCACCACATAACATAGTATAATTTTTTTTGCAGCCAATAGACTTCACTTTTTTTTGTTCTTATAGCTCAAGCCTCAAAGTCCAAATTATTTTGAAGCTTTTGAAGAATTGTGTGGACAGATTCAAGTTATTGGATTGGTTGTTGTTGGTTGACGATAGAAAGAATGGATCATGTGTATTATATATAGCTCAATGACTTCAGGACAATAGACATCCCAATATTTACAATGAATAAGTCTATTTCTAACTAGGAAAAAAAAATGTTGGATAATCATCATTGGAGCCGAGAAGTCACATTGATGAAAGTATCTTCAGGACAAGGGATTGTTAAGCCACCCATTGGATGATCGAACCCAAACTCTTCCTCGGATTTACTGAGAAGAGCTTGAAAAGAAGGCTGGCTCAAGTATGAGACTGGCACCAAATATCTCTTCTTCTGGCTCTCTCCTACGTACACCGCAAGAAACCCTTTTGGCGCCGCCGTGGCTGCCCTTTTGCTTGTTTCGGATGCCGCTGTTACTGACCGACCGATAATCTTTTTTGCAGCCAATAGACTTCTCACAAAAGCCATTTCTAATATTTTTTTTGTAGATGAAGGATTGAATTCTTTTGAAGCTACTGAAGAGATGTCAGGAAAGATTCAAGTTGTTGGATTGCTTGTTGTTGGTTGATGATAGAAAGAATGGTCATGTGTATTATATATAAGATCAATCACTTGGTTGAAACCTCTATGAAAAATTCTTTGAAACTTGTGGTCTTGAAGCGTGGGACAGACTAGAAAAGAGTTCCACATGGTTTTGTCTGAAGCAATGTGGAAGAGATGAATTAATGCAGTTGTCTTGATAAATAAAAAATGTGACAAGAAACTAAAAAAAAAACCTCCATATGCAATCACAAGGGCTTGCTTTCTCAATGTTTTTTCCAGATAGGACAGTTGTTGTTGTATATAACTAAGACTAGCAAGCTTCTCTCCTCCATGTTCTGTGGTTAGTTCTTTGTCATATTTTCTCATCTCTGTGGTCGATAATAAGGGATTTAATAAGAATTTAAAAGTGGGGACCTGAAGTTTCTCAACAACAGAACAGAGAGTCTCTGTCACTTTTTAAGTTGTTCTTTGATGATATCATATCCACAAATTAGATCACACATGACAGTTTAAGAGAAGATTATTCTCAGAAACATTGTGAAAACAGACCTTGTGCACTGCGTATGGAGATTATCCAAGTAGACAAACTCCATTAATGCATATTTTCCAAATGATGTAGACAAAATCATGTGATACTGTGTTTTTAGCCTGTCCCACTCTTCAAGACCACAAGTTTCAAAGATTTGTCCATAGAGGTTTCAACATCTTTCTATATATACACACACAACCTATTCTTGCTATCATCAACCAAAAGCAAGCAACACATCCAATAACTTGAATCTTTTCATTCATCCTCAGAAGCTTCAAAAGAAATCAAACTTTCAGAAAACAAGAGCAGGAAATGGCTTTAGTAAGAAGTCTTTTGGGTGCAAAGAAAATTCTTGGCCTCTCCGTCGCAACAGCTTCAACGAGCAAAAGAGCAGCCTCTGCGGCGCCAAAAGGATTTCTTGCGGTATACGTAGGGGAGAGCAAGAAGAAGAGATATGTGGTGCCAATTTCATACTTGAGCCAGCCTTCGTTTCAGGCTCTTCTCAGTAAATCGGAGGAAGAGTTTGGTTTCGATCATCCGATGGGTGGATTAACGATTCCTTGTCCTGAAGATACCTTCATCAACGTAACATCTCGGCTCCAAAGATGATTATCTCAGTATTTTGTTTTTCCTAGTTAGAAATAGACACATTGATTGTAACTATAGGAGCTTCTTTCTTCCTCTTTCTTCTTGAAAGAGTTGTCTAGAAAGTGAATACAATTTTTTAATGCAACAGACACGATCATGAGATTCATGACAATACATTGTGCATCGATCATTGACAAATAAAAACCACAACCGTTGAGGAACTACATTTAATTATACTAAATCATGGGTAAATAAAGATAATGTAGAGTAATAAGCATCCGGATCCGTGGCGCAATGGTAGCGCGTCTGACTCCAGATCAGAAGGTTGCGTGTTCGATTCACGTCGGGTTCAAATTCCCGAACATTTATTCGGATATCTCTTTTTATTGGAAAAGTAAAAACTAATTTTGAGGCTTTATTATGTTTTTTTGAAATTTTGTTAAGCATTATCTCTAGCAATAGACGATTCTTAACTTGGCCTGAAAACAGCGGAATAGGGTTTTTAGGATATTATCCGATCAAATGCAATTACAAAGTACTGTCGACTATTGCACAAGTGTGCTCTGTTTCTAGCATTTTTCTTGTGAGCCACTTCTCACTCACTTTCTTCACACTCAACTTCCTTATATATGATGTTAGTGTATCCTTACTCCTCCTAAATCTTGTTTCATTTCTTTAAAATCTTGTTTATCTCTTTAAAATCTCGTTTTCTTATTTTACTTTTTATTGGATGTGGTGGTATTTCATGAAAATAATTGCAAATAGAGAGATACACCTGTTTTTTTTTTTTTTCCTTTCAGACTTTCACTTCTACAGAGTTTGTTGCACAATAGTTCTCAGAAAAACTTGCTGCAATTTGTATAACTGAAACCATTGTTCTTACACATAAAATGGGCATTTTCACATTTTGAGTTTTGTAACCTCTCTTTCACAAAGAAAGAGGAAAAAAGTTGACATATATGCATTAAAGAATTCTTCTCTATCTCTGGCTAACTAATGTTAGTTTCTTCTCTTCTTTTGGAACATCATCATTGAAGCCGGGAAGTCACATTGATGAAGGTATCTTCAGGACAAGGAATCGTTAATCCACCCATCGGATGATCAAACCCGAATTCTTCCTCGGATTTACTGAGAAGAGCTTGAAAAGAAGGCTGACTCAAGTATGAGATTGGCACCAAATATCTCTTCTTTTGGATCTCGCCAACGTACACCGCAAGAAACCCCTTTGGTGCTGAAACTGTTCTTTTGCTTGTAGCCGCTACTGAGAGGTTGATAATCTTCTTTGCACCCAAGAGACTTCTGAACAAGGCCATTTCTTTTGTCTGGAAAATCTAATTTGAAGCTTCTGAAGAAAAGTTAGATGCTCAGATTCAAGGTTTTGATTGCTTTACTACTTGGTGATTTGAAGAGTTGGCTTGCCTCTTGATGAATATATATAGATTGATGAAGGACTTAAAACCACCCCTTGGAACCATTGAAAGTAGGGGGCATACCTAAACAAAGTTTCTGAAGAAAAGTTAGATGCTCAGATTCTGTCTTCTTGATTTGATAGATGACAAGAAACGAAAGCTACCAACGAGCATTATCTGTTTGTCTTTTCCATGTCTGTCTGACTAATAACTGAATTAAAAGAAATGAGATATTCAATCTCTTACTTGCAATTGTCATGTACGATCCAATTTGTGGGCATAATCAAAGAACAATTTAACCTGTGACAGAGACGTTGTTCTGTTGTTGAGAAACTTCAGGTCCCCACTTTCAAGTTCTTATTAAATCCATTATTATTGACCACAGAGATGAGGGAATATGATCATCAGTTCATCACAGAACATGAAGAACAGAGAAAAATGTTGGTCTTTATTATTGACAATAGCACATGTCTTATGCAAAAAAAGTTTGGCTTGAGTTTATTGTGTCCTACACGCAATGAATTATCTCATCAAGAAAAGTTGCATTAAACTCAACTTTTCCAAATGCTAAAGACAGAACCATGTGAAACTCTGTTCAAGACTGCCCCACACTTCAAGACCACTAGTTTCAAGGATTTTCCAGAGAAGTTTCAACACATACAATGATCTTTCTATATATACACGTAACATAACCCATTCTTTTCATCATCAATCAACAAACAATCAAGATATCCAATAACTTGAATCTTTTCATACATCTTCTCAGAAGCTTCAAAAGAATTCCAACTTTCAGACAAGAGAAACAGAAATGGCTTTCGTGAGAAATCTATTGGGTGCAAAGAAAAGGACCTCCGCGGTGCCAAAAGGGTTTCTTGCGGTGTACGTTGGAGAGAGCCAGAACAAGAGATATGTGGTGCCAATCTCATACTTGAGCCAGCCTTCTTTTCAAGCTCTTCTCAGCAAATCCGAAGAAGAGTTTGGGTTCGATCATCCGATGGGTGGATTAACGATTCCTTGTCCTGAAGATACCTTCATCAATGTAACTTCCCGGCTTCAGTGATAATTATTCAACATATTGTTCTTCGAGTTAGAGATAGACTTTTTCTTGTAAATATAGGACCATTTTTTCTTTCTTTCTTCTTGAAAGAGTTATTTAGAGAGTGAATACCACATTTTATGCAACAGATACGATCATGTCAATACATTTTGGATCGATCATTGAAAAAAAAAAACAAATGAGACTTTTTATTTGTTGTTGTTCTTTAACCAAATTCTGATCCATTAAAGTATTTTTCATCTATCAAAGAAACAGACGAAATTAAGTTAAACTGAGCAAAGCAAAGAGATGAAAATTTTAACTTTACTTTAATGTTGGATCGCATCAATATTCCTCATTTCTTTTCAGTTAAAGAGTTTTATATATTGCTTATCCTGTTTAACAGTAAAGTTAAATCTGCTAGAAAAGTCTTAGTACACGAACTAAAGAAAGATTTAATAAAAATTCCAATCTCTGCCTTTCTCATATCTTAAAATCTTATGTACAAGTACAACCCAATTGCAATGTTGTCTTGTCTTTCTTATTATGTTTCTGGTTATTTGCTTTGTTTCGCTCCTTTACCGTTTGCTCTGCCTCTTTCTTGAACTTTTTATTCTCATTTATATAACCTATTCTCATATTTGATAAAATATAAACATCGAGCATAGCCAAAAGGTTATCTAGTTAATAATGTCAGCGTTAAATTGGCTTTCAACAAATACAGGAATTGACGTACTGACACCCCTTTTTTTCTCTGTTTCATAATCCTACAGCAGATTCTCCATTAGTCTTCTCATTGGAACTGTAAAGCTGAGGTTTCTTCGGTCAACATTTGCAAGGGAGGGAATGGATCCTCAACTTTCAATGATTAGTCCTTAAAACATGCTTTACTATACATCAGTCTTGTAACTCACGTAACAGTGAGAGAGATAATATCAATGTGACATGCATCAATAATTTATTGTATCCTTCTTACTCTGTTTTTCCTTTATCTAGCAAAGCTCAACGACCCATATATATATATATATATATATATATATATATATATATATCTTTCTCATGTAATACTGAAGAGAGAGACACTTGTATATATTTTTATACTTAGAATTGTCATGTGTGATCAAAGAACAAATTGACCAGTGACAGAATTATACTTGTTGTAATGTTGGTGAAAAACAACATGTCCCCACTTAAAGTTCTTATTGAATCCATTTCGACCATATATACAAGAGAATAGGACAAAGAACCAACCACTTAATCATCATTGACTCACAGAAACATTGAGAAAACAAGCCCTTGTGAATTTCATATGGAGATTATCCAAGTAGACAAGTTGCATTAATGGAGATTATCCAAGTAAAACAATTGCATTAATTCATCTTTTCTGGATGCTAAAGACAGAACCATGTGATACTCTTTTCTAGTCTGTCCCACGATTCAAGGCCACAAGTTTCAAAGATTTTTCTCATAGAGGTTTCAACTCATTCATCTATATATAACACACATTGGCCATTATTTCTATCATCAACCAACAACAACAAATACTCTAACTTGAATCTTCAAAAGCTTCAAAAGAACTCAATCTTCAGATTAAAAAAAAAGAAAGAAAGTAGAAATGGCTTTGGTGAGAAATATATTGGGTGCGAAGAAAATTCTTGGCTATTCTACGAGCAAAAGAGCAGCCTCAACGACACCAAAAGGGTTTCTTGCGGTGTACGTAGGAGAGAGCCAGAAGACGAGATATTTGGTGCCAATCTCATACTTGAGCCAGCCTTCTTTCCAAGCTCTTCTCAGCAAATCCGAAGAAGAGTTTGGTTTCAATCATCCGATGGGTGGATTAACGATTCCTTGTCATGAAGATATCTTCATCAACGTAACGTCTCGGCTCCAATGATGATGATTATCCATTATTTTGTTCTTCAGAGTTAGAAATAGACTTTATTCATTGTAAACATAGGAGCTTCTTTCTTCATGAAAGAGTTGTTTAGAAAGTGAATACAATTTTTTTAATGCAACAGACACGATTATGACAATTCATCTTGGATCAGTTGAGGAACTACATTTAATTATATTAAAGCATGGGTTAATAAACATAAGTTAACGTATTTAACATCCGGATCCGTGGCGCAATGGTAGCGCGTCTGACTCCAGATCAGAAGGTTGCGTGTTCGATTCACGTCGGGTTCAAACTCCCGAACATATATATATCCGGATATCTTTTTACTGCTATTTCCGGACTACAATTCCCAATTTTGCTGTTGCGCCCGGTTCCGGATTCTTATTTCTCTAATCGAGAATTTCATATCCGGTACGATTCGGTTTTCTTTTGGTACAAAGCTACAAACAACTAGACTAAGACACCTATCTCACGTTAATTTTTTTTAGTAATAAAGGCTGTGAACATTTATAATTTAGCTGTAAATGTTTATGTTAAAAAGTGTTTATGTTAAACCTTTTAAAATTAATGAATAATTTAGCTGTAAATGTTTGTCAATACATCATAGTAATACAAAAAGAGTATAAGTAATGGAATGTATTAATATTAAAGAGAGAGAGAGAGTACAAGTCACTGTCTTTTTAAGAATTGAGTTACTAAAACAAGAAATTTGCTCTGCTTTTTGCGTGTCTGCGAAGTCTCAAACCTCACTCCTGTTTCTGTATATCATTACGAAAATGACTAGATTGATGACTCATGGGAATCTTTTCTCATCTAACAACAAGTGAAATTTATGTCGAATTAAATGGAGATAGAGAAAAAACACTATGAACTCTGAGAGCTACATTTTGCTGTTTTTATAAAAAAAAAGGTCATAGAGAGAGAGAGACAGAGGTAGCGAGAGAGTGAGAGAGAAATAGAAAGAGAAGGAGATATCAAGAGTGAGAGTTTGAAGAAAGAAGGATTCAAAGGAGAGAAAGAGAAAGAGAGAGATGGTGAAAAACAAGTGTTTTGGTCAGTTTATAGAAGAAGGTGACAATGCCAGTTTCTTCAAGATTCTTAGAAAAGATGATTTATCATCTGAAATTGTGGTAACTCTCTTAATTTTCCCATACCTAATCACCGACTTTCTTGTAATATTTTTTTTGTTTGAAAGATCGAATCTTATTGTTCTTTCATGTTCTAATATTGGGTCTTTAAAGTAGATTTACTGCTCTTCTCTTCACTATGTGTCTTGTCATCTCATGAGCTTAAGTAGATCTGTTTGTTCTTAGTGAGGTCTCACTCTCACAAGTGCTTAATATATTTCAGTCTGAAATTGAAGAATGTGACTTCATTTTGTCATTTCTTGATGACCCTTTTGTTCACATCTCTTGATTTACAGAGAATGATTCCTCATGACCTCGTAAGAAGCATCCCCGAAAACTCGTCGTCGTTTAAGATGGTCTTGAAAGTGCCATGGGGAAGCTCATGGCCAGTCAAAATCTCCAAGAACCCAAGCTTTCACTACATGGAAGATCGTGGATGGGACCAGTTTGTGAAGGACAACGCTTTAGGTGAAAACGAGCATCTTACCTTCACTCACGAGGCAAATATGTCCTTTAACGTTAACATCTACGAGTCAGGTGGTACCGAGATCCTTAGACCAAGAATATCTGCAAACATTGCTTCTAGCTCCGGTAAGTGATTGTTTATGGAGAAGAAGAAGACAGTTTCTACTTTTGTTTTGTTGATTTTGGATGAAAAACAGGTCTGAGGAAGAGAGAAGCAAGGAAGAACATCAACAAAGATGTGAAGGAGGAGGAGATAGAGTCTTCGTCTGAATCGAGCTATCCTGGTCTCAAGACAGGAGGAAGATTAAAAAAGAAGAAAGCCGAGGAAACCGAAAAGTCCAAGAAGAACATGAAGAAGAAGAAGGTGGATACTGGCACTTCATCTCTTGTTCCAGAATTCAATCTCACCATAAAAAGATCACACCTTATGTTCTTGGTAAGACAAGCAAGATAAGAGACTAGCAGCATTGTCAAATTGGTTATATGAATATGAATTTAATACAGTGATAACATTTTGTGATTTAGTCGATCCCAACAAAGTTTTTGGGTTACATGCCAAAGAAGACTAAGACGTTCAAGATTCATTACTTGGAAGGGGAGGAACCATGGGAGGTTCTGTATTTGGTCACTGATGTGCAATCCAGATTCTCTGCTGGATGGTCTCGTTTTGCCAAAGAGATAGGCTTAGAGGTTGGAGATGTCTGCAATTTCAAGCTCATTAAACCGAAGGAAATGCTTCTCGAAATCTCCAGAGAAGAGACTCCATGATGATGGTGATGATGCATGTTGAGGTTTAGTTGGAGAGTTAGTGAAGAACTTGTGTTTGGAGCAACATTATGGTTTGTTGGTTTATGTTATTGTAAGGACTAGTTACTATTGAAGTGTGTGATTCGCCTTGAAATGCAAAACAGCTTTATTTGTTTTATTATAAATGATCATTATAATGTGTACACGGAGAATGAGTCTTGACTGAGAAAGAAAACTATAAGTTACAAATGATTCCAGCAACTTCCTCAGGCAAATTGCCTTTTATCTTCTTCATCTACAATCATAGAGCAGAGATCTTGTATACAATACTGAGAAGAAAAAACATACATAAGCCTCTCTCTGACCAGTGATCACTGAGTTTTCTGAGCTAAGTTAGAGGAGTGAATCCATGAATCAAGCGTCTTCATAGCTTTCCCAGAAGACTGCACTTCACGAGCTAAGGTTACTCCTTCAGCTAGAGTTTTAACTCGGTTGCTAACTAGAAGAGCTGCAGCTGCATTTAGGATCTGAAACAAGATAAAGATTAGCAAATTGCCGTAGTTCACCATAAAGTGGGAAAGGTTTCAGAGAGAAAGAAAATGTTGAATCAGCGAAACAAAACAAACCAGTGAATCTGCTATTGGCCCAGTCTCTCCTGAGAGCACACGTCTTAGAACATCCGCATTGTAGTCTGGACCTCCACCCCGCAAATCCTCAAGGGTACAACGAGGAATGCCAAAGTCCACTGTGAAAGAGAAATCACGCTTTAATATAACTAATATATAGCTCAAGGATACAATGGAACAGATCAAGAGAGTTGAGAGAGAAAGTTTACATGGGTCGAATGCGAATTCTTCAATCTTTTCCGGAGTTAAATCATAAACTAGCCCTCCTCCTGTTTTTCATCAAGCCTATGATGGTTACTAATTGTTGGATACTAAAAGTCATTGATTTTGGGAAGAGAGAAATCTTGCCTAGAGGACTCATTTCGTCTAGGCCACATGAATGAACCACCAATGCTCTTTTCATACCAAACCGTTGCAGCGCCTTTGCCATCTTAAGAACCTATCAAAAAAACATACAAGCAACAGTAAGTAAATGTCTCTTCTTTCTTCTTTTTTGTTGATGAGCAAACTAATTACAGCTGTAAGTAAATGTACCAGATCTTTGTGGTATACACCAACGACAGCATAAGACACGCTGGCAGGGTTAAGCATAGGTCCCAATACGTTGAAAACAGTTTTTATCTTAAGCTTTTTGCGGACGGGACCAACGATCTTCATAGCTGGATGATACATTGGTGCCATCATAAAACCGATCCCTGATTCTTCAACACATCTCTTAATCCCCTCTGGTCCCAAGTCAATCACCACTCCTAGTGCCTCCAATACATCAGCGCTTCCACAAGCAGACGAACTCGATCGATTCCCTTGCTGCAGCAATATATATCCACAGTTAAGAAAAGAAGGATGTGATCATTTATATTCTAGCATTTTTTTAAATTACCTTTGCTACTTTTGCACCACAAGCTGCAGCGAGTATTGAAGATCCAGTTGATATATTGACAGTGTTTGCTCCATCACCACCTGTTCCAACTATGTCCACGGCATCGACTAGTCCTTCCACATTCCTGGCATGCTTCATCATTGCCCTAGCCAACCCCACAATCTATGGAAACACGAGATAATAGAAAGGTAAAATGTCTACTCAGTGAAGTGCTTGTGATATAGGATTATGACTCAGTTGATACTTACTTCTTCGTATGTCTCTCCTTTAGCTCTCAGCAGAACCAGAAAGGCGCTAATGAGCGCCTCGTTTGCCTCGTTCAGTAAAAACTCTAGAGATGACTCAGCCTCAGATTCAGATAGATCAACTCGATCAATCAAAGTTTCAATCAGCTGAAAAGAAAAGTAAAAGAAACAGAGCAAACACATTATGATTACTATCTAAATCTCTGTCTTCAAAGCCCCTGGGATAAAATCACAAACTTCAATCGAAAATCGAAATGAAAAATTCACCTGGTTGAAAGATTTGATGGTAGAAGGATTGGCATTTTCACAAACATTTGGCAGAGCTTCAGGTGCACTGAAACCACTGATCCCACCGCTCAAAACGAGATTCCGAGGATAAGCGAATGAGCTGCAGCAATACAAGAGCACGATCAGATTCTTAAATTCACATCAATGAATTGACCACATGCAATTTCAGGGGATGTGTATTACTCTAAGCAGACACTTAAAACCCAAATTCGGTGCTTACATTCGACTGGAAGACGAAAAGCTACATTGGGTAGCCCCGAGAATTGGAGAAACAGCTCCAATCGAGGAGAATCGTCGCCGACTCAATGCCGGATAAAATTGAACTCCGCTCATGTTGATTCTTCCGCAACTCGAGCCATCATCTGCGGCGTTGAACGAAGTTACGATCCCCGAAAGCTTGATGCCGGAAACAATGGAGGTCGCCGTCGCCATAATTATCGCTCGATTGCCTACCACAAACTAGAGAAAAACTGAACAGGTAATAGATCTTTGCTCCAACGTGTCAAGCCAGCCATCGCCTTTAAACAGATTTGGTAGAGTCAAACTATTAGTCTACGTGTATAAAGAATACAATATTTTTTTCCAGATAAGGAATATCCACTTTTCTCTTCGTTTTTTTTAGCTTTAGCAAATTTTCATTTAATTTTCTTAAAAAATTGCATTATTTCAGGTTCATGAACTAATTCAGTAATTCGTCTAAAACTAAATATTGCTAAATGCTGACTACGAACTTAGAGAAGAAAATGTGTTTGGTGAGCTTTGGGCAGTGTTTTATTGGTCGGTCACCAACAACGTGTTCGGTTAAGTGTAGTTTCGTTCTATTTCCCCACATTTATCACTCGTATTAAGAAAAAAAGTAGGTCCACAATTTTGTTACATATCTAAACGCTTGTTTGCTTAGTCCAAGTCAAATAAGCACCATTAAGAAATAATATAAAATCCAATTATTGGCCCATAATAACCAAAGAAGGCCCAATAAGTTTAAACGAGCCCAAAATATATATATACAAAATTCGCGCCACAAAATATTCAAAGGTAGATCTGCAATGACGCATATTCCGCGACTGCAAAAGGGCAAAAACACTAGAACTCTTTGTAACAGTTCACATGAGCCGATCAGATAACGAAGGTAGTCGCCGGAAGAAGTTCAACATCGGGGAAGGTTTCCGATCACGGAAAATCGGATGACGGAAGTAATAAAACCCGGAAGCCATCGCCACCATCTTCGTGGGCACGAGGTACAACACCAACGCCACCACCAAACACAGCCCCACGAATATACCAGTAGCTCTCGGATCCCGCCACGTCACCAAAGCCTGCATCTTCTCCCCTTGCGCCGCCACCTCACCGAGAATCGTCTGAACACGAGCTCCGACCGCTCGCAGCTTATCGTATCTCAACCGGACCATCTCCGGCGGCCGGTTGCTCGGGACGACGTCGAACTCCTCGTCAAGCTCGTCTCTATCGGCTGCATCAGCCAGCGAGAGTTTTGGATCGAAATGCGGGAGAGCAGCACGTGACCTGAACCTGTAGTTCCACGCGCCGATCACGAACAAGTAAAACGCTAATGTCGGAAATATTAGATCCGGGAACCAAATCAGCATCACGACAAGGACGTGAACTAGGAGAGTCGCTGTCGGATTCTTCCAGAAACGCGTGTCATCCACCCATCGCACCACGTCGAGTATTCCGGCGACGACATTGACAATCCGGAGCCAATTCGCTCGAACTTTACGCATACTGAAAGTGTGCGTATCGGCGTCGAGCATATACCGAACAATTTCAGGCTTTAAAGGCGGCTCAGATCGTGACAAGTGTACGGCCAAAATCTTCACTGCAGTGTTCCTCAACATATCTTCCTGAAACAGAGTCAACGGTTTGATGTGGTGCATCAAAGGCAACAACGGTTGACTGTACACGTGTAAGAAATCCAACGGTGGAGCTGATCTTACGAATCTAACGGCCAATTCTATCTCTCCCAATTTTTTAACGCCGCCGTTAACTAACATCAGCAGTGGATACGTATTTCTATATGCCTTACCCGTTTCCAACGTGGATATACGTATACGAACTTTTCCGATTCGCAGATCTTGACGCGTGGCTTCTTTCCCACCGTCAATTTCATAAACTCCCCAGCTATCGAACACTCCAATCGTCAGAACCGTACACGGATCGTATACTTTCCACGTGTACTGCTCATTCCATTTCGGATCTAGAGAATCCGATACGGTTCGGGTACGGACCCATTTCGTTCCGTATTTCGCCACCGTGTACGCGTCCGTCGATCCTTTCCCGTTCACCGTCTTCATCGGTAACAGATTCTTACAACTGATTACACCGAGCTCGACGATTCCTACCGCCGGTTTCCATAGCTGCCTCGCCGTAGGTCGGTAATCGCTGCACACGTGAGCTGCCTCGTCCATCACGTGATAACCGCCGTCGAAGCAGAGCCTCAGGTGTACTCTCGATCTGTTTCCTCTCTTCTCGTCGTTTGGATCATCGAAACCGAACCATCTGGAGGCAACCAAACGCTCGTCGACGCGCCTCTCGATTGCGGTGAGCGGCACACGAGCCATCCCGACGGTGACCGGTCCTTTCGATGTACGATACTCCAATGTGAAAACAAGCTGGTCGGCGAAAGGCTCGGCGGCTACGAAGAGTAGTTCTTCGTTCCATGACGGCGCACCGTTACGAGTAACGGCCGATTTGGTTTTCTGAACTTGGAAACCTAATTGGGCTTTCAATTGAAACGAGGCCTCTTTGAACGCCGTTAGCTGAGGCGGTAACAAGTCTTGGGCTTCGATCACAGTGGCGCGAAGATACCACAGCTTCGGCGACATGTAGACCTTCGCTCGGGCTGTTACATTTCCGGCGGTGTCGGTCTTCCACGCGTCCGGAAATGATTCGTCCGCTTGGGTTCCTGTCCACGTGGCAAGCATTAGATCGCCGTGGTGAGCTCCACCTCCTTCGAGACGGTACCATTGCGGCGCCAGTGGACTATCCGGCGGGTCTCGGAGTGGAATTTCCGATACGTCGAAGCAAATTCCACCGAGGAAATGGCTAGTGTCGGTTCCCGTCGGTGAATCCCACACGGAGATCTCCAGAATTGGAGAGGAAGATAAATCCGGCGAGTCTCGGAGGAAGGCGAAGGTTTGATCCCACTCGAAAGTAGAGGTTTTTCTGGCGGGTTTTGATTGGATCATTGTGCCGGAGAGTGAGATTTTTGTAATTGGACTTCCGGAGGTTGGTAGCAACCGAGCCTTCACAACGCGGACGAAGACGTAATGCATTTTCTCCACCAAATCAAACGCGGATCGCTCGATCGTCGATACGTCGGAGATTTCTGATGTGTAACTCGCGGTTTCTGATACGCTTCTCCGAAGTGGTTGCGGTCCTCCGATTCCTCCGATATTAGTTTCTGGTATGGAACCGGATACAGATCTCGAAATAGTAACTTCCGGCAACGGTGATCGCGGCGGAGGAATCCAGTTCGCCGCATCTCCAGACTCAAGCACAATATTTTCACCGTCCGGTTGATTCTGCGGTGGCTCTTCCGCCGGTAATTTCGGTGTTCCCTCCGCTTCATTCTTTACTGCTCCCGGTGGGGGATTCGATTCAGGCGTCTCTTGATCTCCTCCACCAGCTGTAGCATTTTCCTGTGACGCCGGTGAATCCTCTTCGTTTGGCTTGGGACCCTCGGCTGGCAAATTCTCCGGCGGTGGTGGTTCCGCCGTGTCTTTCACTTCAGCAGGACTGTCTTTAGTCTCTGGTAGTGGCTGAGACTCGTTAGAAGCTTCCGCCGCCACTTCCTCCGCCTTTTCCTCAACCACCGGCTCAAGAGGAGCTACCGCCGGTTTGGAAGCAGGAGGAGGTATCTCATCGGCGTAGTAAATCCTAATCCCAATCTCACCCTGCACAAGAGTAAACAAACTCTTCTTCTCCAAAGGATAGTATATCAGAGCCTCCTCTCCTTTACCAACAAACTGATCAGAACCAAGTCGGATCCTACCGAGAAAGTTGTTCCTCCGGGTGGGTCCAAAGTTCTTGTCATGGTACATGTCAACCTCAAGAAAATCGGTGAAGACCTGATGAGAAGGTCGCTTTGCGAGACTGAACTCGAGCGTCTCGTTCCAAACAGGGTTTAAGTCGCGGACTATGGTACGTGTCCGTCGTCTCTGGCCGTAGTAGTCGACGACAACGTAGGGACTTGACGTTCCGTGGCCATCTTTTGGTGTGAGATCTTTGGCGTCTACTACTTCTACTACTAGTTTCTTAGTTGTTGCCATTTTTTGTTGTCTTATTGAAACTGTTGTTTCATGCAGGCAAGTGAGCCGGGTTTGCGTAAAGATTTAGGCTTTGTGAAAAGAGAGAAAGAGAGAGAGAGATATAGAGAGTGAAGAAACAGAAGAGTATTGATTTGCCGGATTAGTGGGTTATGTTTAGAAAAGAGTGGGAAAAGAATCAAAAGAGATGAGTGAAAAAGTATGAGAAATTAATTATTTTAGGTGTATCTATCTGATAGGAAAGAGCCTGTGTTTGTGTATATACATGTTAAATATAGTAAATTTGATCGGTAGCTTTATTGAGATATTTACTAATGAGAAGACTTTAAGAATGAAAGTTGTTACATGCACATTTAAAACTGTGCAATTGAATCAGTGTGGATTTGTGAATTTTGAATCTTTGTATTGAGTGTAAAACTTCCTTTAGACAATGTTTTGAATTAAGCTCTAAATTTTTTTGTAACTTGATTTAAATTTTAAAGTCGTGAGCTACTTAACTTGATTTAGAAGCAACTCCTGACAATTCAAACTTTGTTTTCTATTTCTTTTGTTGTGTTTTCTCCTTTTGCTTTCCCTTTGTTGTTTGTTAATTGAAGTACATTCATAACTTTCTCTTTTGTGTCATAGATTACGCAGTTCCTTACTTTCGGCTTTTTTTCTTTCCCGTAGTTGCTTTTGACTAATTTGAAGATGCTCTTATCGTTCTTTTATTAGCTTTCGTATGGAAGGAGAATGAAGGTGGTGGATGGCACTCAATCCAAGCAAGGACATGTCAGATTTTAGGCAATGGCTTTTGTTCTCTCTTCAAAAGTGATTGGTCTCTTTGTCTCTCCTTTTTCTCGAATCTCACCGACCTTAAGCTTAAATTTCTCCTCTAAATACGTTCCTCTCAGTCAACCTCACCCATATTCCAGTGTTCACCATCTTTTTTAGGCAAGACAAATGAACTTTGGTCCAATGGTTGTTTTAAGAACTTTAGGCATATACAGTAGTATCTGAACAATCAAATGAAATATATTTTACCAAAAAAAAGAAATTAAGGTATTTACTGAATGTAGAGATATCTTCTTGGTTCTCTCAAAATTGAGTTCTATAACTTGATTACTTGAACATGTATCAATTCGTTCATTATTTGTATAATGTGAATGTGACGACTAATAAGATCATGTAATAAATGCTCCATATGTCATGTTCTTGGTAAAAAGAAAAAAATATCAAAACCTTAACTTTTCTTGCCAGATTTTGAACGTACAATCTCATACATTTGTTGTATAACATTGTAGGACAAGGATTCCTACGACAAGGCAAAACCTAAGAACAACCAGAACATTTGTTACTCTACCTTTGCTGGTTTTTCATCATCCAGTCCACAAGAAATCTTAAATTCTTGCATAGCTTCTCAGTTTTCATTTGAAAATGTTCAGGCTTTGTAGATAGTATCTACTAGATACCGTCCAAAACTTAAATTGTCCGTTTTAGGGTTCAGTTTGTAGCTATAAAATTGTTTGGGTATCATTCTGAATTAAGTTTGGTTATTTTAGGTGAAAACACTGTAGGTTGGGTTTTATTTTGCAATTTCTAGGCATGAGAGTCTCTCGTACGTTGGCTTATCATGTCATGTTGATAACATCCACATATTTTGGTCGATTTGTCTTTTCCCTGGGCTTCTCTTCTCTGGCTCTGCAAAAGTCCGCAGAAGCGGAACACGAGACTGCAGAGTTTCAGCTGGATGTTTCTAGTTTGGCTCGCCAGAAGAAGCAGGTTTGAATATCTATGTATGCGTTCCGGTTCAAAATCATTTTGGTCTTAACTCGTAAGCAACCTAAACCCAGGAATTGTCTTCTCTTTTACTAATTCCCAAACAACATTTGAATTGACCAAAACCGAGTCTCTGATGATGATTGCCTTCACGTTCTAAAGTGCTTCGGTCATACCGTGACGTTGACGCCTCATAAGATGAGGCTTGGTCTAATCTCAAAGAAATCTGCAAGTGGGAAATTTCTAAGGCTCTATGGAGATGAGTAATGAATTTACAATATTCCCGGCTTATAAATATATAAAATGGCATCATCATCATGATCAAATATTGTCCGAGTTGATTTGCGAGAAACAAAGAAAATAAAACCTTCTCTTCCATCTCTCCCATGGCTGCCTCCTCTTCTTCTTCATCATTTCATTGTTGGAGATACCACGTCTTTCCTAGCTTTTGTGGAGAAGATGTCCGTAGGAGTTTTCTGAGCCACCTTGAAAAAGAGCTACAAATTAAGGGAATCAATGCATTCAAAGATCATGGAATCAAGAGAAGCCGATCCATATGGCCTGAACTCAAACACGCTATCTGGGAATCAAGGATTTCTTTAGTTGTTCTCTCAAGGAACTACGCTGGCTCATCCTGGTGCTTGAATGAGTTGCTAGAGATCATGGAGTCTAGGGAAGCCTTGGGACAAACATTGCTGCCGGTTTTCTATGAAGTGGATCCATCCGATGTTAGAAAACAGACAGGAGCTTTTGGGAAGGCCTTTGAGAAAACTTGTGTCGGAAGAAACGTTGAAGAGAGGCAGAGATGGAGTCGAGCTTTGACCAATGTTGCTAATGTCGCTGGCGATTGGTCTGAAAAATGGTTAGTCTAATAAACAAAACCGCTGCTCATGGAGGACTAATCATTGTTTTCTTTATTGTTTGTGTTTGTGTATGAATTTTTAAGTTCATGCTAATCATTTGATGGGTGCAATGGTTTTTCTCTATCAGGGAAAGTGAAGCAAGTATGGTTGAGAAGATTGTTGCGGATGTTTCAGAAGAGTTGAATTGCTGCACTCCTTCAAAGGACTTCGACGATTTTGTTGGATTGGAAGCTCATATCGCGAAGTTGAGTTCAATGTTATGTCTACAGTCTAATGAAGTGAGGGTGATAGGGATTTGGGGTCCTACTGGAATCGGTAAGACCACCATTGCCAGAGCTTTATACAATCAACTTTCTTCTGATGCTTATGACTTTCAATTAAGTCTTTTCATGGAGAATGTTAAGGGAAGCTATAGGACAAAGGAGCTCGATGGTTATAGTTTGAAGTTGCATTTACAAGAAAGATTTCTCTCTGAAATATTCAACCAGAGGAATATAAAGATAAGCCATTTAGGTGTAGCACAAGAAAGGCTAAAGAACCAGAAAGCTCTTATTGTTCTTGATGATGTAGATGAATTAGAACAACTACATGCCTTGGCAGATAAAACTCAGTGGTTTGGTGAAGGACCAGGATTGTTGTGACTACAGAAGATAAACAGCTTTTGAAAGCTCATGGGATTGATCATGTTTATGAAGTGGGTTTTCCATCTAAAGGAGAAGCCATTCAAATCTTATGTCGATTTGCTTTTGGACAAAACTCTGCACCGGAAGGCTACTATGATCTAGCTGTTGAAGTTGCAAAACTTGCGGGGGCTCTTCCTTTAGGTCTCAGCATTTTAGGTGCATCTTTGCGAGGGATGAGCAAGGAGGAGTGGACTAAAGCGTTACCGAGGCTTAAAACCAGTTTAAATGGGAAAATAGAGAAACTATTAGGAGTATGCTATGATGGGTTAGATGAGAAAGATAAGTCTCTCTTTCTTCATATTGCATGTTTGTTTAATGGCGAGAATGTTGATCGTGTGAAGCAATTGCTTGCTAAGAGTGCACTGGATGCAGAATTTGGACTTAAAGTCCTTGTTGACAGATCTCTTATCCACATCCACGCTGATGGGTATATAGTAATGCATTGTTTGCTACAACAAAAAGGTAAGGAAATTACTCGGGGACAATGTCTCCACGAGCCTGGGAAACGTAGATTCCTGGTTGATGCTTTGGAGATTTCAGATGTACTTGCAGATGAAACCGTAAGTGTTGAAACATTCTTTCCAAGTCCTACTCATCACAAGCTAATATATTAACCAACTGCCTTCTTTCTTTTATTTGCAGGGTACAGAAACTGTTTTAGGAATTTCATTAGATATGTCAGAAATCGACGAACAACTGTATATAAGTGAAAAATCCTTTGTGAAAATGCCTAATCTTCAGTTCTTGAGGCTATACAATAACTTTCCAGATGAAAGAGTCAAGGTATACGTACCTCATGGCTTGGATTATCTACCACGTAAACTTAGTTTGCTACAATGGGATTTGTATCCGGTAAAACATATGCCCTATAAGTTTCGTCCTGAGTTTCTTGTGGAACTCACTATGCGGGATAGCAAGCTTGAGAAGCTTTGGGAAGGTGTTCAGGTATTCTCCTTAATTATGTCAAAGTTTCTTACCTAATCTTCTTTAAAATGTTATTTCTGTTTTACATCATTTGGGCTGTGTGCATGTTTCCAGCCATTGCCAAGTCTCAAGCATATGGATTTGAGTGCATCCAGAAACATCAAAGACATTCCAAATCTCTCAGGAGCAACAAATCTGGAGAAATTGTTTCTTAGGCTCTGCGAAAATATGGTCACGGTTTCTTCTTCTTCTCTACAAAACCTCAGTAAGCTCAAAGTCTTGGACATGTCTTCTTGCATAAAACTGAAGAATCTTCCAACCGACCTCAACTTGGAATCCCTCAGCGTTCTTAATCTAAGAGGGTGCTGGAAGTTGAAGAGTTTCCCTTTTATTTCAACACGGATCCAATTCGTGTCTCTTGGGGAAACAGCGATAGAGAAAGTGCCTTCACTAATCAAGCTATGTTCTCGTCTTGTTTCATTGGAAATGGGGGGCTGTAAGAACCTTAACACATTACCACCTCTCCCTGCAAGTGTAGAGATCGTGGACTTATCCGGGACAGGAGTCGAGGTAGTATACACTGAGGCAGGGCCCGTTTTTAGCAAGTATATGGTGGGATACATCCGTGGGCCCACTTGTTTTTCTTCTGTTTTTAAGGCATAAAACTTTTCTAAGAAATTACAAAAATCTTGTACACAACACTTCTTAAGATCATGGAAGACTTTTAGACTTGTTATTTGCCTATGCAAATGGCAAATGAGTATTGCTATTTGCCTACAACTAGTTAATCTTTTACGTGTTTTTACACGCTTTCATACTTCACCTGATGTTTATACAACAATATACGATATATTAGTTCAATATCAGATCTATTTATTTTTCTTTCTGTGAAGGATCTCGCGACATAAAGAAGCATTTCTCTGGTGGAATAAAAAGACAATTTCGAAGAATTAGTCGAGCGTTTACTTCTTCAGATTCTTGCTCAGCTTCTTAGTGTTCATCTGAAAAAGTTTATGGTAACTTCTAAGTTATAAAAATCTTTCAAAGGTTTTAAACAAACAAACATATTACGACTCAGTCCTAAGCTGTCACTGTCAGCCTAGGTAAAAGCTTGATTTAGTCCAACTGAATTCTTTGTTTTTTCTCCAAACAAATGTTTCTTTATGTCATGAGATCCTTGACGACTAGAAGATCAAAAATTTCTCATTTCTTACAATATTATAACTTACTCTATAAACATCAACTGAAGTATTGAAAGCGTGTAAATAGGTAGACGACGATCAACTAATTGTAGTTGTGTTCTTATATTGGTATCTAAAACCAATTTGCATAGGCAAAGTATTATGTAATCTTATTGTTAATCACACTCAAATATAACAAGAGAAAAAAGCATGTTGTTGAAAGAAATTTTCAAGTCGATTTTTGGAGAATCAACAACAGATAGTGATTCTAATTACCCTCCAGTGGGTTTTGCTTCTTCTTCTTCTTCGTCATATACTCACAAATACAGCTACGATGTCTTCCCAAGCTTCTCCGGTCAAGATGTCCGCAGAACATTCCTCAGCCACTTTCTTGAAAGGTTGAAAAGCAAGGGAATTAAAACGTTCATAGATAATGGGATCATGAGGAGCGAGTCCATTAACTCTGAGCTCAAATTAAAAGAGCTATTAGGGAATCAAGGATTGCTGTCGTGATCCTATCTAAGAACTACGCTTCTTCGAGCTGGTGTTTAAACGAGTTGCAGCTGATTATGGAGTCACTGGAGTGCAAGGATTCTTTGAGACAAACTGTGATGACAATCTTCTACGAGGTGGAGCCGTCTGATGTGAGAAAGCAAACTGGAGAATTTGGAAGGGCCTTTAAAGACTTGTTATGGGAAGACAGAGGAAGTGAAACAGAGATGGAGACGAGCTTTGACTCAAGTCGCGGTTATTGCCGGAGAACATTCTGTTTCATGGTACTGTTCCAAAACTTCCATAACATTTTGTCGATATGTAGTACTGTTCTAACTTCATATGTAACTTATCTTTTGTGGGGCTAGTGAAGCGGAGATGATCTTGAAAATGGTCATGGATGTTTCAAATGAGTTACCATCTTCGGACTTTGATCGGTTAGTTGGAGTTGAAGCTCATGTCGAAAAGATGAAATCGATGATATGCTTAGAGTCCGACGATGTGAAGATTGTGGGGATCTGGGGTCCTCCAGGTATTGGCAAAACCACCATAGCTAGGGCTTTATACAATAAAGTTTCATGCAACTTCCAGCTCAAGTATTATAAAGAGAGTCTTGATGTAAAGTATAAATGGTGGATCCCTCCTAGTCTTACCGACGAAATTAGCTTGAAAAGGCGTTTGGAGTACGAGATACGGTCCGGAGTTTTAGATCATAGGGGCATGAAGATACCTGACTTACTTGAGGCAGAGGAAAGGTTAAAGCACCAAAGAGTCCTTCTCATTCTTGATGGTGTCCCTGGTAACGAATTAGAAGCATTGGAAGGTCTTATTCAAGGTCTTAGATTCGGAAGTAAGGTGATTGTGACAAATGAAAATCTTGATTCACTGAGGGATAATTGGATCAACCCCAACCAGATATACAAAGTTGCGTTCCCATTGAGCGAAGAGGCTCAACAAATCTTCTCATACTCTGCGTTCGGGCAAAGTTCTCCACCAAGAGGTTACTTGGAGCATGCTGTTGAAGTAACGAAGCTCATTGCTCGTTTTCCACTTGGTCTCAAGGTTTTAGGTTCGGCTTTACGTGGGAAGAGCGAACAGGAGTGGAAAACTGCACGGGGTAGACTCAAACGCTATTCTGACGACAATGATATTAAAAAAGCAATTAGATATGCGTCCGACGGTTTATCTGAGAAGCACAAAACTTTATTAAAGTCGATCGTAAAGCTTATTAGATATCAGCGTCAGAGCGTGAACAACGTCATATTATCGCTTGCAGAGAAGGACTGGGACGTGGAGAAAGGGATACAAACCCTAGCTGACTTGGCGCTCATCTCTATATCTAGCGAAGGAGTACTCACAATACACCACTTAGTAGAGAACGTGCTAGAGCATCCTCATCCATGGAGAATCTCTGAGGCTGAGAGAGTCTCTGATGTGCAAGAATTAATAAAAATAATAAAAGAGGAGAGTCTCTCAAATGAGAAGCTTTGAGAGCATGAATAACGCGGGACGCTTAATGCGCCGCTTAGCAAAAAAAAAGTATTTAATTAAATAAAAAATAGATATCTTTCGAGAATCCGACGCTTATGTGCCACGTGGCAGGAGCTGATTGGTTCCTCTTTAATGAGACGGAACAAAACTATTTTTTTCTCATTTTTCTCAGTCGGTTCTCTCTCCTCTCACTCACTTCTCCGGTGCTCTTCGAAGACGATTTGGCGATTCAAATTCGTTTGGAAAGCTTCATCGATTTCCGATGAGAAATCAGTCCATTTCTCATGCTTCCGCTGGTGTGCTCTCGTAATAACCGTTCGGAGATGAGAATCGGCGAAGAACAAACAACGATCAGCAGATGTCAATCGATGATTGTTTCTCCTCTGTGCATGGTAAGTTTTCTTCAATAGTCGGCTGTAAATCGTGGTCAAATAGGACTCAGGTGTTCGTTAGGCACTGAAAATTGCTTTTATCTTGCCGATTTAGTTTAGGAAATCTCGTTTACTTGTGATTTAGAGTTTTAGTGTTTTTGTGGTTTGATTTGGTCAAAATTCTCTTGTTGAAACTTAAAATTTAATGCTTTTGGATGCAACCGTATTTAAAACTTGAATAATTTCCATTTGGATTTGTCTTTTGCAGTCAATTAACGAGCTCTGCGTTTAACATGATCAAGCAGACAATTGGATGGACTGATTGGGCTAAAGCTGCGATTGTCCCTGGACTTGTGTCATTGATTGTCGTCCCGTTTCCCTTGTATTTGATTTATCCTCCTACAGTGAAGAGCAGCCCTGATGCACCGAAGCTGGCTCAGGAAAAGCTTGACAAGATGAGTCCTATGTCCAAGAACGAGTTGATTATGGCCGCCACTTTGTTTCTCACGGTACACTACTTCTTTTTCTTCATGAGCTCTGTTCTTATGTTTGTTAAATCTTCTCCGGGATTGCTTTTGAACAGAGGACAGTATATGCTATCATGACTGCAATTGTAGCTTCTGCTTAATTTGGATGAAGCAAAGGCTCTGCTTTTGTTTGAGGCATTTTGCTATTGAGTGAAAATGTTCTGCTTTGGTGTTTTATAAGGCACAAGATTTTTCATTTTCTAAACAAGTTCTCTACTTGACACAGGTTGGTCTCTGGATATTCGGAGCTAAGTTGAGTGTAGATGTTGTGACTGCAGCTATTCTTGGATTATCGGTCCTCCTTGTGACGGGTGTTGTGACATGGAAAGAGTGCTTAGCTGAGTCGGTCGCATGGGACACGCTCACGTGGTTCGCTGCTCTCATTGCAATGGCTGGTTATCTTAACAAATACGGTCTCATCGAGTGGTTCAGCCAGACCGTAGTCAAGGTTTGTTAATGATTACCTCATTGACTAATGCTTTATGACTTGACCATATGCTATGATAAAATGTTTAAAACATTTTTGGGGCTTTGATTGCAGTTTGTGGGAGGATTGGGTTTGATGCATTTGCAAAGGTAACGTTTTGGTGTTTGATGTATTCGTGAATTGATTTATGGTTGGTTTTTTTAAGTTTTGATTGTTCTTGTTGTCATTGTTCTCTGAAATCTATCAAAGTTTGTTACCTTTTGTTAAAATCTTGGTCTTTTTGTCATTGGTAATGAAATTTGGTTGAGAATATATGAGAAACATTTGGACATCTTTATTCACATATTTTTGGAGATACTTAACATGCTGGTTAAGTTTTTATTTATGTTTATGTTCTTGAATTTTATGTTTAAAATGTTTGTATGTTAAGTATGTTTCAAATTTTAATTTATGCAATGTATTTTATGTTTTGTTCACTAATAAAACTAAAATTAATTTTTTTTCTTAAGCACCCCAAATTAAGATACTCCCATTAAAGCAGAAAAAAACAGAGAATTCTTAACACAGGTGCTAACACACTTTTAATATTAAAAAATCTTTTAAGCACTCTCTTAAGCTTCCCCCATTAGACATGCTCTCATGAGAGACTCCTTGCCACTTGTCTCTTTATGATTGGTCCATGTAGAGATTTTGGTGGGATTAAAATAGTCAGTTAAGTTCAAAATCATGGACACATGAAACTTACTCCCATGTTTTGATACTCTTATGGGTTTGACTTTTTAGAAATTTCGTGATACCTTCCAAGATGAGACTTGGTGTAATCTCAAATAAACCAGCCTGTGGGAATTTTCAATAATTTATGTAAGATAATAGGGTTTGACTTTTTAAAACATTTTCCACTCAATGAAATGAGCTTCATAGTTTCTCCAAATCGGTTTTGCTAGAGATCAAACAAGGAAGGGTTTTTTTCATTGTTCATGTTTAATTCTGCTACAAAGAGTGTTTTTTTCAGATATTAAGTTGAAAAAAGTGAAGTCTTTAGTTTTTTTTTTTTTTTGTCAACGGTGAAGTCTTTAGTTTACATCTTTTAGATTGCTTAGATTCCATTCTCTATCATGTCTGCTTCTTCATCTTCTTCTTTGTTGTCCCCTCGCCAAAGGAGCTACGACGTCTTCCCAAGCTTCAGGGGTCATGACGTCCGTAAAAGCTTTCTCAGCCACCTGCTCTGTGAATTCAAGCGCAAGGGAATCGACACATTTCTAGATAATCAAATTAAGAGGAGCAAGTCAATCGGCCCTGCGCTCGTACAAGCTATAAGAGCATCTAGGATTGGCTTAGTCATTCTCACGAAGAGCTACGCGTCCTCAAGCTGGTGTTTAGACGAGTTGTTGGAGATTATGGAGTTCAGGAAGCATGCTCGCAAAAAAGTGATGACAATTTTCTACAATATTGATCCATCTGATGTAAGAAAACAGGAAGGAGATTTTGGGGAAGCATTCAAGAAAACTTGTAAGGGAAAAACAGAGGAGAAGAAGAAGAGATGGACGCAAGCTTTGACTGATGTTTCCAACATAGCCGGCGAGCATTCACGTAAATGGTTAGTCCTCTCCATTTACTGTTTTCATCTTTTTTGTGGATCAGGTTGCTGGAATAATGAGATTTCTTCATAGTTTTCTTGAATTCTTCGGAAACATTTGCACAAAGTTTGGTTAAATTTGTAGTTAGACAATAGAAGTCTACAATTATCTTATGTTTTTGTGTGCATATGGCTTTTATAAGGTAAAAAAAAAAAAACTTAAAGCTTTCATGATCTTTGAATATTTGAAACTCCTAATTCATTTCCATGTAGCTTGTGTATCACGTTCTTGTTCCAATTTGATAAAGGAATGGTTATTTCTCCTGTCAGGCCTAGCGAAGCTGCTATGATATTACAAATTGCCACAGATATTTCTAACATGTTGAGCTTCACACCGTCGAGGGATTTCGACCATTTAGTTGGAATGGAAGCTCATATAGCAAAGATGACTTGTTTGTTACGTATGGAATCTAACAAAGCGAGGAGGTTCATAGGGATTTGGGGTCCTGCTGGAATTGGCAAAACCACAATTGCTAGAGCGTTATACAACCGAGTCTCCAGCGAGTTTGAGCTTAGTGTGTTCATGGAGGATGTCAAGGGGAGTTACAACAAGAATGACACCTACAGCTCCAAGCTGCGTTTGCAAGAACAGTTTCTTTCAGAGATTCTCAGAGTCAAGGATATGCGGATCAATCATTTAGGTGTGGCAAAGGAGAGGCTAAACTCCAGGAAAGTGTTCATCGTTCTTGATGATGTCGATAAGCTAGGGCAACTAGAAGCTTTAGCAGATGGAAAAAACTGGTTTGGTGCTGGAAGCAGGATCATAGTGACCACTGAGCACAAAGACATTTTAAAGGGTCATGGTATCAAGAATATCTACGAGGTTAATTTTCCGTCTGGCGATGAAGCTCTGCAAATCTTTTCTCAGTCTGCTTTCAAACAAGATTCTCCACCGGAAGGATTCACGGAGCTTGCAGCTGAAGTTATAAAAGTCACTAATCATCTTCCATTGGGACTCTGTGTTTTAGGCTCATCATTGAGAGGGAAAAGAAAAAGCGAGTGGAGACATGAACTAAAGCAACTAAAATCCAGTATAAATCGTGACATTGAGGATATCTTAAAAGTCGGCTACGAGAGCTTAGCTTATGATAATTATAAAAGTATATTTCTCTATATCGCCTGTTTGTTCAACGGGGAAGAAGAGGATCGGGTGATTCAGTTTCTTGAAAATAGCATTCCTGACAGTCAATATGGACTTGATGTCCTTGTTGAAAGAGCGCTTGTGTGTGTATCAAGGTACAAAGTCATCAAGATGCACCATCTGCTACAACAGATGGGAAGAGAAATCGTACGCAAACAATCTGCTCATGAGCCTGAGAAACGTCAGTTCCTTATAGATTCTCAGGAGATTCATGGTGTTCTTGCTGATAACAATGTAAGTCCATATATGTAACATTCCTAACACTTTCCCAATATGATTTTCGCAGGTCAAACTGTTATAATTCATGTCATGTCATGTCCTGGCATTTTTTTCAGGGGACAGGAAGTGTTTTAGGCATATCCTTCAACATGTCTGAAAGCCGTGAGTTGTTGGTCCTAAAAGAGAGAGCGTTTAGTGGAATGAGCAATCTCCAATTTCTAAGATTCTATAAACAATGGTCAGATAAGTCCAGGCTGCGTTTACATGAAGGTTTGGATTGTTTGCCTCTACCTCGTAAACTCAAGTTACTTCACTGGGACGCATGTCCTATGGAACATTTCTCTTCAAAGTTTAATCCTGAATGTCTCATTGAAGTTAACATGAGAGAGAGCAAACTAAAGAAGCTCTGGGAAGGAGTACCAGTAAGTTTAAGTTTCTTGACAAGTACTCCACCTGCATGCATTACATAATTTTATTCCAAATAACAACAATTCTGACATTTTTTTGTTCCCTGGATTTGCTTTCAGAGGCTTAGGAGTCTCAAGAAGATGAAACTGAGCGACTCCACTAGCTTGGAAGAGCTTCCTGACCTTTCAGAAGCAACAAATTTGGAGCATTTGGATATGAAGAATTGCCACAGCTTGCTCAAGCTTCATGACTCTATCTGGAAACTTAGTAAGCTGAATTTCTTAGACCTTGAAGCCTGCACTAATCTAGAGCCTCTTCCAGAAAACGACGCGTTGGACTCTCTAAGTATCCTCAAGATCAGCAACTGCCCAAACCTCCAAGATTTCCCAGAGATCTCTAGTCACATCAAATATCTCAATCTGTCCTTCACAGCGATAGCAGACGTGCCTCCATCATTTGACTATTGGGATTGTCTTCACACACTGAACATGAACGGTTGTGAAAACGTTACAGAGTTCCCACCTGTTCCCTACACCGTCTCCGAGCTATACCTGAACTCAACAGGAATACATGAAGTTCCTCCGTGGGTCTCGGAGCTCCATAGGCTCACAAAACTGACCATGTCAAACTGCACGAAGCTGCGAAAGATCTCTCCGAGAATCTTCCAGCTAGGACAGCTCGAGGTGCTTGATTTCAGCGGCTGCGTGAATGTGAGAAAGTTCCCTGCAGAGATCTTTCAGAGCTTCTCTTTACGCCATGGCTTGAAACTGTCTCTGTCTTTGAACAACATTGGCAAGAACAGTTTACCTACATTCACACCTGAGGAGACTCACGATTTCTCCTTAACTTTGTCTTTGAATGGGAATGATTTCGAGAGCATTACACATCACATTGTACGTCAGGTTCGTTGCCTTTACCTTTGGAACTGCATGTCTCTTCAATGGCTGCCAGAGCTTCCGGTCTCGCTGTCAGAGCTGCACGCAAACAACTGTGTCGCTCTTGAGAGTTTGTCTCCGCCTCTGCGCTCATCTCACGGCTCAAAGCTCATTGTCAAGCTAGCTAACTGCTGGAAACTTGATCAGCAAGCACGTAGACTAGTCATTGAGGAATGGTCTTGTGGGTATGCGTTGCTAACTGGTAGTAAAGTGCCTGACTACTTTACTCATCGAGCTATAGGAAGTTCTCTAACCATCGATATAGACCCGATGGAGGTGTATGAGTCATTGAGGTTTAAGGCTTGTGTTGTGGTACTCCTGAGTCATGAGCTTGATTTGGTGTCTTATAGGACCTTCGAAATATCTTGTTACGTCAGAGGCAGACACTCAACTACAGTGTACAAATGGCCGATGATAGATGCAGGTTATTGTCTTATGGAGAACCATTTGTTTGTGCTCAACTCTTATTTCACGATGGAGGAAGACAACATCCCTGAAAGCGAGATGCTTTTTGATTTCAAATGCTTGGAGATGAAAGAATATACGGAGACTGTATCCTCCTTTATACTGGGGTGTGGTGTAAGACTGATGGAGCCTTGTTCTTGTGAATATGACTCGAAAGGTCACCCTGAGGTAACGACTCTAAAGCTCGAGGACGATGAAGGCAACAGCAACATGGACATTGGAGAGACAAGTAGAAGCAAGAAACTTAAAAGGAAAAGCAAGAAGTCAAGTGTTGCAGAGGGACCTGAGAGGACAAGCAAGAATCTGAGAATTAAATGAGTGGAAATCTGAAGATAGGAACATTGATGGTAGGTGCAACTCTTGATTGTTTCAACTTTCAACCATTGCTTTTTCTATGTGTTTTCATCTCTTATTTTTCACCTGCCAGAGTAAATTATTGCGTTGAATTAAGAAAGGGGGGGAGTGTTGTAAATTTATCTTGGTCCTTTTTAACTTTACTAAAAAGTAAAAAAAATTGTCAATCTTAAGATAAACAAAAATTGTACAAATATGACAGAACCGAATCTGATTGTCCCTTTTGCGCTTTGTAAGAACTAGCGGTCGTAGTGATAATGCTTAGGCCCAACAACTTCGCGGGCTTTACTGCTCTATCATTTTTAATTAGATATCGTGAAAATTTTAAATTCGACCAGAAACAAAAACCCTAATTTCCGCAAATTCCTTATCGTTGAACACCTAAAAAAATATCCCTCCTTCCTACTTCCTAAATCCTAATCGCAGCGAGCAAGAGCGAACGGACAAGACTCAAAAGAGCACAAGTATTGCTCAATCTCTCTCTTCGTACTTCTGTTGGGAATTTCAACTTAAGATTTTCAGTATGCTGTTTTTGTTTTCTTTTCTGGTTTTGGTGGCTTTGGTTTCTGTCGATTTCTTCTTTGCTTCATTATATTGATATTCTTTCGATTTCTAGTCACGTGTTTAATTTTTTCGCAATCATACATTCTGCATTTGAACTTTTCGGCCTAGTTTGATTGAGTTGCCGAAAACCAAAGTTCTAATTTGTGTTCCTTCTTTTGGTGTTGGCAGAATCTGTTGTTGAACCAGCAGCTAACATGGGTGAGCTGATAATTTCTCTTGAAAATGGTCTTAGCTAATTCTCTCTTCGAGCTACGAATTTAAAAAGAATCTCCTTTTGTTTGTTTTTGATGCTCGGCAGCAAAGAGGTCACGTCTTGAAAAGCGTAAAGAGGCTCGTTTGCAGAAGAACCAGAAAAAACATGAGTCTTGGCTTCAGCGTCAGGTACAAGAGGGGGAATCTTTGATTTTTATATCTACATTACAGTTTCCTATTCGTCAAATGGTTTGTTGATGTGTAATGTTGGTTTAATGGATCTCAGAAGTCACAAAAGAAGAAACAAGTACCATCATCAGTGCGTGAGACTGGTAAGAAGGTGATCAAGTCTGAAGATTTTCGCCAGATGAGTGATAGTGACAGTGAAACTGAACAGCTGGATATGACTAGTCCTGTTAAAAACAGGGAAGAGAAAAGACCGTTTCTACAAAACCAAGTCGCAGTTAAAGTCAAATCAAAGGACAAGAAGGTGCAGAGAGAACAGAGAATGAAAGATTTAAAGAAACCGAAGAAGAAGACCAAGTTCGAAGAGTATCTTGAAATGGAGACAGCAAGCACTTCGCTATCTGCTGAGCAGGATCTTGAGCTTGAGAGGAAGCTCGCAAAGAAGCTCAAGGTCAACAAAGGAAAACTAAGGGGCTTGGATGATGGTATGAACGACTTGTTCGAAGGGCTTCCTTCTGTATTGGATTCGATGGATTCTGAACTCGGCGATTCTCGCAAGAAGCGTAAGAGAAAGAGAGCCGAAGAGAAACAGGACCTTGAGGTTGTCGATGAGGAAGCAGACGAAGATTTGGAGGATGAAGAATCTGATTTTTCTGATGAGGCAAGCGAAGAAGAGCCTATGAGAAAGAAAGACAGTAAACAGCGTAAGAAGAAGAAGAAGTCTCTGGATGAGGAAGTCACAGAGACCGTTGATCATCAAGATTCACCGTCAAGCATGGAGAAGGTAGAAGCTCCTCTGCAGGAGTATAAACCTGAGAGCAGCACCAAGTATGTTGCTCCTCGTTTTAGAAGCCAGGCCAGGAGTGAACCTGAAGAACACACTAAGTTACGTACACGGGTTAAAGGTATAGCTAGCTAAAAGGCTATTTTTAACCTCTGGTTGTTTCTAGTTCTGTGATCTTGGTTTTGACATGATTGGTATGTGTTACAGGTCTTCTTAATAAGATGGCTGAGTCCAATGTAGAAACAATCACTGCAGAACTTTCCACAATCTATCGCGTAAGCTTAAATAACAATCTTCCTATACTTCATTGTTAAATTGCTTCAATGTTACTTTGTTATTGTTCTTACATGGTGATATTTGCTTATGCAGTCTACTGCGAGAAGTGTGGCATCTGAGATTTTCTGTGAAGAGGTTTTGGCAATGTATGCCAGAGGCAATGAACAGTTAAGATTTGTACAACTTTATAGAGTTTCAGCTAGCACTTCAATAATGTGGAGCTGCTTGATTATATTGACGTCGATTCATATCTGAATAATTTGTTTTTTCCTTGTTAAGGTACTCTGTATTTGCTGCTTTCATAGCTGGAATGGCGTGTCTAGTTGGAAATGATTTTAGTGCAAAGCTTATGGCTGCACTTGCTAAATCTTTCGAGGTATGTCCCTGAATTTATATTCTGAATTCTCCATAAGATGTTTCTTTTCACCGGTTTGATTGGAGTAATGCATTAATTGCAAATAAAATACAAATTTATTTTCAGGATGAATACCAGAAAGAAGACAGTCTCTCTTTGAATGGAATTACTCTTTTACTTTCTTATCTCTGCATGTTGGGAGTTTGCTCCAGGTAAAGCTTTCTGCAGCTACATACATATATGCACAGATAAAAAAGCTCAGAATAAGAAATTTCTGTGTTTGTTTTGCAGTGATCTTATTTATGATTTCTTAATGACATTGGGGAAGCGGCTGACTGAAGTTGATGCCTCCACTATTTTAACTGTTTTAGACTGTAAGTTTTATTGTTATGACTCATATTAGGTGTTTTGAGATTTTATGTTACATCTCTAAGTTCTTGATTATGCTTTGAATAGGCTGTGGAATGAAAATAAGAAGTGATGATCCTCTGGCTATGAAAACTTTCATCATAAGCATCCACAACAAGGCCAATGAAATTAAAGCCTCCCCGGATGCCCCAGCAAAAATAAAGAAGTACACTGTAAGTGAGATCTACGAGAGATTGATTCTCTACTTGAAGAAAAATGTTTGATTATGATTTTAAACGTCGTTTCTTACTCTGAACTTTGCAGATGGAAAAGATGCTTGAAACCATTGCAGCAATCAAGAACAACAAGTTTAAAGCCAAAGAGGATTCCGTCCAGAACACGAGGGTAAAGAAGTGGCTTCAGAAGGTAATATCTCAGCTGTTAATGGATTTCATCAGAGCAGTCATAAACTTGTGTGCTTCTGGATAAGTAACTTTGTGCCCTTTTTACCTTACAATGATGAACAGTTGAGAGTGGAAGAAGTATTATTAAGAGGGCTCACATGGAGCAAGCTGCTTGACCCTGAGAAGAAGGGTCAGTGGTGGTTATCTGGAGATTTGGCAGTTAAATCGAACAACGTTGAAGATGTAGCACAAACAATGGATGCAGAGGTTGTTGAGGCCCAGAAAATGTTGAAGCTAGCTGATGCACAGAGGATGAATACAGATTCCAGAAAAGCTATATTTTGTGTGATCATGAGTAGTGAGGACTACATTGATGCATTTGAGAAACTTCTTAGACTGGATTTGCCAGGGAAGCAGGACAGAGAGATCATGAGGGTTTTAGTCGAATGCTGTTTACAGGAGAAAGTGTTTAACAAGTACTACACAGTTCTCGCCTCAAAGTTGTGCGCTCACGACAAGAATCATAAGTTTACACTACAGGTACTTTCGAATATCTTATATAAGAACTGAAGCTTGTTAAGTAATGATTCTCCTTTCTCTAATCATCTTTGTGTTGAAAACCTCTTGCAGTATTGCATTTGGGACCATTTCAAAGAACTAGAGACGATGTCACTCCAGAGATCAATGCATCTGGCGAAATTTGTGGCAGAGATGATTGTATCCTTCAATCTCTCTCTTGCTGTTCTCAAATCCGTGGACTTGGCAAATCCGGTGCAGCTAACTCCAAAGAGAATCATGCACTTTCGAATGCTGTTCGAGGCCATCTTTGAGCACCCTGAGAATCTTGTGTGGAACTTGTTCACGCGTGTAGCCTTGAACCCGGACTATGAAGCTCTACGCGATGGCATCAAATTCTTCATGAAGGAATATGTTGTGAAATCTAATAAGACAATCTCTGGGAAATTCAAGAAAGCCAAAGAAGCTCTTAGCAATGTAGATGGATCGCTCATGTGATTCTGCTCCCATAAGTTTGCGAAGGGAAACAATTATTGTCATTGGCCTTACGTTGTATACATTTATCTTTTTACAAAAACTTCTCTGTAGTTTCTGTTTACTTTTGAGGCTTCTAAGAGTTACAAGAATAGTTTGTAGAAACGATTTTAAACATTGAAGTTTCTTCTATATTAATAAATGATTCTTAAAATAATATGGTTCATTCCCCACAAATTCTAGAAAGAAACTTAAGTTTTTGAAATTTAACTGCAGATGAGAAAGATTTTTTCTCAAGAGACTTGCTCATCGTGTTTAGATGTGAACGTTTTGCATGCGTAGCTTCCGAGTTCCCAGCCACAGGACTTTGCCTCTTTCATCCCTACGCATGCTGCATTCAGCCTTGGAATCTGAGCTGGAAGCAATGAGATGGGCGGTCCAAATGGTGACAAATTTTCATTACAATCGAGTCATCTTTGAAACGGATTCAAAACAGCTCGTGGAGTTGATATCCAATCAAGATGAGTGGCCAAATCTTCAAAGCACGAGCACAAGACATAAACCACATGCTCAGGAAGACACAAGCAAGTCAGGTAGCTTTCCGGTCAAGAGATTGTAATCGAGTAGCTGATAGAATAGCGAAGGAATCACTTTCTTTTATGAATTTTGATCCTAAGGTGTATTCTATTCTGCCTTTGTGGTTGAATTCCGATGTAGAGGATGATAACCAGAGTGTATGAACATTATGGTCTAATGAAATATAAATTGTTTGAGAAAGAAATAAAAAGATGTGAACGTTTTGTAATTTCTCATCAATGAGAAGAGAAATTGAACTGTACTTGGAAACCGTTTCGATAGTTGTATAAGTCTATAAGAATCAAACTTAATTTGCTTTCAAGAGAGACATTAGAAAAAGATATTTCATTATAGAAATAGGGGAGACAAAGAAAAACACAAGCATTGCAGCAAATCCAAAGGATGCTATATTCTCTCCCACAACAAGAGGGAAACTATATGCATCAAACTCTAAGCTTCGACTAAAACATTTTTAAAAAGTTATTGATAAACCAAACAAAACACAAGCATTATAGAGAAAATGAAACGATTTTCCTCCTTCAAATAATTCCTCTCGTTGTCAAGCTTTTCTTCACTTGGCACTGGCGAGCTGGGAGCGGATGAGTTTAGCCGCATCAACCATGTTCTTGAGCGCAGGCTTGACCTCGGTGTACTTACGGGTCTTGAGACCACAGTCAGGGTTAACCCAAAGGATGTTCTGCTCAAGGACAGCAAGCATCTTGTTGACTCTGTCTGCGATTTCCTCAGAAGATGGTATTCTTGGAGAGTGGATGTCGTAGACACCTGGACCAATTCCGGCACCGTATTTCACTCCCTCACGGAACACGGAGAGAAGCTTCTCATCAGATCGGGAGTTCTCGATGGTGATGACATCAGCGTCCATGTCGATGATGGAGTGTATGATGTCATTGAAGTGGGAGTAGCACATGTGAGTGTGGATCTGCAAACAAAAGAACGAACCAAGTTAAGCAACTGAGCAGGAAAAGCGTTTTGCTTCAAGAAAGTCGAGCGATAAGTGTGTTGAGAAGGCAAACCTGGGTGCTGTCTTGGACGCCACAGTTGGTGATTCTGAAGGAGTGAACAGCCCAGTCCAAGTAGAAAGCGTGCTCTGCTTTCCTGAGTGGGAGTCCTTCTCTAAGTGCAGCCTCATCGATCTGAATGACTCCAATTCCACCTTTCTCAAGATCCTCGACTTCGTCCTTGATGGCCAAAGCGATCTGGTAACAGGTTTCGTGCCTACAACAAATTTTTCAAGCTTGTTTTAGTGATTTTGTTCCTTCTTTTGGTAGAGCTGTGTTTGTTTTAGGTGATGATTGTTTATGTACCTGGGCTGGTCATTTCTGACGAAGGACCAGTTGAGAATGGTGACTGGGCCGGTAAGCATACCCTTCATTGGGCGGGAGGTCATGCTCTGAGCCATGGAGGACCAGAAGACGGTCATTGCCTTGGGACGGCTGACATCACCGTAGATAACTGGTGGCTTCACACAACGAGATCCATAAGATTGGACCCATCCGTTGGCGGTGAAGGCAAAACCAGACAACTGCTCCCCGAAGTACTCAACCATGTCGTTTCTCTACATAATTGTGAAGACATGTCTCGTCAGATACATAAACAAGGACTACCAAAAATAACATTTGAATCTTAGTTTCAGCCCGTTACCTCTGGCTCTCCGTGGACAAGAACATCGATGTCAAGTTCCTCTTGGAGGTCAACAACCTTCTTGATCTCCTCCTTCATGGCCTTAACGTAGTCCTCCTCAGAAACCTTCTTGGCTTTGTACTCTCTGCGAACTCTCCTGAGCTCAACGGTCTGTGGGAAGGATCCAATGGTGGTGGTTGGCAGGATTGGGAGGTTGAGCTTCTTCTGCTGGGCATCTAGTCTAGCACTAACATTAGTTGCACGACGGTGGTCAGATCCCTTCAAAGCAGCAGCCTGAGATAACAACAATCAGAAACCATTTCGATCAATAAAAGATTAAGAACAGAAATCATTGATTGTGAATATGGCTTAGATTTGACGTCAAACTTACAGCCTTCTGGACACCCTCGTTGGTGACTCTTGGGGAAGACCTCCTTGAAGCCAAAGCAGCAGCGTTGGCAGAGAAAAGGGCCTGAAAGAGAAATAAATATTAGAGTTCTGGTGTTTACCAAAACCATTTACATAGTATAGTAGATTATTCGAGGATCCATTAACGCATGTAGGTAAAGTTTCTGCAAAGAATACCTCATCCTTCTGACCAGCCAAAGCCTTGGCCAATGCATTCACTTCAACGACCTTCTGGGCAGCAAACGCCATCCATGACTTGATTTCATCGTCAAGCTTGGTCTCATTGATAAGATCGACGGCGGTGTGGAGAAGAGAGCAGGAGGTTGAGACCACAAGCTTGTCTGCATCAATGCAAAGAGATTACAGATCAACACTTCAATTATATGATTCTGAGAACTTCCCTAGTATTGTATTGTGGGGTAAAAGGCAGATGATTCTGAACAGACATATTACCTTTTCCAACAACACCCTCAAGTGCCTGTAAGGTGGTGAGAGACGCAGCGAAGTCATTGGCCCAGATGTTCCTTCCATCAACAACACCAGCAAATAGGTACTTTCCCGCGGGGAAACTAGCCTTGACCAAATCAAGGGTCTTGGTGCCACGAACCAAATCAAATCCAAAGGCAGTCACACCCTTCAACGAAGTTAGGGTCTTGTATGCTTCAGCAGGGATATCAGCGAAGTAGGTCTCCACAAGAACGTTCAAACCAGAAAGGGTTGATTCAAGCTCAGCGTAAGCCCCAGTAAAGGCCTGGAGTTTGTGGCCCTCAAGATCCATAACAAGGACAGGCTCATCAAGCTGAATCCAGGTGGCACCAGCTGCCTTAAGCTCGGTGATCACTTCCCTGTAAACAAATCGAAGCCGTCATTTTAGTGGATCATTCGAGACATCACGGACATTGATGGCAAATAAAAAATGACGATGTGATTTCTTACTTGTAGACAGGGAGGATTTTGGGGAGAAGGGAAAGAAGGTCGAATGACTTGTCAACACCCTTGGCAGCCTTAGAAAGCAACAAGTAAGAGACTGGTCCAACAAGTACAGGGACGGTATCAACACCAAGCTGCAAAAACATCAAGTTTAATGATTAGAACTTTAAATAGAAGGCCAAAAAAACTACTTTACGTGTACACAAGACAACCAGAGTTCAATGCATATCTAGCAACTAATCCATCAATCAACTGTGGTTTGTGAATATATATGTAACGTATCAGCATTTTCTGTGAAACACCATTCAGTGAATCTAAGCTCAAACACTAAATCTCCAATAGTTTTTAATCCGCAAACAAAAATAGTGATTTTATAAGAAATATAGTGAAGAATGGTACGTACTGCCTTGGCCTCCTTGTACTCATTGACTGCCTTGTGAGATGCGTAAGAGAACTTGACCTCAGGGCCCAACTCAGGGACGATGTAGTGGCTGCATCAATAAAATATCAAAACATTAGTCCACAGCTCCAAAACAAATACGCCCAACCGACAATGTCACAACAAAGAACACAAGAGAGCGTTCGAGACTCACTAGTTGGTGTCAAACCACTTGGTCATTTCCATGGCGGGCACAGAGGCATTTCCTCTGGCCATGGAGAAGTAAACATCTAGCCCGATCTCACCGCTGGTGTATCCGTATCTGGGAGGAACAGCACCGAGCATGGCGGTGGTGTCGAGAACCTGGTCGTAGTGAGCAAAGGTGTTGCTTGGGATAAACTTGGTCCCAGCCTCAGACATCTGTTTCCAGATGGCCGATCTGAGATCCGCCGACACTTTCTGGAGATCCTCAGCACTGCTCTTGCCATCCCAGAAGGACTCCAATGCAAACTTGAGCTCTCTCTTAGGGCCCATACGTGGATATCCAACAATGTGCGACGCCATTTCGATTTACTTTTCTACTGCAATACACAGAAAAACCAAATCGATATCAATATATAAATCAAATAAAATATTCATTCTCTTTTTCATCAACTTACTAATACTAATAAGATAAAGCGAAGTTTCATACTCCGAGAAAGTGGCAGATTTACAGATCACGTGTTCAACAACAACAAAATATGAAAAGTATTGCAGCTTTTGACGTATTTATAATATGAGTCCACTTCAAAGTAGAATTGAAAAACTTTAGATCAAATCACGAGCAACATTTGCATCTGCGGCGGATCTAATGATTACGAACAGAGAACACTAATCATTTTCAAAGATGACAAGAGATCGCAATCAGATCCAGAACCAGATCTACAAATCGAATGACACTGAATACTCAGATCTATAATCGATGAGCTTCTCACCGTTCAGATCTCAGTGAGAAACAACAAGATGAACAAACAGATCGCGGAGAAATCGAATCAAATACGATAAACCAAATCAAAATCACTGCGTTGAGCTCTAAACGAAACAAGTAACAATAACGTGGAGAAGGAAAAAACGAAATGAAGAGCGGAGAAGCTAAATAAGGGAGACGTGGGGAAGCCATAGAAACTCGGAGACGTACCTCACGGAGGAAGAATCGGAGAAGAGAAGAAAAGGATAGGCTACGAAGAGATGATGGCGAGAAGAGAGAGCGAGGAAGAAGAGTGGGCTGTGTGAGTTTATTTATAGCAAAACAAAATGGTGACTCTGTGTGTTTGTGTGAGATCTGGTGGTGGATATTTTCGGCATAATTTTATATTTTCGAGGTTTTTATTATTTAATGTGGTATCTTTCTGAAATTGATATGCCGTAGAAATACAATTATATCATGCCGTCAAAAAAGGAAAATTACAACTGCAACATATCGGAAAATATATTAGTTCGATTCAAAAATCTCAATTACCAGATGCTTTTTTTTTATACACCTCAATGCATTTTAATTGGGTATTGATTTTTAGCTTGAAAAATATGAACTACGTATTAATTTTTTCTAACAACGAATTTATAGACAGTAATTACAATTTTTTTCTAGATCTTCGGTGGTTGTGTATAGAATTATGATTATTAAAGGTTCAATCATTTAATTAACGTATTTATAAAAGTATATGAAGAGATTAAATCTATGAATTAAAACGTGAAGGGGAGTTGGTGTACGTGGGAGGGATTAGTCATTAGTGGGTGGCATGGGACCCACGGAGGTTGGTGGAGATTCACATTTCACAGTTAAGTTTCTATTAAATACGACGACGGTTTCATGTCAGCACTATAAGTTTTTTATGTCACATTTCACTTCACAGTTATTTTTTATGTCTTACTACTATAAGTTTTTTTTTAATATCTCTTACTATAAGTTATAACTAATTTCATAGTCTAATTATTTCGAAAATTTACTGTTTAAATTTTTTAACATTGAAGTTTCATATATTTGTTAATCGAAAACGGGTTGTTGCTGGAAATTCGAATACGAGAGGAAAGACTCAACCTCCATCCAAAAGAATCTTTACTAATCAAGTGAACTACTCGTGCGTGTTAGGTCATCATATATTTTATTCTTAATGCAATACACGAAACCATATAATTAACAGTAGTATCATTAAATCTGAGCCAGTAACACAAATTAGTCTTATTACAGTATACCGTGTTGAGCAATTATGTGTGGAACTTGATCATCTGAATTTGGCCATTGCCTTATACTTGTCTGCGTTTGATGAGCTTGCGATAATCTTTTTTGCCAATAATAAACATACATCTGCTCCTCTCTAAAACTAGCTATCGTTTGGACAAAACTTAAGTACCCAATTATAATCGATTGTATCGAACAAAATGTTGTGTTCGGTGAATAGAGTAGGTAAAGAAAGGGGGATTATGGACCCACAATGTACATTAGTATTGTTTAAGATTCATAAACAAAGTGATGAGTGGTCTTCATCTTGTTGTTTGCTTAATTATTTGGCCACCAAACATTGATTCTTAGCTTTGATTAACTTCACTGCTTTCCTTGTTTGCTTGCATTTGATACTTTTTACTGCTAATCTTATATTATTTTTTTGAAAAGGGCATTGCTAATCTAAGGTTTCAATTTTCTTTATGTTATTTCACAACGTTGATACGTAAAAATTATGACGATTACAAAAATAAATAAGTGTAAACATCATTAAAACTTATAACTGGTCTCGATCCTGCGTTAAAACACTTCTAAGATTAGAAAACAGTTTTAACCCAAGAAAAACATTCATAAAGTCCTTGTCACAAACTAATAATCTACTAAATTATACTATATGTATAGTGGGAGTACTATGTTTTTTTCAACCTACCAATCACTAATTCTTAATTGTATTATGTATTTCAAAGTTTATTGATATGTCTAGCCATAATAGCACATACACTACTTGATTATTTATAAGCTCTTTTAGGGGACTTACAAGAATATTCCAAGTATGGACTATAAAATTGTCTTTAATCAGTTAACTGGTTTGGACTTTGGCATGCCACTTCTTCTTGTATTGAAATTTGTGTTTCGAGTTTTTTACATAATAAATCAAGAAGATACTGAGAAAACAGTCAACAAAGTGCTGCTTTTTCCTTAACAACGTCAACAAGATGCGTATAGAGGAGAGGAGTATTTGACACAATATAGATAATAACTATAGGTTATATGATTTGTGTTCTATGGTAATTATAACCATTACTTGTCAATCACATTAAATAAATCGAACAACAGTTACATGAGACTTTAAGTAGCAAGCAGGACAATCGCATATGCTTCCTTGATGGTGGTTTGTCGGTGGATTTAGATCTACATTATATTATTATAAGAACAAAAGTCACACGAGCATTTAATGGAAAAAAAAAAAATCATTTTTGCATTCTTAATGTTTTTATTTTTCTTCAGTTTATTGGTAAGCAACGTAAACAAGTTATAATGTATATAAACAGCTCAAACGCAAAAAAAAAAATGAAGAGAATTTGTGATGTACTTAATGAAATCATCGAACTAATTCGTCCGGTGTATTGTGACAAATATGTTGTATTTTTCACAATGCTTTCGCCACCTTGAGTTTGGTTAGTAGATCGTATTATTAATTAACGAATCACAATTTAAAAACATCAATAATATTGCTGGCTTATAAATCTTTACAATTAAACTATGAAAAAGGCATGCTTTTAGCCATGTGAGTTAATAAAAAGCTATATACACATAAACATCATAATTTGACTCAAAGGTTTATAATTTAAAGAATTTATGATGATCTTCAGATTTATAATTTTGTTCACCTAAATCTCAATCATAAAGCTTCATGTTATTAAGAGGTTAAAAGATGAAAATGAAAGCTAAAGACCTGTTAGCAGTTAACCGTAATCTTATCCGAAACTTACTTGATTTTTTTTGTTTGCATAGAATAAAATTGCTCATGACTTTCATTGTAGGAAATGTTGCCAAACTCAAGACTAGACTAGACCTCCATCATGCAATGTAGGCATGTATATACACAATGTTGAGATTTACTTGAGAGCCATAGGTTCCATGTTTGTAATTAACTTGATAAGACAGGGGACCAAGCTTAGACCTATTCAAATTTACTACTAAAAGTTTCCAATGCGAAAAGTTAAACTTCGCATTTTTAATACTTATAGGCGAAATGGTGGATATACTTCGCATTCTAGAAGAGTAGATCATATAAACTTTGCAAATTTCTTTGATAATCATTAGCTATAAACTTAAATGTTTTGCTCGTCATCTAGTCATCTAGAGGGTAGTTTACTAGTTTCAGAAACATTCATTTTACATGCTGAGATAAGTTTCTCACGTTATTTATTGGAAATTTCAATTGCAAAGATAGAAAAAGACAAGAAGTGAAATGAAAGACGAACACACATGTGACTCTATTTTTTGGAAATCCAAGTAGAGCAGCTAGTACTCTGGAGCAAGAGAGAGTCACTAAACCCTAAAAGCGAGGTGCTGAGATCGAACTCCAACATATAATCCTGAATCTGATGTGTCCCTATATGTATCTCCAGTCTCTTACCGCCGTCGAGGAACGCCAAACACATTACCGTCTTAGTCTCTTTCACCACCGTATTCGCACCGTAGAACCGCCACTTCACCTCCCCTGCCCTCCCTGGCACCCCAATCTCTATCACCGGCACGTTCGGTCCCGTCAAGTTCCTCCCGACGGTGCGTGTGTTGAAACAGTCTTTAAACGGCGCTATCTCTCGGACCTTGGATATTCCCATTGCCTTTTGTAATACAAACCCAAGTAAAAAACAAATCAGAAATATTCTCATCGCAAATAACCATTTGTATAAAAAAAACAACCAAGGCATAATGTTTTTAATATCTTATCAAAATGACTTATCTTAACAAAATATTGTTGACTAATATAGACTTATTTTTCTTTCTTTTTTTCTAATAAAAATACCTTTGCTCTTTGTGTGAACGATTTAGCTAGAGCACTATAAATATCGGTGTGGAGTATAGTGTACGGAAGGACTGAGCTGAGTTTAGCTCCGCCGTTAAGCAAATCAGGTTTCAACGGTAAAGGTACTCCGTCAACGTAGATGGACTGAACGGTAACGGAATAACTTCCGGAGGAGGCATTGGAGGTCAAAGGAGTGAGTGTCCTAGTAAAAGAAAGACCGCCGCCGACGAACAAGTGGCCGGAGCCAGAGGTGGAAGAAGGCAAACAGAGATAAAACTTCGGGAGAACTCCGAGCGCTGACGTCACCTGCTTCGGAAACGACGTATCCGCAGGAGAAATGCCAAGAACTCCGTCGGCCGGAGTTGATAGGTCTTGGAGATTCTTCTTGCTGGCGCAGACGAACGTGAAGCGGCGGACGGAGACGGGGGCGAGGATTTTTCTGCCTTCGATGTTGGTGGAGTGGAAGGATAGTGTGTCTTGGACGACACGGCCGGCTACTAGGTCTTGAGCGAAAGGGTTGTAGAAACATGAGTTTTGGTTGCAGCTTGCTCCCTCGATGGATTTGCAGGTGGAGCTTTCGCAGGTGACGAGGCGGAGAGATTATGTAGATTTGAGTTTGCGGCAGTTGATCCATGTGAGGTTGGTTCCCAAATGGAGGACGACGTTTAGGGTGGATTTTCTGGCGGATCCGACGTTGAGAGTTGAGTAAAATAGATTGTCGGGTTCATGTTTGGTGATGGGAAAATGGAATAGGTTCGGGGTTGGGGTCGTTTGGGCGTTTGGTTTCAGAGTTACGGCTGAGAAAATGAATAGAAAGACGAGGAGGCTCTTGAGGCCATGCATCACTGATTTTGTTCTATTGTTTTTTCCTCGGATTTTTGTGAATGTGATTGTTTGTGATGAAGATGGACTACAGATGTTTGATATTTATACACACAAAATGAAAATGTAAAACAAGGGTTAAGTATCTTGAGATTCACGTTGTGTATTTTCTATTTATTTTTCTTCGGTTTACTGTTGAATAGTTCTATGAAAATGTAGTATAAATACTTTGAATAGTTGTTGAGATTCACATTTGTGTATTCTCTGTATATTTTTTTTTATTTTATTGCTGAATAGTTCTATGAAAATAGTATTACAAATCTTGTTAAATAACACGTGACTATATTATGAAATAACATCTACCGTCGTGATCCGGAAGCAAGATCCATAACAGGCGCTGCTCAAGCATTCACGTTATCACAAAAGGTCAACGCCAGAAATTTCACGAGAAATATTTTCTCGGTTTCTTAAATTAGAAATGTTAGCGTTGTCTTTGGGATTGGCTCATGTCATATCTCTTCTGTCATTGGCTACACTAGTTTGCTCATTTCATTTATTTGGCTACAGTACACACTACCTTGGTGAATGTGCTGCTACTTTGGCCTCCTTGAATTAGTGTGACAGATGGTGTAAGTGGGAGAGCTAGATTTGACAAATGCGGCTTGAGACTTTGACCTTTTGTGAAACTATTTAGAGCCTCCTTGATGAGGTCAAGACTCTAAATCACGATTCGAGAGCTCTAAATCAAGACCTCTTGGTTTCAAGACTATTTATTGTATTAAGTTGACTTTGTTCCGATGAGTGGCAATTTGATTTTTTTGTTTTAGTGCGCTTGTGAAATTCAGACCAATACAATACTACCTTGAAAAGTACCACCAGACTTGCCTTGGAAATAAAAATGCTCGGATACAAGGAAACATAAAACAAAATCTATATTGATTGATCCCATAACTGATCCAATACAAAACACACTCGTACGACCATGTCTCTTGTCCACGAGCTTACGGTAGTAACAAAGCAATATTATTAATTACTGCGATTTAGAGTACTCAGAGATGGCAGAGTAAGATGTTTTCTTCTTTTTTACTACAACACACCACTTAGCATCAGTTTTGGATTAAATTCGATCAGACGTTGGTGCGGTTTATTTCTCCCAATCTTTCATCTTCTTGCTTCCCTTTGGTTTTTCAATAGGAGCATCCATGCCTGCCATTTTCTTATTGTATTTCTCACGTAGAGGATCATTCGAAGTCCACCTGCATCATCAAGCAACAATACATTCAAAATCTGCAACTCCATAAATTCAATTCATTTCTCAGCTTAAATGTTTCTACTCAATAAATCAGATTCCAGAAGCCTAAACGAGAGCTACCTTCATATCAAAAGTCTATGACTAACCAAAATGTAAGAAGTTAAAGAAACAGTGAAAGCAGAAAACTTACGGGTTACTCCAATCTGTTGTATCCTCATTGACAAGGTGAGTCCATTTAGTTCTTCCACTACGACCAAAGTGCTTGACCTGCATGACTTTCGGCAGAATCGATTTGTCCAACCTATCTTCTCCCGTGGGAGCAGAGAAGTCTCGCTGAAATATCCCATCAGTCCCAACAGATCCCGCCTCGTCATCAGGATCCGCCTGGAAGAAAGCACCCTTGTGGTAGTACTTCTGCATGAAGTTCCATTTCTTCTTCGACTGAGCAGTTGTAGCTTTCGGATTCTTCCTCTCCCAGTCTCTCCTCTCCTGCTCCGTCATGTTCCTCAGCTTCTCTACCTCTTCCCTCTCTCTCAACATAGCTTCCTTCGCGTCCCTTTCCCTCTTTATCCTAGCGATCTCTCTCGTCTTCCAAACTTCATACTCCTCAGCTTCGTTGAGTTCATCATCAGTTTCCACATCTCCAATATTCGCTTCTTCCAACAACATGTTCTTCCGTATCTCCTCGTCTTTCCTAACTTCCTCAACCACAATCTGCTTCGTCTCTATCTTCCTCTGCTGAAGTTTCCTCTTTGCTAACTCCTCAAGCGCCTCTTCCTCAGCTTCAAGCCGCTCACGCTCCGCAACCGTATCTCTCTCAGCTTTCGGTACAAAAACAGGCTTGATCATGGTAATCCCAGGCATCTCGTCCTCCGAATCAGTCTCGTACTCAGACTCTTCCTCCTCCTCGTCTTCATCTTGTAGCTCGTCTTCTTCTTCCTCTGGAAGCAGAGCAGCCTCTTCTTGCGCTCTCTTAAGATTCTTCTCTCTGATTCTCCTCCTTCTTTCTTCCAACGCATCTTCATCTTCTTCCTCCTCTTTAATCTCCTGATTCCTCAACTCTTCTTCTTCAGTAGATATAATCTCAGCCTGTCTCACACGCCGGTGATCGGCTCTAGCTTCTTCGCGGTTCTCGATTCTCGTCTGAGCTAAACGGCGAAGCCTCGGATCGTCTTTCCTAGCAACACCTAAATCATCATGAGCTCTATCCAAAACATCGACCTTGTGCATCTTAACATCCTCGTCTTCTTCGGGTTCCTCTGCCCACTCCGGAGCTTTTCCAGGCCAGTATCGTTTCACTTTCGTCTGTCCGATCCCGCCTCGTAGCTTCTCCCTCGCAGCGAGTGCTGCGTCACTCACTCCCGCTGTGACAGACATCTTTGCACTATCGAAGCTCGATTACGTTGGCTGCCTTTGTTTTTCTGCACCATGGAAGAAACCAAAATCAGGGATTCGATTCAAGCTTTGCATCAATAGTGTTCGCCAGGAGCTAATTCTCAAAAAGCTAAAATCTAAATGGGAGGCATTCTGTAAAATGCATAGCAATTGTAGAGTTCCACGAGTAAAAGGGAAAAAGTGGATCGATCTCTATGAAATTTGAGTCATTTTTCGATGTTCGACATAGAGAGATCAATCTAAGCTCGAATCACGATACTCAATTGTTATCTATGGGAGAAAAAGGAAACACAAATAAACCAAATTCAGAATAAATTGACGATAGATAAACGAACTTACAATTTGGAGAGACCTGTAGGGATAGAGAAGGAGAGGATTCCAAATCGGCAAAACTGTGTGAAGGAAACCCTAAGAAATCGTGGTGGTGGGACGGAGGAGGAGAAGACGACGATGGAGGTCGTGAAACCGGAACGTTAACTAAACGCATAATTAACGCGAAAGCTCATATAAGAAACTCATTAGAAACTCTACTGGGCTTTATTGGGCCTCTGAAGTATTAGTTAGACGTTGGCCCTATGAAATATTTGAAGCCAATGCTCAAACCTCTTATCAAAACCCGGTACAAACTGAAAAATCCTGGATCTGGAACAACAACCATCATCTATAGACGGAAATGCTAAAAATACAAACATACAGTATTTGACACTCGTCAGTTGTAACATAATCGCACAAAATATATCTTCGATGAAAGAACAAAAAAAAACAATTGTTGTGTAAATTTGGGATTTAAAACATTTTTTATTATTGATCAAACAATTTTGTTTTTAACTGTATTGAAAGTTGAAACTTTAAATGCCTCCAAACTACAAATGTAATCAACAAGTTAGAATACAGCTGATAAATTGATTACAAAAGTGTTGAAGAATCGACTCAAGATTTAACTCCTAAATCTAATTCTTTCTCTTTCGGATTTGATGCGATAAGAAGAAAGAAAAAAAGTAAAAGCAAAATAGAAAACAACCCACTTATTTTGGTAACTCAAGAGTTCCTTGCGTACTCTCCTCGGGCATGGCTTCGCCGGCAACTTTTCACTAGAACGAAGCTCTCTCTCTCTTTGTACCTCTCTCTCTCAGCTCTTTGATCCTTTACAACGAGAAACTCGAATCTTCTCTTCTTCATCTCTCACAGCTCCAGAGACTTAAGCCGGTATAGGACTTCCTCTAACCTACTGTATACATTAAACCGGTACCTTTATGGTTAAGCTAAATGAGAGAAAATATGGCTCTTTTTAAATGATTTCTTGCAGAATAATTCATTACATTAAACATAGCTCTTTTTAAATGATTTTTTGCAAAATAATTCATTAAACTCACATAGAGGTTCTCAACCATAATTGTCTCCATTTAACTTTTCTTGTAACATGGTAGATTACAAGTAGTTCTCAATCAGTTTTCTAGTTGATTTCTACAAAATTCAAAAATGCTAAAAGTTTAAAAAATAGTGGAGAAAGATCGATACTTAAATCGTCTAACGAGGATTGTTTTCTCTCTTAAACACTACTACTTACAAATGTAATAATTAACTAATAATATACTTATTATTTAATACATATATTTGTTAACAAATGCCATCTAAAATTAGTATTACTAGAAAAAAATATTTCTAAAAATTTGTGTATGACATAAATAAATTCCCTTAAAAATAATTTAACAAAATATGTTCTTCTTCTTTATTTTAACAAAAAAATATGTTCTTTAAGTTGGATATTAAACTATGTATATGATATATAAACTTTTTTAATTTCTTTTTAACAGAATATGTCATTTAATTGGATACCAAACTTTGTGTATGATATATAAATCTTCGTATGAAAAAACTAAATTTATGCCTTCTAAATTTGGGATCCCTACTCCACCACTTCCCTCGCATGTGTTCTGGGCCGGCACTCCTCTGTGCTCTAGAAACCGTACGCGGCATGTTGGATAGAAGAGGACTAGGGCTCTTTGCCTCCAGCACTATTCTTGAAGATGTTAGAGGATACTCCTCAATAACACTTGAAGCTTCACTCTCTATTGTGATTTCACTAGGTATTGTATCATTTATTGGAGCCGTAATTATCTCAACACCACAATGAATCACCATGCAATTAGCACCTAAAAGCTTGTTGTCCCAACTCACTGCGTGGAATTCAAATTTGACCCACAAATTTGGGTTTTCTTCACTACCATTGGTGTGCATTTCGGTATCATAGAAGATGAATATGTGATCCGATTCAACTTTTGGAGCTTCCGTCGGATCCCAACAACGAAATAGTCTCTCCATTTTACCCAAGAAGCCGTTCCTGGTCTGCCATGTGCATATGCACCTAATCCCTAGACCTACGACATTGTGGTGATCATCCTGAAATGATACCACAACTGACATAGCAAAGCCAGAGAGAGGTTTTCGTGTCCAAGGAGAATCTATCATTACATTTGGTCCTGCTTGCAATAGAAAGGAGAATCTCTTACGTGCGTCTGAAGGAATACAGATAATGACTTCAGGTTCTCTGATGACTTCCTGTTCAAGCAAAGGCCAAATCCAATCAGATAACATGCATTTGATGTGCGCAGTCGAATATATCTCAAAGAGAGGGCGACAAGATCATTACAAACCTGTTGCTGCGCTCTTGCTATCCTTGCTACTCTAGTTAGACCTCTCTCTAAGAAGTCAGCGATCACTTGTGAAGAAAAATTGAAACAATTACTGAAGGTGTAATGCCTAGGAAGCTGCTCAAAGTTTAACAAAATCGACTTCAAATGCGTACAACCATGAGCATTCAAGAACTCTAGACTATTGGGAAGTTGTGGCACTTCTCGTATTGCGGTTCCACCAACATATAACTTCCTCATGTATCTTGGGAAACCCTTAATTTCCATAAGCTCTGAGCAACCAGACAGGTGTAGAACTTGGAGAGAATCTAATAAATTGGCCATGTCAGGAAGACTTCGCAGATGAGAACAATCTTTCATGTTCAAGTGGACAAGTCTTTCAAACCGTTGATTATATGAACTTACTTTAGCCACATCTGTTACACTCTCCAAGTCGATATGCTCAACATCTTGAGAGTTTTCTAGAAGATTCAGAAGCTTTTGGCGGTCCAGCTTAATTTTTTGGGGGGACTGGCTCACAATGGATATTGGTACTTCCCTTATACTGGTTCCTTGAAGATGTAGTTCCTCAATATTTGGTGGAGCTCCCTGGAAAATTTTGATCTCTGTGCAACCTGTGAGATTTATAACTCGGAGATGTTGTAATTCACTAGTGTCTGGAAAAGTTTGCAATCTTGTACAGCCTTGGAGATCAATCAGCTCAATATTTCGAGCAAATAAAACTAGATCGAACTCAACTAGCTGCTGGGAATGACAAAGCCTGATCCTCTTCAACATCTTAAGGTTCTAAGCAAATAAAAAATTTGAAATTTTTTAATTAGTGGGGTTAATTAAAGATGAACACCACACTTAACATACCTTGGTTCTTGTCCCGAGTGACTGAAGCTGACTGTAAGACATACAAAGTTCAACAAGGTTGTCAAGTTCAAAATCTTGAGGCAAAGATTGCAAAGGATAGTTCTCCCAATGGAGGAGCCTTATCCCACAAGGCAGAGAATCAAGCCCCTTGGGAAAGTTGAGTCCGGGAACATATTTAGAGCAAGAACTGTATATCTTTAGGAACCTGAGATTAAACATATTCTTGAAGGCATCATGTTTGACATCAAATTCCAAGTTCGATGTGTCCAGAAATATGCTTTCTATGTCTTCAGCGACCTGAGAGAACAAGGAAAATCAATAAATCAAGGAGTTCGGCTCATCTTTAAAGAATGTGTATGTCTAAGAATTTTACAGACCAAACCATATTTAGGTGTTGCACTGGATTCTCCACTTGCATTCAGAACATCACTTTCGAGTAGATATCTGATGCTGTTAGGTTCCCACATCCTGGTGGAACTCTCTGTTTCTCCATTGAGGATTTCGTGGCAGATGTCTTGGATCAGATTAGTCATTTGCACTGTATTTTCTGGAATAGTCACCAGCCATTTCTCCACAAGAACATTTAATCCAATGTGTGGAAAGTAACGACACCCTTCCAGCATTTGGATCACATAGTTGACATCTTCTCCCCTGAACAAACAAGCAATGTCCAAAAAAATGTTCTTCTCGTTATCACCAAGTGTGCTATATACACTCTTTACCACATCTTTAATCTTTTGAGGAGGACATTGCTTGAGTTTGAGGAATGCAGCTTCCATATCTGACATCTTCCCCTTAAGCTCTTGGCCATAGATGCGGAGAAACAACGGGTTCCCATTAGCATAGTCTATCACCTTTCTTGATATTTCTCTGTCAATATTCTCTGGCATGTCATTTTCATAGGCGTTTTGGAAGAACAACTGGAGAGCCTCGTGCTCGTTCAAACCACGAACCTCATATATTTGATTGATATGACAAAAAGCAAACACTTGTTTATCTATGGAGGTCATGATTACAAGGCTTCCGGGACCAAACCAATCAAGCCTTCCAAGGAAAGACTCTGCAGCAAGAGAATCGCCCACATCATCTAGGACAACAAGAATCCTTTTATCACATAGTTTGTCCCTGTGGAGACTCGTTCTCATAATGTAAGAACTCTTTATGTCAAACGCTTCCTTTAGACTTTTACCAACTTTTTCTTCGAGCAAGTGGTCAAGTCCTTCTTTAAGAAACGCTTCATCAAAGTTTTCGATAAAACAAGACGCATCATAATCAGTCGACATGTGGTTAAAGACTGCTTTAGCAAGAGTCGTCTTGCCTATGCCAGGCATACCCCAAATTCCTATGCTTCGGAGGTCCCGCGATTGCTTGTAGAGCAAGTTTTCAATCTCAAGGATCTTCGAATAAATTCCAACTCCTTCTGCACGATAGAGCTTTCCAAAAACATCTTTCACGACCTCTTCCACTAGTTCGGAGTCCGAAAGTACCCTATTGCTTGAGATCCTGGCCCAGAAAAAAAAAACTCTTATTATTCAACAGGTACAACCAAATTTCAACTAAAGTTGTAAGAACCTGTAAGTGTGATGGAATTCCTATATCAATACATATAAACAAATTATAATCTCCTGGCAACATTTTCAACGATAATGCAGACCGTGGTAAAAAAAAACAGAGACAAGTAAGGATTTTTATTTGGATTCTTCATTTTTTTTAATCTTTTCGTAATCCGGACGAAACCGGCTAATCTCAGGTGGGTATGCGAGTTTATGGGCTCATAAGGCACAAAGCATACCTGTTATGAATCATACTTTTTTAAAGACATGCGACCACCAATGGATTTTTTAAGACTGTTCTTGCAAATTGAAGCGTAAATATATATATATGAACCTTGATTGGTGCGTTGTTATGTATCCGGCCTCGAGCCATCTATTAGCCCACCCGTAAACTCGGGTAAATGGATCGACGTCATAGAACACTGGAACGATCCACCCGCTAGCGCCGTTGTCCCTGGGACGCTCGATGACCTCTATGAACTTATGACTCCAAGGATCGTTTACCTTCTCTATATTGGAAGTAACCACCACAGAAATCGTATGATTCTGATCACCGGCGAAAGAATTGATCTCCGGAAACTCGCATGCATCTACGAACAAAGAGATGCCTTCCCGGCGTAAAGCGGCAGAGAGGTGGCTGACGAACGAGTAGTGTTCCGTTTTCTCGCAGAAGATTTTGACGCTGTGGCTATCATTTTGAGCAGCTGGTTGATTCGTAAACTCCATCTCTCCCAATTCTCCTCTCCAGACGAAAAGGAGACAGTTCAACGGACAACCACTTTACCAAGAATATGCAGCTAATATTTCCTCTCTCTTTTCTTTTTAGTAGTATCTATTAAAAACTGATTATTGTGCCAATAACGTAATTAATGGCATAATTTGGGTGTTTTCCAATTTAATTAAGTTTGCGTATTTTTAATGGCATAAATTAAGTTTTCCAATTTATGGCATAAACTGATTATTGTGTCAATAACACATAAGTAATGGCATAAATTAAGTTTGTGTATTTTTAATGTACTAGTGTATTAAAAAGTATGATTATTATATTAGTGTTATTGGGTGTTTTCTATCATAAATTCATGGCACCAGTTGTGTGTGTGTTTTTTTTTTTTTTGGTGTAACACCGGGAGCTCCCGAAGATTTATTCAAAAAATTAAACAAGTTACACATGGACTTGCCGTGAAATCAAATGCCCACACTCATCCTCACGCAAAACATCCAACAAGCCTGGAGGAACTAAATCAAACGAATGAAAACCAAAAGGTAAAGAAAATGTATAGTTTGCTAATCCGTCGGCGAGACGATTAGCCTCCCTATACAAGTGGGTAACCCGGACTTCCTAGTCCTTAGATAAGAAGCTGTGACACAGATGTATCAGGAAAGACAAAGGATGCGTGTCACAGATCCCTGTCTTGATAAAACCAACCACCATTGCGGAATCCACCTCGACATCAATATGAAACACTATAGGATGAAACAATATGAAAGGTCGCAGATGATTTAAACATATTATGCTCGCCACTAAAATATTATGTAGCTAAACTGAAATTACAAAAGCGTGTTTATTCTAATAGTCAATAAGAATCAAAGAAAAGTCCGAGGGAGATAATTATTGAAGCAGATGTGAATCTGATTGGAAGGCATTAATTGGTTGGGGGGTCTCTATAAAGATTAGGATGATATCAGGGACGGGACCAAATCCAAATGGTAGTGTGATGGTAACGGCTGGAACAAGCGGTACCAGTGGTAAAGAATATTTTTCTTCTCTAGATAGAGCGTCTCTTTTGGGTTGACAAAGTCAATAGTGCCCACACAGAACATGGCAAACGGGTTTATTTTACTAATTACATTCAGAAAAAAGGGAACTATGATTTCATGAAAAGATTGACTTTTACGATCCTATTTGGAGTCTCCTAAAATATGTTGCAAAAAGGGAGCATAATTTTGGGGTCCTTTCATTTTTGATAGCGCTAAAGCTAGAGAAAAATGTCAAGTTAGAAAATTTGACATGGCAAGCTCTTCTTCCCCTTCCAGGGTGAAAGCAGACACTGATACACCCCAAGAACAAGTGTTCATTAACTTCCGTGGAGTCGAACTACGGTACAACTTCGTCAGCCATCTCGAGAAATGCTTGAAAAGGAATGCGATCAATGCCTTCATAGATACAGATGAAGAGAAGGGCCAAGAGTTGAATGTTCTTCTCAAAAGAATCGAAGGGTCGAGGATCGCGCTAGCGATATTCTCCCCAAAGTACACGGAGTCAAATTGGTGTTTGAAGGAGCTTGCGAAGATGAAGGAAAGAATGGAGCAAAGCAAGCTCGTGGTGATTCCAATATTTTACAAGGTGGAGCCAGCCACTGTTAAAGAACTCAAGGGAGAGTTCGGCGATAATTTCAGGGAGCTGGTGAAGTCTATTGACAAGAAAACCAAGAGTCAATGGAAGGAAGCTTTGAAATCTGTTCCTCTCTTAATGGGTTTCACGTTGGACGAGAAAAGGTAACTCCTTCATTCACTTTGAGATATCAAAAACTAAGGAGCAAGAATCTAACAGGGGGTTGGGATCAAGCCAAGTCCAAGCCAGTCCAGATATGTTAACAAAAATCGCATTATTCTGAGTTAAACAAGCTAGAACTTCTTTTTTTTGGTCAAACAAACAAACTATAGCTAATCTTTGGATTTATTAGATTTAAGAATGTTAGAAACCTACGTTTAATAAACATCCCCAATCTTTGGATACAAGTCAAGTCACCACAAAAGCTAGCTTATGAGTGATGATGCTTTTATACCTTTTTCGCAGCTATGAGGGCGAAATCATCACAAAAGTCGTCATGGAGGTTAAGCAAGTGCTAAACAGACTTTCAAAGGCTTCTCTTAGTCCCCCAGAATGTAATGGACTATCTCCACAAAGACACCAGAAAAGTCGAGAAAGCTCCTGGGGAATCGAACACCGACTTAAGCAACTAGAAGAAAAGTTAAGCTCTGGTCTCGAAGAAACAACTCGTGTCATTGGTGTTGTTGGGATGCCTGGCATTGGTAAAACCACCCTAGCTAGGAATCTGTACGAGAAGTTGAACGACGGATTCTTGAGCCACGTGTTAATACCAGATATCCATGATATTTCAAAGCAACATGGGTTGAGTTACTTGCCCACGATCCTCTTGGAAGGTTTATTGAATGTCAAGGATCCCAACTTTGAGACAGTCAAAGCTGCACATGAAGCTTTCTTGTCCTCGACAATGTCAGTAGCAAGGAACAAATTGATGTTCTTCTCGGCAACCGCGACTGGATTAAGCCGGGAAGCAATATTGTCATTGCAACAAGCGATAAGTCATTGATACAAAACTTGGTCGATGATTTTTACGAGGTCCCTCGATTAAGCGACAGAGACGCTTTCAAGCACTTTATTCATTATGCATTTGATGATCAACAAGGAGATCATGCTCTTGAGCTAGGAAAGTTCCGCAAATTGTCGAAAGGTTTTGTGCATTATACAAAAGGAAATCCACTAGCTCTGAAGATTTTAGGAGCAGAGCTTTTGGGAAAGGATGAGACTCATTGGGAATTAAAACTAGCTGCATTGAATCAGCACCATAAAAGTCCACCAGGACAAAGCACAAGCAAGATGCTTCACAATGTTTGGAAAGGGAGTTACGGTGGATTAAGTCAACAACAGAAAGATACGCTTCTTGACATAGCATGCTTCAAGTCGCTAGATGAGAATTACGTAATGAGTTTATTGGATTCTGATGGGGCTATGAATGAAGTACAAAATCTCGTTAACAAGTTCATGATTAATATTTATGCGGGCAAAGTAGAGATGCATGATACTTTGTATATGCTCATTAAGGAACTTGGTCAAGAAGCTACTGCTGCAGATGGTAAAGGCCGGCATATGTTGTGGTACCACCGTACAATAATGGATGTGCTACAAAGAAATAAGGTATTACACTATTACTGACTAAATTTCTCACAACTGTTTAGTCGTTTTAAAATTTTACCATTTTCTACCAGTCATCAACTTGTCACATTTCCTACAATGAAAAGTCATCGAATATGTTAAGTTATATGAAAAGTTGAAACTGGCAGCATGCATTAACTTACCTTTTTGCATAAGTTATATTATACCTTCAAGTTGTTTAAAATCCTTTGGTTATGTTTGCCATTGGTTACAGGGAGCTTTTAATGTCAGATCTATTTTCCTTGACTTGTCTGATATAACAAGAAAAATGAGCTTCCACAGCCATGCTTTTGCCAAGATGAGCGATCTAAGATATCTCAAAATCTACAGCACTCATTGTCCTCAAGAATGTGACCGTGACATTAAATTAAACTTCCCTGAAGGACTCCAGTTACCATTGAATGAGGTGCGATGTCTCCACTGGTTGAAATTCCCATTGAAAGAAGTTCCACAAGATTTCAACCCGGTCAATTTGGTTGACCTTAAGCTTCCTTACAGCAAGATTGAACATGTTTGGGAGGATAACAAGGTTTGTTTAACTTTCTCCTTTTCTTGGGCCAATGCATACCAGTTGACTACATGACTTGATAAGCTTTAGTTTTTGGCATGTAGTGTCGACTCTTGTAATTTTATTTACTTCTTTTTTTTGTTTCATTTTTCTCAGGATACATCAAACCTAAAATGGGTCGATTTGAATCACTCAAGGAATTTGAGCACTTTGTCAGGGTTAGGAAAGGCTCAAAATCTTCAAGAATTATATCTTGAAGGTTGCACAGCGCTGAAAATGTTGGATATAGATATGCAAAACATGAAGTGTCTGGTTTTCTTGAACCTAAGAGGATGCACAAGTCTCCAGTCGCTCCCAGAGATTAAATTGATCTCTTTGAAAACTCTCATTCTCAGTGACTGCTCAAAGTTCAAAACCTTTCTGGTTATTTCAGATAAGCTAGAAGCTCTATACTTGGATGGCACTACAGTAAAAGAACTCCCTTGTGACTTCTTGATCCTCCAGAGACTTGTGCTATTGAACATGAGAGGCTGCAAGAAGCTGAAAAGATTCCCTTGCAATTTCGGTGAGCTGAAATCTCTTGAAGAACTGATACTTTCTGGCTGCTCAAAGCTCAAAGAACTTCCAGAGAGTGGGAAAAACATGAGCCGTTTAGAGATTCTGCATTTGGATGAGACAAGCATAGAAGAGATACCAATAATATTCTCAGTGCGGAGTTTATGCTTGAGCAGGAATGAAGATATTAGGCGCCTTCCGGATCTAATCAATCAGTTCTCTCGACTGCAATGTCTTGATTTGAAGTATTGTACGAATCTTACGCATGTTCCTCAGCTTCCACCAAATCTTCAATGTCTAGATGTAAGTGGTTGTAGCTCACTGAAAACAATTGCGAAACCTCTGGTATGTTCTGTTCCGGTGGAGGATATCCATTCCAAGTTCATTTTCACAAACTGCAACGAATTGGAAATAGCTGCAAAGGAGGAGATTGTAGTCTATGCTAAACAAAAGTGTCAGTTTCTATCAAGTGCACTTAAACACCGCAATGGGGTATCTCTCTTCCTTCCCCATGAGATTTTCATGTTGTATAAGATATAGATTAGTGATTATCCTGTTGTATAACTTTGCAGGGTTGTGTTCCTGAGATTTTGTTCGATACTAGCTTTCCTGGATGTGAAATGCCTTCATGGTTTTCACACGAAGCAATCGGATCTATGGTGGAGTTTGAATTACCTCCTCACTGGAATCACAATAGGCTTTATGGGATAGCCCTATGTGTTGTTGTCTCATTTCATAACTGTCAAAACCATACCAACTTGTTAGTCAAATTCACTTCTGAGCAAAAGACCAGGGAGGGCTCTTGCCCCGGCATTACCTGGAAGGTTGGAAATTTGATTGAGCACGCCGATGAAGAAGAAAAGGTTGAGTCAGATCATGTCTTTATTGGCTACACCAACTGCTTAGACCTCGTACATCTTGTTGAAGGCCAAGGTCCTCCTAAATGTGCTCCAACCAAGGCCTCCCTTGAGTTTATTGTCACACCAACTGGTACTAGTGGGAAAGCTAGGTTTGAAGTTTTGAGATCTGGTTTCAGTTTCGTGTTTGAACCAGAAGAGAACAAAGTTTCATTCCCAAGGAATCATGACGAAGTCTCAGGTAACACAAAGATTAAGGGAACTCCAACCGTTAATGGTTGTGTCAAGGATCAAGCAAATGGTGATGAATCATGCAAAGGGCCAGTGGCAGACTTACATTGAAAGTTCTGGTAGTAACGTCACAGGTGAATCACATTCTTCCCAAACAACTAGTTTTGATTCCACTCTTGTGTATTAAAAAACAATGATCGTATCACTCACTCTCGTTCTGACAGACATTTACCAAACTCAGTTATGTTAGCTATGATAGTTCTCAAGTGGTTACCACATAATTCTTCCTTGTTTAAAACCATTCCCATTTTTATGCCAGCGAAACATATCATTTGAGTGAACAGATGACATGCTCTTACGTTTTTATATGAAAGCTAAGCAACGAGGTAGCAACCACTAAGTCTTATTTTATCATCCAAACATAATTCCTACTTATGAACGATGGAACTACATTTCTGCAAGCAGTAAACTACAATGCTAAAACTCAGAAAGTAACAAACATGTAAATTTTCGTTCTCTGTTACAATGTTAAACCCCAAACTCAAACTCAGTCTAGATATTACTTTTTCTGCCATCTTTTTTTTTTTCTTTTGGCCGTTCACATGTTCAAGTCTTTTCATCAGATTCGTATTGCATCGTCATGGACATAAAGCTGAGACATTTAAGCCAAATAAAAACAGAGGAAAAAGCTTGAAACTTTAAAATTTGCAGTTTGATCCATTCATTCACCAATCAAACACAAACCAAAACAGACAACAGAAAACTGAAACACATTAACAGAAATAGACACGAAGAGAAGTTCTCGAACTAGATTACAACCAGACCAGCAGATAACTCAGAACTAGGCGGCATCTCCAGAGACCAAATCTCCAGCAGGAGAAGCGGCGGCGACGGCACCTCCGTCGTCGGAAGAAAGAGCGAGCGGAGTCCACTCCGGTGGGAGAGGAGGAAGAGGAGCATAAACGGTAGGCTTTCTCTTCATGTCCCAAGGCTGCGTCTTCTTCGGCCTCGTCTTCCTGTGATGCGCAGTCGATTTCTTCTGCGGCCTCGACGAACACTCAATCACCATCCCTAATCCTCCTCCGACTCCTCCATTCCCCAATTTCGGAACCTGAAATTGGCGGAGAACCGGATATGCAGCGACGGTGGCGATTCCGGTGCCAAAGATAGCGGAGACAGACATTGTTTCTTATCTCTTATGCAGTGAAATGAAGTCTGAGCCTCTGGCTTCGGATTTCAAGTAATCATATCTTCTCTGAGTTTACTTTCTGTTTGGGCCTTTTAAGTATCTATTGGGCCGAGGCTTCTACACAGAAGTGGACGTAGTGGAAAAGATATAGCCCATATTCAACTCGTTAATTTTTTTTTTTTTGGCGGCAACTCGTTAATTAATGCTGCCATGGTTATGTATTAATTCAATAACACGCCTAAATTAGGCTTTAAACTATACTATCACCAACATAACCCAATTTCACACCACCCTCACTTTTTTTCTTTAATCACAAATTCTTATATTTTTATCATTACAACTAAATAATCAACTAACAGCGGAAATTGTGTGAATGCTATTGCTAGGAAAGGTACTCTTCTTAACGTAGACTCAAAAACATTTGCAAAAATTATGGCCGAAAATGAGATTACTTTCGCCTACGTGACTTGCATGATCCGACACATTGACAAATCCACCACGTGCATTGGATTACCACCCCTTATTTTATCTTTCGATAGATGATTATATTGGTTTATTTATTTACAATTAGTACAACATATCGACATATCAACAGCTCAGCCATTCGATTACTAGTACGAAGAGATTCTGCCTGTTAGACCAAATTAGGCATCACAAACCCATGGCACCCATTGGCCATTGTATTATACAAGTTTTGCAAGCCTTATCCTTATCGTAATTTCGTTAAAGTAACAACCGTGAGATAAACTTAACTGGACCAGTTTTTTTTGTCTACAACCCATTCTATCAATTAACTAAGTTCGAAAATGATACTATATATCTAAAAAAAGAGAATGGTAGTTAAAATAGTTATAAAATATATATGTATATAATTTACAATATAAATAAATTGGGAGCTTATATATCCAAATATTTGTCAACTTACAGGCAAGTGTCCTGTATAAAGGCCTACTTTGAGCCAATTTCAGTCATGTGATTGCTTTTTTGTTGGTAAATTTTGGTATATCGAGAAGAGAACCATATGAATCGACTGCCCTTGTGTGGGTGTGGGTGTATGTGTGTTTTTGTTTTTGTTTTTTTGCAGTACTGCATTATTTTGTAAACTGTTTTTATTGGACTTTTTGAACGTATGCCAGCTAAATGAATATACCAGGAATCTTTGGATTCTTTTTTTATTTACCTATTTTTAATTTCCGAACTAAATAAAAATATATTGATCCCAAGGATCAGAATACATATGAACCATGCATGGAATATGTGACATTTTCGAAGAAAAAAAAATAATAAGTTACGTTGCATAACAATTTATGTGACAACATACACTTTATGTCATTCGTGTGTAAGTTATGTCATTAGTGTGTAAATATCATAACTGCTAAAAATGCAAAAGGAATATTAAACTGAATTTCCACGAATATGAGAATAGACTAATAACTCACTTTCAATCATCTCAAAACTATTTATCAGAAAGAAAAAAAAAACTCAAAACTATGGATACGAAGAAGCCGGCGGCTATCATCAAAGATAAAATAAGCCGGCGGTCCAAATATCATTAAATGATCTTTTTGTTTGCGCCATTATTTAAGTTTCATATGTTTATGGTGTATATACGTGTTTATTTCAATGTGCATTCAAAGAAAAACATAGTACTATTATTCAACAAGAAAATCACAAGAATGTGGATATGATTACGTTTGAAAAGTCGTGATCCGTTGGGATTACGTTGCATATGTGTCTCGCTTTGATACTCTGCCAAAATACTTCTTAATCACATCGATCGACCTTTAGGTTTGGAGCTTTCTCCAAATTTTATTGTTTTCAAATCCTACTTCCATTAATTTACATCAATCACATGTCTATGTTTGATAAGTGATATACAGCCATATATAATTTATTATATAAAATTATAAATGCTTAAATATTTTGCCTAAAACGTTAGGCAATGTCCAAATTTTGATGGCCGTAGATAAAAATATTATAAAAATTCATAATTAGTTTTGTTTGTAGAGAGAAGGAATGACCGAAATTGGTAAATATTTGATTCAACTTTTTTTTAGAATAGGCAATGTTTTTTTTATATAATTTGAATAGGGAACAGACTGAACAGTAATGTTTTGTATGTCACGAATATGATTGCTAACTCCAACGTTTTCGACTTCATCAATTCTTAACTGGCCTTATGATACTGACACAAAATCCCGACACGTGTTGGTGTACATGCCTCAAGTCTATTACACTAGAAGATTGGACTCCAAGTTGGACAATATAAAAAAAAACAATAGATTGTAGCATGTACGTGAATATCTCGTAAAAATCAATAATGGATAGAAAGTTTTATAAAAAAACACTTTATCAACTTCGATTTTTCTTCCTTGTCTGAATAATTGAATGTAACCTCCCCCACTTAAAATTTCGCATAATAAGACAATAGTTTCCCCTACCACATCCCCATTGAAAAGGAATCTTGTATTCTACGAAATTTTAACGATCCAAAAATTCCACATAAAAAATAAAAGAAAATAAAAAAAAACCATATCACTTTTTCATTATTATATCAAAAAAACCGAACACCCCTCATTATAGCTCCCACTTCAAACCAATCTGTTTCCTTGAATGGCAAGTCTCTTCTCTTCACCTCTCAGCTCTCGTTCTCTCTCTCTCCTCATCAATCTCTTCTTCAGCTTCCTCATCTTTCTCCATTTCTCTTCACAAGACTCTCCTCATCCCAAATCCATCAGAAAACTAAATTCTCTCGCCGGCGGAGACAGTGACAGCTGCAGCGGAGGACTCGCCGCCCTCGACGACCACTTTTCCAAGTGTTCTTACGTAAGATCTCAATCAAAATGTGGATCGCAAGGTTACATAGACTATCTCAAGATTTTCTTCTGCATCTTCGGTCAATCCCCTGTTTTGGGTCATCTAGTTTTATCCATCTGGTTGTTTGTTCTGTTCTACTTGCTCGGAGACACGGCCGCTAGTTACTTCTGTCCTTCTTTAGACAGCTTGTCTAAGGTTTTGAAGCTCTCTCCAACAATGGCTGGAGTCACGCTTCTCTCTCTCGGAAACGGTGCACCTGATTTGTTCTCGAGTATCGTCTCCTTCACGAGGTCAAACAACGGCGATTTCGGGCTCAACTCTGTTTTAGGCGGTGCCTTCTTCGTCTCAAGCTTCGTTGTCGGGACAATTTGTATGTTGATTGGATCTAGAGATGTCTCTATTGACAGAAACAGCTTTATCCGCGACGTGGTCTTTCTTCTTGTCGCTCTTTGCTGTCTCGGTTTAATCATTTCTGTTGGAAGAGTATCCATCTGGTTCGCTCTTTGTTACCTCTCCATTTATCTCCTCTACGTAGGGTTCTTATCGGTTTCACTTTTCTTAGAACGCAAGAAACGTATATCCAATCAGATTCTTCGTGGCAGAGAGGACTTAGCCGAGATGGGCGTCCCACTTCTAGGCTACGTAGGTGACGAGAAACCGCCAGAGAAACCAGCTCAAGAGCAAGAAATCAAGATCTTGATTCTCGATACACCAAAAAGGAAACCGTCTTGCTTCTCCGTGCTAATGAGCATCGTAGGACTACCTCTATATCTCCCCCGGCGGCTCACAATCCCCGTCGTACGCGAAGAAAAGTGGTCAAGGCCTTGCGCAGTTGTCTCCACAGCCATCGCGCCTGTTCTACTAACCGAGCTTTATTGTTCTCACTACAGTGGGTCCAGTAGAAACCTAATCTTCTACGTAGTATCAGGATCGATTGGGCTAATCCTCGGGATCTTAGCGTACTTGACGACAGAAAAATCTCATCCGCCGAAGAAGTTCTCTTTAGTTTGGCTTCTTGGAGGCTTCACAATGAGTGTGACATGGACTTACATCATAGCACAAGAGCTTGTCTCGTTGTTAATATCATTAGGCAATATCTTTGGGATTAGCCCGTCCGTGCTAGGACTAACCGTCCTAGCTTGGGGCAATTCTCTTGGCGATTTAATCGCCAATGTGACCGTGGCGTTTCACGGAGGCAACGACGGTGCGCAGATAGCACTTTCCGGGTGCTACGCGGGTCCACTATTCAACACGGTGATAGGACTAGGTGTGCCACTTGTCATCTCATCGTTGGCTGAATATCCTGGGGTCTACATCATTCCAAGTGACAATTCGTTACTTGAGACACTAGGGTTCTTAATGGTAGGCTTGCTTTGGGCACTTGTGATAATGCCAAAGAAGAAGATGAGACTTGATAGGCTTGTTGGTGGTGGCTTACTTGCTATTTACCTCTGCTTCTTGTCCTTGAGAATGGCTAGGGTTTTCGGACTCCTTGATATCGACCGACCGGTGGTGAATTTATAATGTATTGTGAATTTTTATATTTTGTTTGGGTTGTTTTGTAATAGCTCATTGTTTAAGAAGAAGAATGCATATAGATTCAATATGTGGCTCTTTTATTAGTCCTTAATTTTTTTAGTCAACTTTGTGAATACTACTACTGATAGGGATGGCTAAATTTGTTTGTAGATAAATATTCATTTTCTGTCAAACTCACTTTGTACCTCACTAAATTTGGAATATCGTTCTAGGTTCATTGTTTATGGACTGTATACATCACTAATGTCAAACTTCTTCTACAACTCTTAGTGGAATGTGGTTATTCATTGATTATTTTACATGAATCGTGTCTTCATTAGAAAATAAATATATCAGTTTTTTTGCTAGCTAGTAGTTTTACTAGTAACGATTGTCAAACATTTCAAAACTGTCTGCTAAACTTAACTAAATCTCATGTTCATGTTTGATCTGATGGCTTAACAAGATCCACTAAACATGTACTTTGTATGTGAATAAGAATCATAATTTAACCAAAGAAAAATCATGCATCATATAAACTCACTCGAATGAGACACATAACGACCGTCTAAGGAACTAGTTTATCAGAAAAAGACTATTTTGTGGTTATGTCTCACCCACAATCATTTTTCTGTTAACGACATTTTTATTCAAAATTAAACGTTTATAATTTAAATTACGCATAATTGTTTGGCTGTTTTGTGGTATGGCTCAACCATTAATATTCCTAATTTTGTTTTAAATAATCTAAACTAAAAATTAGGTGAAATCAACCGAAATGAAGCAACTACGACCTAATTAAATGTAAATCACTTATCAGTTCTATTGCGGTAAGGGACATGGCTAAGTGTCACATTGCATTTTGAATTGTTAGAGAAATGCCAAAATTTGTAGTTATCCTAATTCCAAGGAAACAGTTTGCAGACAAGCAAGAAAAATGTGCCAAATTATTATTATGCACGACTCATTAGATAAGGGAATTGAATAAAATAGAAAATAACAAAAATATAACAAAACAAAACGAAACAAAACACATCTTATCTTAAGTTTTGATGCAATTTGGCAAAAAGAGACAAGCGTTGTCGCTTCGACCAACTCCCACAATACTGGGAACTAAATAAACTACTAGTATTAGTGTAATCCCTTTGGAAAAAACAAAAACAGAAGAAAAATACATTATTGATTGTACTTCGTCCAGAAAAAAGATTGATCTTATTTGCTGTGACCTGTGAGTATGTACGTGCTTACTCTAATTTATGAGCAGAGATCGTTGACTAGCCGAGTACCTGACACCTATCAAAAATCTAGCTAACAATTGAGACTCCATAACTCTACATTTATGTCATTATATGTGTCACCAAAGTTCGGATTGTAACCACTTTTTCCTTTTAAACTTAGTTTACAACGGTTGCAACTCACTTCATACATTTATAGTAATTATGTATGATGAAAAATCTATGTTATACATAAATGAAATCTACACATAAGTTATACATATACAAAATCGATTCCCTTCACAGCGTACAAAATTATACAAACCCGTGTTACATATGAAACCAAAGTTAGTGAGAACCACCCGTTTGTATAATCCTTAGAGACAACGAGGCCAAGTAAATAACCAAAAGCCCAATCCCCATCACACCACCAAGCCTCATCCGATTACTAAACAGAACCAAAAAGGACCAAACCAGTCCAATAACCAAACACCCAAGACTCTCCAACAACTTAGGATCCGTCTTAATCACAATACTCGACGGATAAACATCCCACGCGCATCCCACGAGCGATATCCCGAGAGCAAACAGCGTGTTGAAGATCGGACCAGCGTAACACCCCGACACAGCCACTTGAGCTCCTTCGTTCCCATCGTGCAGCGCCATCGTCACGTTGGTGATAAGATCTCCTATAGAGTTTCCCCAAGCGAGCACCGTTAGCCCCAAGATCGAAGGGCTCACACCGAAAATGTAACCCAACGAAGTCAAAAGCGCGACCAGCTCCTGCGCTGATATGTAACTCCACGTCATGCTCATCACAAACCCTCCCGCTAACCAAGGCAACAACCATTTCTTCGGCGGGTTTGATCTCTTCGTCGTGGCTACTGCAACCAATCCAAGAACTAAACCGACTAAACCCCCGGTTAGATAAACAACCCCAACCTCAAAACTCGTCGGTTTCCTCTTCCAATTCCATAAAAAAGACAACAAAACCGGAGCAAACGTAACCGACGCAACAGCTATCGGTTTAGACCATCTCGCTTCACTCACCACAGGAATCGTGAACCTCCTCGGCAAGTAGAGAGGCAGAGTAATAACCCAAACCACCAATCTCCAGTAATATCGACCATCATCGTTATCGTCATCATCATTATGATGCTCTCCATTAACAATACCATCTTCGATTCCCTCAACATCGACGAGTCTCTGCAACATTGGTTCACTAAGACTATCACGCTTATGGACCGACTCAAGATCAGAGTCTTGACCTTCACCACCAATTCTCCAAGAGACATACACAAACGCGACATAAACAGCATACATCGAGCAAAACCCAAGAGCGCCCCAGAAATTGATCTTCCCATAGACCAAAATCAAAGCCAAGCAACCAATCGCAGCGCAGAAGAAGCCAATGTCTCTTATAAACGCAGACTTCTCGACGCGAACGCGTCTCTTGTGCAACGAAATGCTTATGACTCCAACAACGACGCACGTGACGAACGAAGAGCCTCCAACAACCGTGTTGAGACCGACGTCGTATGTGCCCTTTGACTCTCCCATGAAAGAGACCAAGCTCGCGAAGAGATCAGGAGCGCCATTGCCGAGAGACAGAAGCGTCACGCCGGCGACGGTTGGTGATAAATTGAGCAGCTTTGAGAGAGATTCGAGAGAGGAGCAGAAGTATTCGGAGGCTGTGTCGCCGAGTAGGTAGAAGAGGACGAGGAGCCAGAGGAAGAGGAGAGAGAGACCCAGTACTGGGAATCCGTCGAAATTGCAGTAGAGGAAGGAGAGGTAATCGATGAAGCCTTGATTCGCGCAGGGCTTGATCGATTTGAGGTAAGCGCACTTTGAATTGTAGTCGTGCAAGTGCGTCAGGGCACTGCAATCGTGCTCTGATTTGGGTCTTAGGGCACTGGAAGCGACGGGATTCGATAAGAGAAGAGAGCAGACGACGACGACGAGGAATGTGATTGTCAAGTGACCGACACGGGTTGGGGAAAATTGAAATCCCATCAATCAGGTGAGAAACCTAACGAGAATCCGATCAAAAAAAAAAACAGAGGTAAACGATAAAGTGTGAGTTTTTTTTTCCGAAATAGAAAATTGGGTTTTCTCGTGGAGAGTCTATTAATGGAGTTTCCTATCAACAGATCATTCGATAAACACGAACTCGACGCGGAGAGAGAGAGAGATAAAGGAGAAAAAGCACTGACCTTTATTAATATCTGGAAAAGGCAAAAAGGGAACTGGATTGGAGAAGAGCGACGATTTTGATGAGAAGGAGGTGAAGAAGAATACAATCACAAACATACACACACTTGAACAGAGACCTGCAGAGAGACAAACGTCAAGAAACAGAGGGATCTAGATTTTATTGTAGTTTTTTTATATATAAAGAATCCCGAAAGTTTGTCACTTTGTCATTACCGTTTTGGGCTTCGGTGTTTTGGAAATGGCATATGTGTCGGCATCAGGATCAACCGTGCGTCATTTTCCCATTCCATTACGTTTTCGAGGAAAGGGAAAGGGAGCCGAGAGAGAGTTTTAAGCACTTTATTAGCAACCACAAAATTTTAAGTAGCTTATTCTACAGTTAAATTATATTTTAAGAAGCCGACCCAGCAAATTTTAAGTGCTTAAAATTGCTTATTCCTTAAGCACCGACTTAATAAAACTGAAAACATTCCGGTTTTGTTTGTTAGTCAATAACTGATCATAGTCGAGCCGGTTTGATATTAAAAACAGGAATTGTTCGTTGAATAAACCGGAATTACAGATGGTTTGTTTGAACTTTTTCAGTGAACCGGGCCAATTTGTTTTTTTGGTTTTACAGCGACCTTGACCATTGTCATAAACTTTGTATATAACAAATTGTATTGTCAGTTTGTCACGATTAATATTATTCCTGTGTTTTTTTTAAGATAGAAGCCGAGTCAATATTTATTGTCACCATTGATACTTTTTCCTTCACTTAAATATTGAAATTGTTACCAAAGAGGTATTTTTATTTACTTTCTTTCTATAATCTCATAATTTTACGTATAATTTTCAGAAATATGATACTAGTTAAAAGGATATATTCAATGCTGAGTCTCGTTCTAAATTTGTAAAATTCTAGAACATTGATTTTGATATCTTGAACGAAATACTGTTTCGCTCAATTTGTGGAGTTTCATTAACTGTGAAACTGTTTCGTGATCCTTAATCTTCTTAACCTGATTATTGATAATCGAGCTTAAATCATCGTCTTTATTCTGTTACTTTCAATAAGGATAACTTGAAAATGTATTAAGAAGAGATTAATTCTATAGTGGCTTTCTAGTACGATCGAATGTGTATGTAACTCTGGCATTAGCAGGGGATCTCACATTTCAAATTTCTGATATGTTAGTATAAAAATTGGAACTTCTAATTTGAAACGAATTTTAACAGATAATTATACATTTTCGATATAACAATAAAAAGGTTGTATACAAATCCCAAATGGTGTGAAACAGCGACAATCATAAATAGAAAATTGCCAGAAAAGGACAGATATATAAAAGTAGGAAAAAGGAATTAGAATTATACTCAGATTAAGATAAAGTTAAAATAAAAGAATTACTAGTATACTTCACACAAAGCTAATTGTCTAATGCAGTGGAATTTTTTACTTTGCAAAACGAGTAAGTCGGTCGATGGATAGGATTTAGGATAAGATTTGTTCTTTAAAAGCTTAGAGATGATATTTCAATTAAAAAAACTTAAGATAGATATCAAGTGAAGGGACTTATCAGTGGTGTTAAATGTGAACAGTGAAAGTACCAAGACTTAAAAGCAACACGGTGTTCAAACGCGTTTCGTTATCGCTTTACTTTACTTTACATAACATTTTTTCGGCATTTTTTTTTGTGATTTTATTCATTGCTTGAGAGCTAAGTGACTAGAAGCGATCCCGCTAACACAAGAGTCAACACGTACGTCCCCGTCGACGGAGAGATAGATGTATTGTCACATTTCACAATTCAATAAAATGGTCTAAGAGACTTATCCCGCATTTCACAAGACATTGTCCAAAACCGAATCTGTCATGTGGTATATAGCTTCTGTTCTCAGTATGGAGCTTATGTTCTCGGTATGAAGCTTATGTTCTTGGCCATAGCTCTTCGGTAACGGTTCTGTGGTATGCCATTCTTGCAACGCGAACCAACAACCTCGACCCATGTTAACAATTTAATTTACTCCTTTTAAATTGGAGATGAAATATCTTAACACGTTAAACACTTTAACCCCAAAACAAGCCGACGACCCCTTAGCCAAAAAGCTGACTCCAAAAAGATGTCCCCAAAATAGCTGAGATGGGCGCACTCATGTCATAAAAGCTAGTAATGTTAAATGCTGTCCCTATTTTCTACAGAGATGATGTATGAGTATAATCCACTATACATTTCAACTTTATTGAATTTGATTTTCATTGGTGTCGCATTAACTCCTACCTGCTCCATTCACACTCAAGAAGATAACACAGAAATTTTGGATTAGATTTCAAAATGCATTTAATAATACGAACATAATGATTTAAAACTATTATAGCGATATTTATGGGCTCGGTCTAAATAACCGGTTATCATATCATACCGGTATATTTCTTCATGGTCCGGTTATCACGAACAACTAGGCCCATGATGAACGGGGGCGATTCCTCCAAAGTTATCATCCACTTTCTGCATCGCTCTTCGATTTCGGAATTTCGATCCTCCGATTCTAGTCTAGTCTCGTATCTACAGGATAATCCTCGCCTAGTCGACTATGAATTCCGCTTTAGATTTTGCTTTTCCAGCTACATTTCCGGCGAAACCGAGTTATGTTGGCGGAATCCGACGCGGGATTCATGCTTCTAGATTCGGTTCCCGCGTAAGAGTGTGCTCTCTTCCTCCTTCTTCATCTCTCAAGGTTAATCTCTTTTTCCCCTTTCCTTCTGCTTCGCTTTTGTCATTTTTGTTCGTTTATATGGACACTCGATAGGATTTCAAAATTACTTACATTATCATTCTGCGTTTTTGAGTTGTTATTCAAATCGTCTGCATCTGAAATGAAGCAACTTTTGAATCTAAATCATAGCATTGTACTTCTCATGACATTTTCAATCGATGATAATTATGCCACCACTCCGATTCCTGGAAATGTATGTTAGCCTATACTTGATGTTATAGCTGAATTGAAACTTAGTTGAGCTCATATCCCATGTAAAATTGAAGCCATTCCAGTCTACTTGGTCACAGACTTTGGTGATTTTCCTTTATTGGCATTAGTAAGTATTGAGTATTGACAGAGTTATGTTGATCCTATGACTTCAGATCCTAGAATATGATGGTACAGAACGCAAGATTTTTTCAGGGTGATTGAGAATGTAAAGAAATAGAATCATGTTTCTTATGTATTGTTTGCTAAGTTGAGGAAATCTCTTATGATTCTGCAGGCTGAGTCATGCTTAAAAAGAGACGTGCACAGACAAAGAAGCAGTCTCGAGTCAATGTTCTGCTATGATAAGTCCATACCAGAGGAAATAATCGAGGAGCCAGTAGGATTATCCATGTCAGAGAAAGAGATTGGTGATAATAGGCGTTGCACTTGTTGTGAAGCTAAAGGTGCATTGCTTTGTGCCACTTGCTCTGGAACTGGTCTATATATAGACTCCATAATGGAGTGCCAAGGCATCATTGTTAAAGTCCGTTGCTTAGGTAATTCTCTAATCCTGCATTTCTTTCTTACTCAAGTTCTATGGTCATGCTCTATGCAAGTTGCGATATCTGCATCTTAACCATTTGGTGCTTCTTCTGTAGGTTGTGGTGGAACTGGTAACATTATGTGCAAAAGTTGTGGCGGTCGTGGTCACGTAGGACACTGATGGACTCCCGGAATGCCTTCGTTTTCAGTCATGGTTTTGTCCTCAATTTACCTACTCACCACTTTCATACGTTGTGCCTTTCCTGATCTTATTGCAGAATCCTACTTTTTGTCAGCTCCCTATATAGTTTTGCGTCCCTGTACTGATGTAATCTGTAGCTGAAAATTTTCACACTCTTGTACCAGTTGTTAAATAAAATTGTTTCCCCAAGTGGCTGTGACTAAACCATAATTCTCTCTATCTCTTCTACTGCTCTGTTATACTGTTTATGCTTTCAGTTCCAGTCTTACAGAGAATGGATCAGAGAAAGAAAGTAAAAGCAGGGAAAGGACGAGAACTGAATCAATCGTCGTCTCACTTTGTATGTACATTCCTTCTCTTTCTGAAAATTTGCATATGAAAGCTAAACAATCTCCAGTCTATAGTCTAACCTGAAAGAAAACCTTACTGAAATCGGAAAAAAGAAAAGAAGAAGCAAAAGTATTTTTTTCTGTACTAAGTGGATATGTTCATCCGTATGTTAACTCTACGACGCGTATGTTGGCTCCGGTTCGTCCTCCTGCCGCCTTGGTTCATAAGAGGCTAACCTTTTTTGCTCTTCTATATTCTGCCGTACAATACGTTTTGGAATCGTGTCATCAAAAATATCACTCTGTGGATCCTCAGAATAAGCCACATAGTAAGCCAATACACATCCTTGCAGCCACGCCGATGCAACTCTCCCCTGAAACACACCAACAAAGAAACACCAGGTGCATGAGCTATGATGAAACCAGGTAAAGCCATTTTGATTATTTTCTTTCCTGCAATTTGATAATCATGAAATCTTACCACGAAGTATCCGATGATGAAAGCATAGAGAGTCTGCTGAAAGTAGTAATCTTTATGGATGTAAAACTCCCATATTCCTGCAGTCAATGCAGAGATTGCACCGATCGAAATGGCACTGAGGAAGCAGACGGAGCTGGTGATGTCAGAATCAATTATCTCCTCCAATCCAACCGTTGCTCTGAACCTCTGCCAGGTATCAGTCGACGCTTGCACAAAGCTTTTGTTGTAAGCTCCCACATGAACGAAGCCATATCTGTTCCCGTGTAACACCAGGTGATTGGCAATCCAACAGCAGTCTACATTACTCGCATACATGGTCCGGTCACTCTCATCATCCATCATATTACAGGTTCGGATGGTACACCTGATGGGTACATAAATTGGCAAGAGTGTTGACCCAATACAAACGTTCCCGAGCTGGTTTCTCATAGTGGCACCAAGAGCATCACATGCATTCATCAACTCATGACGTTTGAAGTAGACGTATCTGGCTTTGGAGATGGCGACTTCTTGTATGTTCTTGAGAACTTGCATTGTCCAGGCGAGGTTGATCATGACTATGGAGATGAAGAGAATGTCTAGTCTTGTTCTTGTTGCAGTAGCTCCTCCGATTCCAGCAACCAGGAAGCCAGAGTAGAAGACGCTCAAGATCACCGATACAACCGCTATTAATCTGGTTCTTGGAGGTAGTAGGGCCGTGGAGCGAGCCATTATCGTGATGGTGAAATTACGCTGGCTTCCTCGGACGTAAAGCCAGCAATAGGCTGCGTGAGCCAAGCCAACGATAAAAAAGACGATACTGATCCATCGAACCACATTTGGGGTGGACACAATTTGGAATATCCCGATGGAGAATATGAGAAACGGTGTGAGAAAGAAGGTTGCTTTGACTGTTGCTGCTATGTTGCAGGAGAGGAAGCATTGCCAGGCTAGAGAGAGAGCTCCAGAGACAGCAACAGAGGATAGCAGAGGAGTGTACCATTTCTTGGGATGGAAGTTTGGTGAATTGGTGAAGACGAGACCTCGAAGCATGAGGAAGACGACAAAGGCCGAGTTTAGGATCAGTTGCAAGTAGAAAATAGTCGTGAAGATGCATCTGAAGAATCTTGCGGTCAGTGTTTGTTGTGCGGCGGGATTCGCTGCGACGGGAGCGGCTGCGATTTGTTCGATTTCCTGGAAAAAAAGCGAAAGTGAGAGGGAGAAGAATCAGTAATCTCCGAGAGAGGGAGAGAGAATCGCTGCTGAATTGTGGTTGAAGAATGTGGAGAAACGACGATAATGGCGCGAATTTGAAGTCGTGTTGAGAAAGTACCATTGAGAAAGACGACGGTGGGTCACGGTTTTCTTGCGGCGGAAACGGTGACGAAGGGAAGAAGAAGACGAGAGAGTAATAAAAGTGATGACCGAGAAAGAAACAGACGCAGAGAGAGAGAGAAAGAGAAATGAAGGTTTATATAGAGAGTGAGATTAGTCGCTCTAACTCTTAACTGTGAGATCTTTGGTTCTTGAAATCTTCACGTGAGAGGCAAAGCGGTTGTTTGCTGTTATGAGCAGTTAGTTATTCAACATCTCTCTAACTCCGAGTTGTGGAATTGATTAACTCTTTCTCTCTCTTTAAGCTTTCTTCGAGAGTCCTTAGGACGCAAGTTTCACAGGCACTTCATTACTTTTTAAGGAATTCAGTCGTATTTTGACTTAAATTTAAATTTACTTGACTAGCAAAATGAAATGACCAACAAAAATACATTTAGCTGAAAGTTTTGTCAAAAAATCATCAAAAAGCCCAATCAAAATTTTATCCCTAAAAGATAAACTCGGCCTGTTAGGACTTTTGGACCCATAACAATACTATGTTTTATACAATCATACAGCTATTATTTTAATACAAACTCGGTCGTATGAAATCCAAAATAATGCATAAATACTTAAATATCATCTGCGCAAAGATATTGTAAAGGAAGAGAATTTCACATTATTACAAGCAATCATTTGTGTCGTGACAGCTTCTTCACACAACTCGCCATGAAACCGACTTTTGAATTATTATTATACATCATGTAAGCATCAAAATAATATTCCCAAACCTCATTGTCGCTTTTCTCAATTTAAAAACTAAAAAGATTTCGCTTTTCTCAGGTTAAAAAACTAAAAATTTCACCTTTTTTGCGATCAACAATAAAAACTGAAATCTTTAAGAGGATTAGTTAGTCGGAATGCAGTAACATACTAACATTATTTGTTCATGCATGTTTCGATTTTCGATTTGTTAAAAATTATCACATAAAATATAGTGGTTCATATTTATACGCTTTATTTTTAATGCTGGATTACCGCTAAATTTCATGAACTGGTCTTAGAAACTCCGATCATACAAGAACACAATATTCTTCGGTCACGGTTTTTAAATTTATCAACAAGTAGTAAGTAAAATCATAAACAAAGATTTTCGGTTGTCGTAGCTAGTAGCTATTTATCAAAACTCTAGAAGAATAGAAGTTATGTAAAAATATAAGAGAAAAATGACTCTGAAACTTTTTTAATTTATGTCTTTCATCATTAAACATAACGGTTTTAATTAACAACAAATTGATACTTCTTTAACTATTAATTGATAGATTGATGACTAAACAAATCAACTACCCAACATCAAGGTACATGACTACATAAAAAAATTGTTGTAGTATCCATACATTGATGTATAGTTAATTGGCTAATAGTCTTTTCAGTAGAACATAATTCACAAAAAGAGGTGTTAGGAAAATTTAAATATTGCCTTAATTCATAAGTTGTTGTGGTTGCAATTTGGTTGTTATAATGTGCCAGTGACTAAAATGAAATGAAACAGATATACTCAACGGTAATGTCTAAAACTGAAAACAGTATCATTTTCCCCTAAGTCTATAAAATTGCTCTCAATCATATGAACGTCTTAATGATAAACAGAAAATTCAAAATAAATAAGTATGTAAGAGCCAAAACCTCTTTCATTTGTATAGACTTGTACGTTTCTTTCAGAATTGGAATCGGCAAAGTAAAAAGAAATTGAAAATAGATTATGATGAAACTGCCACCTTATCTACCATGTAATTAATATACAATTATACTATTATCGACTTAGCTGGATCACATTTTCAGCATATAATCTTAAAGAGTATATAAATATATATTTACAACATGGCAACGAAATGTTCACGAAGTCGCTCGCACGCCTTTGCGAACGTTTCTAAGCTTAATTCTCTGAATACTAATATTACAACCATTGACTTTCGCATGTATTCGCCATATGTATGAGATGTATTATTTAAATTTTTTGTTTCTCGTCGGTTGATTTTTTCATATATATACCTTCCGGTTGATCTCAAAGGTCTCACAATCCTTTCGGCTAGAAGAAACATCAATACTAAGAAGAAAAACTCCCTCATTCGAAAAAAATGATGAAGTTGTCTTCTCTTGTCGTGTTTTTCTTTATCTTCCCAATCGCATTTGCTCAACTGCGAGTTGGGTTTTATAGTCAGACATGCCCTCAGGCCGAGACTATTGTACGCAATTTGGTGCGTCAAAGGTTCGCTGCTGATCCAACCGTAACCGCTGCTTTGCTCCGTATGCATTTCCACGACTGTTTTGTTAACGTAAGAATCGAGTATAACACTTTTTTTTTATCCGATACTGTTTCTCTATATATAAAATTGTATTCAAGGCCGGTTCTGTATCATATGGCTCAAACATTTTCAAAACACTTCATGTAAATTGTTTTTTTTTTCTTTTTTTACTCAAACACAAATATTTGAATGTCAGAAAAATAGCATACACATCTTTTTTTTTGTTTTTTTAAAGAAAAAACCACATAATTTTCGTATCATTTTTTCTCTGGTTAATCTTATCTTTATATATTTGTTCATGCTTCTTAGGGCTGCGACGCGTCTCTCCTCATTGACGGAACCAGCTCCGAGAAAGCCGCAGGACCAAACGGAAGCGTAAGAGAATTTGGCCTTATCGACCAGATCAAGACTCAGCTAGAGGCCGCGTGTCCCTCCAGAGTCTCATGCGCTGACATCGTCACACTAGCGACACGTGACTCCGTGTCATTAGCCGGAGGTCCGAGCTACAGCATCGCCACGGGAAGGCGCGATGGTTTGGTCTCGAACATGGCTAACGTAAACTTACCGGGTCCAACAATCTCCGTCTCCGGAGCCGTCAGTTTCTTCACTAACAAAGGGTTGAACGTTTTCGATGCTGTGGCTCTTTTGGGTGCACACACCGTTGGTCAAGGTAACTGTGGTCTCTTCAATGACCGGATCACTAATTTCCAAGGAACCGGACGACCCGACCCGTCCATGGACCCTGCTTTGGTTTCTAGGTAATTTTAATCTGATCTTGGTTCAAATATACACCTCTAGGTTCGAGAACGAATTTACAGAATAAAATAAAATTATTACAGAATGAACGAATTCTACCTTTTTACCCTTTGTTGAATTTTTAAATTTTCAAAGTTATGACATTTTCCAATGATGATTAATTTTAAAGATATGACATTATCCATATAAAGAAAAGAAAAAAAACTGATTTTCAGTTAATTAATTCCTGGAAGTTAATCATTGAATAGCCTAAGCATATGAGTTTCACATTTATTTGTTTCTTATATTATTCTGAAAGATTTTTTTGTGTTCGTGTAATGTAGCCTAAGGAACACATGCGCAAACAGCGCGTCCGCGGCACTAGACCAGTCTACTCCATTGAGGTTCGACAACCAGTTCTTCAAGCAGATCCGTAAGAGGAGAGGAGTGTTGCAGGTTGACCAGCGGCTCGCATCAGACCGACAGACTCGTGGTATTGTGGCTCGATATGCCAACAACAATGCCTACTTTAAGCGTCAGTTCGTTAGAGCAATGGTGAAGATGGGAGCCGTAGATGTGCTTACTGGTCGTGCTGGTCAAATCAGGAGGAACTGCAGAAGGCTCAACTGATGAGTTTGATCAAATCACTACTAAGTATGGAGATGCTATTAAATTTGAAACATAAGGTTTCAAGTCTTATATATTTATATGATTTCTTTGCTAAAAAAATAATAATATATTTATATGATTTCTAATTCATTTTTTGTTTTGTTTTGTTGGGTTCTTGTTGCTTAAATAAGGTTTTTCTTGAATCGGATGGTTTCGATTATTGAGAAAACTAACGATATATTATAATGTTGGTCTACATTTGGAAGTTGTATCTTATACAATTATTCTGTGGTATTGACAATGTTGATCATGTATCTTTTTCATGACTAGTTATATATATATAAACTTATTTTCTATATACTGTATGGTTTTCTTTGTTCTCCAATACAATTATAGAAAGAGGGTGAAATTCGTATAATATCTACTGTTCCATGCATTTTTGGTGAGTATGATTAACATAGGGTTTGAAACAGGCTAATGCTAAGTTGATGATGTTTCTTTGTCAGATTCGTATAAGATAATTGTGAAATACAAACAGTGGGTTATGGGCTAATGTCAACTTATTGTGCATTTTTGATTGAAATTATTAAGTGTCTCTAACTCTAGTCGAATCAAATTTAAGTGTCTCTAACTCTAGTCGAATAAAAAAAACAAATATATTTGCCCAACATGTTCTTACAAAACAGTGGATGAAACTATGTAATTTTGCCCAATAGTGGATGAAACTCGTATGCTAGGTGATTAGGATTAGGATATACGTTATCATCTTTTTAGAACATGTTGGAATTGTTCTTACAACGAAATACTGTTCCCATTTCCTCCTGAGAAGAAGAAATCAACTGATCCCACGAGGCTTTAGCATTTACAACGAAATTCGTTTTTCCCCTTTCAAATGGGCCTTTGAATAATGAATTTCAAATGCAACGGAACAATCATAATTGTCAAAATCTTCTTGCCATTTTAAAGGGCAAATGATTTTCTATATACTTATTTTTCTAATAGTCAAGAATATTATTTTGGGTTAAAGAATACATAAAATCTTTGTGTGTATATGTAGGTATGTATTGATACCATGCCGGTCTGTATATATAGAGAGTCCGTACATTGTTACAGAGCAGGACCACATAAGGAAGACTTCAGATGAAAGAAGTCTCAAACTCTTACAAGATTTTGGTCTTCGGGACCACAGAGAGAGTTGCTTAAGGATAACTTTTGTGAATCCTCGTACAGTCTCTGCCGGATCCCTAGAGGTCTACTTTATTCTAAGTTTTTAACCATATAATTAAGACTTTTTTTACCAATGTCAATTTTTATAGGTTTTCTTTAAAGTTTTCAAGGCTTCATGACGTATATGTTGTGCTCAGATATTTAACTCAAGAGCTCTATATCTTACTTACAATAAGACACCGATTGGTCAAAGAAAAACTCCAATTTCCACGTACCAACAAAGTGTACCATTCATTTGCATGGCTCGTGTGTATTTTTTTTCTTGTCGCAAAATGTTGGATTTTTTAGGTTTTTAACCTGCAGGAAGAGAACCATTCCACTAAAACAACACTTCTTCGTTCTAACTTCTAACCATTACATATATTTGGATTTTGGAGGAGTCATGTTCTTATAAATTATCCGTATGTTGTATTTTTTATTCTACCATTCAATTAGTAGATTCTGCTAAAAGAAATCACCAGTTATAAGCCAACTTGAAGTCTGTGTGTGTACTTACGTATATGAAATTATGGCCGCCTTGAAACAAAAAGAAACAAAATTAATGGCCCCTAAGAAATTAAGTAGAACGTAGCATAAAAAAGGAAGAAAAAGGACAAACAGCTGGGGAAGTTATAAAAGACAAGTAATACCCAGTTGTATCAAATCAGTCACAGTCAGTAAATAATAAATAAAAAATAAAAATAACAATTTGCAGAATCTTTACGCATTACGAAAATATATGATGTAAGAAAAGAAAAAAGCCTGTACAGCAGACGCAAGTTATGTAGGTGTTGGGATTCCTTTTATTTAACAAATCACGGGAGGATTATTTCACTACTCCGAGTAGTAGCTTGGCTGTTTCCTAACATGCATGAATTCTAAAATCTAATATACAAATATAAAAAGAGGAATTTCAGTTAAAAGTGTTAAATATTGGGGATGCCGGATGCGAGGTGTCAGTATTCATATTAGGAATGATCGAGTTTCCAACTTGACCCGTTAAGGAAATGAAGATTAAAACTTGAGTTTAGCCGATCCATATATAATGGATATCGTAAAGTGTAAGTTTAATGAAATCAGTTGTTCAAAAAAAAAAAAAAAAAAACAATAACTGTGCTAGCCTGCTAGGTGATTTTTTTTTTTTTTTAATCAAAATATGCTTAGATGATTTGATCGGTTATAACTTCAAAGAGTGGCCATGTGATAATCAAGAGAAAGTACAGAAAAAACTGGAATTTTATACTAGACAATAAACAGCTAAGCAAGTAAAAAAAAAAAAAAAAAAAAAAAAAAAAATCGTCAAAAACCAGAATGCATATGAAAGAAACAGATTGTCGCCTATTGTATCTTTCAACACTCTTCCTTCCTTTTAACGTGCATACGTACATGCACACTTACCAATACACTGGTACACATACGGTACGCGGACTTTATTATCAAATCTTTTTTTTTGGAAATTAATTAACAATCGAAAGGAAGTATTTAAAACAATTTTTTTTTAATGTATGATACTGATTATCATTTCACAAAAATATTTACTGGAGTATATTACGGTTTTTTTAGTTTATTCGTCGTTAATTAAATTTTAGATTCTACAAATGATTTTGTCTTTTGGTCAAACGCTAGAGAAATAACGATATTTTAGTCAAAATAGACAAAAATATTGTGATTGGTGATATATATTGTAGCAACCGCGATGAAACATATATATACTGCCTTTTGTAAAAAAATTCAGTCAACTGGTACTTAAAAAGAAAAGGAAAAAAGAGATTCATGTGTTTAATCTATCCAGGTTGTGAATTCTAAAACAAACCAGAGTAAATGCTAAAATTCAATGGACTAAGGTATATTGATTGCTATCTACCACCATGATCTAAATTCTTTTAGGAGCACTGTTTTGAGTTATGTAATTTTAATCGGCTAATGTTGTTACATGTCTCTTCAATCGAATCCCAATCAACGACAAGTTCTACTTGACAAAACAAGATCTTTTGGCTTCTGTTGCATGACGTCATTATTTTTTTTCCACCTTTAAAATCAACCAAGTCTCCCCAGAGACCAGATTTGAAAAATTATTTGCTATTTAATAAATACCAAATACCAAATACTAAATACTAAAAGCGTACGCATTAGAGAGCTGGGAAATGAGCTCTATAATAATAATAAAAAACAGATTTCAGTAAAAGCAAAAAAAAAGAGAAAAAGAAAACAAATTTAACTAATCATGGAGTGACACATATAGATTTTGTTGAGAGGCGTTTCTTTAAACTCTAGTAGGAAAGTCGGATCTGTTTTTCTTGAGTGACACATCATTTCCTTTTAATTATTTTCTTTATTTTTATAGAGCAGAACCACTTATAGTCTCTCCAATGCGGATGCTCTAAATACCAAATAACCTTTTGATCATATTTACAGCAGAAAGCAGGGCAATCATAACCGGCGATTTCTAATTAAGTTGGTCCAATAATGCGATGGTGCAAGCATTCCCCTACTTAGTAGTTTGTCATATCATCAAATGATATGCAAAAAAAAACTCAGTTTTTATAATTTGTCTGCCTCTCGAAAGATACGTGTTAACATATTCGACCGTACCCTATTTATAATTTTTAAATCTAAGTGAGAGCACTACAATAGTGTAACTTAATATTTAAGGAAAACTTAAAGAATATTTATTCGAGAAACTCTCTCCTATAAATACATAACACAAATCGTCCCTTAAGTCACCAAGAAATCTCGTTTCTTCTTTTTTAAATATCCAGCAACAACAACAAAAAAAAAAGAAAAAAAAATTAGCAATCTTGATAGCAAATGATGGATCAAGAACGAGCATCAGAGAGCCCCTCGACTCCTACCCAACCGGTCCGGTCACGTTGGTCACCTAAACCGGAGCAAATCTTGATACTCGAATCGATCTTCAACAGCGGTATCGTTAACCCACCCAAAGACGAAACGGTGAGGATAAGAAAGATGCTTGAGAAATTCGGTGCAGTGGGAGACGCAAACGTCTTCTACTGGTTTCAGAATCGACGGTCAAGATCCCGCCGGAGACAACGGCAGCTTCAGGCAGCCACCGCCGCGGCTGTCACTACTAGAGGAGCTGAAGACCACCAGCACGTCACGACGATGAGCATGCATCATCACCATGGTGGTGCAGTTTCTTACAGCAACAGCGAGATTGCTTTGGGATATGGAGATTGTAGCAACTCTTCATTAGCTAATTACTTCCAAAATGGATCATCATCTCAACTCTCTTCATTTCTTCTCGGCCTCTCTTCAGATGGTGTGTGTGAGAGCAACAATGGCACGGAGAATCTCTTCTCAATGTATGGACATGAATCTGATCAACATCATCATCACCAACACAACTCTAATGCCGCATCAGTTTTAAGCCCATCTGATCAAAACTCCAATTTTCACTACCAACAAGGTGAATCATTCATTTGCATGGCTCTTGTTTGTTTTTTTTTCTTTTTCCGCTAAGTGTTGGATTTCTTAACCAGGAAGAGAATCTTTCCACTAAAACAACATTTTTCCAACAATTTAAATCGGTTTCAAACCAAGAACTCGATTGTTATGTTAAGCTAACATCATGTGTTTTGACTGCTAATCCTCAAATCTCTTTTTTCCTTGTTCCTATATATATATATATATATATATATATTTTATCTTTAAAAAAAAAAAAAAAAAAGGGCTAATGACGGTGTTGATAAACGGAGTTCCGACGGAAGTAACAAAAGGAGCAATAGACATGAAAGCAATGTTCGGTGAAGATTTGGTGTTACTTCATTCCTCTGGTCTTCCTCTTCCCACTGATGAGTTCGGTTTCTTGATGGATTCTTTAGAACATGGCCAAGCTTATTTCCTGGTAACTAAATTTAACTAACTTTTATATATTAGTATATACACTATTAAGTAAGAACAAGTGCTCCTGAATATTTTTCATTTTTCATATACGATTTTCAGACCTATTGGTGTATGTTAGTCTGTGAAATTGTTTCGAAATATTAAGAAATAATGTGTTTTTCCTATAAATTTTCGATCAGACAATGTGTAGAAAATGGGCTGTGACCTAATTCTGGTCAAGTCCTAAATGTCTGCAGAACTTAATTTCAAGAACCGATTTTGCTCTGTAACTAGAGATTATTTTAACAGAAAAAAAAATATATATCAATTGAAGATTGACGATTGTCGGTTCAGTAAATGGATATATTTATTTTGTCGAAAATTTAATATCAGTAATTGAAGTTTTGTGATTTAACTAAGGTTTACAGATTGATGTCAGATCTTATACATTCATAAATTATATATATGTGACATTTTCGGTTTAGTAAAGTTTTTTTTCTTCTTATTATGAGCATGTATTTACAAAAATAAAGAATATAGCCAAGAACACAAGAATCAGTAAAATCCGACTTTTTGAGTATTTATAAAATATTAAGTATTTTAGTGAGCTCATTGGCCAAAGAGACCTTGGGAATTTATATTCTCTCTTGGTCAGATAAAATAGACGGTGCCAACATTTTTGTTTTTAAGACAACAGATGTGTCAAGATTATCTATGAAATATAAAATTTTGTTAACCATTTCTCCTCAGGCTTTCTATATTGTATAATCCATTGATTCATTAAGGCATCTATAATGAGATATCTTTTTGAAAAATATTTTGGCATTTCTTTTCATTTTGTCATCGACAGGTACCGAGACAGACATGAACGGGCTATCTTATGTTGCAGGATATACGATCGACTATTTTTTTACTTCTACTGATTTTGTGTCTATCGTCTATAACTAGATTAAATATATGTTGGAGTTGGACTAGTCAGATATTTTGTTTTCTTGTCGATTCTTGTTTTTTTTCGAACAAAGCTTTTTTTTTCTTGTCGATTCTTGTTGCTCGCCTGAACACAAATCTGTTAACAAAACAAGCAAAATATTTACTGGAGATCTAGTTTGTGGAATCTAACTTCAATCCAAGTTTTTAAATCGAAAGGTTAATTATTCTTGATTTATTTAATTTAGTCTACATAAAAGTTCTTAGCATATAGCAGATTTAATCTATTTAACCAATGGATGAAGGTATTGAGGTAATTTATATGGATATCCCTCTCATTCTTTAGAATACTGCCCAAATCCCAAACCAAAATGAAATCTCTTTGGTTTGGTAAGATATGTCTAAACTAATAAATGCAAGTGAATATTTATGAAATAAATTTATACTAAGTAGTGTCAAGATTTGTGAATAGCATTAGTCATTCAAATACAGCAAATTTGGTGGAGAGAAACTGTTTGGATTGATATGCCCACTTATATGTAGGTTTATAGGGCCCTTTGTAGATGAAAAAGGCCAGTAAATGGTTTCCCTTGAATTTAAGGCCCAAAGAAACTGTGTGGCTCGTTTAAGTAAATTGAACGGATACTGGGGCCCGACCCGACTAGTTCAGATGTTTCTAAACTGTAGTTTTACATTTAAATAGTAGTGTATTTTTCTTTAACAATAGTAGTTCTCCCTTAGCTACTTCTAAAGATGTTGTATTATATATACTATATATATAACAAGATGCACTATCAAATGCAATAGTGTTACGATCAAAGTTTCTGGCGAAATGGTTTATTTGAATGCCGACAACTAAAAAAACTGCAAAAGTTTTTACAAAAATCTATTTTAAAAAGAAGGTTAATCACATTCGACTTTTTAATGTTTTGATTACAACTTCTAGGAAATTATTTAATATTCCCCCCTACCCCAGCTAACTTCTACCAAAGATGTTAAGCAAACATGCCTAAAATCAAACATGAAAAAACAGAAGAAACTAAGCCCATTTTTTTTATCTCACAATTAATTCCCTCATCATGACCCTGACTCTTCAAATAATTAATCAAGAAGCTCCAACTCCAAGAAAATCAAAGAAGTAAAAGCCACTCTTCAGCATCTTCATCTCCACCTTCCTCTCACTGACTGTAATTGTGTGGTGACTTTGATGGTCCATCTTTTTACCATATTTGCCATTTACTTCTGCCCTCTGCGCACACTGACCATCTTTACCTGCAAAATTATCAAAATAATTTGTTAGCCCCCACGTGAAATCTTCTTGTATTGAAATAGTAACGTGACATTGTACTGCACCTCCTTATATTATTATACCTATAGGTACTATTACGATGTAAAACACTGTTTCTTCCTCTCTTGTCATTCAAATTTGTAATTATTGCCATATATATGAAATTGATAATAAAAAAGGTGGTCACTCGTCGTCGGTTCTCTGTAATATATTTGATAAAATTATCATTTAATATGCTTTGAGCATTAAAAGAAGAAAAGATAATTCATAACTAGACAGGAATCTAAACTAACTGTAGTTGATAATACCGATCGATGAAAGTAGAAACTGATCATGCTCAACGGTACACCTAGTTAAAATGGCTATCTGATCCCGACCAACCGACAAAAACCATTGTAGTTAGATTCACGAAAACGCTTCTTAAGAAAAACCGAAAGAAACAAAAACATTCCAAAGTTCTATACTTTTCATGTCTCAAGAAAGTCATGAGAATAATTTCATTTTTTTTAAAAGAGGGGAAAATAACACAATAAAACGAGCAAACAAATTAAATGAAATGTTACCTGATGCAAAGGTATTATCGTGATTCAACAAGCGAGGCTGGTGAGCCGTAGGAGATAGAGTGAGAGAGAGCTCCGTAGTACAAGTAGAGACAGCTGAACCATCGTCACCCTCGTCCTCGTCATCATCTTCGTTGACGGAAGTACCCTTCGCGACTCCGCCGAAGAACTCACCGTGATTATAGCGACACGAGGACGAAACCGTCATTTGAGGGTTTCCTGACAGTGCCTGGGGAGGTTGTTGATGTTGTCGTTGATTTTCTCTAGTCCGTCGAGCCATGACGACGTGCCAATGGTTCTTGACGGCGTTATCGGTCCGACCGGGGAAGAGACGTGAGATCAAAGCCCACTTGTTGCCATAGGCTCGGTGAGCCGTTAAAAGCCTAAACTCTTCTTCCTCAGTGAACGCTCTCTTGTTAATCCTCGGATCTAGTTGGTTAAACCATCTCAATCTACAACTCTTGCCTGCAATAAAAAAAGACAAAGCTACATCAATTACGTAGCCCTAAATAAAAGAAAATTTGGTTACTGCCAATATTATGTCACTAATGTGTATTGGTGTATATTTTTATTAAACTTTTTTTTCTTCATGATTTCATCCAATCACGGCTATGGAAAACGCTTAATAATTATGGATAGTACTCAATTCGAATAGGCATTATTATTAAGGTTGGAGAAAAGACTTTTTTTGTAAAAAATACCAGGACTTTTCCGATACTACTTTTTTTGTTGTTGTTGAGCGTATTTAATTAATTTTCTTCTAGTTAAAACTTAAAATTAAGGATAGAAACTCTTTAACATTTACGGAAATTTGGGTAGTAAAAGTAAAGTTAATAAATAAAAGTAAAATAAATGTACCTGATCTACCAAGAAGGTGGTGAGCAATCAAGTTCCAGTTTTGGGGACCAAACTGAGCAACAAGCTCCTTGAGTTTAGCATCTTCTGTTGGTCTCCAGTGTCCTCTTGAGCAGACTTTTGTTTTTGTTCCGTTTTTGCCCTTCCTTTTGAAACTATTTTCGTTTTCACCTCTCTCTTTCTCATGTTCATCTTCCGACTCCAAGACTGAGACTGATTTGGTGTGAGGATGCTTTCGAGAAAGAGAGAAGTTGGAGTGTGAGTTTGGTGAAGATCCGAAGTTGTTTGCATCTACGAATCTTCCAGACCCATTGATGGTTTCATTACCTCTTAGGTCTTTCTCAAGGAGATTTGGATTCATTTTTCTTCTGGGTCTAGGGATTAAAGGAAGAAAAACCAAAAATAGGGGGGAGAGGGGGAGAGAGGGAGAGAGAACACTTGAATGGCTCTCCAGTTTTCACTGTTTATATGGTGGAAGAGGAAAGAGAGATTCTCCAATTTCTTATTCAATTATATTTGATTGACGTTTTCTCTTTTGGAACAAGACTGACATTTATTTACGAGTTAGTAATATATAAGAATACTTCAAAATAAAATATTGATGATGAGTGGTTATTCATAGTACATGGTAAGTAAATTGATAGCTGTTTCTTTGCACACTAAAAAAGTGTAGAGGAAATAGTATTAGAGCATAGTCAATCAAATATTGTACTAATTATCTTTTTTGTTGGCCTACCTAGTTCAGTGATTTTATCTAGTTACGTACAATTTGTCATCTTTAAGTATAGTTTTAGACTTTGGTCGTTGATTTATCATTTTAACTATATATATTGCTAGTCCCTAAACTATATTTTTTTTGTCAACACCAATATTTCTAAATTGGTTCAGAAACTTAAACTAATGGGATAAAATTTAAACGTGTAGATAAAATTTAAACGTGTAGAAAAATTTCCGAACACTTCGTGCTATATATATATGGCTAGTCCCTAAACTACATTTTTTATGTGAACAACAATATATATAAATTAATTCAGAAATTTAAACCCGTGGGATAAAATTTAAACGTGTAGATAAGTTTAAACGTGTAGAAAAGATTTCGAACATTTCGTGCTAGCTTTGCGATCGTTTTTCATCATTAAATGTGTATTACAGCTTCTTATTTTTTTCTTCTAAATAAAAAAGTATTAGAAAGAATTTCTATTCACGTTTTACTTCACGCTGCCTTAATTTCTCTATTCACGTTTTACTTCACGCTGCGTTTTGTTTTCTACTCAACGGAAAATTCGAATAATGAGATACTTTTAGTACCACTCTCTCTCTCTCTCTCTCTCTCTCTCTCTCTCTCTACACGTGCAAAAGCAAGGCTTTGGAGAAGTCGGTGGGTACGTGTAGTGTGGATGCATGCAAAACGAGACCCGCTCGTGCGTATGGAGGGTTCGATGACTGTAGGCCCCTCAGACTCAACAGTCTCGGAAACTCCAAAAAACATTTTTGAACCGCTCGTGTGGCTCTATTATACACACATACAGATATTGCACGTGTGCACGTACGTACGTGTGTGAGTTAATTATGGGAAAAAACAACAGAATCAAGTTTTGTCTGTTTCGGACACAAAGCAAGAAAAATATCTTAAAGGGAGAGAAATAACTTGCTTTTCTATTCTCCATAACGTATTTATTGTATGTGTATATATATTCGCATGTTTCAAAGAATTCGTGTTCTTTAGATGATTATAAATTAATCATGATTAGCTCAACAAGTATTTAAAGTACTTCAAGTTCAAGATCTTATCGACAACCAAAAAGTACTTCAAGATCGACGTCGCGTTCGATGTATACATATTTTACTTATATATTCTGTGAGCTCAAAACGTACTTTTACCAATCCACTGAACTCAAATCATATTTTTCTTATAACTGACATGAACACAAACAATGTTGTGCGATTTATTAATGGGAAAACAGGCGTTACAAATTGGAAATATATGTTTGATATCTCTCGTGTTGCGGCTTAAAGCAGAGAACGTGAGGGTTACAATTTTCGACCACATAAACCAACGTTACAGAATCGAGAAAATAATTGTTAATTTTTGCTATTAACTTTTAGTTTAAAATTTTTTTTTTCATGTAACCTTTTTGCTATAGGAATACATAAATTTTAATAGATTTACTTTTCATTTTTTACGCTTAATTTGGAGGATTAAATTGGTTAAGATAATTATAGAAAGTAAAACTTAGGCAAGAAAAATCATATAAAACAGTACCTTCGTTTTTAGGACAGCTTAAGGTAAAAACGTAAATGATGACACAACAAGTGTAATTAGTTTTTCTCAAACCAAAAATTGCAAAAAAAAAAAACTCTAGAGAAACAAAGAAAAACCAACTCTATCTCTTCAAGACATTATATTGTTCAATGCTATGGCGTATTTATGCGCTACTTAGAGTTAGACTTTTTTGAAACAGCGTTTAAGTTAGACTCTAGATCTTATTTCTTTTCATAATATTAATATTGGGAGGTCACAAATTTGAATGTAATAGTGTTTTTTTATGCGTAACAGCTTATTCTAGTCTTGATATGACGACACAACAATTAGAAGAGACCATAGAGTTTTTCTTGTGAATGAGATGTAATCACGAGAATGCAACAACACTATTCTGATGGATTAATAGGGAGGTAAAAGAGAAATCATGTAACTGAAGTCGAACTTGGAATTTAGTTCAACAAAAAACGAAAACTAAAATAAACATACAACTACAAAGAAACTTTCGAAACCAAAGAAAAGACAGAAACGTACCCAAACAATATATTTATTGTGTCTTGTTTTATATGAGTTTCGGTTATAGGAACGGTTTCGTTAATTTTGAAATCTTGTGCTGACGACAAAAGAAAAAAGTCTTGTACCGACGTGGAGTGACGACATCATGAACTGTTAAACACGAGCGGATCGTGCTCCTACCTAACACGTGTCCCGTCATCACGAATTTCTGTTTCGGTTCAAAGAAAAAATCCCCGAACCGTTATGGACCAATTCCACTTTTATTATTTGTTATGACCTGAATAGTAATTATTTAATGAGATTATTCAAATCATACTTTCTCGACCATGAAAGAATTTTGTTTCCAATGATCATGAAAGTCTTTTTGATAAAGTTTTGTTTTGAAATGCTATTATTAAAAGCAACCTGCATAATTTCATGGGTTAAATTACAAAAAAATTTGCCCTAAGGTTTATAATTCTATTGGACCGAACCTGCTCGCATCTCAACCTAAATAGTTACTTGTTTTCATCGGTCTAAAGTTATTGATCGATAAGAAACAGATGTGATTGTTTGGTGAACCATAATTTTGAACAGATGTGATCGATCGGTCTAGTGAATTGTGTTTTGCTTGTCTTTAAAAAATCAGATAATTTTCATTAGTCTTTTGTTGAGCAACATGGCTTATCAATATATGAATTTAGATCTAGGTGATACCATATCAATAACGTTTTCGCAAACCCAAAAAAAAAAAAAAAAAAAAACGTTATCGCAAACCAAACTACATTTTCATGTTTTAATAGTAAAAATCTTTGGATAAAAGGTGGAGAGAACGGAGAAAGATGAATCGAAACTCCAAATGCTAAAGTAGTATTGTTTAGGTAATCATGAGATAAGCCACACTAATTACATTCACTTAGAGAAAGTTCATGGATTAGTTTTAAAGGAGACACTTTAACTAATTTGAGGAATTTAGGGCTTTATCTCATGATGTAGTGACATAAAGTCTCTTTATATATATAGAATTTTTTTATAAATCATGTCAAAGTTGTTAGCCGGTCCATTGCACTTGCAGCATAGAACTAACATATCACATCAGAGTATAAATAGTAATTAAATTATGATAAAATACAATTAAGGGGGAATTAATGAGGTTGTACCTTACAGACTAGATTGCAGTCATTATCGAGGCAGTTAATTGTCCACGCACTCACCAATACTTTAGTACACATGGATCCAAACAAAAAACTTAGTTATTACAATTTAATTAGCTTAATGTATGCAAACATATAGTCAAAAGTTGACGGCGGTGATCGGCAAGGCAACTAATTCACACCCAATTTGAACTCACAATGATTCAAAAGTTGAAGAGAACACACATATTAGTCTCTCCATTTTACTACCACATATGTTTTCTGATGATACAAATTTTAACGGTTTTAAGTCAAAACAAATGTTTGCACGCGTTTCATAATTGTATATTTCATTTTTTCAAAACACGAAAATTAATGTCAAATTTGACGTGCAAATTAGTTGTATACCAAATTAAGCTTATATGTTAAAGATTTCAAGATAAACTCACACTTATCTTTGAAACATGCCAACTCTTAGATTACCATCACTTGGTTGAATATCAAACCTTACAAGTATCAAACATGCATAACATTCATAAGCCCATGTACTCATGTCGTACGTACAGCACCTGAGCTTGCTGCGTGACCTATGTGGCCTATGCTAGGCCCATTATTATCATTATAAAATATGTTTTAAATTAGTCCCAAATTTATAGCTCCGATTTTGTTTCTAATCAAACATTTCACTGATAAAACTGCTTTACAAATTACAACCAGTTTTATTTTCCTAAAAATTTCGTTTCTAATAACTTTTTCTTCTTATGATAAGTAACCATCGTAGTTCACTAGGTCGTATAATGTAGGTGTAGTTTTCTTTACAACCTATGCTTTTTTTTTTCGTATTTTTTGCGTTTAAAAAATAAAATAAATATTTTCTTAATATTTACGATTTCACTGAAAAAATCCTCGCCGGTAATTATAACAATCCGGTGAAAAATAAAAAATCCAAAAATTCCGACCTCCGACACATTTCATCCAATTTCTATCTTCCGCTGAGCGGAGAAATAACCTAACGGCCACCGTCGAAGAGGAGAGACGATGAACAACTCGACCAGGTTCCTCTCTCTCTTTCCTCCTCCTCCTCTCTTCCTCTTCCGTGGCCTCTTCATCGGCCGCATAAGTAATCTCCGCCGTTTCCATCGCCTGGCGTCTGCTCCTTCCTCCATTGGCTCGGCCAATCGCCGCTCTCTCACTCTACTAGTGTCTTTACCGCCGATTATCCCCTCGTTTCCCACAGGGCGTCTCCATACTCACCGAGTCCGAGTCTCCGCCGCCGATTTTGTTCCTTCTAACCACCACCAGCTGCCTGAATGGACAGAGCTACTCCAATCTCTCTCCGAAGCTGGTTACTTCTCAGATTCCGGGCCAATTTCCGGTATCGAAAACGAATTTCTTCCTGGTTTTCCAGATGAGCTCATCCGTCCTGCTCTTGCTTGTTTAGCTCTAGCTCGTGATCGACCCGAATTACTCGAGTAAGTTAGCTGCCATTTCCATTTTATTTTCCTCCTTGATTGCCTTCCAATTTGAGTTTTTTTAGTTTTTCTTCCTGGATTCAATTGTTTTTAGAATGCTATCGAGGAGAGACGTCGAAGTGGTGGTGGAGAATGGAAAGCCATTCTTATTTAAGACTGGCCCTGATTCACTCAAGAAGATGAGCCTTTACCTGACAAGTGGTCCTCAGGGCATTGTTAAGGTAAGTTCTATCTGGCAAAAAGTTTTTGTATAGTATTTTAATGGTGGATGGTGAATCCTTGTCTTCAGTGGTGGACTGTGCCGTGATGTTTTGATCTTTTCTGTTTCATCTTAGATAATGGATACGGAAAAGGCGACTACAGTGGATTTGATGAGGCTTCTTTTGAGTTATGTTGTGGACTTTGCTTCTTCTGAGGGAAGCAAACACCAAAACCAAGAGATTGTGGAGTCATCGATTCGAAGCCTTTTGAGCCAGATATCAAATTTTCGTGATCAGTTCTCAGATAGAAATGGACAAGCAGTGGGGTCCTTTCAGAAAAACATTGAGATGAAACGTGGTGACTGGATTTGCTCGAGGTATGGATTTGTTGGATTCTCTATAGCCTTTTGATATAAGTTTCCAATTGCTTGTTCATAGCAATTCTTCCTTGGAAAGATATAAGAATCAGTCTACCATAAGAAAATCCTTTAGGATCTGAGCTTGAATCGGTATATGACTGACTATACACTAGTGTTAGAGCTGAAAGATCGTATCTTTACTCTTTAGAGCTAGAAGTCAGTAAGTTGTAGTCGTCTTTGTTTTATTTTGTTGATGTTCATGTAATCTATATATAGTGTGGTACTTTGTTGAAACAGGTGCAGTGGCATGAACTTTGCGAGAAATGCCAAATGCTTCCAGTGTGATGAAGCAAGACCAAAGAGGCAGCTAACTGGTAGAGAATGGGAGTGTCCCCAGTAAGCAACTAATTTTGTGTTTCCTCTGCTGCTTTTATAGTTGATGCGACGGCGAATGATGAGTTTAACTTTCCCTTTTCCTTCTCGTGTGTTTCACTCATCAGATGCGACTTCTACAATTACGGGAGGAATGTAGCTTGCTTAAGGTGTGACTGCAAGCGACCCGGGGGCTTCTCACACAATTCAACCAACTCTGGTTATACAAACGATCCTGAACTTGAGAGAAGACTGGTGGAGAATGAAGAGAAAGCACAGAGGTGGTTTAGTAAAGTAGCACAGGGTGGTTCTTCTGATGCGAACAGTGTTAATACAGATGAAGATTTTCCAGAGATTATGCCTTTGAGGAAAGGAGTGAACAGATTCGTTGTTAACACGAGAAAGACACCTCTTGAGAGAAGGTTAGGTAACGCTGAGAACAGTGTAGCTACAGATGGGAACGACGATATGGCATTGGGAAGTAAAACGAATAGGAGCTTGAACGAGATTCTCGGTTCTTCATCTTCCAGGAGGTTTGAATCTTCTCAGGTAGTTAACTCCGATTTTGTCCCGTTCGTGCCACTACCTTCGGATATGTTTGCCAAGAAGCCCGAGAAGGAAGGTATCACCGAAAACAACCAAGTGAATGGTGTCTCAGGCGACAATCGAAATGTCTATCAAGAGGACAAGTCAAATGCAGAGCTCTCTGGCAAAGAAACAGATAGTCCTGAAAAGGATGAGAAGGAATCAGAGGAGAAATCAGAGAGGTGGTTCAAGAGGGTTACCGAACTGCACAACGTTTCAGATCTGGAAAGCACTATACCGGAGGAGAATTCTCCTGAGAAAATGCCAATGCGAAAAGGAGAGAATCGGTTTGTGGTGAGCAGGAAGAAAGACCCTTCACTGACTTCTCCAGCAAACAAGAGACGAATGTCCATGGAACCAAAAGATTCAGACTTTGTCCCATTTGTCCCTTTCCCACCTGACTATTTCGCCAAAGAGAAACAGCCGAAGGAAACAACAGATACTATTCCAGCTCCGGCGACAGAAACCGCTTCTCAGGTAGTAGCAGAAGAAGAAGAACCAAGAGAACCTCCAAGCAATACTCCTGAAACAATGGCGGGGAAGATTAGAAATGGAAAGAGCTTGGAAGGTTCGTTAGTGAAGGAGCCTGACTTGTTGGACATGTCGGAGGAAGCTAAAGCAGAGAGATGGTTTAAGCGAGTAGCTGAGATTAAGAACATATCGGAGCTGAGTCAGATCCCTGACGAAGATTTCCCGTCTATAATGCCGATGAGGAAAGGAGTGAACAGGTTTGTTGTCAGCAAGAGGAAGACTCCATTGGAACGGCGTTTAGCTTCTCAACGACACCAGAGAAATCCTCCTCCGATCACAGGCTCGGATCCGGCCGGTGAAAGAGATACATGACTTTGTAGCATAACAGTTTTGCAGAGTAATTTACAATACGTTTTTTTTCTTTAATTCAACTTCTTTATATCATTTTTCTGTTAATCAGAAAACTTTCTTATACACAAAACAGAATGGGTTAAAATTCTCGCAGTGTTGAAATATACAATGTTGAAATTCATGCATCTACTAAAGACGACGACGTCGTTTTTTAATTCTGTAAAATTAAAGTCAAAGCTTTTGTCTTTCGACGTGGCTTAACTACTAATCTCAATTTCTCTGGCGCTCTAGATTCTCTCCGCTTCAATGTCTTTCCTCTCAGTTTTCCCGAGAAAATGGGCGGGGAAATACGGGACAGCCATTCACGCCGCACTATCGTTAATCGTCTTCTTCTGCTTCGACCTCGTGGACGCAATTCTCTGCGTGGTTTACGAGTTCCTCGACGAGATTTTGGAGGGAAAATCCCGCGGCTGTTACTGCACGGCGGCGTCTCCTCATAACGCCGGTGAAAATGAGTTGTCGGAGACTCTGTTCCGGAGGAAAAACATTTTCCGGGAAATGGGTTTTCTGGGATTCGCGAGAAAATTCAAGCTTTCCCCGAAAACGAGAAAATGTACGATTCATGAGTCTGTGAATAGATGGTCAGATTGTGGATGCCAATCATGCAATTCATGGACGAAGAACGAACATGAGAATCTTCACGTCGTTGTCAAAGATTCAACTTCCCCAGGTCAGATCTATTTGAAAACACGTTTCTGTATATTACATAGTTGTTTTGCTTCCAGTTTAATGTTGATTTAAGTAATGAACTGATTTTACATCTTGAAAGTCAAAGATTCTACTATCGCATTATTGGTTAGTTAAGTAATGTTTGCCAACAAAAATTGATTTTAATGGTTCATGTTTGGGAAAACAAAACAGAGGACTCTGTTCAGGAACCGTCGGAGAATGTAATATTCATACACGGTTTCATGGGTTCATCATATTTCTGGACAGAAACTGTGTTCGAGCACATTAAGAAGGATAGGCTCTTCGCGGTCGATCTTTTGGGATTCGGGGAGAGTCCTAAGCCAAGAGACAATCTCTATACGTTGAGAGACCACGTAGAGGCGATCGAGAGATCTGTCATTAAACCGTATCAATTAGACTCATTTCATGTGGTTGCACATTCGATGGGTTGCTTCATTGCTCTTGCTTTGGCGGCAAAACACTCCAACGTTGTCAAATCTGTCACTCTCGTTGCACCGGTGAGCGATTGGTTTCGAAATCTAATCTTACATTTTCAAGCTAATCCTCAGTTTGTGAACTTATGTTTGTGTGTGTTTTGTTACAATTTAGCCTTATTATCCTTCATCGGTTGAAGAAGGTTCGGTCTTGACACGAATCGCTAGAAAGCGGCTGTGGCCGCCGCTAGCGTTTGGAACAGCGGTGATGTCATGGTATGAACATATCGGTCGATGCGTTTGTTTCATAATCTGCAAGCATCACAAGATATGGGAGTGGCTAGTAAAGCTGTGTACCGGTAAAAGGTAAAACATTTGAACTGATTTTGGTTTAAAGGTCAAAAAATTTCACTAAAAGTTTTGATCTTTTGTTAGGGAGATTCCATGGAAGATCAAGGACATAACAAGACACACACACCACTCGGCTTGGCATAGTATGCACAATGTGATATGCGGTGGCTCCAAATTCGCTGATGAACATCTCGAAACGCTGATAAATCATGGCGTTAAGATTCACTTGATGCAAGGAAGTAAGGACAAAATCGTTCCTTTACATTGCTCCGAGGATATGAAGAGGAATTTTCCGATGGTAGAAGTTGATATTGTCAATGGCACTGATCATGAGAGTATTATAAGCGGAAGAAGACAAGAGTTTGCTAAACAAGTGGAGAGTATTTGGTACTCATGTAAAACAGGTTCAATTACTTAAAACAGGTGGTATTGTTTTGTTTGAGTCCTTGAATGAAGAAAAATGGGATATTTTTTAGTTGAACGATTCTGTATTGAGTATAGAGAATAAATATTAATTTGTTTTTTTTATATATCCAACAATAATACATGTAGAAAACGAAGGCAATAATAACGTGATGGGGTTAGGTCTCACCAGATCCCATCCCTTGGTTTGAATGGCGGAGATTACAAGGGAAAGAGACTCTTCGAAAGCAAAGCACTGATTTTGCAACAATCCCCAAACTTTCTCCTTGTATCCTTTTATTCTTTCTTTCTTCTTTTCATTAAGCCATTTTGATTCCTTTTTCTTCCATTCATTTTTGGGTATTAGCCATCATGGACACCGAGTTTCTCCGAACCCTAGATCGTCAGATTCTCTTGGCTGTCTTCGTAGCTTTCGTCGCCGCCGGTGCTGGTGCTGCTTTTTATCTCTCATCCTCCAAAAAACGCAAAGGTTCCATCTTTAGTTCCAACTGCTCAATTCGTCTTTTCTAGGTTTCAATTACACAATGCGTAGCTCACTGATTCTTATTAAAAAAAATTGAAATTTTGTGTAAAAGCAAGCAAAGATTTGTGTAGTATTCATCTGTTTGGATGGTTGGATTAGGTCGCCGCATTGAAAAATTGAGCCTTTTTGGTCTCTATATGGGTGGAGAGCTTTGTTTCAGTTGATCTGCACGAAAGGTTGTCTAAATCTTGTCATTTGTTGGTGTACAGGGTGTTTGGATCCAGAGAATTTCAAGGAGTTTAAGCTTGTTAAGAAGCAACAGCTTAGTCACAATGTGGCCAAATTCATTTTCGAGCTCCCATCTTCCACCTCTGTGTTGGGTCTTCCCATTGGACAACACATCAGCTGCAGGTTTGGTCCTTGCTGCTCTTAACATCCTCTCCTAATTGATCTCTGTATTTTGTTCTGCAAGTTGTTAGAGACTAAAACCCTATCCAATAAGAAATGGCTGTGAACGTATTCATCTGTAGACTTTAGGTTAGGTTGCTTTGTTGGAATCCCATTTTTTTAGAGAGATCCGATGGAAGTTGTGATGAATGTAATGTCTTCTCAATAGGGGAAAGGATGCTCAAGGAGAGGATGTTATTAAGCCATACACTCCGACGACTTTAGATTCAGACGTTGGACGTTTCGAGCTTGTCATTAAGGTAGTGTATGCCTAAAAGCAACTTCTCACCTTGGCTTGGTTTTTTCATCTCCGGTGTTCTTTCTCCATTCTAATTCACCGGTAAAATCTTGTGCTGTCAAGTAGATGTATCCGCAAGGAAGGATGTCTCATCATTTCAGGGAGATGCGTGTTGGAGACCATCTTGCTGTAAAAGGACCAAAGGTACATTTTAACTCAAATGTTTGCTTGCTTGATATTTTACAATTCAAGTTGTTGTTATCTTATACTTATCTCTTGAATCTTAAATTGTTTTTGTTTGATTGCTTTTTACTTGTCAGGGAAGGTTCAAGTATCAGCCAGGTCAGGTTAGGGCATATGGAATGCTTGCTGGAGGCTCAGGCATCACTCCAATGTTCCAAGTATGTCTGATGATGATACGATTACGTTTCTAAAGCCAATGTATATGTTTTTAAAAAACGCGTTTCGTTTCGCGATTGTGAAGGTTGCAAGAGCTATTCTAGAAAACCCAACAGACAAGACAAAGGTGCACCTCATTTACGCTAATGTCACACACGACGACATTCTCTTAAGGGTATAATGTCTCTCACCACCTGCTGATTCTTATGAATGCATTGCTGTTTCATTGACTCCCTTCGCTCACTAAAACATTATGTGATTCAATTTTTTTTCTCCATTTTATCAGGAAGAATTGGAGGGCCTTACTGCTAATTATCCAGATCAATTCAAAATCTACTATGTGTTGAACCAGGTTAGCCTTAAAACCCAAATTGTTTAGGCGTTTTGTCTAATGTAAATACCTTAAAGAGAAAAATAACTCTTTTCTGATTTTCTTTGTGTTTTGGTTTATCTTTTGTATTAGCCTCCGGAAATATGGGATGGTGGTGTTGGATTTGTAACCAAGGAGATGATTCAGGCTCATTGCCCTGCACCAGCATCTGATATTCAGGTAAACTCGTCCTCTATTCTTGATCCTATACTAATCTTGAAAACGTTCAAGTGTAATCGATGAGTGAAACAAACCCGCAAGAACACTGCAAGAGAGTGAAACATTTGACAAGTAATTTTTTTGAGTGATAATATTTTGATGGCGTTTTGATCTTCTTACGGTTCGTGTTCGTTTCGCAGGTCTTGAGATGTGGACCACCGCCGATGAACAAGGCCATGGCTGCAAACCTTGAAGCTCTGGGTTACTCTCCAGAGATGCAGTTCCAGTTCTGATCTGAAAAAGTCTCTGCTTTTGATTTCTCCAAACTGAAACTATTTTTAAAACTCATTTCTCTGATTTAATAATTTAGTTACAATCCAAACTGCGAGAGTTGTTGTGTCTTAATTGCGTGAGAGTTGTGATTTATGTTGGAAGCTTAAGCTTCTTTTAAACCCTTGTCCCACTTTTCAATTTTTGTTGGTTAACGATTTGGTTAGACTTATACATATATGGTTTACGTAAAACCGGGTATAAAAGACTTGACAGTGACATCTCCACACTACCTACCCTATTTGTTTTGGCATGTTGCTAAACAATTTTGGCTACTGGCCTACAACTATACGTGAATCATCATCTATCAATCGACTTTAAAAGCATAGCTTAAAAAGAAGTGACTGAATATTATTATTATTGGTGGAATTTTATAATTTTACAAAAACACTTTTCGTTAGTCGGCTTGTTCTTTCTCGAAAACTTTTTTCTTTTCTTTTTGAACCATTTATAATTCTTTTTTGTTTTTTAGTTGGTTAGTATTTTATGAAGTTGGCAGTATTGATAATTAAAATACAGAAAGAAATATAAAGTAGTTCTCTTCATTCTATCTCATCATCTTTATTTTTCCGTCGTAATCATCATGCTAGTGACATTGTGAAATGAAATAAACTAAACGAACAAATAGTTAAATTAACAGTGTAACTGTCAAAAGACAAGCAAAAATGTTTTTAACATTAAAATCGCATGATAATGATCCTTGAAAACTATGGAATCGTAGATTGATTCCGTCCTTTCAAGTTTCAACTATGCATGTCACATGCTACCAATTAATATCTTAAATTATATTATATCCAAAAATGTGCATATGACCACATCGGATAAGATTCAAGATTATTAATTTGAAGATCTTGGACTATTGTCTCTCTGGTTTTGTTTGATAAGCAGCTCGAAAATGAGACAAGAGAGACTCAATTGATTATTGTTGATTTTCTTTTCCGCCTTAAAGATTGAGACGTAATTTGACTAATAAGAAAAAGTTGCTTTATGATAGATAATGCTTTTGTTATCGACAATAAACAAATGTTTTCATAAATTCACTTTTGAAGTATTGGTGAATGATGGGGAACCTTGCGTGGTTTCAATATTATTTGTTTAAGCATATATTTGATTTAAAATGACACCACGGTCCAAAAATAAAAGGCGAATTAGTGACTCATAGTACACATACTTTTCTTTTCTTTGGTTATGAATCAACTCAACCAATGATCTCCCGACACGTACCTCTTTTTCTCCAAATTTCTACACTGTTGCACTTGAATTACAACACGCAATAGTCCCACATGCTACATCACGACAATATATCGAATCTTTTTTTCTTTGCTTTTGGTCTTTTATGGTCAATCATCAAATGTCATAAATACTAAAGTTAAAAAGTTAAATTCGGACCATAAATAGTCACTGTAATATCCAAACTTATTAACATAAAACACACCTACCTAAAACTCCAAAATTGTTATCGAAGACAAAAGAATCAGTGTCCATAGGTAGCTTCTGTTCTAGTCGAAATGACTAAAAAGAGAATAAAATTTTGGGTTATTTTGGTAATCGAGTTTCGGAAGATCAAGTTTATACGTTAGTGTATATTCTATAAGTCGCCTTCCAACTCAACAAACTAAGCAAGATTCAAAATGTATAACCACATAAATGAATTACCCTAAAGTTGGTCACATCATCATTCCATCTTTTTCTTTCCTATCAAGAAATAAAGGTTTCCAACGTAAGTAAATAAAATTGTCCATATCACTACCAACCAAACAAACAAAAATTAGAAACGAAATCTTTCATGTTCCGTGATTAATAAAGTACCTTGTATCTATGTGAAAACGTCACTGATCCGATGGTTAACTAATGGAAATGTTTCTTGCATCATATCATATTCGTTTTCTATGTAGACTAAGACTATAGATGTAATCATGTAAAGTGTAAACTTTTAGTTTGTCGTCATATCTTGTATGATGCATGCCGATTAGATTATTCACTTGTGTGTGAATAGATTATGCATAATTTGTAAATCGTTCTTAAAATAATAATAGATAAGCTCAATAATGGCACCATAAAACTATCCTTTTCGTTAAAAACCGGTTTCAAATCTAGATCAAGAGAACTACAAAGTTTATTTATTTTTGAGAAAAGGCATGAGAACTACAAAAATTGCCTCACTACAACTGGTTGATTAACAATATACTACAAATGCACATAGATATTTTTCTCAAAACATAGACTATAAATAATTTGTTAACCCCAGAATGTCATATTTTCCGAGTCGTCATTGGTCAAGCAAAAATATTAAAATAAGATGGATGGATGATATGAGATAAAAATAGAAAATAAATGGACATGCTCTTCGTGGAAAGAGACGTGGAAATTTTCCATGAGTTTCTTTTGTCCTCTCTCTCTACTTTTTTTTTTTACTTTACTATTCCATCCTCAAATTTTCTAATAAAATTGTGGAAAATTTGGTCTTCACACATGCATCCATTGAACAAAGACAAGGAGATATTAAAACTTGAGAGACTAAAAATGTCTTTTTATCCCCAAGTGAAACCTTCTTCCTTAAGCTTCTCTCCTTCTTTAAATATCTCTTTCACCTCTCACTTTCACTCTCTCCATCTCCAAGAAACAGTCTGAAAACAGAGAAGCAAAAAGAAAAGAAAAAAAAAAACAGAGGACCAGAAGCAGAGAGAAAGAGAGAGGAACGATGTTTTTCACAAAGGATCTTCCTTCACCAACATCGGTGTTCACAGCTTACGCATCAATGGCGGGTTACATGATGATGATAAGATCAATGGCTCACGAGATGATCCCAGCTCCAATCCAAGATTTCATTTACTCATCTCTCCGTTCTCTGTTCAACCGTTCTTCTCCCTCAACTCTGACTCTCACCATCGACGACGACAACATGGGCATGAACAACGAGATCTACCGAGCAGCTCAGACTTACCTCTCCACCAAGATCAGTCCAGACGCAGTGAGGCTCAGAATCAGCAAAGGCCACAAGGACAAGCACGTCAATCTGTATCTCAGCGACGGAGAGATCGTCAACGATGTCTACCAAGAAGTCGAGCTCAAATGGATATTCGTTACAGACGGCGGCGACAAGAAAGGCGGAGGCGGAGGAGGAGGAGGAAGAGGCGGAGGCGGAGGGAGAAGAGGCGGCATGGAAGACGACGGCAAAAGCGAGTATTTCGAGCTGAGTTTCGACAAGAAGCATAAAGATTTGATCTTAAACTCTTACGTGCCTTACATCGAGACCAAAGCCAAAGAGATCAGAGACGAGAGGAGAATCCTGATGCTGCATTCTCTCAACAGCCTCCGGTGGGAATCGGTCATCCTCGAGCATCCTTCCACCTTTGAGACAATGGCCATGGAAGATGAGCTCAAGCGTGACGTCATCGCCGATCTTGACCGGTTCATAAGGAGGAAAGATTTTTACAAGAGAGTAGGGAAAGCTTGGAAAAGGGGCTACTTGCTGTACGGACCACCCGGAACAGGGAAGTCTAGTCTGGTCGCAGCAATGGCTAATTATCTCAAGTTCGATGTCTATGATCTTCAGCTCGCGAGTGTGATGCGTGACTCTGATCTGAGGAGGCTCTTGCTCGCCACACGTAACCGCTCCATTCTTGTCATTGAAGATATCGACTGTGCAGTGGATTTGCCCAACAGATTGGAGCAGCCTGTTGAAGGCAAGAACCGTGGCGAATCTCAGGTTTTGGTTCTGTCTCTATGGATCTTTTAGATATTTACTTGCTATTATTGGTTTTGGTATAAGCTTGGGAATTTTAACCAAAAAAAATATCAAATAAAACCGAACCGAACCGAATCTGATTAGTCTAGAGAAATGACATTTTTCTTGTGTGTTTTAGGGACCTTTGACGTTATCAGGGCTGCTGAATTTCATAGATGGATTATGGTCAAGCTGTGGAGACGAGAGGATTATAATATTCACGACGAACCACAAAGACAGGCTTGACCCGGCATTGCTACGTCCGGGTCGGATGGATATGCATATTTACATGGGACATTGCACTTTCCAAGGATTCAAGACCTTGGCCTCTAACTATTTGGGGTTGAGCGACACCACGATGCCACACCGTCTTTTCCCGGAGATCGAGCGGTTGATGGAAGGGGATGTGATCACGCCGGCACAAGTCGCGGAGGAGCTGATGAAGAGCGAGGATGCCGATGCGGCGCTTGAGGGTTTGGTGAGTGTTTTAGAGAAGATGAGGTTTAAAGCTAATGAGTCGAATCCGTTGACGAAGAAGGAGAGTAGATTGGAGATGGAGGAGATGAGATTGAGACGTGATGGAGAGGGTTCTCCGAGGAAGAACAGCAAAAGAATTAAGAAACTTGTTCTGTTTTGGACCTAATTAAGGCGTGTGTTAGAAGCTTCCATGATCAAGTATTGGTTCAAAAGTTTTTAAATAAGATTATGACTTTATGAGGAAACAAGGTTAGACCTTAAGAGGCTTATTACTACTGTAAAAGTTAAAAAGTTTAAAAAATTTCTAAAAAGTTTCTTATACACTACTATGCAGGGTTGTAAACTATAGTAAACCGACTAAGAAATATGAAAATTGAGAAAATCTTTTAAAATCTTTATCTGTTTCTGAATATATTTTAAAATATTTTAAAAATTGTCACAAAAGAAAACGAAAAGATCTATAAATACAATTCTCTATAGATATATTAACAAAATTCAACTAAAAGCCACACAAGACGCGCAAGAACATCCAAGAGAGACCAAACCCTAAACACCGAAACGATGGTGTTCTCTGGAGATCTCTCTTCTCGTGGATCAGCATATTTCTCTAATTATGTATCAATGACGGGAATCATGATGATGAATTCGACGATGAATTCAACGATGCATTCAATGATTCACAATCTTTACAGGATAATTCCAACGAAAGTTGTCCCTTACATCAAGTCTATGATCGGCGCATCGACTCTCACGCTCGTCATCAGTGATAAGATTGGGACTGACAGAAACGGGATGTTTAGGTACAACGAGCTCTATTCCGCGTTCGAGACTTATCTCTCAAGCAAGATAAATCCTGATGCATCAAGTCTAAGGATGACTAAAGACCCTAACAATAAGAAGGTCAACTTATATCTCAGCCCTGGAGAGGTAGTCTCCGAAATCTACCAAGGTATTAAGATCGAGTGGTCGTATGTAGCTTCCGTCAAGAAGAAGACCACGGTTGAAGATGGGGTTCAATATGAAGATAAATTTAATTCGGAATCCTTCCACCTGACCTTCTACAAGAAACACAAAGACCTTGTGATAAACTCTTTTGTACCTTACGTGGAGAGTAAGGCAAAGGTGATCATGGACGAGAGTAGAATCCTCAAGATGCATTCGTACGCTCCCAGTTATGGTGGGTGGGAACCCATGAACTTCGAGCACCCTTCGACATTCGACACCATGGCTATGAACAGCGACCTCAAGCGTTCTGTGATTGAAGATCTTGATCGGTTCATTAGAAGGAAAGATTTTTACAAAAGAGTTGGGAAAGCTTGGAAGAGGGGTTACTTGCTGTATGGGCCACCAGGGACCGGGAAGACTAGTCTAGTGGCAGCCATGGCTAACTACCTCAAGTTTGATATCTATGATCTCCAGCTCGCAAGCGTGAAAGGGGACGCGGATCTAAGGAGATTGCTTCTCACCGTTAAAAACAGCTCCATTCTTCTTGTAGAAGATATAGACTGTTCCGTGAATTTGCGTACAGAGTCGACACCTGTGTTGAGACCTGCAATCGCAACCCGATCCGGAGCTGTTCCTAAGGTTTGGTTTTGACTATGGTTTTATATCATTCTTTTTCTTTCAAACAATATATACATGGAACGGTCCTAGACGTTTTGTTTGTTTGTTTTATAAATGTGAATAGGTACCATCAACACCATTGACGTTATCAGGACTTTTAAATTGCATAGATGGGTTATGGTCTACTTGTGGAAATGAACGCATAATAATATTCACCACGAACCACAAGGACAAGCTTGATCCCGCATTGCTAAGGCCAGGCCGTATGGATATGCACATTTACATGGGACATTGCGGTTTTGAGGGGTTTAAGATATTGGCGTCGAACTACTTAGGCCTGTCTCAAGGCGAAGATGATCCGCACTGTCTCTACCCGGAAATAAAGAATTTGATTGATGGAGAAGTGTTGACCCCGGCTCAAGTCGCGGAAGAGCTAATGAAAACTGAAGATGTTGATGCGGCTCTAGAGGGTTTGGTTGGGGTACTCAAGAGGAAGAGGTCAGAGCCAGAGAGTCGTGATGATGATGATGAGTCTATGAAGAAGAAGAAAACCACAGAGGAATAGATGAGGGTGTCCGACGTTTATGAGACATCCAAGTTACAATTCTTGACTTGTTCAATTGAAGAATGGGTGGACTTGTTTTTTTTTTTAAATATTGTTTTTCTTTTCCATCATCATTGAAGCTTTTTCGCCATATTTTCTTCCATAGCACTTTTCTTGTGGCTTTTTCTTGCCTAAGAGAGACTTGAACATTCCTCACATCCACAATTTGAGTTTTTATTTTATTTTTATACATTTCTTGATTTCTCATCTCTTCATTAGATAGTTATAAATTACCAGCCCAACATGAACTCAAGGGCTCGTTGTAAGGAAACATTTGCATGTGGTAAAACTTGACAAGCAATTTAAATTTCTAGGGTTAAATATCTCAGCCAGAAGCAGTTTAATTATTAAATTTAAACAACTTGCATGGAAGACTCAACGGAGGTTACAATTTAGGGGGTCAAGATTGAGTTTTCTATAAAGATAAGCCTAGGACTTCAAATATTTTCTAACTATACACGGATTTACAATTGTGATTCACATATCCATTTTTGTAATATGACTATTTGCAGAATGTAACGAATCATCTTGAGTTTTCTATTCGTTAAGCCTATCTTGAGTTTTCGATTCGTTAGTGTCATTTTTCACCTTTTATTATAAAGATCTGTGATATGTGAAGTAAGAGACCAACAACAATACTGACAGTTAAGCTGCAGTCAAAAATAACATGGGAGTTAGAAATTCGTTTTACGAGCGTCGTAAAACAGTATCTCGGGACCAAGGTGCGCGGTGATGGGAGGAAGATGCATGCGACACGAGAATCGGCAGCGTCTAAACAACTAAGTTACTCTATGGTGAAGATGGAGTAATCTACGATTTATATGAATGAATCAGAATAGAATTTAGATATTCTAAAAATGATAAGAGTGATGCTTCAAGGACATTGGGTCAAGAGTAAATCATGTTTATATGACTCCAAATCAAAGAAAAAGTGATTTTGATTACTCTATAAGGTGGGTTTTCTTCGTTTACAACTAAGAAAAACTTAATTGATGAAAAAGACATATGCCATATTATTGTTAGTAAGTGACAAACAATTTCACGATGTTCACATTTTGTACATTTTTCGGCAACAATGGTGCTTCATTTCACGACAAGCAACAAGGAGAGGCTTGAACCAACACTGCTATGTCATATGGATATGCAAATTCACATGGGGATTCAAAAAATTGGCGTCTAGCTACTTGGGCCTTTCTCATGACAATGATAGCACGCACTGTCTCTATCCGGACATCAAGCGTTTGATTGAAGGACAAGCTGTGACACCGGGTCAAGTCGCAGAGGCTCTTATGAAGAGCCAAGACGTTGATGTGGACTGCAAGGTCTGGTGAGAAGTTTCGAGATGAAGAGTAGTATATCAAATTAATAAGATTGATCTAAGCAGATGACAAACTTAACATGTGAGTTTATAAAGTTTTGCTTATTTTCCTCAACACCGATTTCTTATTACACTTCTGCTCCCAAATTTGAGATAAGATGTCATAACATTAATGTTTTTGCATGAAAGGAAATTGCTCATCTCTATTGTGTGGCAAAGAGTTTTTTGTTTTATTTTATTGATAGTGTAGTAGCTTCAAAATACTATTTTTTAGATATATGTACTGAATTTAGGTCATACTCCAAAATACATATTTTTCTTCTTTAAAAAAACAGATATTTTAAAAGTCCAGAAATTTGGTAATTTAAAGAGCATGTATTTAATATATACATACATACATATATATATATATAATATTTCTTTCCCTTATACTAATCAAGTAATCATATTTTAAAAAAAAAGAATTGATAAAATTACAAGATTTACTTACATTACAAAAAACTGTGGAAGTCTTTTTAATCTTGTAATTGACTTGAGGTTAATTAATGGTTCGATTTCCAAAGAATGCAAACTCTTGCAAATTAATGGATGCATTTTGCTGGCAGAATTCTTTTTTTTTTTGTTTTTCTGAGATATTATATGATAGTTCTCATCATGTTATATATATGTACATATCTAAAATTGATATATTAAGAAGAATTGAAATAAGAATCTAATTTTAGTTAATTACCCTATAATACATGTGTTCAATTTACTTAAATTGTAACTAAAACCAGAATATTATTTTGACACGCATGGGATGGATCTTATCAATTATAAAAAACAAATGAATATGACAGTTGTCAACTACGGAGACACAAAGAAATAGTGGACATTCTTTTTTCTTAGTGAAGATCTCTAATACTGTATATTGTCTTCACTCTTCAGTTTTACATAACCAATAATATCATTCAAAATAAGTGAATTTCTTCTCTCCACAACCTCTACGTGAGTGCATTTGGGATATTTTCTGCATGATCAGATCACCAACGATGTTTTCTCTTAGAAATTTCCCATCTCTTGCATCGATTTTCTCGGCCTACGCATCAATGTCGGGATACGTCATGATGATCAAACAATTTGTTGAGATGACAATTCCACCTCCGCTACAAAACTACATAATCACTTATCTTAATTGTTACTTCGTCTCTACTCCATCGACTCTCACGCTCATCATCGAAAGCCAGATCAAGAATGGGATGTGCAACGAGCTTTACGAGGCTGCTCAGGTTTATCTCTCCACCAAGATCAACCGCGATGCGTCAAGGCTAAGAATCTCTAGACACCACAGTGAGAAAAACGTCAAGTTATACCTCAGCAACGGAGAGCATGTCTCCGATGTCTATCAAGGAATTGAGCTCAAGTGGCGGTTTATTGTTGTTAACAGCGAGAAGAGCAATATGGTTGACGAATGTTTCGAGCTGAGCTTTGAAAAGAAACTCAGGGATTTTGTCTTGAACTCTTATGTACCTTACGTGGAGAGAAAGGCAAAGGTGATCAACGACGAGAGGAGAATCCTTAAGATGCACTCCTACTGTAACAGGAGTCTAACATGGCAATCCGTGAAACTCGAGCACCCTACAACATTCGAAACCATGGCTATGAACAAAGAGCTCAAGCGTTCTGTGGTGGAAGATCTTGATAAGTTCATCAAAAGGAAAGATTTTTACAAAAGAGTTGGGAAAGCTTGGAAGAGGGGTTACTTGCTGTACGGTCCACATGGGACCGGGAAGACTAGCCTAGTGGCGGCCATGGCTAAGCACCTTAAGTTTGACATTTATGATCTCCAGCTTGCAAGCGTAAAGGGGGAGGCAGATCTAAGGAGATTACTTCTCCGCACAAAAAACAGTTCGATTCTTGTGGTGGAAGACATAGACTGCTTCATGGATTTGCCTACAAGGTTGCAACCTATGTCTCATGATGATTCTAAGGTTTGGTCTTCACATAGGCTTTATTTTCATAAAACACCATATCATTTTTAGATTCTTATGATATTCTTGCAAACATTACGTGTGATCCAGGGAACAGAAACGTTGACGTTAACAGGAATCTTGAATTGCATAGATGGGTTATGGTCGAGCTGTGGCGATGAACGCATAGTAATCTTCACCACAAACCACAAGGAGAGGCTCGATCCAGAGTTGCTTAGACCAGGGCGTATGGATATGCACATTCACATGGGACATTGTTGTTTTGATGGATTCAAGACTTTGGCTTCTAACTACTTGGGCTTGTCTCATGATGAAAATCATTATCTCTACCCGGAAATCAAGCGTCTGATTAGTGGAGAAGTGTTGACTCCAGCTCAAGTTTCAGAGGAGCTAATGAAAAATGAAGACATTGATATGGCGCTAGAGGGTTTGGTGAGAGCTCTCAAGAAGAAGAGGGCAGAGCAAGAAAAGTATGATGATGACATTAAGAAAAATATGGAGAAACTGGAAGAGGGAGAAGAGACTTGAGTTACAATCTTTCATTTAACAATACTAGACATATAGGCCCTGTTTGTTTTATTTATCTGAATATCAAATCAAGGTTTTAAGTTACAACCAGGAGTTGATACCACATGGATCTAAATGTTGTCTGTTTCTAAAAAACAATATAGAACTAAGATTCTTAATTTTCATTTATCCTATTTTGCTAATTTTCAGATTTACTAGTGACAGACACTAGAGGATCAGAGATCTAGAGAAGATACATTAATAAATTAATGTTTGAAACCAGTTTTCACTTCCATGAGCTAGATTATCTTATGTTTAATATGAAATCATTGACATTACAACAACACATGCAACTCTCCGAAAACAAATGATGATCAAACATGTGGTAATAATTTTCTACATCAAATCGATATATTATACTAATAAAGTTTTAATTTATTAGGCACTTCCCCACTAGTTTTGTTTCTGCTCGGAAGAAGACGCCCACAAACTTACAAGGTTTGCGACAAAGACCTCTCTCCTACTCATTATGACCGTACTATGATCAGTTCCGGCGATAACCTCGACTTCAACCGCCGAAGTTGGCCTTCATATTCCAAAGACAATCAATAGGCACAATGTCATCTTTATCCCCTTGCACCACATATATTTGTACACCGGAATTAATCAAAGTTTCTAGGTGTTTATCCGTGAATTTCGCTCCTCCGCATATCACATTGTGCATGCTGTGCCACGCCGATCGATGTGTGTGCTTCGTGAAGTCAACTATAGACGTTGGAAGTTTCCTAAACATCGAACAAATGTTTTAAAAAACCGGTATCCAATTAGAGACCAAACCATAGTTTTTGCTATATATATAGGGTCTAAAAATAACAATTTTATCATTACGATTGCCATGCTCACACACAAATTTCCATTATCATATGTTTATATCTACATAGTGCCAATTTTTGATATTTTCTTAAAATAATGCTATTATAGTTTTTTTTATACCTTCTCCAAGTTACAGTTTTGATGATCCACTCCCATGTACGGTGGTGCTTACAAACAACAAAGCAAGCGCCACGGCAAATGTGTTCGTACCAAGCCATCATGGCCAAGAAAAACGAAGTAGGTGGCCAAAGTTTCTTCTCGGTGATCACATCAAGAGCATCACAACTTGCTCCTCTTTTTGAATCAGCAAAATACGGCTAAAACCATAACAAATTAACATTTCAGATTTTTTTTGAAAAAAAAAAAAAAAAACCATTTTCTTTCACTAGAGATGGTTGGAAAACTAACCGGAGCTACTAAAGCGACAGACTTGACGCTGTCGGAGAATTTCGCAGCTAGGGCTACACCAATTATGCATCCCATTGAGTGTGCTACTACATGGAATGAAGTCAAATTATTTCGTAAAATGACTGATTTCTCGATCATTTCTACATGTTCTTGCAACGAATATCGACTGTCTCTCGGTTTTGGGCTGTTTCCGAACCCTAGAAGATCTACCGCGAAGAATCTGTAGTTAGTCTTCTCCGGTAGATATTTGAACACTGTGTTGGTCCAAAACGATGAAGATGCCAAGAATCCGTGTATGAAAATCACGTTCTCTACCGGTTTGTTGCTCATCAACAAAGCTGACCAAATGAAAAAAGAAACCTTGTGATGTTTAAAAAAAAAAAATAACCAAAAAACTAACTTTAATTTACTAATTACCTTGAGATGTTTAAAAAACTACAATCATAACCCAAATAATTAAGTTTAGGGTTTAGTAATTACCTTGAGATAACGAAGGTTGCTTGACAATCACGTTAAGTAAATCGGTGTTGGAACAAGAAACGCAAGTCTTACAACGACAATCTGACCACCGGTTTGCAACCTCACGAGGGACTTTCTTCAGTTTCTCGGGAACAAGGAATTTTCTCAGGAAAGTAACGATACCGATTTTCTTGGTGATCTCAGGGAGTTTTCTCGCAAGCTGGAGAAAACCGGCTTGTCGGAAAATGTTTCTCCTCCGGTAAAGAGTCTCCGAAAACTGTCGATGGTCAGAAAGAAACTCGTATCCGGCGAAATCTGTCGTCTCTTGAGGGTCTTTGCAATGACAGGACTCTAGTTTTTCTTCCATAACTTCGTCTAGGAATCTGAATACGATGCAGAGGAAACTGTCGAGAAGGTCAAGAAGGCAGAAAACGGCCCAACTCGGACCTCCGTTGATTACTGATTTACATTTTTCTGGAAAACTCGAATCAATCATCGTAGCAAACTTTAGAGAGAGAGAGAGAGAGAAAGAAACAGAAATCAGAAACATCCCTTAAGACATGTTTTTATAGACTTTAGAGCGTAATAATATTTATGAATATGGAGTTAATTAGTAATTAACTTTGGTCGGATATACAATATTATGATTAGCAGATTGTATTTAACTATTTATCACATAGATCACTAAAACTGTAAACAATTTCTGCTTTTGTAACTTTCACGTAATTTTGCGTTAAATAAAAGAAATTACTTTGTTCACAGTCGGACTATGATCATTGTTATAAAATTAACGTCAGTAAACAGTCTGGATGTACTTTTTCTCTTGGCAACAAAAACGTGACCACAGTTATTTGTCGAATATTGATGACTAAAATTACTGTATCACCTAATTTACTATTTTCACAGTGTTTTTCTAGTCTTTGTTTTTTTAAAGTCTATTTGTGTATCACTATCAGATAACCACTTGATTATTTGTCGACCATAAAAAAAAGACTTGACTATTTAAATTAATCAAAATCCTGTAAGTCTTTTAAATTAATCAAAATCCCTTTTAAATTAATGAAAGCCTTTTATCTTTAAAATTTCAGCCGCCATAATGGTTAGGTGTGGTGGTAAGACAAATAATAAGATTCGAATTTCATCCAATTTCAAAAAAAAAAAAAAATGTCAACTATCAACATAATTCTATCTAAGTTTACCAGGAAACAAGAAGTACATTCGCGTAACCTTTTATAATAAAATGATAAACAAAATAAAATCATTTTTGTTATTGTTTTAGGTTTACTGGTTATTGTTTATAACCACTTTTTTTTTTTTGTGACAATGTTCTAATCAAAGTTTAATTTCTAAAATCTATACTATACGTTTGAGTTTTCTTTTATATAAGACTTTTACAAAATATGAAACCAAATTTTAATGTGAGAAGAATCTTGTTTATGAAAGGTTAGTCTCAACTGTCAACAACGGGTCAATCAGGGAAGTCAAGTACTTAAAATAGTTTGATGACAATTAGACCTCGCATCTAACATAATGTTATTTTATTTCTTTTGACCAAAACACTCCATGTTAACATGCGGACTTCTCGGAATGGTACGGATACCCTCATCAAGTCATCATCATAATTTAGTAAGCTATATATAAATATTATTTTAAATCCAACTTAAAGGAGAAAAATTGAAGTTCTTATATGTACAACTCACATTATACAAGTGAAAAAGCATGAAAAAGAACAAATGTCATTGATAAATATCTCGTCTCAAACTTAATTGAACATCTTCTTTCTTTGAACGTCAGTAAATCGTTCGGAAGACACCACATTTACGTCCTAACTCCTAAGCGACCTCAAATACCATATATACATATCTTTCAAGCAACCAACAATACCAATTTCTTTCCACGAAACACTAAAACGTGGATTCTCTCAATCCTATAGCCTTAAGGCTTACTTCCAGGGAGGCCTTTTTGTACATATAGCCTAAGCCCAAATGGTAGAACTATTGTAGGCTTGTAACTGAAGTTAAACAGAAGATTGCCTCTAAAAATACCACGCAGCCTTAAATACTAGAGACGACGATTATAGTCACTACTCTACTCACTAGTGACAAGAGAGAGAGAGCAAGTCTTGAATCATGTGATTCACTCACTAATCACTAGCTAGGAAAATAAAATAGTGTAGTTCAGTCATCAGTGGTATTGGCAAGAAAAAATAACAAAATATAAGATTGTAAAATGGTAATATGTTTTCAGAGCATAAATTTATTTACGGTGCAGAAAAATTCTAGAATTTTCTGTCTCAAAAGAAAATCTAGGAACCCGCTACAAACTTCCTGTTAAACAAGGACCGTCCGATCAACATACAAAAAACTAAATCCAACGAGTAGAAAACCAAACAATAGAAAAGAGATAATTTTACATCCGACGAAGAGACGAACTGTTTGCCCTCCCTCTCTCTCTCTCTCTCTCTCTCTTCCTTATCTCTCTCCGCCACTCTCTCTCTTTCTCCGAACTCTCCAATGGCCGGTCTTCTCAAAACGCCGTCGTTGCATCTCATACCAACGCTTCTTCATGTACCTTCCGTACCCGTTAAGCCCTTTTGCGTTTCCTTCGCCGGTGGAAGGAACACCAGCGTCTCACTCTCTCGCCGAGCTTCTCTCCGGTCTGTCTCTGGTGGCCATCCTCTCCGGTTGCTAAACCTCGTCCCGTTTGCTTCGGGAGAAGCCGAGACGACGGAGACTGAGGTGGAATCGAGCGAACCCGAAGTCCAGGTTTTCCGATTTCTACTTCTGTTTACATTTTGGAGCTGTCAATTGGGGGAATTAGGTTTTAAAGTTTCGTAATTGGTTATTTTGAATCTTAAATTGAGTATATGTGTTGAATTTGAGAACTTTTGATACGGAAATTTGCTTATTCTTTGCTTAAAGTTTGAAGCTTTGTTGAATATAAGTACCGGCGAACTCGAATTGATTCTGTAGTTGTTGTATTGGGGTCATACAGTGATTGTTCATGTTGGTATTGTGTGTTTGAGTTTTGTTTCTTCTTCTGGAATGATGGAGCAGGAGACGGATGGTGCTGAGGGTGAAAACGCCGGCGCCGAGGGGAGTGAAGCTGAGGAAGAAGAAGCGGCGGTTACCATAGCATTGCTGAATTCGTATAAAGAAGCTTTAGCAGAGAACAACGAGGAGAAGATTGCTGAGATAGAAGCATCTTTGAAGTCCATAGAAGATGAAAAGTTTCAGCTTGAGGATAAAGTAGCTTCTTTAACCAAAGACTTGTCGGCGGAGAGGGATCGGCTGATAAGGATCAGTGCAGATTTCGACAACTTCAGGAAGAGGACGGAGAGGGAAAGGCTAAACCTTGTTTCAAATGCGCAAGGAGAGGTCGTTGAGAATCTATTGGCTGTTTTGGATAATTTCGAGAGAGCTAAATCCCAAATCAAGGTGGAGACTGAGGGAGAAGAAAGAGTCACTAACAGCTATCAGAGCATTTACAAACAGTTTGTTGAAATTTTGGGATCGCTTGGTGTTGTTAATGTGGAGACAGTCGGCAAGCAATTCGATCCAATGGTAAAGTTACTAATATATCTTTCTTTTACTGCTCTGTTTGTGGTTGCTGGTGATCTTTAAAATCAAGATTGCATGGGATTAGGATAACTTTGTGATAACCAAAGATGGATAGCGTAGGGCCTCTTATGCGTTTTGGTTATCACAAAGTTTGAGGAACATAAGCTCTCATGTGTCTAGTACTAAGCACATAGAGTGGTGATGGGTTTCAGAAGAGTTGGTAGTGAACTTTATTTGTTGGTCTTTACAGATTTCAAACAGCTGATATATCTTTTTGGCTTTTCTCTTTGTCGTGTGAAAGCTTCATGAGGCAATAATGAGAGAGGATTCTGCGGAATACGAAGAAGGTATAGTACTTGAAGAATACAGGAAAGGTTTCTTGCTCGGAGAGAGGCTTTTACGTCCTTCAATGGTGAAAGTATCTGCTGGACCGGGGCCAGAAAAGCCCCAAGAAGCTGAAGTAGAAGAAGAAGCCACCGCGCAAGGAAGCGCAGAAGAAGAAGCAGCTTCATCTTGAAACTGAAGGAGATCAAGACCTAAGCAGTTTTGTGTGCAAGAGTGTGAGGGAGATAGAGAGACAGAGAGGGAGAGAGAGAGAGGTCCGTTTTACCATTAATTGTTGTTATTGTTATTGATACTTTAATATCATTTCTACAGAGTCTAGAGGTAATAGAACGACATTTTTAAACAACTCTAAATTTTGAGTATTTGTTACCGGAAGATAATGGATTTTTTGTTTAATCGGTATACAGCTTGAAAATTAGGAGAATCCATAGAAAAATGTTGATATTTGTGGGTACTAGTAGTCTAGAAGATCAGGTTCGTAACAAAAGAAGTTGATACAAATCAGTGTATAAAAGTAGTGGTTTGGCAAGAAGTATAGTTATGAGTTTCGCAGTTTGCGAGGAGAATCAATATTTGTTGAACCAAGGAAAGACGTTAGACCTGAATTGCTGATGCGAGTTAGCAAACTCATATGACACGCAGGAATCTGCGAAACACGTGGAGGCAAAACAATAAACATGTTGACTATGATTTGAGCTCCAATTCTTAATTTCTCAGACTGAATTTAAACCACTTGATCAAAATGAATCAACACAATTATTGTCTGTTTATTACTATAATTTGCCCTACATTATTTCAATAATTCGCTATCTTTGTCAAAAAAAGTTCAAAATCATACGTCCTGCTGCAGATGGAATGGGAAATGATATTAGAAAAAAGGATAATTTGTCTAAACGCATGGAGATTGTGATAGAACGTTTGTGATGCTAGGGAGAAAAGGTAGTTCATGATTTATTTTACATAAATGAAGAGAAAGACTAGTTGACATCAAACATTTAATTACAAATTTCAGTTTTAGGTGTAGTTTTTATTTTTCCTTTTTTGGCAGCAACTTTAGATATAGTTAGAGAAATAAATTGATGGTTTCATATTTGGAGTGGCAACTTGCAACCGACATGGTTCACAAAACTTTTAACTAAAAGTGTGAATTCAATGGCCCTTATAATAATAAAAAAAAAGAAACGTTAATTCAATACCAAATTACAATATCGATCATTTAAATGATTTACGGCCAACCATTATTCTTTTCCCGTACCTTTTTACCGAAAATATACCTGCAGATTCGTCATATAACTGAATAATTGATAGTCAGAGAAATGGTATGACAAGTTTCTTTTTTTGTCGTCATATGACTAGTCTTAGACTCTTTTAGGTCACAGTTCACACCTGTGTCCGTATGACCCCATGCTTTTTACTTTGGTAGTTTCGTTAAAACCCAAAATATATCATTGATTCTCAGCATAAGTAACACTTCTCTACTTGTTTAATCCATGCAAATATATAATTTATAACACTACACCTTGAGAGATATGTATAAGTGTATAACGTATCTAATTATATATGAATGCGAACGTATATCATATCAGTGCGGGAGAATTAAGTAACTTTGTTTGTTTTATATCATTCTGTGTAAGATTTGATTCGTGATTAAGCTAAATATGTATATAAACACCTTTGATTAATCATGATTCATGCAAAAAACATCGCATTCTTATCATGATTCATGCTTGCACAATATCTTTTGACGACTCATTGGTCCTACCTCACCTATACTCTATAACTAATTCATTATATATATGTTCATATACACCAAAACCTAAACATAAATATGTAGACAAAGGACTGTCGTCAGTGGCTACGCTGGATTGTCCTGAAGGCTGAACGTACGTCTCATTTTCATTCTTAAATATCCAATTGCACCACGACATTTAAGGGAAAAAGGAAACATAATCTACAATTTCACAAAGATAAAAGAGAAGTTATATGATAGTATGATACTAATGTTCATGACCGACAAATTGCTTCTGGCTAATAAACTTACCAGTATATAGATAAAAAGGAACCTTTCAGTTATGCACGTTTCTCTTGCAGTCAATCAAATCACTATAAGATTTTGATCGCAGTCACATTAAAAGGTACGGTTTATTTGCAATTTATTTGTTAGAAAAAATATTATATTGCAAAAAAAAAATGAAGCTGTGCTTAAGTAAGTTGTCTATGTAGTTATGCTCGGTCTTCAATGAAATCACCTACTCGGTCTCGGTCCAACCATTTTTATTGACATGAGCAGATATATAACACTTTCATAATAAATATAACAATCAACGAAACTAATACTGTAAAAAATACGAATTCATATGAGACAGTGGACCCGCTCGTCTATGATTTGATCTTTCGATGCTCATCGATTATCGATTTGCTGTCTCTAATTTCTTGCTTCCAAGTCTCGCCTAATCTTTTCGAATAACTCATTATTTTTCTACTGTAATACTACTATTTCATAATTTTACTAAGAATTCTGATCGATCAGTTTTACACGCAACACAAGAGTTATGTATAAAGAAATTTAAAAATCTTATCTTCTCATCATTCCGATGATTAATGTCCAAACAAATATACTGTATATACAATACGAACATATATATATAATGAAAACATGTCTAGACGCTTACCGGCTCGGGCTTTACTTTTGAGTTTTGACTAGACAAGTGCTCACCAACAAGTACGACTGGAAATCTCGAAACTAATTCAAATGTGTTCCAAATAAAGGGAGTAACTATTTACAAGCTATATATATCTTACAAGGATACAGAAATAACAAAAAAGTCGCCACTCTTTTAGCCTTTAGCTTAAAAGGGCTTTGTCACCTTGTCAGTCGTTAGGTATACCATATATTTTCATGAAAATGATAGATATAGATTTTTTTTCGGGTAAAAAAATGCATGATTTAAATAGAGTAAGCGTAACCAATGTTAGTAATAATATTAAGCAGTTTTTAGATATAGTTTATCCAGTTATAAAGCAAATGTAGGATTTTATCCAGGTATAAATAAATTCTACTAAATAGTTTGAACTACCCAAATGAAATTCACACGTTTAACAGTACACCATTGAAACCAAACTAATTTCTTTCTGTTAAATACAGCTAATGAATATGAAACTTGTAGTTGAATATATTATATGTGTGGATTATTGTTAATATTTCACAGGATACAATTGTATACTTAACATTGGAATTGCAAGTCCTTAAGTTATCTACAAGAAGTTAAGACATTTCAACAAAATTAATTCCACATGTCGCTGCATGCTAAAAATTTAAGACGTGACAACGAAGAGATTCAAGTTATAACTCTGGCCTAAAATTTAAGTATGGTTTTGTTCTAAACAATTAATGCATGAAAGTATCCAATTGAAACGTAGGCACATTGGTATGAATAAATTGTCACAATGTTATTCAAAACGTGTAGTTAATATGCGTCCCTCTCGGCCTCTCCTGTCATCCCTACAAGGTGCCTTTTAAAACATCGCGCAGTTTGTGTTTCTTATGAGGAAACGGGCCGTAGTTTGTTTAACTCTGAAGTTTGAAATAGTTAACACGAAACTGACGGAGTGACAACAATTTCGCGATATTTCCTTTGCGGAAAAGGAGATCTTTGATTAGTTAAAGACTTAAAGGTGATTAAGTAAACGCAGAAAGATTTGGTTCGGATAAAGGAGATCTTTGATTAGTTGAAGACTTAAAGGTGGATAAGTAGACGCACTTTTAGTAAAATCTATGAACCCATTAATTAGATCTAATCTTCTATGCATGATTAACCTAACCTTAAAGCAAATGAAGCTCTTTGTTTTATTATAGTATTGGCCTGATTGAGTGATTGGCTACAGCATCTACCTGGAAAGAGAGAGACAGAGAGACTCCCATCTCTTTGATGCTCGTTACGTCATTTACTCAAAGTCCAAACTTTGATTTATTCGGGGATGCATGTATTTGATGTTTCCTTTTGGCACGTGTATAACACCTCCACAATCGATTGGCCATACATCTCCAAGTCTTATCTTATACAAAAGCAAATTTCATTCGCGCAAACAAAACCTTTTTTATTGTTGAATAAAATTAGTTGTTACAAAACCAGCGATTTTTGCATGATTAATATTTCTATACAAACGCATGTTACAAAACATACCCAAAATGATCAATGCAAAAATAGCAACAGCTAAACTCATATAAATTATTTAATTTTTGCAAATATTAATTTCCTTTCTAAAACGTTTCCACATCAGAGTTTTATATAATGTTTTTATATTAGGTCGTCTGTAATGTGTCTACACGTATGATACTCAACCCCTTAGAGTATATATAGCCAAACGTTTTAGTTATAGCCTTGCCACATTTTTCCAGAGAGAGAGAGAGAAACTACCGCACTTACTTTTTTCTTGCCTCTCTTCTTCTTCTTCTTCTTCTTTTGAACTTTTTGTTCTTGGTTTCTCCGACTCTTTCCACTTGAACTAAGCTCGACAGGTTAAGTTAATCACTCCAAACCTTAATAAATTCCTTTAGAATATACTACAAAGATGTGTAATATACATGCATATATGATATACAGATTTAATGATGAATTATTTGTTGAAGAAAACCCATCATTAAAATAAAAAAAAAATCGGAATTAGGATATAATTAGCTCACTGATCGCAGTCGTGTTTGAATAGTAGAGGTTCTTTATTAAACCAGGATGAAATTTTGATTGAATCTTTATTTATGTTGGTGGCATTTCTATATAAGTAATTAGTATTATATATTTTTTTGTTTGCTAACAGAAATTAAAGAGGAGGGGAAAATGAGTAGAGTTGTTGAAGAAATGGAAGAGAGATTGCTAAATGGGTCAGATGTAGAACAGAGGAGAGACCTGAGAAAAAAGATTTGGAGCGAATTAAGGAAAACGTGGAGAATAGCTTTACCATCGACTTTGTTCAGAGTGACGTCGTATGGATGCATAGTGGTCGCTCAAGCCTTCACTGGCCACTCCAAAGGCACGGGTCTTGCTGCTTTTGCTCTCCTTCAAGGCACTTTCATTCGTTTCATCTACGGTGTTATGGTAAGCGCCTTACGATCCATGATATTGTTTTAGCCTTTTTTCTTCTTTTTTTGGGTCCATAATATTATATCTATATTTTCATAATAAATAATCAGCACTTCCAATACTTATTGTAGACACAAACATGCAAAGATTTTTTTTTTTTTTTTTTTTTTTTTTGTGTGTGTGAAAGCACTAAAATGTTGTCGTTTCATTTGAAGATGAGAACAGAGTTCTAATATGTATAAAGTAAAGGCAAAATATAAATGGAAAAACAAAAGTAATCAAGCGCTTGATGGAGACAAGAAATTTATATTGCCTCGTGTTACAGGCAGGTATGTCAAGTGCGACGGAAACGCTATGTGGACAAGCCTACGGAGCAAAACAATATCACATGATGGGGATATATCTACAACGTTCTTGGATAGTAGACATCTTCACAGCCACACTCTTTGTTCCTTTCATCGTCTTCGCTGGTCCTATTCTTCGTTTACTAGGCCAAGACATTGAGATCACCAATACGGTCGACGAGATCTACCCTTGGGTCATTCCATATCTATACAGTATTGTCTTCACCATGACGATGCAAATGTACCTCCAAGCGCAGATGAAGAACGCCATCATAGGCGTTCTCTCGACCCTGGCCTTGGTCTTGGACATTGCGGTCACGTGGTGGTGCGTAAGCGTGATGGGGATGGGAATCCATGGTGCGCTCCTAGGACTTAACATAAGCTCGTGGTCAGTGGTAGTAGCCGAGTTTGTGTATGTGTGTGGAGGGTGGTGCCCTCATACTTGGACCGGCTTTAGCACTGCTGCTTTTGTTGATCTTGTTCCCATGCTCAAGTTGTCCATTTCCTCCGGCTTCATGCTTTGGTAATTTTTTTATTTTTTTCTCAGGTTAATTTAATCATAATGAAAAATTTCAAGCTTTAGAACTTTCTAATGACTCTTCTTGTTTTTTATTTTTATTTTATTTTTGTTGGCTGGAACAGCTTAGAGTACTGGTATATGAGCATCCTCGTCTTAATGTCTGGATATACAAAGGATGCGAATATTGCAATTACTGCATTTTCCATATGGTACACAACCTACCTACAGTCCAATACCATATCATGCAAGACGATATATAATGTTTTTGTATCATTTGAAAATTAAATTCTTAACTTGAAATTTGCAGCCAATATGTCTACACATGGGAGATGAACATATGCTTAGGCTTGTTGGGTGCAGCATGGTATGTAACTTTACATTTGTACACTTATTTACAATATTCTGTGTTAAGATTATTTACAGTTATTAAAAAAATAAATGCAGCGTACGAGTAGCAAACGAATTGGGAAAAGGAGATGCAGACGCAGTGAGATTCTCGATAAAAGTGGTGCTTGTGGTCTCAGCGGTCATTGGTGTGATATGTGCAGCTCTTTGCTTAGCCTTTGCCAGTCAGGTTTCGTATTTGTTCTCCGATAGCCCCCAAGTGTCGGACGCAGTCGCTGATCTCTCCATCATCCTTAGCATATCCATACTCTTAAACATCATCCAGCCCATTCTCTCTGGTTAGAGAAAAGATTAAACCCTTACATTTAACTTATAACATAAAGTTTTAAATTTCATTGTTTTTTAATGAAAACAAGTTTTAAAATATGAATGTAAACAGGGGTAGCTATAGGAGCAGGGATGCAGAGTATGGTAGCACTTGTGAACTTAGCATCTTATTATGCAATTGGTGTTCCTTTAGGTTTCCTCCTTACTATCATGTTCCAATTTGGTATTAAGGTAGCTATTTTAAACTCATTAATTACACTAACTAGAACTAGAACTAATGATAAACAACTAAATTATATTGTATGGTTTTTAATTACAGGGACTCTGGTCTGGATTGTTGGCTGGAGTTGGTCTCCAAACGTTGATATTGTCTTATATTATTTACAAAACTGACTGGGAAAATGAGGTATTATCCTTTAACCTTGACTCTTAATTAATAGTTTGGTGTTTGAATAGAAATTATGTATTATTAAAAGTTTAATCTTATAATCACAGGTGAAGAAGACGAACGAGCGTATGAAAACGTGGACTCTAACGTTACCTAATAGAGAATCGGGCGCTACTATCTCGACGAGAGACGAAGAGAGGAAGTGATATGCATATAAATAAAAAGATTTAAATCATATAACGAAGTTTTAAGGATATTCTTTTTGTCTTTTGGAAAAAGATTATATGTGTTTTTTTGTGTGTGTTTTCTGCAGTCGCTTATGTTTTTTTGTGTGTTGAGACTTGAGATTGCATTATTAGGTTAATGCAACTCTCGTAGCTTCGAAAAAAGGTTAATAAGGTTAAGCTTACAATGTTTTTCAGTCGGAGAAAAAAGCCGTTTTTTGGGAAGGTTGTTATTCGAATTTCTTCTATATTTTACCCTTCTTTTTTCTTTTGTAACATCATGGGAGGCTTGAAATTATAGATATTAGCTTGATGTATGTATATTTTGGTTGTGGAAAATATTGAATTGCTTGAATACTTAACAAAAGTTTCACCAGCTTACCATTTGAAACTCATCTACGGTTTGAAAATGTATGACTAATCCAATTTAGAAACATGATGGCTCTCATTTCTCAGGCTACTACTATCACTGTGTCTTCATCGTCTCATAAGATAATACATTTGATCGATTATGCAATTTGGTCTAGATCAATTCCGCAATCTCCCAACAAAAAATATGTTCAGTTTTTATTCTTTCATCTTCACTAATGGAGTGCTGAACAAAAACAAAAACAAATGGAGTCTCAATAAACCACTTTCTACGTTTACCAGCTCATATATGTGATCTTTTAATTATCGTAGTCGAGATTAATTTTACACCAATTGATTAAACATATATTTAAGACTTTAACTAAATGTTACGTTATTAATGAATGTTCTTCATTTTAACTCCTTTTCTTTACATTTTCATTAACTTCTACTTGATCCAACGTTTACTACTTGTAAATTCAAATGTTTTTTTGTAAGAAATTGTTTTTTTTTTTCTGCTGTCCCAAGATTCCTTTTAGTTGGCAATAAAAATCACTTTTCATTTGTGAGCAGAAACAAAGTTGTAATTAATTTTGTTTCAACTATTTCTTTTAGAATGTACAACATCATTTCAATTATAAAATCAATATTTTTTTGTTTTTCCAACTGTAATTTTTTTCGTGTTTGTAGTTACAAAAATCTACTTAATTTCTTAATTAATTTAAATTTTAATTTTCTGTTTTGGGGAAATTTTAAAATTACACCTTTTAGTGGCAATATATATATATATATTTTTTTAAAAGGACAATCCATTCATCTCCTTAATTTCTTAATTAATTTAAATGTTTATTTTCTGTTTGGGAAATTTTGAAAATTACACCTTTTGGCGAATTGGAAATATATTTTGTTTTTTTTAAAGGACAATCCATTCATCTTAATTAATTTAAATGTTAATTTTCTGATTTGGGAAATTTTAAAATTACACCTTTTGGCAAATTGGCTATATATTTTGTTTTTTTAAAAGGACAATCCATTCATCCAAAAAAGTGAGAAAAAAAAAAAAACTGGTCTTCAGGTCACAGGTCAGGTCCTCTTCCTGCAAACATCTCCAAAAAAAAAACCTCAGATATAGCGAAAGTTTCAACCTTTCCCCTTTTTCCCAGCTCCTTCTTACCCAAAATCGTTGAATTTCCAGCTGGAGAAGAAGAGGGGAACGCGATTTACAGATTAGCCTCGTCCGTGTTTGGTCTCGAATACTCAGGAAATGAAAGGGGCAGGTGTTGTTAAGAAGAAAGCCCAGGTTTTTAACGACGCTGGTGAGGCCGTAGAAATCGTCGGAGAAAGCCGGAAAAGAAGCAGCGACGGTGGGTTCGCCAGTGACGACGGCGGTGGCGGAGGTGGAGGTGGGAGTGGAGAGTCGATTCTTCGCGAGATGGGTGATGATAGGCGTACGGAGGATGGGGAAGAAGAAGAAGACGACGAGGATGAAGACGATGGTGGGGATGAGGAAGAAGTGGAAGGAGAAGACGGAGCTCAAGAGGAAAGGCCTAAGCTTGATGAAGGCTATTTCGAAATCGAAGCTATTCGTCGTAAGAGAATTAGAAAAGTAAGCTCCTTTTTTTCTTCTCCTTTCAGCAAAATGTGGCTGCTTGTTAACCGGAAACTATGGAAGTTGTAGGTTTCTCTAGGTTTAAGATTAGTATCTTCTGTTAGGTAACTTATTCTCATTCTTCACATTGTTCATTTCTTAACATTGGTGTGAGAAATTGGCTGCTTTAGTAATTAGTACTAATCTTAAGAGAGCTGAAAATTGGCGTCTCTAGGAGAGAAAGATATCGCAAAGTAGTCTATTAGGAAGCAAAGTTTGGTTCTTTGGTTCTGTTGTAGGAAGAAAATGCTGATTTTGCTCGCTTTTATGTTATTCGGATTGATTGATTATGGCTTTTTTGTTTTGTTTTGATGATCTCAGGGAAAGGTCCAGTATCTAATTAAGTGGTGAGTTCTTCAAATCATACTCTGTTTCATTTTAAGTAAGCGTTCTTGATCAAACATATGCTTTTGCATTGACATAAGTTATAAACTCGGTTGTGAAAGGCGAGGGTGGCCCGAAACTGCCAACACATGGGAGCCTCTAGAGAATCTCCAGTCTATTGCTGATGTTATAGATGCATTTGAAGGAAGGTAAATGCATATACTGTAGAAGTTCTTGTGATACTTTTTGATTGGTTGTTTCATTGATGTTCCGTTGTTAATACTCTTTGAATCTCTTTCTTGTTTCAAAGTTTGAGACCAGGAAAGCCTGGGAGGAAGAGGAAACGCAAATATGCAGGTCCTCATTCTCTGATGAAGAAGAAGCAGCGTTTAACCTCTACGTCAAACGATGCTGCTGAGAAATCTGACTCTTCTAATACATCTCTCAACAACTCTAGCCTTCCTGATGATATTCCTGGTCCAGTCGATCTCAGTGGTTCGAGTCTACGAAAAGGAGACGGGGAAGCGAAGAATGCTTATGCATCTAACCAAGTTGAAGCTAACAGCGGGAGTGTTGGGATGGTGAGGGAAGTTGGTTTGGTTGAAGAGGAGAAAGAATACGATCCGACACTCAACGAGCTAAGAGGACCTGTCAATAACAGTAACGGTGTAGCAGGAGGTTCACAAGTAGGAGGCGTTGGTTCTGAAGGTGATAATGTAAGACCAGCCAATGGACTTCTCAAGGTTTATCCTAAGGACCTTGATAAGAACAGTCGTTTCATTGGTGCTAAGCGGAGGAAGTCTGGCTCTGTGAAAAGATTCAAACAAGACGCGTCAACTAGTAACAACCACACAACAGTTATGGATCATCAGAATGTGGCACCGGAATTGACTACGTTGGACTCGTTTGGTAGAATTGCAAGGATAGGGGATGAGTATCCTGGTGTGTCGGAGAACAATAATGGGGCTCAGAAAAGCAAGATGGAGGAGTTGGACATCACAAAGATCCTTAAACCGATGAGCTTTATAGTAACAACCACACAACAGTTATGGATCATCAGAATGTGGCACCGGAATTGACTACGTTGGACTCGTTTGGTAGAATTGCAAGGATAGGGGATGAGTATCCTGGTGTGTCGGAGAACAATAATGGGGCTCAGAAAAGCAAGATGGAGGAGTTGGACATCACAAAGATCCTTAAACCGATGAGCTTTTCAACATGTTTAATAAACAATGTCCAAGGTGCAATGGTGACCTTTTTGGCGCTGAGGTTTGTTTGGCTCTTTGCTTTTGCTCTTTGGTCAGTTTTCACGTTTGAGTTCGAATGATTTACATGTTTTGGCTACTGGTCATAGGTCTGATGGGAAGGAAGTGATGGTGGACAACAGATTTCTCAAGGCTCACAATCCTCTTCTGGTAAGATGATCTTTTAGAGCTTTACTTCTGCAATTTTTACTCATTTGGAAGATTCTGAAAAGTTTTCTGTTTTTTTGTGTGTGTTTTTGACGGAAGCTGATTGATTTCTACGAGCAACATCTCAAGTACAATCCCACAGCTTGATTCGTCCTGAAAGATAAAGAATTTGTTTGTACACAGCAGCACTTGTAGGTAGAGAAAGATTAGATGTTTATTTTTATAAATTTTTGTCTAGCAAAGCAACGTGTAGAAGTCGAGGTAGTGACAAGTGGTTTTTTTTGTATCATGTTTGTCCGGGAGGTGTTTCAGATTGTATTTTATCTCCTTGGGTTCGTAATGTTTCACTTTCTATCATAGTAAATCTTGACTCGTTGATGCTGTCAAAATATATATGGATCAATCAATATGCATACAAAGTTACAAACCAACAACTTTCACTCTCGTGTAAGTGTAACATTCGGTTGAAGTAATTTGGAATGTCGCTTCCGAGCTGAATGAAGAGGAAGAAACTTGACCCTCTTGGGATTTGGTTGCTCCTTGAGCAAGAACTCAGTTTCATATGGTCTTGTTTTTGGAACCTCTGTTTCATCTGATGCTTCTGAAAACTCCAAATCAGGATTGTGAGTTTTCTCAGAGATTGGTGGTGAGGCTGAGTTATCATGCTCTTGTAACATGTCTTTAAACGTTATGAGGTGCACCGCGCATTTTCTAACCTCTCCAAGCGGGTTAGAAGAATCTCCTCCTGTGTTTTCGACGGAGAATTCAAAGATGACTTCGTTGTAAGCTCCCATGGACATGCAGTTTCTGCTGAACAAGAGAAGGTGATCTGATCCAAAACTCATGTTTGTGAAAGCTTTTGGATCAGGATACCATAGCTCATCCATAACAACCAGCTCGTTAGCATCAACCCTTTTTAGAATACAAGAACAGCGTATCTTGAGATCGTTCATCGAGTACTGTCCATCGACTCCAATCATGATGCAGGCAGAAAATCCAAGAATGTCAGATGACGATGATTCACTCTGAGGGAAGTGTATCCTCAACGAAAGCTTGGTGATTGAAGCAAGCCGGCACATCTCTTCCAGGAAAATAAGAGTGTTCTGGTTTTGCTGAGTCAAGCTGCATATTACGGTGAATGAGAATCTGAGCCTCTTGATCCAGTTTGTAACAGTTACTAGCTACAAGCTTGCGCAGACAACGATGCTTGAAGCAGCCTGAGATACTCACTAGGGATGTGCAGCCATGGGTGTAGATGTACAAGAGACTCCGTGGAAGCTCATCGGGCAATGCTTGAAGTCTCTGGCAATTGTTCAAATCCAGTCTGTTCAACCTGGTGAGACGTTTGATGCTCGCTGGGATGAATTCAAAATTGTTACCGCTCAAATCTAGTTCTGATAGACTCCATAAGTTACCAATACTGTTAGGGATCTCGATCATGTTCATGTTGCTTAGGCACAGAGCTCTCAAGTCATCAAACCTTGATAAGTGAGGACACGGAGAATGAATACCTTCTGGAGTATAGATGCTAGTCCCAATAGCTAAAACTTGAAGACGGGTAAGTCGGGCGATAGACCATGGTGCTTGTCTTATAGCTGTTCTTCTGGCTTGAAGCACCTCGAGAGCTACTAAATTACCAATGTTTTCAGGCAATTCTTTAATGCTGGTCCTGTCTAAATCAAGCCACCTCAGGCAGCTCATTGTCTCACAAATTTCTGGTGGAAATCTCTCAACAAGGGAACTCGTTGATATTAAGGCAACCAGATACTTCAAGAGTTTCAAGAGATGAGAGGTCCTGTAATGTGTCTAGGAGATTCTCAAGTTGTTTGCAGCCTTCCAAATTCATGGATTTTAGTGAGACCAAGTGCCTTACAGAGCTTGGAAGAGTCCTGAGTCTCTCGCAATCTGACATATCCAATTCAACCAGACAGGAGAGACGGCTGATCGATGATGGAAGTTCCTCTATCTCTGTACCGTTCAGATAGAGTCTTCTCGTACTCCAGGAAATCTCTGGGAAATGCATTAGACTTGAGCATCCACTCATTCCAACTGTTTCAAGCGACTTCAAAGCGGTTCCACTTGGAACGTTCTTGAGTTGGATGCAGTTAGTCAAATAGAAGCAAGAAAGTCTCTGAAGATTCTTGATAGATGGAGTAACCTCAACCAATCTTTGGCAATATGAAAGGTTTAGTTCCTCAAGATTTGTGGCTTTTGAGAGATCTGGAACTTCGATTAGGTATCTACAGCGAGAAAGATCCATCTTCTTCAGATTCCTAAGAGGCTGAAAGTTTTATACATCAAATGTTTTAGACTTTTAGTCCGATAGCATATAGCGAAAGGCAAAAATCATCTGCAGTTCATAGGGAGAGTTTACCTGGATTCCATTCCAAAGTTTTTCGAGATAGCTGTTACTCATACAAAGTTCAACAAGAAACTCTGGATGAAATCTTGAAGGCAAAGTCTTTAAAGGGTATCCATCCCAGCGTAGATAACGAAGCTTTCGTGGGAGATAACTGAGGCCATTAGGTAGATGCACTCTGGTCTCTCCATCATATGAAAGGTCATAAAAGTTGAGAAGCTTGAGATTACCGAATCCCTCAAAAGCACGCTCACTAGCAAACACCTCAGAAACTTGAGACAGGTTCAGGGACATTTCTGACAGCAAATCACAGATGTCTTGAGGATCCCATAAAAGTAGCCGATCAGACGGTTTGTTAACTGCTTGTTGACGAACAAGTTCTCTACCCATCTGTTCAAGCAATTCATGAATCTTTATGTATCCATTTGATATGACTATCAAAGACTTCTCGACGAGAACCGTGACACCGATCTCTGCAGCATAGCCGCAAATACTCAAAAGTCTTGTGACATAATCAACATGCTTCATGTTATATAAACATGATATGTAGAGAAAAAATAGCCTTCTCTTGCTCATCCAATCCGTCATAGCTAACTCTCAGAACTTCCATGATATCACTATGAGGGTAAGTTTCAAGCCTAGCAAGAGTGCTTTCCCATTCTCTTTGGCTTCGTCGATAAAGGAAAGAGCCTAACACTCTTAAAGCCAGTGGAAGACCAGAAGCATAATTAACAGCTTGAACTGATAACTCCCGGAACCCACTTGGAGTAATAATCTCATCTCTGAAAGCATAGTGAGAGAAAAGCTGAAGAGCTTCTTTTTTGGGTAAACACTTCACTTTATACACCAAATCTATGCCCTGCGAAACTAGCAAATGTCTATCCCTTGTTGTCACAATGATTCTGCTTCCCGGACCAAACCAATCAGTCTCCTTCACCAATTCATCCAGTTGCTCAGATCTATCTACATCGTCGAGAACAATCAAAACCCTTTTGTGCTTGAACCTTTCCTTTATTAGGCTAGAGCATGAAACCGAGAGCTCCATGCTCCTTGATCTCTCTCTCGAAACATTCTGCAGAGAAACTCCCCTTGTAAACGCCTTACTCCATATCTGTTACACACTTCCTTCACATTCTCCATGAAGCAATGAGCTTGGAATCGACATGAGAGTTGCCTGTATAAGTATTTAGCAATCGTAGTCTTCCCAACTCCACCCATTCCCCAAATCCCTACCATTCTAACATCTTCCTTCTCTATAGACATCATAGACTGCAGAAAATCCATATGGGAACCCATTCCAATCAACTCTTCGGAATCATCCCATGAAGTCGAAACCAGTTGGTCAGAAATGTCCTTAACAATCTTCTTAATCAGCTTGGACTCATCCCTCCTACCACCATAGAAACTTCATCACTTAAATAACTTTTGAACACAGTAATTAGACTGCAAAACAATAATCTTTAGGAACTTACCAAGTCTGAGAATCTTCACCAGCAATCGCAGCTAGTTTCGTCAAAGCTTCTTTCCATTTCTCCACCTTCTCCTTGTCGCTGTGACTCTCAACATCCTCACCGAAACTTGCAGTTTGTCTTCTCACATCAGAAGGATCAACTTCGTAGAAAATGGGTATGACTGTCTGATTACATGTATCTTTGCATTCCATGATCTTCAAGAGCTCGTCTAAACACCAGCTTGAAGCTGCGTAGTTTCTAGAGACCACGACGATCGAGAATCTGGAGCCTTTGATTGCATCTTCAAGCTCAGGGGAAATCGATTTTCCTCGCTCGAGATCCAAATCGTCTCTGAAGGCGTTGATCCCCATACGATCAAGCTCGCAGAATAGATGGCTCACGAATGCTTTACGCACATCTTCTCCTCTAAAACTCACGAAAACGTCCGCTTTCCAGACGGCTGAAGAAGAATGAGGAGGAAGAGGATCCATGGTCTTTCTCTCTGAGCTCTACCACAGAGATTCCATGATATCTACTTTCAGATAAATTCAACAAATGCAGGTTTCCATTATTGAGTTTTCTTTACCTGGAGTGGAAACCATGAAAAATGATACTCAGAACTAACGACGTGTAGGAGACAAAGTCATTATCAAAATCAAACCTTTTTGTCCTCATTGCTGCAGCAATGTAAACGCGTAAACCTTAACATCATCATCACCTAGTGATTCTTCGTAATTTGGAAACTGGAAAGATAATTTTACTCGATCATTTCCAACAACAAAATGAGAAAAAAATACACTAGGTGATGATGATGACTTAGTCTGTAATTAGTCTAAGAATCAACAATAGACTAATTACAGACTAATAAATAATCACTAGGTGATGATGATGGGTAAGAACACTCTTATTCTTCAAATATCTCATTACTTGTTTGATTTTATTTCTAAGTCAAAGGTTCCAACTTTACAACGACGCGTAGCAGACAAAGTCATTATCAAAATCAAACCTTTTTGTCCTCATTACTGTAGCAATGTGAACGAACGCCTAAACCTTAATATCATCATCACCTAGTGATTCTTGGTAATTTGGAAACTTGAAAGATAATTTTACTGGATCATACCTTTTCTCCAAAACTTTCCTAAACTCTTGGAGAAAAAAAAAATACACATTTGATGGCATTTGACAGAAACTACATAGTTCAAAAGTTGAAATTATAGATACATAATGTGATTAGAGTTCGAACTGTGAGTAAAGGAGATAGAGAAACAATGGGACATAAGTTGTGATGAATGTTTACAGAAACCTGAAATCTCTCATTCGAGAAGATGGTGAATCCAGTCCTTTACAATAACCGGTGAACCATACCAAGGTCTGGTTTCCTCGTCTGAACCAACAGGCGAGTGGTAAACACCGTCGAAGCTAACATTAAGCGCACCTTGAAGATGAGCTGAAACCTCAGGCACCACTCCATCTCCCCACACATCAGCTCTTCCACATACTTGCTTGTATCCTTGCCCTACAAAACGAGCACGCAAAGTAGGCGCCGCCGAAGTAACAGCAAGCTCTGAGATCGCTTCTCCGCCTTCGATTCCAACAGTCACATTAGAATCAACATCCGCATCTGCATTGTCCAGCAAAGGAGCTCCACGAATGTATCTATACAGTAACAACCAGTTCAGATTCCATGTTTATACACAGCTATTGGTTTTTAGAAGAACTAAGAAGCATTACCTCCCGGCGATGCAGACATATCTCAGCTCAGGAGTGTAAACAGCTTTTGCACAATGCTCTTCCACGTAATAGAGAAGACCTCTTGTTTGATCAACAACCCCTGCTTGTCCTCTCGGCGGTGGCCTAAAGCGGGATACAGAACCCACACGGTTAAACAAAATACATAGCAGCAACATTTCTTGAAAGGTCTGAAAGAAAAGTAATTGACATCCTTTTTGGTTACCTACAAGTGAGGCGTACCAAGTGTCAACAACAAGGAGACATGAGAGTTTCCGTATTCTTCCATGTAAACTCGAGCAAGCCATCCTCCAGCTGAGTGTCCAATCAACGACAATCTTTCACCTGTAAAGTGATGCAAAACCACAAAAAGCAGAGTTTTTTTTACTACTTTCAGGGGATCTAAACCAAATGTGTCCAACGATAATTGTACATTATGAGGATTTACCTTGAGCTAACTCATTGGCTTCACGGACAGCATCATCAATTCGTTTCAAGTACCTGATCATCCATAAACAAGAAGACTCAAGTACCTGAAAACAGTCACCAAATTCCAAACACAAAAAATTGATGCATTCATAGAGAAATCAGTATTCAATACCAATCAAGAACAGGACGAGGGCGGAGTGTGCCGCGCCAATAGGCTGGATCAACCAAACCGGCTGCATTTCTAAACCAATCTAGTCTTGATACAGCTGCTACCACCGCAGGGACACCGTACTCACCCAATGTGACCTCCAGCTTCTTGTAGTCTCCCGAATTGTTCCCTAAACCCTAGCAAAAACCCACCAGGAAATCATATAACACAGAAGTGACAGAACCAAATTTTAAGACTTTAAAAACGTTTCAGAAGGAAAATGCAGAAGAATCAGTAAGCAGGTAAAGAGTAGTAGTCTTAAACCTTAACTAAGAAACAGAGTACTGATCAAAGATAAAAGCAAAAAAAAACAAATCTTTACTGGTGGATTTACACATTTTCCGCCATAATGTTCTCAACGAGAACAGAAGAAGGAGGTTGATTACCGGGAGAATGACGGCGGGCCGGGGTTTGACGTCGCCGGCGGAAGAGGAGGAGAATGGTGACGTGGCGGAAGAGAAGGTGGGTCTCAGCCTGAGCGATGAAACAATCGCCGAGGCCATCCTTTTGTTCAGTGGATGTGAGCTCAAGCGGAGAAAGCTGGAGGAAATCCACATGTTCTTGAGCATTTTCATGTATTTACGGAAACGACCCCCTTACTTTCAATTTTTATCACATTTATACCAAAACTCTTGAAAGATTTCTAGATTGAGAGGGCATGGGTTTAAGACGCACGCAGAAGAACACTCGAATCCAATTCAAATCGAATCCTCCTTACTGATTCTCTATTAACGAAAATGGCTTCTCTTTGTCAAGCTTGCGCTTCGTCTTCGGCTACGCCATTGCTTCTGGCGAAAAGGGTGTTTTCCTTAGCAACATCGCCGTTTTACTTCACAAGCGGACACAAAATCCCTCGCCATTACAGCAGCTTCAGAGCATCCACCTCCGCATATGGGTCTGCGGATTGTGTCGATATAAAGGAGATGAAAAGCACTGATTTGGTGGAGCTGGAGTATGCAGAGCTAAACCTCAAGTATAAGATATCTGAGGTCTCCTCTCTTCATCTCTCCCTGTTTTTGTAAACCTCAATTCGCTGAATCTCCCTCCTCTGCTTTTCCCCTGCTTTGGCTTGCTCAATCTTAGTTTGAATTAGAGAGCTTTTCATCTTCATTGACTCTGGTCTATCAGTATCTTGGATATGAACATGATTGAGTAATAATCATTTGTGTTTCTTTTTTCCTTCTTCTGTTCTCTTTGTTTCGTTTGCAGGAAGTGGGTCATGTGAGAATCAGACAGCATGTGAATCCTCTAAGTTCCTCTTTCTCTGTAAGTTGATGATGTCTCTATATATTCTTGTGTTGCAAAATCTGTCACAGATTTTTTTTCTTTACTGCAAAAAAAATTTACTCTGTTCTTGTTTCCGATAGACGCCAGCTCCAGTTCCTGCTTGGGAGGAAGTTTACAAGGATCCGTCGCTGCCTCTTATGGTGGATATTGGAAGTGGTAAACTTGTGAGCTTGCTTAGACTAGTGGGACTTTTACTTTCTCTCAAAAACTCAAAGTCTGTTCATAGAGTCTTCTTCCGAAAGTCTGAAATATGCTTATGCAGATTGTGTTCGTTTAGTTGAGCTATATTACACACTAGTTGATATTCAAATATCTCTACTTTATATTGTTCCTGCTTTGAAATGTGTGTTTTCGGTTTGGATTTGGCAGGTAGTGGCAGATTTCTCCTGTGGCTAGCCAAAAAGGATGCTGAATCGAGAAACTACTTGGGGTTGGAGATACGCCAGAAAGTAAGGATTGAGCTCCTTTTGATAATTTCAAGTTCACTCGACCATTCTTCTTCTTTAGCTAATACATTTTCGGTTACGTTGGCCTGAAGAAGTTCAGTTTCTCACAATTCTTTGCAGCTGGTCAAGCGGGCCAACTTTTGGGTGAACGAGCTCGGACTTTCAAACGTGTAATCTCTATGCAATCCAATCTTAGGAAAGAGCTTTTAGAATCCGGCTCTCTTATAACTCTGTTGGTGACTTGTTTGAGATATCTCTTGTGGATGTGTTGCAGACACTTCATATATGCAAATGCCACGGTTTCCTTTGACCAACTTATATCAAGCTATCCTGGACCTTTGGAGCTTGTCTCAATCTTGGTTAAGTGTGGAAAGTTTTTATAAGCATCTAAATAGCCTATATATATATATATAAATCTCCTGTGTGCTGATCCAACTTCTTGTGTTTGGGGTTTTGAAATGCAGTGTCCGGATCCGCATTTCAAGAAACGGCATCATAAGAGACGTGTAGTCCAAAAGCCTTTGGTAAATTCCATTCTGCAAAATCTAAAACCTGGCGGAAAGGTAATTTGTTTGCTTAGTTTCTAAGAAGTTTTCACACTTTAAAGCTTTGTTTAGGCAAAAAAGTATCAAAGAAGATATAAGTCATAAAGCGGTGGTAGTTTCGGGTCTTAACGAAATATCTTCTTGGTTTTGTTATCTGACTCTGCAACAGATCTTGGTGCAATCGGATGTGCTGCAAGTAGCTCAGGACATGAGAAATCAGTTAGACGAGGAAGCAAAGGTTCTTCAACACGTGGATACAGCTGGCGCAGAGGACGGCTGGTTAGTGGCAAATCCGATGGGTATACGAACCGAACGAGAGATCCACGCTGAATTGGAAGGTGCAAGAGTCTACCGTAGACTGTACCAGAAACTTCAGCTTTAATGATTCAAACAACATTTTCAAGAGTATAAGTGATAACGTTTTTAACATTGTAACATTACGTTGCGTCAGAAAGCCGATGTAAAATATCCAGAAGTTGGCTTTCAATGCATGTGTTCATCAGTGATCATCAGATGAAAGGGAAAAAGAAAAAAAATGAGGAGGCAAGTTTTGGACTCAGAAACGATTCTTGGGTAAGTTCACCAACCGATTCGTCACTTCTTTTTTTTCTTTCTGAAAATCATTTTTTTTTCCTTTTTAATAATAAAAAACGTTTTAAAACTAGATAACTGTGTAATGATGATGCTCTAATGGATTAAGATTAATAAGTGTGTTAAGTTTGACTAGAATCAGATCTTATCTAGAAGAAGCCTATTCATACTTTTTTCTTAGTAAGCTTTTAAATATTTATAACTGGTTGAGAAAAAGAAAAAAAAAAAGAACAATAGAAATAGCATATGTTTTCAAGATATTGCAATTAATATATGTTATCTTGAAGAATAATGTGGAAAATAGAGAGAATATAAATAAATAAATACGCGTGGCGTGGAAACTACGGCTCAGCAGCGTCTCAGGCGTTTCCTCTGCTTTCGTCAAACGCGGAAGTATTTTATGCAGACGACGTCTGTCTTCATCTTTCTAAAAAGCAAATCAAATATCTTGGTAATCGCTTAAGGACGATCGCAGTGTCGATTTCGCAAGTATCAGAAAAGAAGTCTTTAAAGCTTTGGTACGGACATGTATAGTCTTTTCTTTTAGATTCGTCTTGTGAGCTAAATATCATTCTCGATCTTGTAATATTTCTGCTAGTTACTTTGTTGTACTTGTATATCCATGTATGATGCTTCGAATCTGAAACTACCCGTGACGAAAGAGATGTTCAAAGTGTAGTTTACGTTTCGAAGGTTAAAACACTAGTTCTTTGAAACCTAGAATGTTACAAAGTTTTGTGCATGTTCTGCTTCGTTAAAAAAGTATTTGCATGTGTAGAAAAGAGAAATCGGATCTGAATGTGGTGAATGAAGGAGTTTTAGCAGCAAAGTATCTGTTTTACTTCATAATCTAATGCCTATATAGGTGTTTTCTTCTTTGCAGTTTACTCTAAAAACTGAAGTGTGAATAAAATGGGAAAGGATGAGCATAATCACAGTGACAGAGGATTCTTCCACCACTTAGCAGGATTCGCAGGCGGACACTACCCTCCTCACGGTCCTCATCATGGTTATGGTCATCACGCTCATCATGGTTATGGTCATCAAGGTCACGGTTATGCAGCTCCTTATCCATACCCTCCTCCTCCTCATGGCTATCCACCAGTTGCTTATCCTCCACATGGTGGTTACCCTCCAGCCGGTTATTCTCCAGCTGGTTATCCTCCAGCCGGTTATCCATCTCACGGTTATCCCGGTCCATCTCACTCTGGTAATTAATTTCAATCTCAACATTTGCATTCTTTCTCCTACAAATGCTTTACATGTCACCACACTTAGGCTTTGGATTGTTATATTCACGTTTGCTTCTATATATGTTTAGAGTGTATTCTGTTATTGCCAAATGATCCAACAACCTTTAGTGTATTCCTTTGAGACTTGATGTTGATGAGGAAAACCAACTTAATGTTACAGGGCATGGGCATCACCATGGAGGTATAGTAGGGATGATAGCGGGTGGTTTGGCTGCGGCTGCTGGTGCTCACCACATGTCTCACCACGGACACTATGGTCACCACCACGGTGGTCACGGCTATGGCTACGGCTATCACGGTCATGGTAAGTTCAAGCACGGAAAATTCGGAAAACGCTGGAAACATGGCATGTTTGGGAAGCACAAGGGCAAATTCTTCAAGAAATGGAAGTGATTTGAATCTCCTTCCAAAGATTGCTCCAATTCAGAGACTATATGCTAGATATTATAATTATGTAACAATAAATATTGAGTCTCTGAAGTTACATATATACTTATTGTGAGCCTTTAAAGGTTACAAAAGTCATGATCTTTCTTTCTTGGTATGGTTTTACTTTTGCATGTATTAAGTTTTCTCCTTTTGTTTGAAAATGCTCGACTCTTTAATATTGATGGAGAATCTTAAACATCCATTTCTTCTGGAGTTAAGTATGATTAAGATTGGCTTCTTTAATACTTATCTAACTTGTTTATTGGGTAAATTATTTCTTAGTTTTGGTTTAAGGACTATATGAACCGATTAAAGAAAAGTAATTTGGATTTGTATATGTATAGAGACGAGAGAGAGTAGTAGATGCTCTGCCAACCTAGGAAATAACAAAGTGGAAAGACAAAAGTTCCAAAAGAGTAAAAAGTTGTCAAAAGACAACATTATCTTTACAACCTGCCACTAGTTTCAGTTTTTATCTACTAAATATATCTATATGCAATGTGATATTTGATGATTATAGAATTTGTCATGATAATCAGATATTCAGATGTATAGGTCTATTAAAAAATAAAACATGTCAAGTATTGACTTTGAACTGAATAAAACATGTTATTAAAAAATAACGCCGGTACACAAACTTTGAACTGAATCAAGTAAAGTTAGTTTACTGATATATTTGTTTAGTTGACTAAGGTGTCAAAATGTCAATATGCATATTGATTTTCACTCATATATGGCCTCTACAGTTTGAATATGATAACATGTCTTATAGCCTTTGCTCCTCTTAAAAATTATATATTTTTCATACGATACGAAAGTAGAACATGACAAAAGATTAGTTAAACCAAATTTTGACCTTGTTCATTTATTTAAATTCCCGTCTAAATAAATATGTATTTTTTAACAAGTTCTTGATCGTTAACAATTAAAAAAAAAAGCTATGAACGCTGAAAGACACCATCACTATTAAACTTGTAAATGTATTTGTGTTAAAACAAATATGAGAGAAAAATAAAACGTTTCTAGGAAGGTTCAGAGAAGTTCCAACAAATAAGTATAAGAGAAAAACAATTTTAAGGCTTGGAAGTCTTTCGAATTCAGATCAAACGGAAAGACAAGAACTACGTACCAGCGACTATATTCTGTCAACTATTAAGTCGTTCAAAAACGTTCACTCGAAAAGAATCAAGACGAACAAAGGGTATTAGTTACAGTTGTCTTTGCATAATGAAGTACTAAGATATATAATTCTAAAATATCGCCATAATATGGATGCAAATAACCTCTAAAGCAAAAGTAAATAAAAGGAAAACATGTAACGCATAAAATGCTATTAGAGGGAGAATCATGAAAAGAAGGGTTTATAGATAAAGAGAAGAAAAAAGATAATAGACAGTTTCGGAAACACAATAAGACTTGTGAAGTGATGGAATTGGAAGTCTTGCGTTTATCATCCTCTTGCCAAAAAAAAAGAGACTAACCGAAACATTTTTATCTGAGACATCTATGCATTTTATTTTATAAAAAAGCAAGAATAAGATCGGAAGCTATACACTCTCTAGAACTGCTTTAACATCAATAATCTAGAGAAATCTAGACATGTTTTTTTTATTGAAAATAGCAATTTAAAAGAGAAAGAAGGCAAAAGAAGTGTGAGATTGATGAAGTAAATGACAGGAAGAGGCACATGTCGAAGATGTCAGCTCCTCGAAACCCCATCTCTATCCATTTCCTCCTTTGCGGCCCTTTCTTTTTTAAATCAATTACTTTAATTTTTTATTTCGATTTTCCTATTTAGAGAAAGTTGGATGTTTTCTTTTCCATCAAGTTATAAATCTTGATAATATTAATTAACTGATTGAAGAAACCTCAACGAAGATTTTTAACAGTTTTGGTTGAAGTGTTTGTTGTACTCATGTACATTATAAGTAAAACTATTTCGTAAACTCTTCCAGAATATAACAAATTCGATGTCTACTAGACTACTCATTATTTCATCAATCAAAATGATACTTGCAAATTAAATGAAAAATATTGTTGTAGTTGCATTGCATTCTTAAAAAATCTTATAAAATAAAGTGGACAGTTGGGATATGAAGTCAGGCTTATGTGTCTGAAAGTGATTAGATTTTTATTTGCTTTTTCGTTGTTTCTTATTTGTATGTCAAAATATTGAATGGAAAAGAAGAGCAGAAACATGTCTCCAGCTGTATTCACGTACCCATCCCTCTCTCGTTTATATTCTTAAAATTATTTTGTGTATTCCTTATTATTCAAATTAGTAAATTAACCAATTTATTTTGTTGTACCGTATCATTTTGTTATTGACTTCTATTGCATTATTAGTGATTTAGTATCTTTCTTCTACCGAACACTATTAACCTACCTATAGTTCAATAATTCGTCTGCGTGAATTTATTGTTGATAAAATAATTGACAGCCATTTATTTGAAGATATTATTATTTCATACTCATTACTCAATATGCTTAGGGTCCTAGAGGATGAGGCTATTATTTTAGGATCAAATACTAGGTGTAAATATCGGATCATGTTGATCAGTATTTATTATTTTTTAAAAATATATACACTTTATTTATTAACCTACATTTTCTATCTTTTTGGAATTATATTTAAAAAACTTGCAGAGTAATTTTGTTAAAAGACTAAAAATATTTGTTTTTCATAATAGAACTATGTATTTTCATTTGTTTTTTTAAAACTAAAATATGATGTGATAGAATTTGAGTGGACAATTTTTATAAGCATGATTTTATATAACATGTCTTCAGATGGGTTGAGGAAGTAAAGGTTCAAGTTCTCTCACTATAATTTTAATCACGATCAGTCATTATGGATATTTTAAGGAGTGACAATTGTTTTTTGGATTTTTCCGAAAATTAGTCTGAGTTTTAGTTTAATGTTTTTTCGGTTAACAGAAAATATAATAATCACAGCTGAATTTATAAAAATTGTATAATTGATTACAGTATTATACTATATAAACTAAAATTTGATGTTTATTGTATACAAATCGATTTACACTAACTCTTATTTTTTAACATAATTAAATTCATAGTTTACAGAATTTCAGTCAAATAGGCCTTTTAACAAAAAAAGAAGAAGAATATCAGTCAAATTATATTGGAGTTTAGAGTTTAGACCAATGAAAAGCCACAATTAAATTTGTACGTTGACGTAAAAGGATAAAAGAGAAGATAAAAAAATGCATTTACGAGCAAAAATAGAAACTCTTTTGCGTTTATATTCTCTCCGTCAATTTCGTAGCGAATATCACAATTTTCTTCGGGTGTAGAGTATTTTACTTACACAGCGAACGAGAGAGCGAGAAGAGAAGAGAAGAGAAGAAAACTTTCTCTCTTTGTGCTCTGTGAAAACGAAAATCAACAAAATCCCATCATACTCATAAATCTCCCTTCTTTCGAAACAATTCATGTTCATCTCTCCTCTCTCTTGATTCTACCATTTCCACTATTCCCATTTTTTCTCCCCAGATTGGCAAATTATTTCCTTTCTCAAAAAAGTTTTTTGGTTTACGAGAAGAGAAGGATTTTTTTCAAGGGTCTACCTTTTTTGGGATCTATCAGATTGTCTTGAAACTAATGCTTACAGGTTCGTATCAAAATTCTCTTTTGCTCATTTTGGTAAATCCTAATTCCATAAAGTTTGTAGCTTTCCTCTAGCTAGGATTCATTGTCATATTAAATTCTAGCTCTTTTCACTTGAATTTCTTCTCTCTCTGCTTCTTTTCTCTTACCTTGACGTCAATTGGTTTTGGCTTGTTTTCTTATGATAACAGCTTATATTCAGCTCTAGTTTTTGTTAATCTAACGAAGTTTGTCATGTGTTGTTGTTCAATCTTAAGTAATTCGATCTCTTAGAGCTTACAAATAGTATAATTCATGTGATTTTTTGACTGGTAAAAGAACAACATGAACAATAATCCAGTGAGGACCAATTCAGAATCTACTCTTCTTCATTGTTACTAAAGGATTTGATTTTGTTGCAAGTAACATCTCTTTTTTTCATTATGCTTTCAGTTTCTATTAATATTGGTTTAAGATGAAACTAACTTTGGTTTTGATCTCTCCTCTGTCTCTGGTGTTGGTTTGTTAGGTTTGGGTGATCATACACACCATGGATACACATCCTCTCTGATCCAATGAGGAAACATTTTTGACATTCGAATGGATCCACAAGCTTTTATTCGCCTTTCAGTAGACTCTCTTGCCCTGAGACCTCCCAAGTTCCCTTCAAACTCTTCTTCAAGAACCGACGAGAATAAGAACAACTTTTCTTCACAATGCTCTTGCGAGATAAAACTCCGAGGCTTCCCCGTTCAAACAACATCAATCCCTTTGATGCCTTCCCTAGACGCCGCAGCTCCTGACCATCACAGCGTCTCTACAAGCTTTTACCTTGAGGAATCGGATCTGAGAGCTCTCCTGACCCCTGGATGCTTCTACAATCCTCATGCTCACTTGGAAGTCTCGGTCTTTACCGGTAGAAAGAGTTCGCATTGTGGTGTTGGTGCTAAGAGACAGCAGATTGGGATGTTTAAGCTAGAGGTAGGTCCTGAATGGGGAGAAGGAAAGCCAATGATTCTCTTCAGTGGCTGGATCGGCATTGGAAAGAACAGGCGTGATGGTGGTGGAGCAGAGCTTCATTTGAGAGTCAAGCTTGATCCTGATCCTCGTTATGTTTTCCAGTTTGAGGATGTTACTACTTTGAGCCCTCAGATTGTTCAGCTTCGTGGCTCCGTCAAGCAACCTATCTTCAGCTGCAAGTTTAGCCGAGACAGGTTACATTTTGATTCCTCCATAGTTGTTTTCTCCTTGCTTAGATACTAATGGGGGTGTTGAATCTTCAGGGTGTCACAGGTGGATCCTTTGAACGGATACTGGTCAAGCTCAGGAGATGGAACAGAGCTTGACAGTGAGAGACGTGAGAGAAAAGGCTGGAAAGTGAAGATACATGACCTCTCAGGCTCTGCGGTTGCTGCTGCTTTCATAACAACTCCATTTGTGCCATCCACTGGGTGTGACTGGGTGGCCAAGTCAAACCCGGGCGCTTGGCTTGTGGTCAGGCCTGACCCGTGTAGACCAAACAGCTGGCAGCCATGGGGAAAGCTCGAAGCTTGGCGGGAACGAGGGATGAGAGACTCAGTGTGCTGCAGGTTCCATCTCTTAGCAAACGGGCAAGAAGTTGGAGACGTTTTGATGTCTGAGATCCTCATCAGCGCTGAGAAAGGAGGAGAGTTTTTGATCGACACGGACAAACAGATGCTCACGGTTGCAGCCACACCGGTCCCGAGCCCGCAGAGTAGCGGAGACTTCTCCGGCTTGGGACAGTGCGTCTCTGGAGGCGGGTTTGTGATGAGCTCGAGAGTGCAAGGGGAAGGGAAAAGCAGCAAGCCTGTTGTGCAGTTGGCTATGCGGCATGTGACTTGTGTGGAAGATGCAGCCATCTTCATGGCGCTTGCTGCTGCTGTTGATCTCAGCATTCTTGCTTGTAAACCTTTCAGGAGAATGAGCCGGAGAAGGTTCCGTCACTACTCTTGGTGATCAAAGAAACTCTTTCTTTTGTCTCTGTACAGTTCTTGAATTGGACTCAAGTCATTGTATTAGGAAGAAAACTTGCTTATGATTAAAGAAACTTTAACTCTTCTCAGAATCATATCAATGAAATCAAAGCATCTAAAACAGTCTCATAAAAAGATGAAAAACAACAACAAAACTGAGCAAGAATCAAATGTTCTTCTTATCAGCTCCAACATCAACAATCTTCTTCTTCTTGGCGGTGGCTTGAGAATACAAGAAGGTACCGAAAATGGCAATGGCAGATCCAAGAGCATTCAGAGGCCTAACAGGATTCCTAAACACAATCACAGTGGAGACAATCACCACCACTCTCTTCATCGTGTTCCCTACAGAGAAAGTCAACGGACTGATCTCGTCAAGCGCCTGGTAAGAAGACTGATTGTACAAATGGTAGAAGACACCAGAGAGCAAAACCCAAAAGTAGAACGTCGACGGCTTCCCAACAGAGGCAATGGCCTTATGGTAACCTTGAAGCCACTGCGACCCTTCAACGAAAATCGCCACAGGGAAGAGATAAACCAGAGAGAGGATACTGATGCAGCCGTACAGATTCAGTCCATCGATCTCTTTGAAGCTCTGCAGACTTCTCTTGGAGTAAATGTTGCGCAAGACGAAACCAACGTTGCTGATCATAGCTGTTGATAATCCGCCGAAATTGAACGAGACTTCAGTGACTGCAGCTAAAGAGCAACCCATGACGATCGGGAGAATCGATAACCAGACGGCGATTGGGTACGAGTCTCCGAGGAAGGAGGAGAAGATGACGGAGAAGACCGGCTCTGCTGATTTGATGACGTGGGTGAAGGAGACGGCGACTTTGGAGAAGGAGACGCAAGCTGAGATGTGGCCGATTGTGTGGAACAATGCGGGTCCGAGGAGAGCGACGATGAATGGTTTTGAGATTTTGGGGCACGGGTAGAGCTTGAAGGACCATAGGATTAGCATCCAGATGGAGCCGGCGAGGAGCTGGAAGGAAGCGAGAAGCCATGGGTAAGGGAAGACGTTGAGCGCCTTTTTGTTGAAGATGTTGAAGACGATGTTCTGGAAATACCATAGACCGAAGACGATTCCGAGCTGGAGAGTCTTCGCTTTCTTCTCCTTTTTCTCGGCGGCTTCGTCGGGGGAGGATTTCTCGAGATCGCCGTCTGGGTTCGGGTCGGATGGTCCAGCCGCAGCGATGGATCTGGGTCTTCTCGAAGGCAATCCAGATGGGGATTCGGGGTTGGTGAGTGAAAGGAAGGGTTTTTTGGCGGCGGTGTCGCGAATCTGGAGATTGGGAAGCCCTAGTGGGTATCTGCGATTGAAGGGTTTATCGCCGGTGACGAGAAGAGCAGAGAGACGGGTCCGGGTCTTGTGGAGAAGACCCGGGTTTAGGGAAGCAGACAGATTGAGAGAGATCATTGCTTAGGCAAGCAGCAAACACGAACGCACAGAGTGAAGAGAGAGAGAGAGAAAAGAGATAACTTTTTTTGGCTGGAGGTCGTCGTCGGCTCTGGACCAAAGGTCAGAGATCCGTTGGGAAATACAAATTTTTTGAAAGCTCTGTTCTTGGACTTTGCTCCTCCTCCGAATATAAATGTACGACCTTTGATTATTCCAATATATTTCTTTCTTTCTATATCATTGGGGCAAATCAAATGAATCAACACTTGCAAGATTTCTAAGATTAAAAAAGAAAAAATTGACTCACATTTTGAAGCTTGAGAGTCATTTTTAGAAAAGTTATCAATTTTTTTCTTCTAGTTTTTAAATCAATCAAAATAAATACTTAGGAGATGTTATTTAATTATATATTTCAAATGAATTCTATAGGTTTTATAATTATTTAAATTTAAACTTTTTGTCTTATTTTAAGAATTTATATTAATTGATTCTAAAATCTCTGCAATATCTCATGAATTCTGTTTTTAATAATTTACACATAAAATTCCATTAAAATCAGTTAACAAATATTTTAAAAATCATTTAATTTTGAATAACACTAAATTTGAAATTTTGATTGAATAACATTGGAATTCAAAACCGGATCTCGGAGACCCGCCAAAGCACGAAAGCCAGGATCTTTCAGAAAATGAATTCCTATTCGAAGAGCTCTCTTAGACCATTCCTAATCAGTGGAGAAAAGATTCGCTCATGCTGGAGGGAGCATCCCCACTTAGTGATCGGTCTACTAGTTCACGCAAATCCAAAGAAGTTATCACGGACTAGCCACATGCAGAGAAACTTGATGTTGATTGAATAACATTGAATTGTAATTCAATTTTAGTTTGTTTAAAATACAACATCCAATAACACCTACTTATATTTTGATAATTATTCAAATTTGTTTTATTTAGTTCGGAAATTGCAAAGTTCCTTGTTTTCTTTGCATATTTTTGTTTTTACTTTTTAGTTTTACACGCTGGAGATGAAAGAGGACCCGTTTGGTAAATTAGTCTTTTGTGTTTGAAGAAGAAACACAATCAGACGTCAGATCTCGAGAGATCCGATCGGTGTTAAAGCCGTCGCCGGAATCGTCGGGGAGGAAAATGGCGGCGAAGCAGATGGAAGAGATACAGAAGAAGCTGGCGCTGCTTAGTTACCCAAGGGCAAATGCTCCTGCTCAGTCTCTCCTCTTCGCCGGGATGGAACGCTATGCTCTTCTCGAATGGCTCTTCTTCAAGTAAATCTCTTCCTCTCCCACTACTTTACTCTTCTCCTTATTCCATTTGCGTTCTCCGGGATTTAAGATCAAAACTGAATCCCCACATTTTGAGTTTCGAGTATGATCAAAACTTGGAATTGTTTTGTTTGTTTGGTTTTCACTGTATAGAAGTTAACACAGTGTTTAGTCAGCTTCCAGTGTACAATTGATTCTCTTTGAATACAGTGACAGTACGGATTGAGATATGTATTGATTGATTGCTCTTCTTTTGGCTATCGTGAAGGTTATTAGGTGATAAATCTCCGTTCTCACAGCAAAATCTTCAAGGAGATGCTGGAGCTCGTGATGAAGAAACTGTTCGTATTCAATGTAAGCCTTTCTTTTGATCGTTTTGGCCAATGGAGAAAGTAGTAATGCGTTATGATTTGTTTTTGTTTTTCAACGTTTTAGCTGTGAGAAAAATCAAGCTTTTGGTAATTGAATGTGTTTCTTTTGCCGTGTCTTCCTCTTCAATTATCGATTGAGCTCATTTAGCTACACACTGGTTCTTGTTTCCATTGATATTGTTTGCCCTCCTGGAAGAGTTTCTCTAACTGAATATTATGACGGCATGTCTATTAGTCTTGATGTGTAATTGACTTCTCGTTTTCAGATTTGGCAGAGATCGCAAAGTTCCTGGGGATTACACCAACCGTAGATATTGAAGCTATTCAAGTAAGCTTGTTTAGAATTGTTAGATCATCTTTGTTTTGTGAATTTCAACTTTCAAGACGCAATAATGTTATCATTGTTTTAGGGACATGGAACGTACGAAGATCGGATGGAAATGCTTCGCAATATTGTTGATTTAGTGGAGGCAAGCCTCTTCTCAGATAATCCAGAATGGAGGTTGATATATCTTCCTTAGTTCATATAATTAGTTTAGCATTTCGTAATGTTTTACCTGCCTGATTCTTCTCTACATCCTAGTTTGTTCTTTTATTTGAAACATAACAATGATTTCGCTCCATTTTCAGCATTGATGAGCAGGTTGCCAAAGATATTCAGCTCATAGATGCTATTGCAGAGAGACAGTCGGTGATATTTTCTGAGGAATGCAAACTGTTCCCTGCTGATGTGCAAATCCAGTCAATATATCCACTGTAAGAATGATTTCCTCTAGTAATCTCTAAGTTATTGCACTTTTTGAAGTTATCAAGTGATTGACTAGTTCGGAGGAATTGAAGATATAAACTTACTGTTGTAAGTGCGAATGATAATCGATGTTAATTTTGCAGACCGGATGTTTCTGAACTGGAGACAAAACTTTCAGAGCAGGCCAAGATTCTCTCTAATCTTCAGCAGAAAGTCGACGACTTGGCAGCAAAGGTGTGTTTTGGCTACTTCAATTCCTGCGGTTTATTTTACTGTCTACAAATGAATATTTTACTGGATTTTCACTTAAGAACTAGATTGTTTATCCTTTGCTTTTCTTCTTATAGCATGCCTACAACCCTGACGAAGAATATACTGAAGTGGAATCTCAACTAAGAGCCCGTTTAGAATCGTTTCTTGAAACTGCTAGGGCGTTCAATACAATCTACACAAAGGTACTGACTTTTTCACTCTATCTGTTGATTCTCTCTCGCTATCAACCTAGATCAGCTGGCAGCAAAATGGCTTAGGTTCTGGATTTTTCTATTCTCCTAAGAGCTTGAATCAAACAAAAACTAGTTTCCTCAATACTTCTTCCATGTTCCAAAAACAATGCCTCTGAAAATTTTCTTATGATGTGACTAGCTTTTCCTGAACCGTTGCATCTTTATCGGTATGTGTTTGGATTTTGCAGGAAATACGTCCATGGACACATATGATGGAAGTGCCTCAGCTTCATGGGTTTGGTCCAGCTGCAAACCGTTTACTGGAGGCATATAATATGCTCTTAAAGGTACTCTCCTGCTTGATATTTTAGTGTATTGACTAGATTGAGTAGCTCTCTCCGGATGTAAGTTTGAATGATGATCGAGTCCAAATCAGCTATAGTTTGATTCGTATAACACAATGAAATGTTTTGTTTGGTGACAGTTCCTAGGGAACTTGAAGAACTTGAGAGACTCACACGCAGCACTTTCGATAGGATCATCAGGAACAGTTGCTGGAGAGCCGTCTTCTGTGACGAGAATCGTATCCGAGTGTGAAGCTGCGTTAACCGTTCTGAACCGAGATCTAGGAATCCTCTCTGCTTCAATTGCTCGTGAGCAAGGAGAGCGTCTATAACTTGTCACGAATCGATCACTTTTTGAAAATGGGTTGTGTTTATTGCATCAATCAATCCTATTCCTTGAAAATGTGATGAGTTTTTAATTGATAGAAGATCTTTTAGAGGTGTGTTTTTTTTTATCTCTTAACAGTTTTTAACTGCTTCTGTGTATTGCCAATTTTGTATAATCAAATCCAATCTTTAGGAAAATTTCTTATCGTTTCTGTATAAGTTTAGACTTTGATTGGTAAGCTTCAAAATCATGGAATAGTATAAGCAACAAAATCACAAATTTATGCCGAACTGCAACATCTTTTTTTACATGTTAACGTAAACACAAACAATCGAAGAAGAAATCAATCTTTGACTCTATCAAAAGCTGCCTCGAACACCATCAAGGCTTTCCCCTATTGATGACCTGCAAAAACAGATCAATGATATCTATACAGGATTCATGTCGATATAAGAGAACTTTGCATATCACTAACTAATTCGTATTGTCCTCGTCTAAAATGATTTTCAAGTTCCAAAAAGTGGTAAAAGAGCCAAAGAGAGAAATTGTCGTTTTTAAAAACTTACTTGTACATACAATACTTGTATTCTTGGCTCCTAACCAAATCTTTTTCGCCTTCTTCAAGCTGCATAACAGAAAAACAAAGAAAAGGACAACGCATAAGAGAGAAGAGACATCATATACTAAAATCTCATCATCATCATCGTTTTACAATCCTTACCGGGTCGCTCTCATAAATGAGTTCATAGCAAACCGGAGAAAGGCACCGCAGAGCACAATTCTCTTTTGCTATTGAAGAAGATTTGCATTGCCAACCCCATAACCCACTGTTTGTTTTCCACAACACATGAAACAAAAGTGAGCCAAAGAAGGAAAAAAAGCCAAGAATTTGCTAACTAAAAGTAGAAACTTTGAATTTTGCGGGTAACATGTGTTAGCCAAATTACTCTACAACGATTCACAATATCTGAATCAAGCTACAAACATGCCAAATATATAAGAGGATGATACAGAGAACAATCAAGTTCTGTAAAATCTCATAATTGAGTAAAGATATTGTTTTCTCTATCACCTAATCAATTGACTCGGAAAAAAATTCTCAATAGAAGCGGCAAAGAGAACCAAAATTGCGGTAATCGAAATTGCAGATGATGTGTATAAATCCGCCATAGACTCACCTCTCTATATCACCATAGCATTCGCTCTTCTTCTTCCTGATCTCTACATCCTGCACATCGATTTCTCCCACAAACTCATTAATATTCAAAAACCATATATATCAGCTGAGCTGAGCTTACACTGATTCAAACAATAGAGAATTAGGCGAGACTTACGGATATGGGACGAGGAGATTTGGAGAAAACACAAGGTACGAAACACAGGGAGACTAACAGAAGAAGACAAACGATGCTTGAACGAGCTCGGGAAATCTCCATGGCCTCTCTCGAGCTCTTCTTCTCCGATCGCGGTCGCTAATTCGCTCGCTAGTCTCAGCTTCAAGTTAAGAGAACGGTTTTTTACTCGAACCAGCTCTGTAATTCAGTAATTCTTGAAAGAGCAGAACCGGTCTACTCCGGTCTTATCTTATGGGCTTATATGGGCCTATATTCTTATATTTGCTCAAAGATGTACAAATTACTAATTTATGGACAAAATAACAGTGTTAAGTGTTCACACTCCTTTTAGTTGCGATTTCTCGTTGTTACCGACCGAATTGTGGACGAATCTAATGGATGATAAAATGTCGACAAGACTATAAAAAGACAGGTTTAATGTGTCCTTAACTCAACCACTTCCTCGATTTATGTAACATCTCAAGATTCTTCACCCTTCCTCAATCCTCCTCGCCTTTTTTTTTAAATCAAATTATGTTAGACCTTTTCCTGTATTCAAAATTATGTTAAACCTTTTTCTGTATTCAAAATTCTTCTAGTATTTAAGAATAAACAAACGAATTTAATACAGAGAAGAGAATAGGTTGTAGTTGTAGTGTTATTTTATGGTGGGTCTTTTCCTTTTAATAAGCAAGTAAATTGTTATTGATAGAATGGTGACCGACAGTAACTTTGGACTCAAGCTGAAGCATCAGAATCTTCTTTTTTCTTAATAGATCGAGCTCCTTCGAGTTCCTCACCACGTGAATGAGTATAGATCTGATTACCTTCGCACTTGCAAAATTTCCTGCCAAGTTATCAATTCTTATTGACCTTATAGTGTAGAGTTATCTTGTTATTTACATCACTTTTTTGTTCTTTTAGCAATGGCCAAATATTTTTAAACTTTTTTCAAATCGACAATGCATAAAAGCAAATCACACAAGGAACGCAAAGGAAAATACATGAAACAAATGTTATTAAAATTTTGTTGTACATTACTTTAATAACATTAGTGCTACTTATAAATCGATATCTACCGAATCTATATATGTTTGGGATTGAAAAACTATATAAAAACAGGATACTCATAAAAAGTCATATCTGAAAACCGTGAAAGAGACGCTTGCTTTGCTCTATCATTGAGAATGCTAAGATTTCGTTTATGTTTGTTTGGCTATCCGCCGCTCTCTGGGTTGGTTTGTAGAGAATGTTTACAAAATGCTCGCAACATAGTAGATAAATTCATGCCATGTGATTATCATAATCCCAACATTACAAGGCCTCGTAGATTAGGATGATCTGTATATCGAATCGTACAATAGATAACAAGTTAATCAATCAACTGTCTGCAGTTCCACGTGGCTGGCCCATGTTCAAGACTCCTTTAGGTAGTCTTCTTCACCAACAATTTACCAACTAATTTTATGCTTTAGCTGAAAGGTACTTAACCTCTAGCTCTACGTAGCTTTCCAATTACCAAACAATGATAATGATAAGTATCAAACCTATACTCTTATCTATAAATCATTCTCAAACTCCTTCGACAAAGCTTAATTAAAGATATACACACACATATCAAACCCTTTTTCCCCCTAAATACTCCGCAGTTAAATTTGGTCATCTCTATACACATAAATGCTCTCACCACAATACCACCATGTTTATTTACTTATCTATAAGACAAGTACAGTAAAACCTCTATAAAACAATAATGTTGGGACTTTGAAATTTTATTATCTTATAGAGTTATTATTTTATCGATAAAACAATAATTATTATTTTATAGAAATATTCTATCAAAAACAAGAAACTTTATAGAAATATATTTTTTCACTTTTTTATTCAAATTTTCCTTATACTTTGTTATTTACATATTTCATGCTCAGAAGTTCAAAATCTAGAAGAAATTATGTCTACTGTTCTTAATGGTGAAGATGAAGTTGAAGATGATGAGGAAAGACATGTGCAAGTAGTTAAGCAATTGTGGCTTCGAGAACTCTTCACAACTTTTGGCTGCAAGTTGAGAATACATCACAGAAATTGTAGATGCAATAAGAAAAATTCGAGATGAGCTCCAACGGGAATCCAACTTTCAGAAAAGACAAACTACATTGGAGTCATATTTTACTAAATTGTCTTAGATATATATGCCTTAGTTTTATAATTATTATCTTAGGTTATTGTTGGGACTATATTTTTACATAGGAGTTTCAAAAATATTATTGTCTTATCATCTTATCGCATTATGCTATTTTTTACATTGGCCCGAGTTGGGACCGGAGAAAATTATTGTCTTATAGTGTTTATTGTTTTATCGAGTATTGTTTTATAGAGGTTATATTGTATACTTAAAAAGAAAAGAAACGAATATAAATGCTAAAGCTAAAGCATAAAACAGCAATCTATGTACCTTTTAGTTCCATATATCAGGCCTACCATATATTTAGATCAACATTCTTAAACATCTCTTTTCTAAAAATCAATGCTATTGTACACAAAAGATCATTGTGTTCCTGTTTGTATATATAAAAGACCAACAGACTACCGCCAAATCATTCATTTCACGAAAAGCGAGACCATATATATAACGAGTTTATACAGAAAGAAACATATTATGAGAAAATAAATATAAATATACTCGTATGAAATTATTTTTCATGTTTTCAAAAGAAATGTTTTCTTTTGGGGGTAATGTTTAACAACATTTGATCTAAAGAAAGTTAGTTGTAAAATGATGCTAAACAGTTACATTAATACATCTTTTATATATAAAAATACTCAAAGAAAAATACACTCTTTATCATTGAGAGCCCAAAGATAAGGAGAGTGAGAGCGACACTTCACCTCACCATCTGCTCTCTCTCTCTCTCTCTCTCTCTCTGCTTCTTCTTCTTCGTCCTCTACTCCTCTCTCTCTCTTTTCTGCAACAGAAACATCATCAATGGGTTCTACGTCAAACCCTAATCCATGGGCTCCATATGAATCATACAACGATTGCTCTCAGGGAGTATGCAACATCTACTGTCCCCAATGGTGTTACCTCATCTTCCCTCCTCCTCCTCCTTCTTACTTCCTCGACGACGAAGACGACTCTTCCTCCTCCTCCAACTTCTCCCCTCTCCTCATCGCTCTTATCGGAATCCTCGCCAGCGCCTTCGTCCTCGTCAGCTACTACACTCTCATCTCAAAGTACTGTCATCGCCGCCGCGAACACTCCACCTTCTCATCCGAAACTCCTGGCCGTGATCGCGTCGGCTTCTTCTCCTCCGCCATCGATTCCAGGCAAGGAAACTCGACTGCGGCGACTGGTGATGGCCTCAACGACTCTCTGATAAAATCGATTACGGTTTACAAATACAGAAATGGCGATGGAGTCGTCGATGGCTCTGATTGCTCTGTTTGTTTGAGTGAATTTGAAGAGAACGAGAGCTTGCGTTTGTTGCCGAAATGCAACCACGCGTTTCATCTTCCTTGTATCGATGCTTGGTTGAAATCTCACTCTAATTGCCCGCTCTGCCGCGCTTTCGTCACCGGAATTAACCCCACCGCCGTGGCTGACTCAGTCGCTAACCAATCGAGTTCCGGTCATCGAATCGCGGCGGAATCCGGTAATCGCGGCGGAGGAAATGCGGCGAACAGCTCCTCGCGTATTGCCAGTTACCATCACCAATCTGGCGATTCTGTCGTCGTAATCGAAGATCTGGAAATCGGATCTCGAAATGTTAACAGCAGATCGCGTCCACAATCACCGGAGGATCAACGGGACACAGCTAAGGATGAAGAAAATCCGCAGCCGATTCGGAGATCGGTATCGTTGAACTCAGGCATGACGGTGTCAATCGCTGATGTACTGCGGGAGATCGAAGACGACGAGAGAGACAGAGTATACGCCGGCGTCGGAACTTCGCGGCAGCGGCGAGAGGAATGTAAAGAAGATGGACATGGCGAGGGGAAGGCAGCTACACCGACGGAGGTGAATCAGAGAGGTGGAGTTTCGAGTTTTCTGGTGAAGAGTTCAGTGGCGATGAAGAGATCCGTATCGACGGGAAGATTTATCTTCTCGAGGTACGATCGAGCTAGAAATTACCGTTTACCCAATTAATTACGTTAATTTTGTTTTAAGAAATGTTTCTAAAACAGAATCTTCTCATCGACTTTTTTTTTTTTTTACTGTATTTAGTATTTACTGATAAATACACCTTTTTTTTTCTTCTTCAATTATACGTTTCATTACAGTGATCACTTTTTTTCTCTTCTTTATTTCCATTTTACGGCAACTACATGAAAGGATAAAAAAAAAGAAAAGAACCACATGAAAATGTAATACCATGCTTACAGCTATAGTGATCACTTTTTAAAATCAGTATCTTGTTCCCTCCTGAATTTGTGGAACATCCAATAGTAAATCAATGCGATTTTCTTTTTTTCATTATAAACTTTTTGGAAAAACAAATAGTTCTTGATGCTGCTATCCAATGATTACTAAATATACATGAAAGGTTTTAAAAAAAAAAACAATACAGAGCTAAAGGGAAAATAAAGAGCCGACGATATTAAACTGTTTCTCTCCAAGTTTCCTTTCTTCTTCAACTCCATCAGGCATCAGTGGCCCATCTTGTCCACTATACACTGTTGTATTTCCTTTATAGTCTTCGTTCCACTTTTTTGATATTACCTGTTAAGCTACCAAAAAAAGAAAAGAAAACCCTTTATAAAAAAAACAAAGGACTTGCTATTACATATTTGTCTTCAGCTTTAGTTTTTGTTCAAGTTCATGTTTACAAAACGCGTTTATATTTGCATAAAAAGAACAATTTCAAAAAACATACTCATTCCTATTGGCTATTTCACTTTGAAAATTACCTAGATCAAGGGTAAATGTGAACATGTTGACGTTTAATCCAAAAAGAACATGTTGACAGATAGAAAAGATGAAGATCAGAGAAGCATCTTTATTACATGCCAACACAAGTAGAGATTTTAACGTCCTTCTGAATAATTATATACCGAGTTTTTCGACTGGATCAGAAAATGATGAGCAGTACACACGGCATGAGGTATGGTACCCAACTTAAATCACATTAACCACTGGTATATTACTTGATGATCAATTATCAGTCACTGACTGAAAGAATCTCATCCACATAGGTACAAATACGTTAGAGAAATACGATACCATAGAGTAGAGAAGAAAATGCACTGAAGCTCATTGCTCATTGAAAGCTGAGCGTGATCTCAAAACCATAATACCATATTGATGCGATGTTAAAAGCGAGACCAATGTCTACAGACAAAATCACACAATGTGACATGAAAAAAAACATATACCCACACACAATCTCTCTAACAAAGGGGGAAACAAACTTATATGCTCCAAACTAGATTTGAGGCAGAAGCTTGATATCCGATTAGTTTATATGCCCCATCACCACTTTTGAAAGAATCAATCAGACCCTGAATTTTAAAAACAATTAAGCTCGAATATCAATAACATTAAAAGACCTTGATGCTAATCACAAGAATTTAACATGATTCCTCAATAACTTTTGTTAAATCTATTGCGCATATCATATAACTTAACGTGAGACATATCATCCTCAAGATATGATTGTGGTGCATGTGATGTGGTGTGGCCTTCTTTTTAGAAAAAGGCTCTCAACTTTACGTTAATCTTACATGCCGAGAATTGTATCATTGTATGTCCAATAGCAATTAAGTGACTTGATCATAGGTCTGAAAATTAACACACGTCTTTGGATTCATTTCCATGTATAAGGGAAAGTAACGGTTTGGGCCTAACTGGCTATAGATGTGCAAAATTTCTTTATTAGATAATGTTTTAAAAAGTGGAGCTCATGTATTAGACATCGTGAACATTCATCGCATCTTGGTTGATAGCACGATCATATATACATGTATACGTACCCTGTAGTCTTATTATATATTATATACGTGGTCTCACTCTTATGATTCATTTACCATCACAAAAAGTTGTTCTACATGAAAAGAACAAAAAAAAAATATAACTGAGGAGATAATTAATCACACCGCAAGGTCCGCAACTATCATAACAAAAGTGAAAACAAAATCCAGTTTTGACTATATTTCCCGAATAAATTTGTTACTTGTTAGAATCTGACCGTGGAAATTTGAAAAAAAAGTTTTACATGAGCGTAAAAGTCTCGAACAAATATACTTCACAACGACACTACTAATTAACTCTCTTCACAGTAATTTAGCCAAAAAAGGCCAAAAATAAAACTAAGTCCACATTTAGCGCTCCTTTCGGTTTTCTGTTACACCCACTTTTTCGTTCTCACAATTTCTCCCGAGAGAGAGAAGATTCAAAAGAACAAAACACAATTTTGTCTGATTTTCCATCGTGTTTCAGAATCAGTGGTCGGGAAATTCGAATGGATCAGAGAACAAGTGATCCAAGAATATACATCGTCACTCTTCTGTTTCTCTCATGTATCCTCTCAGGAGGAGTCCTTTTGGGACTTTACCTCCTCCTCTCTGATCCGAACCCTCTGTTCCTACAAGCGGGTATGATCTTCGTTGGTGTCCCTTGGCTCTTCTGGTTCTTGGCTTACCTTTACTCTTGCGTCCTCAAGCCTTGCACCGTCTCCGTTAGCAAGAGCGTTGCCAATTTCGATCCGGAGAAAGGCGAGGAGAAGAAGAACAACAACAACAACAACAGCAGCATCCAGGATAGCGCCACGTCAGATTCAGATCCTGTGGCTCCGGTGACGCCGAGGGAAGGTGAGAAGCACGTGCAGTTCGGGAATGTGGTGGTTCTTGGGGATGGAGAAAAAGGCAAAGAAGAAGATGAAGATCGAAACGAAGGCAGTTCTAACTATCTGATTCAGAATCAAGACAAAGGCAAAGAACAAGAACATCAAGAAACTGGTAGAAGGAATTCAAGAAGCGATGATGAGAGTAGCGTCGATGAGGATTGCGATAGAACTCCGTTGAGATTATCTATCGGCAACAAATGATTCGATACTGAATGATTGGTCAGTTCATAAACCAAGACTGAACAGAGAGAGACAGGCTTTGAGAAAGCTAAACCTCATTGACGTGTGAGACAAGGAATGTTGGTCTTTTTGAGTAAGACCTAATTACCATGTGAAAGGACCCATAGAAAAGAATTTGTTTTGTTGTAGCTTTAATTTTCTTGTTCTTAAGGTATTTGATAAATTAAATATTAAAAAAACACAACCTTCAAAAGATCTTCTCCAATGTCAGAAACAAACAGAATGTAATAACCAAAAAATGAGGGTGATTTTGTTTGAATTGTCTCTTTATTTGTAGTGATGATGAATCTTCTTCTTCTTATTCTTCATATTGACATCACAGGTGCAAGCATCAACTGAAGAAGAAGGAGAAGTCAAGCAACCAAACTTCCTCTTCACTTCTCTCCACACACTTATCTTCTTCTTTGTCTTTGCCTTCTTCCAACGATGAACCACACATTCATGATTCTCAATCTCAAGCCCTAACAGCTTATTACTCATCTCCTCCATCTCATCCTCATCGCTCAAAACCCCAATTTCCTCCTCTTCTTCGTCCACTACTTTCTCTTCCATACCCTTAATCTCTTTCGTCACTGTCTCACGTATCTGAAGCTGAGAAGCAAACAAAACCTGAACAACAACCCTAAGCGGAAGCCTCTGGTTTCTCGCGGCTTGCTCGCATCCTTCTTGAGAGAGCTTCTTGCAGTCAAGAACTTTACAAGCTTCCATCTTCTCAGTTTCAGTCAAGTACCTATGACTCTCCAAGAACACATCAATGGCTCTGTAAATCCCATCTGAACAACTCAAAACACCCTTCGAAACAGTCACTGTGAGCTCCGCCAACGACAGAAACGCCTCGAGCTTCAGAGAAGCCTCACTCGCAGCCAAGAGCAAGAAATCTTCCAAAAGCTTCGCTACTTTCACGAAATAGGGGAATACATCAGAGTCTTCGTCAGTGTAGTTACTGTAAAACCTCCTGACAACGGTTTTAACGAGCTCCACGTCTTCGAAACACTCTGCTTTCTCTCCGTAGCCTCGCGTTAGGATCTTGAGATCCGTTGGTTTAGCCATGTCGAGCTGTTTCCCGATCCTGATCTCGATTCCGTCTCGACATTCGGAGCTAGCTTCTAACCATATCGAATGTTTTAGCGACTCGAACAAGAACTCGCAAGAGATTAGCCCTCTCTGATGAGGCAAAAGCCTCTCAACCGCCTCAACCGCTTCTCTGTTTTCCTCTGTAGCGTCGAAAACCCATTTCTTCGCGTATTTGCAGACCGATGTAACGATGTATTCGACAGGAATGCTGCGAGATTTCATCGCGCGGAACATCAGAGGCTCGTATAAACGAAGCGGGAGTGTGATCAAATCCTCTGACTTCCAGTTGATAACGAACAAACGTCTCCTAGGGTTAGGTCTATAATCATCATATGTTTCCTCTCTGTTCTTGATCGGTTCGCCTAGGAGTCTTGGATCTTTGGAAGCTGTTTCGATCAAAGAATCGAAGAAGAGATCGACGAGTTCAACATCGTCTAGCTTGTCGAGACTCTTGACGCCTGAACGGAGAGCGTTTACAGTCTCGTTCCAGCAAGGGAAAACTCGTGTCTCTAAGAACTCAGATGCCTTGCCTAACAAGTTATCAGAGCTGTGTTCTTCGCCCATCATTAAGTGATACGCCATGCAGAGAACAGCGACGATGTTATCAGACGAAAACTTGATTTCGTCGCCGTAACAGAACCTAGCAACGAGCTCGAAGGTTTCTGGATCGGTTTCTAAGTCTTGTAGGATCCAGCTCAGCTTATCGATCTCGTTGCGCTCCACTAGTAAGCTCACTCTCGCTGATCTCTTGGCTAAAACATCCTTCAAATAAAATAATAACAGAACAAAACAAAACTTAGAAGAAACAAAGTCTTAAGTTTATTTTTTTGCGATGAGTTTTGTGGGAAACAAACTTACTTGATGGAGTTGAAATGGATGACCCTTCACGTAGATATGAAGATCTGGAGAGTTTGATGCTGACTCCAAATTTCTTCAAAGAGATGAATCTAATTAGGGATTGATTGGAGAATTCGGAATGATGAAAGAGAGTAAGAAATCTTACCTGTTCTCGTTGTTGTTCTTCCTATCAAAATCTGACATGTTTTATATATATTGTAGCAGGTTTTCGACGGTAAAAGGAGTGTATATTTGTGAGTTGGTCTGTGTTTTAGCCTTTTAGGCTTCAAGAAACAGAGCACTCAGTTTCATGTGTTCTGCAACAATGGAAGAAAACAGAGAACCAAAGGCAAACAAATGATAATTCAAAAACAAAATCAAGAAAAGTCTGGCTACTCCCGAGATATAGGAAACAAGTTGAGATTTTAGTGGGATTTTCCGGAAAAATGTAAATAAATTTTTATATTAGTCATAGAGTGAAACTACAGGGTAAAATAAGCGTTACCAACTAAAAATTATTCGTTCTCTCTTGAAATAATAATGAAAGAATGTCTCAAATCACATGAATAACAACATTTACAGTCTTCATCATCACTTTCATTTCTATAAACAGTTCTAGTTCGCTTTTCTTTTTGATATTTTGATATTCTGAGTTTTTGATTAAATCGTTCATATAAGAACTTTTAAAAACCTTTATACAAAGAAAAAGTGTGTTTATAATAACTCTGGTACAATAGTACATAAGTGCAACTTCAAAAAATCGTAACAAGGTGATGACAAAGATACAACTAAACTGTTTTAAAAGTCATGTTACATGTGTTGTTGAATGGTTTTGAGTGTTGACCAGAGACATCACCACCATCACCTAGAGACAGAAAATCCGTTCTATGTTTCATCAAAAACTTGTTTCATGTCCAAAAAAGTTGTGAAGAGACATACTAAAATAAATCATTTACCTCTCTCAAGAAGCAATTTGGAACCTTCATAAGAGAACAACCGAACAGCATTCCTATAGCTTAGCTCCGCGAGTTCCTCGTTCTTCATGTCCAACAACCTCGCTACATATCCGAGCACCTGAAACTCGTAATCAATCAGGGTCTTAAGTTCTCTATAAATCTCTGAGAAAGAAAGATTGATTTAATCAGTTATGAAGCAAAAAACTTACGGTATGAATATTAGCCGGATGATTAAGTGTTCCCTTTTGCAACTTCACAGAGTCATTAGACGACGCATTAGACTTATCTTTTGAAACAGAATCAAGATCCTGAGCTGAATCTCCTTCTTCTTGTAGAGAAGGATCTCCTTCTACAAAGTAGAGACAACCTGACTCAACCTTCGGTAGTGCATCCGGTGAATCCGTTTCCAATAAGATCCTGTCAGATGGAACCTACCAAGAACTGAAATTAAGATCCCATTCCACCTAAAAAACTGTAACATGGTTTAGAAAAAAAATATGGAAATCTTACAGCTTTCAACATCTTCTTGGCTTTCTTCTCACTCATGGACATCAGAAAACCAGACAAGGAGAAATACGCACCGAGCTTGGCAAATTCAGGAACCATCTCAGCAGATCCCAAATACGAGTGAAGGATGACTCCACAAGGAAATGGCCCCACAGATCTGCTTATTACTACAGAGTATTACATCACACTACTTAAGACTATAAAGCAACAAAAAAAAGCATTTACTTTTGAAGTAAAAGATCATACTTTGTTATCTCGAGTAGATCCCCGAATGCACGAACACAGTGCACAGACGCAGGTTTCTTCAATTCCTTTGCAAGTTCGAGCTGCTGACGAAACACTCCAACCTGAAATTTTGAAAATTGCAGCTTTTAGCATCATTCTTAAAGGAACACAAACCATTTAAGAAAAGGTTTTGTTTTTCAATCTTGAAACCTGGTCTGAGAAATCAATCTCCTTCCCCTTAGACCCTTTGTCCAAACCAATCTGTTTAATAAAAAGAAGTTTCTAATGAACAGAAATTCATAATAAAAAAAAGAAACTGTAAGAGAAAATTGATAAAAGACAAACTTCTCCAACAGCAGCAGTAGGAGTGGTCTCAAAGAGACTCTTCAATGTCTCAAACCATTGAGGACTCCTCTCTGCTACATACCTGAAACCCAACCGCAAAACTTCAAAAGGCCTTAAATTTTTGAAACTTTACCTTAAAATATACAATTCGTACCATGGATGGATCCCAAAGCAGGGAACAACAGAAGGGTATCTCACTCCCATCTCTTTGACCAAGTTCCAATCTTTCTATAGACCAAATCAAACGAAATTCCAGATTCAATTAAGGATTCAGCCAAACTCGTAAACTGTATAAGCTAATCAATTTTGCATTCTCTGACAAAAATCAAACCTCGGAGACTCCATTGACGGCGAAGAAAGAGACGCCAGAAGCTACGGCGGAGGAGATGAGCTGAGGAGCTTTGCCGACAATCCTCGGGTCTTGAAGGTGACAGTGCGCGTCGAACAGTTTCATCTTCCTCTCGAACCGCTTCCTGTTTTTCTTCACAGTCTTCCAAATGTTTGTTTGTTCTTCATTGTTTTTGTTTTTCTACCTTATAATTTAGTATACATTCTAGATTCACCCCGAAACTAAAGTTCTTTAAGAAAACACCCAAAAATAATAATTTTTAACCTCTAAATTCACGTACGTTACAATTTTTTCAAAACCAAACAAAACAAAGGAGATGAAAAAAAACTAATAATTTTGAACACAAAACCTCTAAACTCAATGGACAACAAAAACTTTGATGGATATTAGATATAGGGATGGATGTTAAACGGATCATTAATGGAATGAAAATAAGTAATGAGTGTCATATGAACCAATTAATGTTCTAGCAATCATGCCATTACCAAACGAAAGAGAAGCTCTAATTTGCTAAGCTTGTGATGATGTTGATTATATAAATTTATAAATAAGAAGTCAAAAAAGGTTCGATTAGAAAATGATGAAGTGAAGAAAATTAAATCGCTCATTAATTAGAGGCTTGCTTTTCTTGTTACACATACACTTGTAACCCCAAAAAAACACTAAAACTCTGCACATAGTAACAAGCGTTACAAATACAAAATAAAACAATAAAATAAAATTTCACAAAAGATATCGTAATCATTTATATATATATACACTGGTTCGATGCAACAAGAGACATGTTATTTCACAAAAATGTCTCTCTCACAGCTGCTACTAACGTTACTTATCCTTCTTCTTCTTCTCATCTCTCCGGCAACAACCGCCGGAGCAACATTCCCGTTCTTTCACTTTTTTAAAGGTAAACCAAAGCCTGCCCACAAGAAACCCGGAAAGAGTCATCATCGTCATCGAGGACCTCGGATTCCTCCTTCAGGTCCATCAAGAAGACGCAACTTAGCTTGCTAAAGATAATTCGACTTTCCCATGCAGACCCGCCCAAACGCCGTTGCCGCCGATGTTAATCCCGAGATGAAACTGTGCTGTGTGTTGTATAAATAATTCGGTAGTGATTTTCTCTACACGAATATGTATGTTTAGAGCGAAAATGGAACCATGAACGTACTTAGTGTTCACACACTGTTCATTCTTTCATTTTGTCCTTTCACTTAAAAGCCTCTTAAATACAGTGAGTTTGTGTATTATCCTTCTCTGTCTTATATAAATGTACTACAAGTTGTGATGCTTTGTGGTTTCTTTAACTACTTGTAATAGGAGTTGTAACTAGCTTATGTCCCAAGGTGTTACTTATCTTTCTCTTTTCCAAAAATGATTCAGGACTCACTAGTTATCGTTGTAGATCTAGCTTGGTTGAGAGAATTTGATCAACTAAATCGTGTGAAATTAAATCGGTATAATGACTTTAAACATGTGTCTTGGCGAGAAATGTCTGGGAGATTGACGCGTGTTATTCAACTATTTTTAAATATGTGAAACAAAATCGGTATAATAATTTCAAACACGTGCTTTTGCGGGATGTTTATGATTGGTTAATAGCGAATGTGGTAGTTAAAACATAAAATTACCAAAATAAACATAATATATAAACATTGAAATGAAAAAGTGTTATCTTTCGGACGATTTCAAGTTTGACGCGTGTTATTCAACTATTTATAAAACTGGAATAACGGCTTTAAACATGTAAAATAAAATCGGTATAACGGTCTCAAACAAATGCCTTTGCGAGATATTTATGGTTAGTTAATAGCGAATACAATAGTTAAAACATGAAATCACTAAAATAGACACTATATATATGCTTCGAATGAAGATGAAGAATGTTATTATCTGGCAATTTGAAGCTTGACGCGAGTTACCGCAACCACCCTCACACGCAATATTTCAGAACGGTTGCGAAAGAACAAATCAAATAGTACTTTTTTTTTATTTCAAATTTGTGTGTTTAAACAGCATTGTTCGCTAATCAAATAATAGATAATGATGATTTCCCGTGTTTGGAAAATTAGAGGATATTAAACTTCGGAAGGAGTCTTTGTAGTCATTTGATCAACGGCATGAACAACGTTCTGAAGCTCTTCCCAAATGGCTTTATACACCATCCTTTGTCTGTTCACTGCAGATTGTCCCTCAAAAGCCGTTGACACCACATTGATGCTGCCAAAACAGACACACGTTAAAGTTTCAACCATCTAAAAATATTAGAAGTAACGTAAGATTCTCTCTGCACATTTATTGGTTTTGCTGATATACAAGAATCCAGTTTACATTAAGAGACAAAAATGAAGAGAAAAAGGGATTTTCAAAATGTGTACTTATCTCTAAAATATCTCACAAACTGTAATAAACAAAACAATTATTTACTCCTAACAAATGTACCATCTACAAATTCAATTGTGGGTAATAAGGAATGCTTAGGAAGAGAGAAAAATGAGTTATTCAGAATTAACAAGAGTAGTATAGCTTACCAAACATGACGTCCATCTCCAGACATATCCTTGACTGAAACTGACTCTGCATTCAATTGCTCTTTGATCTGCCACAGCAAACAAAAAACTTCACATGTAAAGATATATGTTGATAAACCGAAAAAGAGTAGAGCTTTAATCATACACTCCGAGACATGATTCCTGTTTAATGGTAAAAACTTAATCTTGATCATTTGAGCTACTGAGAGTAATCATGAACCAGAAATGACATATTTTTATCCAATCAATTCCTTCAAATTTCACTAAATCAACCTATGAATCTCGGCATAACCAAAATCAATTGACACCGCATATCCAATTATTAAAATCGAGTGAAAAATTGACACTGAAATCAGTTTATGAGAAATAAAAATCAAACCTTTTGCTCCATGGATTGCATAAGGGTTAGATCAATAGACCCAGCATCGTTGACTTGAGAGGATCTAGTACTGAATTTACGGCTGCGAATGTCAACAATACCAAACCCAAAAGCCCTAGAAACACTTTTGCTGTAAATCGGCGACGGCGCAGACAAAACGGCGCTTACGCATCTTGAGTTGCTGCTTCTCACGGCGGACGATGAGAGAGTTGAAAGAAATGAAGCGAAGGGTCTCTTTGGAGACTGGAAAAGGAGATGGAGGCTCGCTCTTGTGGAGGAGAGAAGAACGTATGGACGAGTCGTCGCCATTAAGGTTTTCGCCATTGCTCAGAGACTTGCGAGCAAAAATGTTTCGGGAACAGTTCCTTGTTCAGAAAATGGGCTACACAACATAATAAAGCTTTGGGCTTTATCTAACCAAAGTTTTTGGGTTTTCAAGCCATTCAAATAAACCAAAAAATATTTCAAAAATTAAAGGGGAAATCAAATATCAGGAAGAAAATTAAATAAAATCAACTTATATATTGGTCATAACCTTCTCAAGATCAACCATATAGTGATACTTGTAGTGTAATTAGTAAGTAACATTTTCACGTAAAATATAAATGTATGTATAAACATGTTTTGTAAAAGAGATGCAATGGATCGAATGATCGATCATACATTGTAATTTTTTTTTAATTATATCATTGTTATCCAAATATTTCAGGTTCTATACAAGTCACAACTCATAGTAGTATCCATGATATATTGATATTTACATCATATAGCTTGAGAATTATTCGGACAAAATAAAGAGTCAAACACCTTAAACATATTTAGAAGTTAACTAGAGTCATTAGCCGTGTCAACGGATAGGCCAGCAATTATGGCGACATTATGATTTCACTTAGAATCAGTAAGCAAAAAAATAATACTAAAACCTATCTTCGTTGTGCATCATCACAAGACACACAAAGGTCAACGAAGTTGCCCTATAAATTTACCCATGCTTTCTCGTCGTTTGCAACAAGCTCAAAGTATAAGACGTGGAAGAGAAAGCAAACACACAAAGGCATAACAAGCAAAAATGGCAAAGAACTTCATCAACTCCACTTTTCTGCTCTCTTGATGACCGTCTTGTTGGTTTCAAGTGGTACTTTTAATCAATACATATTTTGCTGTGATCTACAACGACAAATCCTTTTGAGTTTTGAACAATATATATAAACGTTTCATGTGATTTACAATGACTAGAATATATGTTTTTGTTTTTCAAATACTTTTAACAAACGATTCTAAACAGGACTACCGAAGGCAAACGGGCAGTTATGTCTAGTAGGTGAAGGTGAAGAGAACGTATGTGTTGTCCCTGGGGTGGATCTACTGTGTGACAACAGTTGCAAGGATACCAATCCAACATACACCGGAAAATGTGAGCTCGAACTCGAAGAGCTCGGGGTCCACTGTCACTGCTACAAACCTTGTGCTTAACCATGCATCGAATCAAGTATATATATTAAAGTTGTGTGTGTGTGTGTGTCGTTTATCTTTGTGTGTTTACAATATTATGTGTGTGTGTGATATATGTTTGTGTGTTTGCAAGATTCTCTGGCTTCAATAAAATTGCATCAGCATAGTTGTAGCTGATGATCAAACGATGTAAAGATTTGACTATGAAATTTGTAAAACGACTTATTTTGTGTGTGTAGTATTCTTGACATTAACATATCAGTATATCACCTTTTTTTGTGGGTGTAAAATCTATCAAACTATTTAAACGTCCACAGCACTAAATTCAGAAACCCACAAATTTGATTCTTTGTAAATGGACGGTGCGTCCTCTAGTAACTAATAACATGGAGACAAATCCTTAACTAATCAGTCAACCTGACTCATCATCGTCATCCTGACTCAAAACCGGGCCAATGAGAGACATGTGCTTAGAAGAAGTCAAGTGTTTCTTCTTAGAAAAAAGAAGGAATATATCGGAGTTTTGAAAGACAGTGATATTTCGCAGTTGTTGACATTTGAGAAAATAAATTAAAGAAATTAGGATAGTGATTTGAATGAGAGAGTTCTTATAAATTAGGATATTGATTCATATGTGTTACCACTTTACTTGCATGTATTGTGTCGACAAGCTGCTACATATAAAATGTTAAGATCTTAATGAAAAAAGAACAAAAAAAAAATGAAAAAAGAACAAAAAATTGGGAAAGCAATGTCAGCCGTTGGATTAAATCCTTAACTAATCAGTCTCACCGTGACTCATCATCATCGTCATCGACGTATCGAAAAAATCAATTGAACACCGCCCTTCCAAAATCCGTTCCTCTCTTCCTCTTCTACTTCCAATCTGCTTCTGTCTCTTCCTACACTGTTGAGAAGAAGAGAGGAAAAATGGCCAACGACACTCACACCGATGACTTAGACGAGCTTCTCGACAGTAATTTCCCAACCACTTTTTTAATTCGTTTTGAATTTTGATATCCTACTATCATCATCATCTTCTCGAATTCTCTGTGTATACGAGTGAAAAAACGTTTTTTGCCTCCTGATTTCCTTTTTTCTTCTGTGGGTTGGTTTATAGAATTGAGAATTCTGGGTTTTCTGTGTGGCTTTCTCAGGCGCCTTGGATGATTTCAAGGATCTCAATCTTACTCCAAGGTTACTCCTTTCTCTTACAATCCCCTAAATTTGCTTAATATTGTGCTTAACTATTGTGAATTTGAGTTTATATCTCTGCACTACTTAAGTTAGAGATTCTGAAATTGTAATTGGGAATGTTGAATAGCTTTTGTGGTTTGTGTGGTTTATAGAAAAGGAGAGGTGAAGAAAGAAGATGGTGATAAGAAAGAGACAGAGTCATTGCCGAGTGGGATTCAAGGCCTTGGAATGGGTTTACCAGATATGAGGATCAAGAAGAAAGGAAAGCAAAAGGTTGCTAAAGAGGACCATGTTGCTGAGGCTCTTGATAAACTCAGGGAACAAACCAGAGAAACCGTCAAAGGGCTTGAGTCCTTATCCTCACCTAAGCTGCAGCCACCTGGCTCTGGTTCTGATGATGCTATGGTCGAAGATTGGATCAAACAGTTCGAGGATCTTGCTGGATCCAAGGTAAAAGTTTCATCCACTTATTTTGAAACATTGGCTTCGAAGGTTTTTAAATTCATGTTTTGCATGTTTGTGGTTTAGGACTTGGAATCAATAGTGGACACGATGATGCAACAGCTATTATCGAAGGACATACTTCACGAGCCAATGAAAGAGATCGGCGAAAGGTACCCGAAATGGCTAGAAGAGCATGAAAGCAGTCTAAACAAAGAGGACTACGAGCGTTACTCTCGCCAGTATGAGCTAATCAAAGAGCTAAACTTGGTGTACGAGAACGAACCGAACAGTTCGACAAAGATCATGGAGATTATGCAGAAGATGCAAGAGTGTGGACAACCGCCGAGTGATATAGTGCAAGAGATGGATCCTGGCTTTGATTTCGCAAGTCTAGGCCAAATGTAAGTAGTCTTTCTTCTTCATTGGAATCTCTGTGATCTTTCAAGAGTAGTGATGAGACTGAGATTTGAATATATATGTTCCGCAGGTCTCCGGATATGCTCGAGTCTTCACAGAATTGTTGTGTAATGTAAGGGAAGATACAGGTTTTTTCCCTTGGTGTAGCCATTGGAGAGACCAATGTTTTTTTCTTTCTTTCTCTTGTGCATTGTACAATGCAAAGCTTGTTTTAGTTTTTCTTTACTTTGAATACTATAAGGTATTCTCTATTGCTGCTTATTGGGTTCGGTTGATGTTCCTTTTTGGTTTGTTCAATCCGGTTCGAGAAATCAAACTATGATACAAGCAGTTGATTATATATTTGAACTAATACATACTGGAATTTGGAACATACAGTAGTTCTAAAAATTGAAGTACACATAGATTTGTTGTTGTCGAGTTATTTCATTTCACCTGCTGGGTGGTTATTTTAACCGGTCGGTTAAACACAAAAAATAACAAAATTCCCGTGAGGATAGCAAATCAAGTACAAATATCTTGACATTTTGTTTGGTTTTTCTTTGTACCATAGACTTGTTGTTGTGTGTTATCCGCTGTTCATCAGATTCATTTCGTGTGTACAACAAATGAATTAAGAGTCGTATGTGGCATTTGTAACGTCAATTCGTGGATGATAGATAAGTTGTCTGTTTGCTAGTTGTAATCATAGTACTACTGGACATGTTGGTGGTCCTAAAAGGAATCGTGTGTACACCTATCGATAAAACATTTGTCTTTATGCCTTTTAAACATGTGAACTCTTTAACGAATGAATACCATTTTTTTTTTAAGAAACACACACGAAACGTACTGTTTTGACTGAGTCGAAGCAAATGTTATTTCAATGCATACACAGAAAGTGAAACGTATTAGACAAATTTACTATCAAGAAAATTAAAAAATTAATCTCCCTCGACATTAGTTGATCATGAAACCAAATCTATGTCAAAAGTGCTACTTTGAATCAAAGTGGTGTGATGAAGACCAAGTCAAAGAAATCTGACTAATTCTTCATTCACTCTATTTTCGTTATATAGCATAAAAGTTTATTAAAAACTGAAGGTTTAATCTTCTCGTAGATGCATGATCACTTATTCCACTTTTTCTTATGTGGAAATCCATGATTCTACCTCTTTGAAATTGTTCTACTTACGGATCCAAAAAGAATGAATAAATCGTTTTTTGAGACCTATATGGCTATATTGCATATCATTGTTTTCTGCAATCGGTTGTGGTTTAAACATTTACTCTTTAGTGTTTTTCGAGACCTATATTGTTTATATATCATTGTCAAAGATTATGATTAGGTGAAAGAATACAAAAACGATTGGCTAAGCAAGTTTGTAACTCGCGATGCAGTTTGCAATGTCTTCATGAGTGTAGAGAAAGTGGCTAAACAAGTTAGGTTAAATAACAAAGTTGCAATTAAATGTGAATGAATGAGCTATTTGGTCGATCAGAAAATGCTAAACATTAATTAATGAACCTATCAACTAATAATCGGTCATGGGGTAGGTTACATTCTTCAAATATTACACGTCTATTATCATTCTCTCTCTTCTCTACAAATAGGACATATGTTCTATCACCAAAAAGTTACAAACCATGGAGCCGCAAATCCCTCCACCGCTAACCTCTGACTCACTCACGTTCAAGGTGCACCGACGGCAGCCGGAGCTAGTTTCTCCAGCGAAACCAACACCGAGAGAGCTCAAACTACTCTCCGACATCGACGACCAAGAAGGACTAAGATTCCACATTCCCACTATCTTTTTCTACAGACGCAACCCTACTGCTTGTTACTCCGATCCGGTCGCAGTGATTCGGAGAGCCCTCGCAGAGACGCTTGTTCACTTCTACCCGATGGCAGGTAGACTCCGGGAAGGACCGAACCGGAAACTCGCCGTGGACTGTACCGGCGAAGGTGTGTTGTTCATCGAGGCAGATGCGGACGTTACACTTGTTGAGTTTGAAGATAAGGATGCTCTTCGTCCTCCTTTCCCTTGCTTTGAAGAGCTTCTTTTTGACGTTGAAGGCTCAAGTGAGGTGCTACACGCACCTATGATTCTCATCCAGGTCACTTTCATAATATCCGTTTATAAGATTTTAGAAATACATTTTTGTTTGTTTGATGAATCTCTTAATCTTATTAATGATTTTACGTATTCAAATTTATGTTTTCTACATGTTTTATTTTTGAAATAAAATATGAGAATATTGTGATAAATAGTCACCAAATTTTTCAAGTGAAAGTACAACGAATACTACTACATTTAATATGTCGGAAATAAAAGTATTACATGTAAATTGATTGGTCATATAATTTCGTGTAGGTCACGCGCCTAAAATGCGGCGGTTTTATCCTCGCCTTACGTATCAACCATGCAATTGCCGACGCCGCCGGTCTCTCCCTCTTCCTGAAAACGATGTGCGAATTCACACGTGGATCTCACACTCCTACCGTTGCTCCGGCGTGGGAACGTCACCTTCTGAACGCCAGAGTACCGGCGAATGTGACACAAGCGCACCGCGAGTACGACGAACAGACGTCGGCTCGTACAGAATGCGCCACCGGCGACGGAGAAACTCTGGTCAGACAGTCCTTCTTCTTCGGCGGCGGCGAGATGTCCGCCATAAGGAGGCTTCTCCCATCTAATCTCGCCAACCGCAGCACCGATTTGGAAATGCTGACTTCATTCCTGTGGCGTCATCGCACGGCCGCTCTACGACCGGACCCGAACAAGGAGATGCGGCTGATATTCATCGTAAACGCGCGTCCCAAGCTCAGAAACCCGCCGCTTCCTCCGGGATACTACGGAAACGCGTTTGCGTTCCCGGTCGCGATCGCGACCGCTAGAGAACTAACGGAGAAGCCGTTGGAGTTCGCTCTGAGACTAGTGAAAGACGCGAAATCGAGCGTGACGGAGGAGTACATGCGATCGCTCGCGGATCTAATGGCGACGAGTGGGAGACCGGGTTTCAACACCGACGGAGCCTACTTGATATCGGACGTCAGAATTTTCGGAGACGTCGAGTTCGGAATTTGGGGGAAACCGGTTTACGGAGGAATCGGGACGGCCGGAGTTTCGAATCTTCTGGAGTGTAGTTTCTACGTTTCGTTTGAGAACAGAAAAGGTGAGAGAGGGATCGTTGTACCGGTTTGTTTGCCGGAGAAGGCGATGAAGAGGTTCGTGGAAGAGCTCGACGCCGTGTTTAACGGTCTAGTCTCAACCAGTAAAGGAAGCAAAAGCAGTAACAAAGTGATAATGTCTTCTCTGTAAAAAGCAAATCTCTTACAATGTGTAAAAACTTTGTACTTGAAATGTAAAAGAAAAAAGTTGCGATTGTAAATTCACAAGAGAGGTAAAAAAGCCACACAAACCAATCTTTAAGATGAGTTTGTGAGTTTGGACAAGGCAGAGGTGTCCAAAGCATTGAAGTCCTTCACTGCCTTAGCAACCACAAGGCCTAACTTGACAGCATCATCCTCACTCTGCGCCTGCAGCGTCCAATTCGAGTCAGAGTTTGGCTACTGAAACTAAAATTCAAGCTTTATACATATGTTTTTACCTCGATGTTAAGGGGAAGAACAGGATCATGGAGAGAAAGTCTAAGAAGAAACCATCCTCCAAAGCCCGAAACTCGGATCTGTTTTTCCAAAAAGAGATGGAAAAATTTATACACCAATGCAGTGAAGGCAGAATTTCAGGGAGAGAGGAATTTAAAACTCACCCCTTCAAAGTTAACTGGAGCTTTTTGAAGATCTGGGTTTGTTTCTATTGAGTTCGTTACGTGTTGCAGGACCCTCTCTCCATACTCCCGGAAATCTCTACAGTTTTTCAGTGTTTAGTGTAATTCAAAAACAAAAACTTTAGTCAAGAGGCTGAAGTAAGTCAATATATCATTCATTACCTTCCTTCAAGATCGGAGTGATTCTTGTCGATTTTAAGCCTTAGTTCTAAAGCAACTCTGGGCTCCTCCAGACCTTCAACAAGATCTGTTAAAACTTTGCTGCCACTTCCTTTACCCGCAGCTCGTGCCGAAGCCAGTTTGTTCAAGATTTTTACCTGCAAAATGGCAAAACTTCAGTTTATCTTTTTCCTTTTCTTCATTCAAACCCCATGTAAAGGAGAAAATAAGCTGACCATGAGATAGGCCCCATCGTCGAGCCAATGGTTTTCTTTTAGAGCTCCATGACCACTGGTTTCTATAGCCAAATGTGATTCTTCTCCAACGGAGTTCTGCCATCACATCACAATTTACTGTCTATATAAGCTTTTTATTTTTCTGCCAAGAATTTATAGTTTCTCTTTCTAACAATAATTGGCACCAAAGCATGAGTTCTCGAAAGATTATGATTCATCCAAGATTTATTACCAAGCGAATAGCTTCATCGATGACATTCTTGTAGCCTCTTTTGAACCTGTGATGCTTTCCGCCTAAAACAAGTTTGTGTCATTGAAAAGTTCACAGAAACATAAAAGAAACATGGTGGTAAGATTGTTGGCATACCGAGCTTCTTCTCAATGAATGAAGTCAAACCATCCGAAGTGACGCTGTCCGTAACTATTGTTGTGCCAGGGTGCTGGATGGACAAAAGTCTGTTAGTATACAATCTAGGTGATACCCAATCACGGTGGTGGTGAAATGGTTAGAGAATCTCACTTCCTCTAGAATAATGGCTGAAAGCAGGGCAATAAGACGATTACGGTTGAACTCACGGCCAGTTGAATCCACAGCAGCAGACCTTCATAACAAAATTTTGGTACTTAAGTGGCAATCTAACAATGTCTCCTAAGTAAAAGAGAACGCTGCAGTTAATACCTATCAACATCAGTATCAAAGATGATACCCAAATCAGCCTTATTGTCAAGAACAGCCTTGGTTATAGCTTCCATTGCCGACTTATCTTCCGGATTAGGGATATGATTTGGAAACATACCTGATATCCAGAAGGTTTGATCAACTATTCATTATAATAGGCCAATATATTACTCATACGCATAGATATTACCATCTGGTTCCAGAAATTGACTGCCAGAGGTAATTGCTCCTAACGGCTCAAGCACCTTGGCCTGTCAGGTTTCGTTTCAGATTAAGAAAAAATCAGCTGCGGACAGGTCTATAACGTAGTTTCGAATCCTATCACCTATCACTGGAAGTACAAAACGCAAGCAGTTGACTTACAGCAAAAAAACCTCCAGCTCCATTTCCAGCATCAACAACTATATGGAATCCCTCTAGAGGCTTCTCTAAGAGTCAGAAGCGCCATAAATTAAGATTGATATATTTGGAGCAGAGAAATGGAAGTTCAGAACTTTTTTGATAATGCTCAAAAAATTTCTGAAAAAAATAACAAATATCTCAAAGGAGTGATACCTAAATCTCCTGCTGCTCTCCGAACTGCCTTAACAAGACCAGAGGTGTATACTGCCATGTAGTCAACCTTTTTAATAGAAGATTTTTCTCTTTGTGATTTCCTCAGATTTTCATCAGAAACGTTCTTGTAAATATTTGCAGCTCGCTCCAAAATGTCTTTGATATCAACCTTCCCAAGCCCTCCATCGCTGGTAAAGAACTTGAAACCGTTCCTGTTGTAAGGAAGATGGCTTGCTGCTCAAAACAAAAGCATTATACCATATGAAGTACGAAATAGAAAAGCATTATACCTAAGGGATGACTACTACAACTACTAACTATTAAGAGAAAATAATACCTGTTATCATTATAGCCCCATCAGCTGGGCACAAGAAAGATTCATCTTCAGTCAATGTGCTATTAAACATTGCTGGTGTTGATGCTAATCTGCAATTTAATATAATCCAATATTCAAGAGATGTGCTTCAATAAGTTTATAAAGGACATGTGATTCAGCATTCAGCAATACCAGATTGATATGAACCTTTGTTCACAGTAAGAGATTGATAGAAGATTTATGCTAAATATATTTCGCCAAAAACACAAAAAAAAAACTCAGAATCTAAAACTTTTCAAGAACAACTCTTTGTTTCTGATATCCAAAAAATGGCAAAAAAAACTCTAAAAAGGAAGGGATATAAACTGAGCATATAACTAAGAGCTCAAGTTTCGACGTTGTCTCCAAGAGACAGAGAAGCTAGCTGATCAGCTGCACCACCGGCTTGCTGCTGCTGAGGTACACTCCTCAGAACATCCATTGCCTCTTTAACTTTAGCTTTAAGTGCTTCAGGAGACTCCAGCAAGAGAAGTAATTCGGTTAGGTCCATCCCAAGAAGCATTCCTGTGACTTTAGCTGCTGATTCTGGCTCCAGCTGCTCCACAAGCGGGTATAGATTCTGACCAAGCATCGCTCTCTGATGCTGTGGAGATGCATCAGCAAGTGATTTAGCCCAAGATCCAAGATAAACATATTGAAAAGCAGGCGCGTCACGGTCATGCACACCACGAGCACCACCATACACGTCATATGGGACAGAAGGCATGTTTGGAGTTAGACCAGGCATTGCGTTTACATCTCTCTGTGGATACCGATCCATTCGGCCTCTTGGATGCATCTGCTGATGATGACTTGTGACACTATGAACGTCTTCTAGCACCGTCTTGGTATGCTCGCCTGCTACACTCTTCAGAACATCCATTGCCTCTGCAACTTTAGCTTTAAGTGCTTTAGGAGACTCTAGCAAGTAAAGTACTTCGGTTAGGTCCATCTCAAGAAGCATTCCTGTGACTTTAGCTGCTGATTCTGGCTCCAGCTGCTCCACAAGCGGGTATAGATTCTCACCTAGCATATTTTTCTGATGCTGTGGAGTTGCCTTAGCAAGTGATGAAGCCAAAGAGCTAATTGGAAAATATTGAAAAGCAGGTGCACCAAGGTGATGCACACCACAAGCACCACCACAATACACGTCATATGGGTCAGAAAACGTGTTTGGAGTTTGATCAGGCACTGCGTTTGCATCTCTCTGTGGATACCGATACATTCGACCTCTTGGATGCATCTGCTGTTGTAGCAGTTCTTCTAGCAGCGTCTTGGTATGCGCAGTAGCGGACGTTATCATCTCCAACTTTGTGTGAATCCCTTGAACCAGCTCCGTGAGTTTTGCGAGCTGCGCCGAAACGGAATCATTATGGTCTCCCATTGAATCGGAAGTCTCACGCTTTAGCCTTTGATCTCGTAACCGGAACCGTTGTTAACGTGAATAAGAATGTAGAGACTCTTAACCCTAAACTCTTTTGGAGATTGAGGTTAATTCTTGGAAGTTACAAATCCTTATATAAGAATACGACTAATTTTAAAAGGAAAAACCTTATCCAAATTGTATAAAAAGAGAACTTCCAAAACCAATTGTAAAAAGGAAAACCCATAAAAACCCAAAACCATTAATCATATCACAGACTTAAGCGAGTTGTCAAAATTCATGATTGTTGCATTGTTTCCAGTTACAAGTAGGAATATAACTTTGTAACATGTGGCTGTTTATGACAATGAATGTCTCATTTACGTTAATTGAGGAATTAGCAGAAATTGAATATTCCAAAAAAACAAAACAAAAAGTCTAGGCATCACTCACCCGAACTGCACAACGTCTACTCCAGAACCACCAAGACCTCGAGAAACAGCATCCTACAAAATACGTAGACCAGTCCCTTAGAGGTATATCTAAAAGTCTCAGCTATGGCCACATGGGAAAACGTCCAATAAATTAAGGAAGTAGATAGATAGATACCAGCAAGGTTTGTGCAGAGATGCGAGAGTCATGGCCAACAGAGACTCTCAAACGCCGGGACTCAGCCTTCTTCTTGTGTAAAAGCCATTGCCCAAAAGCAGCAGCAATGGCTTCAGTCACTGGTTCAGGAAGGCTTACAGGTTCCCCTTCAACCCCAGAGACCGCTACACCCCGAATATCGCTGGGGAGAGAGCAATGACACATAGCATGAGTCAACTAAGGGTAGAGACGAAGAATTACATGATTTTAATTATTTCAAGAAGAAACATAAAAGACGACATGGAACCATTCCAAAATGTGAATGCCTATAGCAGAGAAATAGTAGTGATGTATGGTTCACCTGCCGTTTTGAAGCTTCATAAAATCAGTTTTGTCAAGAGATGGCACAGTAGCACTTTCTGACAAAGCAGCTGCAAATGCAAATCCAAAATAAGGCACCCATATTCAACAAGTAACATAGATTGAGAAACACCACCACATATATTTGCCAAGCAACATAGGGAAATAATACACAAATGCAGGCAGAGTTATAAAAGTGTTGATGCAGAAAAAAAAAAACAAAGAAGCAAAGCAACAAAGCGCGAATCAAAGCCTTGAAATCAAGAGTCTATAGAACGGACCATTGCAGTAAAAAGTTGTTTGCTTGGAAATAGCAGTGGTGTGGTGTTTTGAGAAAGTGTGGGCACGCATGGAAGAGTTGAGGTTCCATGCAAGCTTCCCTCTTGGACAGGGAAGTAAAGCAGACGTGGTGTATGGTTCGGTTTCTCTTTGGTATCGTGTCTTAAACTGCTTATTTTGTTGGTAGCAGCACTGTAATACATTAAACTTTTGGAAAACCTTGCCTGGAAAAAAACCGCACCAATAAGAATTCATACTTCTATTAGCTTTTTTATTGTTTCTGTTTCTCAATTTTTAATTTTTCTAGTCAACAAAATGATAAATGAAAAAGCAACAAGGTTCGATCATCACGAATTCGTAGTGATGCAAAATGAAAAACTATATTCACCAGAAAACTTCAAAATGATACTGCAGAACAGAGTCAACCTTTTTCCACACATAATTTGGCCAATTCTAAAATCATCATGACTCGTGTTTTTAAGCATTCAAACCAAAACACAATTTACTGGATCGAATTTTGGAAGAGTGACTCCAAAACACGGAAAGCAAGGCGATAAGAGTAAGGAGGTAACACAACTACACAATCAAAGTTACGATACAGACTTATGAAAACTGAAAACTTTAAAAGCAAGTCGTTTGAGAAATTCCACCTTCCATTGTAGACACTAAAGAGCTCAATCGAAATCAGGCGACAAGAGCGACGATTTGAGTGATGAGTCAATTCCAAAAACGAAGCAAAGTTGTTGTCTCTTCGGAGATTGGAAGAGGAGCTCAAAGGCTGAGACTTGAGAGCAAATTGGGCTACTTTATGGGCCTTTTCCGCGAAAGCTATGGGTTTTTAAAGTCAATTCAAAGATTCAAATTTTGTTTTTTTAATACCAAAAAAGCTTAAAAATCGAGAGAAACTAGAAGAAAATCTAGGATCACTACAAAGTACAAACTAGCACATGATCGTAGCTTCAATTTGCGATAATACCATCCACGTGGCAACGAAGAACACTCACATGATTTCACTCATCATTGTACCAGCCTTCATCGTCTCTCTGTTCCAAGGAAGTAGAATAATAGTTCTCCTACTCCCATGGAAGCTAAAACCATTGCAACGTCTCTCGGTGGCGACCGCTTACTGATACTCCCGAATAGTCCTCGCTCTTCCTTCGCTCCTACAATCCGGTGCTCCCGCTTGCCGCAGAAGCGTGCGTCAATCGGTGGTACTGCCTCTCCTTCCGGCGTCAATGGTTACCGTGGCTTGTCTCTGACTCGTCGGAATCCGATTGTTTCGACTCGTCGACTCGTCCCTGCTCGTGCAATTGAGTCGGACCTTCCTCAGGTGAAGGATCACAATTTTACTCAGTAGACTCTGTGCTCTAAAATCAAGTGCTAATTTTGTTGCTGGGTGTCTTTGATTTTGGGGTTTTTTCTCGAAGGGATCTTCAGGTTTGGGGAAAACAAAGGAATACGAAGAATGGGATTCATGGACGGCCAAATTCTCCGGTGGAGCAAACATTCCCTTTCTGATGCTGCAATTGCCACAGATTATCCTCAATTCCCAGAATCTCTTGGCCGGAAACAACACCGCCCTCTCCGCTGTCCCATGGCTGGTAAAATCTCACCTCTAATCACACACAACACATTTTGATTTCGTCTCCACATTCTGGTTTTTGAAGCGAGATCTACATTGCGATATCTCCTTGTGTGTGCTTAGGGGATGTTGACTGGTTTGTTAGGAAACCTTTCGCTGCTTTCATATTTCGCAAAGAAGAGAGAAAAAGAAGCAGCTGTGGTGCAAACGCTCGGAGTCATCTCCACCTACATTGTGCTTGCGCAGCTCACAATGGCTGAAGCTATGCCTCTGAAGTATTTCGTTGCTACTTCGGCCGTTGTGACGATGGGTCTCATACTGAACTGTTTGTTCTATTTCGATAAGCTTAATAGAACTCTGTGGCGACTCTGGGAAGACTTTATCACTATCGGTGGACTCTCCGTTCTTCCTCAAGTAATCATCTCTTTACTATTCCCCTCAAGTTTTGGGCTTGCTCAATAGTTCTTGCACTGACATTCCGGATTTGAAATTGCAGATAATGTGGTCAACTTTCGTCCCTCTTGTACCAGACAGTATCTTGCCTGGGACAACTGCTTTTGTTATTGCTGTAGCGGCTGTAATTTTGGTAAGCTTTCAATTACTCGCACATTCTTCATTGTGTATCTGGATGAAGTGGTCATCTTTTCTCTTAACTTTGCTCCGGTGAGAATGCAGGCTCGAACAGGGAAACTATCAGAGAAAGGTCTTAGGTTTTTCGCGTCTTTATCTGGATGGACAGCTACACTTATGTTCATGTGGATGCCAGTTTCCCAAATGGTACAAAGAAGAGGCTTGTTTTTTCTCTCTCCTTATATGCTATTTGCCTAATGTATATCTGATGTTCTTATTAAACATTTCAGTGGACAAATTTTCTAAACCCAGAAAACATAAAAGGGTTATCGGCGATCACAATGGTGCTTGCGATGATGGGAAACGGACTAATGATCCCACGAGCACTGTTTATCCGTGATTTGATGTGGTAAAAAGTCTAAAGCTTTCTCCATTCGAAGCCTTTCAGCTTAAACTATATTCATCCATAGTAACTAACGACTTGATATTCGTCAAACTGTGATGTAGGTTCACTGGTTCGATGTGGGCGACTCTCTTTTATGGATATGGAAACATCCTTTGCTTATACATGTAAGAATCCTTGCACACCTTCTCTCGAGGCTTGAATGGATTTTTGTAGTGAGAACATGAGTGATTATCTAAAAATGCAGGTTTAACTGCACCAGCCAGTCATTTTTCGCAGCGGCCACAATTGGTTTGATCTCATGGATAGGTTCATAACTCTCTTTACATAATCATCCTTTGTTTTCGCCACATTTTCAAATGCCAAAATGAGTTCATTGTTGTAATTGTGTGTGAAACAGGGCTGGCTTTGTGGAGAGATGCAATGGCTTATGGTCACAACTCGCCGTTTAGATCTTTGAAGGAACTTGTTTTTGGACCATAACTCAATACAGTGTTAAACGCGCCATTAGCTTCAAGGCACGTTCATAGTAGCACAAGTCAAGGACTAAGTCCTTGGATCATGTATTTTTATGTTATTTGTTGTCCCTAGCTCCTGTATAAAACGCCTATTCAGTGTTACTTCATGTATTCTATTACTTTTACTCAATATGATTAATACCAGTTGTTACTCCAATTACTTCATTTTCTTCACTATTTTAAATGACGACGATGAAGAAAAAAGAACTTTGAAATTGCTTGGTCAAATCAAACAGAAAACAGCTTGGTTATCGTTTGATTAGACTTCCCGGTTCAGACAGCGTAGATGGGCCTTTATTACCGGACATCCCAGTTATGTCGGCCCAATGAAACCACGTGCCTAAACCACCATTAATCACGACTGAGAACATATCCCAAAAAAACCCTAAATTACCAAAATTAGGGAAGAGAAGATCCAGGAGAAAAAAAATGGAGGAGACAAAGCCATTGGGAGGGAATCATCCCCAGCAGCAACAACAACAAAAACAACAACAACAACAACAACTCCTCTATCAACACCAATTACAACAGCAACAGCGACAACAGCAGCAGATGCTTCTGTTGCAGCAATTGCAGAAACAGCAGCAACAACAACAGCAACAAGCAGCAATGTCTAGATTCCCGTCGAACATCGACGTGCATCTCCGACCGCCGGGGATGATTCAGAATCGACCAATTAATCCTCCTCAGCAGAATCCGACCCCTAACCCGAGCGCAGGCACCAATTTGGGACAACAGACACCTAATTTTCAACAGCAGCAGCAGCAGCAGATTGCATCGAGCCAGCAGATGATGCAGCAACAGCAACAACAGCAGCAGCAGAAATTGATGAGGCCGTTGAATCACATCGAGCTTCAATTCGCTTATCAGGACGCTTGGCGTGTCTGTCACCCGGACTTCAAGCGACCTTTCTCTTCTCTCGAAGACGCTTGCGAGAGGTTAGTCTCACAATTCAATTATCAAATTAATCATCCATTTTTGTACAATTTTGATAGAATTCATCAAAATCGAAATCGTACCGGTTTAATTTATGTTAGGCTCTTGCAATGTCTGATGTAGTCATAATTACTTATGGGTTTGTTTGCTGAGTGATCTCTCTGTTGTGCTCTTGTATGTTACAGTTGTTATTTTCTCAATGACAAGGACATGGCTCAGTGTTGTCATGTTCTGGAAAATAGTTCAGTTTTCTGGTTTGTTTGATTTACATTGTTTATGTTAGATTCGTTAGTACTAATTGCCAGTTATCTTATATCCATGCTAAAAGATTCCATTTGGATATAATTGTTGTTAGATATATGATATATCCACTTCCTTGATTGAACATTCCGTATATGGTTACTTTGTTCAAGTCATTTCTGATTTCTCACAAGTTTGTTTCTTTAATCCTATGCAGATTGTTACCTTACCATGTAGTGGCAGATTACGAAGCAGAAGAGGATGATAGGATCCTTGACTCAGACCCAACAGGGCAGGCTTTATCCCGCTCTCAGCAGTGGGATAACAACATCGCCGCTAAAGTCGCCGAATTCACGGCAACGTTTGAGAAACAAGCCCTAGCTTTCAACATAATAACTCGAAAGAGATCGATGGGAGAGTTCAGATCTGAGGAGAGGCTGATGATAGAGCAAGCTCTGCTGCAAGAAGAAAGAAAGGCGTTGTTCGAGCTGAAAGCAGAAATGGACAGAGAGAAAGCTGGCAGGGAGGCTCAGGAGGCGAAGCTGCGAATGGCGGCTTTGGCTCAGGCGGGACAGTCGCAGTCTCATGCTGAGATTATGGCTCGGAACCCTTTGAGGGCTAATGCGGTTGGGAATCAGGGGAGTAATATTCAGCTGAGCCATGAGATGGGAGAGCAAGGACGTGGCATGAACCCTGATGAGATGATGAATGGATGGGGGAATAGTAGTCAGAGAGAGGAGAAGGAACCTTCGGAGGATTTCTTGAATGATGAGGAGAATGAGAATGGTGAGACTGGTGAGCAAGAAACCTGGCGTGAAGCAGGAGAATTCGATTTGAATAGCCGGTAAGTGACCCATTCATGTGGTTGAAATTTGAAAGTGCTCTTGATAGCACCCAAATAACTAGATTCAAGGTGCTGCTATACATGTTGGATGTTGAACCATGTAAGCATTGCTTGGAGATTTGTCTGTTTGTATGTTTCTGTAGATTAAGTTACATGTTGATGAGAGGAATAGTGTTCTTCGTTATAGATGGAGATGAAGTGGTTTGTTTATGTTACCTAATAAGCGAAACGTGTAAAAGGTGTAAGATATTCAGGTTATAACGCTTGCTATTGTATTGTACTATAGATGTGTGTTTTGGATTTGTATTGGACATGTATGGAGTTAGTTTCGTTAATTTGTGTAATAAAAATATTTGTAATGGTTTTTGGTTTGAGATATGTGGTTTCAGTGTGAAGCAGTGGAGGTTTTTCTTTTTTTCAAACTTGAGAATTCTGAAAGTTATAATGGTCATGTGAGAACATCGGGTCTAGGGCTGAAATTGATTGTTCGTGTCTGAAAATTGTCACATAGGTTTTGTAATAATCTTTCTTTTGGTTTTTCACTTTTTCCTTTTCTATAAAATATCTTGTTTTTGTTTAGTGGATCTCTCTTTGATAAATTTTAGTGGGACCCACACCAGACACTGCGTAGTGCGTAGTTTAACTGAATTGTGTCAGCGTAACGCATTTTTAGTACCTAGGAGTCTTATGATTCCGTGGAGTCTGCACGTGGGAATATATTGGTACTACGTACAATGGGTCCCTCACCAGTCACCACCGTAAATTTCGGAACCACAAGCGTGTGGTTAAAATCAAATGGCACGCTTGTAATGGAGATCAAAATAAGGCGGGAGTTTCACTCCTCTCGTTTAAATCGTATAGTAGTAAAAATTCATGATCTAAAACACTTCTAAAATTTTCAGATAAACCAATAACATACGTATATAACACAATCGATTAGATTCATTAGTTTCGAGGAAATTGTGTGTTGATCTCAGATATATATAAATATTCCACGGAAATCCAAACTTAAAGAAAAATACAAAAGCCTGGGATCGTATTCACGGACCAAAAACACCTAACCAAAATCAATAAATGATATATACCTCAAAAGATTTTGAACCATTGGCTTGCTGGTTCACAAGTAATATCTCCAGTCAAACACTTGCAACGATTAGCAACAACATTGTTATCCGAATCCACGTCTAAGCATACCAACGATCCATCGGTACTCTTAAACGACAAATGCATCTTTGTGGCTGATATTTGCTTAATCCTTGTGCATTTCTCTCCGAGTTTCACGCTTTTTCCTACCGATGTTTCGCCTTCTAAGCAAGATCTTTGACCGCCTTGGATCTCAAGTGTGCCTCCACGAGAATAGCTCCACGGCTCGTCCTTTGTGCATGGACCTAACGTGAGCTCTGACTCATGGATCGGTGACTTTCTCACAACGCATAGTCCGGTTAACGGATGGAATATTTTCTTGTGATAATTGTGCTTTATACCAGGTCCTGTTACAAGTTAAATTATTTCCATCAAGATCCTATCAAATTTGTAATTAATTACATTAAATGACAAGGAAGATAGATTGATTTACCTTTGTGCGGTGGTTGAATGACGGAGAGCCTCCGGAGATAAGTGTAGTTATGAACATCGTGCCAATTCGCATCTAGCATACCATAAGCTTCAACTACACCGCGTTTGCCTTCACGGAAATAATACACTCCCGTAACCGCCCAAACCGCCCAATCGATATCTTTCTCAGCCGCCCATGCTAACATACAACTCATATACCTAATGCAACGGTTGATTGTTATATAATTTCACATCTGATATAAAAAAAGGGATAAACAACTAGCAAATATATAGTACCTGTTTCCTTCCAAATCGCCACCTCTTTGATCGGTTCCAAACTCGCTCAAGAACAAAGGAAAGCCTTGTTCGAGAAGGAAACCGCCGGTACGACGTTCTTTGGCGAAAATATGGCTGCAAAAGTCGTTGACATTGTGCGATTTCCACTGGCCAACACCGTCGGTAAAAGCATACCAGTGAAGTTCCAAAACAAGTTTTTTCTTAAAGCTGAGATTTACTGGACGATCTCTTAAGAAAGTTAGATCAGCGTCGAAAGCAAGCCCGGATAGTATGACCAGAACATTAGGGTTTGATGCGTGCACTGCTTCTGCTCCTTTTTGCATGTACCTACATGTGGGGAAAAAAAAAATATCATTTCAATTTTAATAATGTAGACAATTTATTAAAAATAAAATCAGCAAAATCGTATAAATTAGTAAATTATTTATATGCGTTGATTGTTGTTGTTTCAGTTTGTGAACCTTGGATTCCTATGTCAACCGATATACATTTAATATATACATCTGATTAAAAAAAATAGATGTACTATTATGGAGTTAATTATTTATAGTTAGAAGGAATATAATCGGTTAAGATCTAGAATAGACAGATAATTAGAGATAATTAACGTGCATTAATTTCCTTGGCCTTCAAGCTTCACATGGGCATTATTATTATGATAAAGAAAGAAAGAAAGAAAAAAGGGAATTTTATATACGTACGTGTACCAATCTTTTGATGTATGATTGTAGCCTCTTAGTTCATTCCTTAGGCTCATACCGACAACATTGTTAACGTTCATAAAGATCGTGGCCATCTTCTTAAGACCCAAGATCCATAGATCCGGATCAAATTTTGGGTCTCCAAAGAATGCGTCCGGGTCATCGTTGCTGCAACACCAGCCCGGTACGGTCTTGTGGTTGTCAAGTATCACCATCACATCGTTATTCCCAAGACTCTTCACCACCATCTACAAAAAGTGTTGCTTGCGTTAGAAGTTAACAAATTATTAAAACAAGAAAGATATAATATGCATTTGATTTAAGTGTAGTATACTTTCCTTCACATCGCGATAATCAATCAGAAAAGAAACTAACAAGATTCACTAGAAGAAAAATGTGTTCTGGCCATATATTATTAAAAAATTATTGGTTTTGAAATGGATCGCATGATTAATTATGTATACTTACGTACCTGAAAGACATTGATAAGAGGAATATTGATAATAGATGGATTGTGAGTGTAAATCCCTTTAAGCTCATGATCCAATCCATATCTCTCAAATGATTGTTTAACGGTAACATTTAAGGCTAAAGTGTCATTAATCATTAGCTCAAGTGGCCAAGTGAGCCTAACACAATTGAATCCCATTTCTCGTATCTTCTTCGATATCGAATCCATTGGCTGGCTGCTCAGTCCCTCGGCAACCACTGGCTTAAGGTGCGAAGGCCAGTTTGCGCATGCTAGCTTCACGCGGTGGCCACTCTCGTTGACGATCCATCGTGAGTCTGTGGAGAGGGGATAATCTATTGCTAGGGTTAGTACTATTGATGACAAAAGTAAGAACAACAAGTACAAGAGGGTTAAACAAGAGATTGTTTCTGTCATGTTACTTTCTTAGTGATCGTATTTGAGAAAGATCCATGATGAAGTATATATAGGGTGAAAGCAAGGTTTTTATCACAATATCAGGGGATTTGTTGAGTTATTTTTAAGATATTTGACTAATTATTACATCAGGGTTTAAATATGTTTTATTGTTGTGAGATTTTTACGGAACATTGTGGATAAAAATTCTTCCTGCCACACATTCTGGATAACTATTTATGTTGAAACATGCGGATTAACTATCTCTCATTTTTCGTATAATTGTTCGAAGATTTAATTAAGAGTGGATCATCGCCTGAATTTTCGAGAAAGGTAACTTGGTCGTGAAACTTGAAAATGTTTCTGGTCGTTCGATAACTTCGTTATTTCTATGTTTTTTTTTTAATTTATATATCGTCAACTAACTAAACTGAAGACAATGAAAAAGAAAAGAACCAAAATAACAGCAAACAATAAATTATTTGTTCTCTTCATGACTATATAGATTTAGCTTGAACTTAATTTTTTTTATAAAATTTAGCTTGAACTTATTCTTCTAGGTTTTTAAATTTCTCGAATATTTATTTTATACTATAGATTAAGAAAAATGTTAGGAGAAGAGATGTTTTAAAGGAATTGATTGCATATATATATTGATACTTTACGAATTTTTCTACATAACGATAAATAGTTCTTTTTTGCCAACCGATTAAAGGAGGAAGTCTATTCTGTTGGTCGAAGAAATTGTGTGTATAGTGAGCTGAGTTTCAAAAAAAAAAGTGTGTTTAGTAGGATTTGCATGTTGAAGTTGATGTATATATTTATATAATAATATAATGCAAAGCAAAAAAAAAATATATAAAACAAAAAAAAAGAAAAGAAAGTAACGTAATGTTGTGGACGTCTCGTAGATGTCTACGGCCACATGTCGACCGTGAGGATGGTCACGTTGTCTCAGAAAACTGAAATACTTTGAGCTGTACTTCCTTTGGGACCTGTAATTTATTCTCAACTGATTGAAATATTTATATAATTCTTTAAAAGTTTACGATTACATTAATTGTGTCAAACTATATAATAAATGAACTCAGTAAAATTACCTACTTGTGTCATGTTGACTACTTATTGGAGTTTACAATTTGCTAAGTGATTTGAAGAACAATTTGGGCATAAATAAAATAAATAATCACGTTCAGCGCTAAGCTTAAATTTGTTGGAACTCTAAATTCAACACTTAGTGGGAACTAAAAAAATCGTTTAATAGACTGTGACAGTCCATTGGACCATTAAACAAAAAGATATCATGAGATGAGAGCATCGAGCGACGAATTTTTTGTAACTTGGATCAGAAATTTCAAAAAAGCATAAAGAGATAACAATAAGTAGTTACTAGGAGTAGTATATAACCAAAGTATTATTAAAAAAAAAAGGAAATGTAACAAACATATTGATACAAATCTTGAAATAATGAAAGAAAGAAGAAGAAAGAAGAAGAAAGAAAACACATGGCAATGATAATGGCCTGCCTCTGTTCCTTATCTCTTTACTTACACACTCTCGAGGTCCCTCACTTCCCTCATTGGACCTCTCTCTCCCTCTCTCGTGTTTAAATTCTTCTCCTCTCTTTCTCCTTTTGTTTCCACAATTTTGTCTACCATTTCTAACACCAATCATTTCAATCCCATACCCTATAAAAAAAATATCCCCTTCTTGATGACAAAACGAAGCCATCAAGAAACGTCTGTACAAGCTCCTTCGCTAGGCAAGAAGAAGCAGCTAGAAGACGATAACATGGACGAGCTTCTCGCTGTTTTGGGTTACAACGTTCGATCTTCCGACATGGCTCAAGTTGCAATGAAGCTTGAGCAGCTTGAAATGGTCTTGTCCAGCGATGATAACGCGTTAAACGACACCGTTCATTACAATCCCTCTGATCTCTCCGGCTGGGCTGAGACCATGCTCTCCGAGCTTAACTACTACCCGCCTTCTCCGGATCTCGACCCGACCCGGATTTGCAATCTAAGACCAATCCCAGTCGACGACGACGAGTGTTGCAGTAGCAGCAGCAACAGCAGCAAGAGGATTCGACTCGGTCCTTGGGGTTGTGACTCGGTGACCAGCGAGTCGACTCGACCACTGGTGCTCGCCGTTGACTCGCAGGAGACAGGGGTCAGACTCGTCCAGGCGCTGGTGGCGTGCGCCGAGGCGGTTCAGCAGGAGAATCTGAGTCTCGCGGATGCTCTCGTGAAGCACGTGGGCTCGCTCGCGGCTTCTCAGGCGGGAGCGATGGGGAAAGTCGCCACCTACTTCGCCGAAGCTTTAGCTCGTAGGATTTACCGGATTCACCCTTCCTCCGCCGCCATTGATCCCTCCTTCGAAGAAATTTTGCAGATGCACTTCTACGAGTCGTGTCCTTACCTGAAATTCGCACATTTCACGGCCAATCAGGCGATTTTGGAATCCGTCGCGACGGCGCGTTGCGTTCACGTAATCGACCTAGGGCTCAATCAAGGGATGCAGTGGCCGGCGTTAATGCAAGCATTAGCTCTCAGACCCGGCGGACCTCCGTCGTTCCGCCTCACCGGCGTTGGCACTCCGTCGAATCGGGAAGGGATTCAACAGTTAGGATGGAAGCTAGCTCAGCTGGCTCAAGCGATCGGCGTCGAATTCGGATTCAAAGGTCTAGTCGCCGAGAGATTATCCGATCTCGTACCGGAAATGTTCGAGACCCGACCCGAATCGGAGACTGTAGTGGTTAATTCTGTTTTTGAGCTCCACCCGCTTTTGGCGCGACCCGGTTCGATCGAAAAGCTGTTAGCTACGGTTAAGGCGGTTAAACCGAGCATCGTAACGGTGGTGGAACAAGAAGCGAACCACAACGGCGCCGTTTTCCTAGACCGGTTTAACGAGGCGCTTCACTATTACTCGAGCCTGTTCGACTCGCTCGAGGATGGGCTTATGATACCGGGTCAAGACCGAGTCATGTCGGAGGTTTACTTAGGGAGACAGATCCTGAACGTGGTGGCAGCGGAAGGAATCGATCGGATCGAGCGGCACGAGACGCTGGCTCAGTGGCGAAAACGGATGGGAGCAGCCGGGTTTGACCCGGTGAATCTCGGATCAGACGCGTTTAAGCAGGCGAGTTTGCTCTTGGCGCTATTCGCCGGCGGAGATGGATATAGAGTGGAGGAGAACGACGGAAGTCTAATGCTTGCGTGGCAGACGAAACCGCTCATCGCTGCATCGGCGTGGAAACTCAGCGACGACACGGCGGAGTGGCGGCGGTAGAGGATTACGGGTTCGTCAGAAAGAGGGAAATTAATTAAGGAAACGTTTTTTCTTTGAAATATATAAAAATAAATAAAAATTGCAAAATCGTAACCTTTGTGTTTTTGTTTTACTGCAACTTACCCCCACTAGTTTCGTTATGACTATTTTACCCAAATTTTCCGTACTTTTAGCTTTGGGACCAAATTTTTCGTTGACATTTGAGGAGGAAAATGTGTCGTATATGTAAGTACGAGCAAGTGTTTTCATAATTTCAATAAAATGTAACGACGTGTAATAGTAGCTAAAAAATGTTGTCAAAAAAACAAAATGCACCTAAAAAATGTAAATAAGTGACGCCTAAAGATTTTGGACCGATTCGATTATTAAATAGAGGCAAACTTTGAGGAGATGATGATACAAGATTACAAGTAAAAGTCTCTTGACTCTCTACTGAAAAGCCGGAGTCCAAATTTTGCCTTTCGGTTTTGATGTCTTTAATTGTCAGCTTTTGATCAAATGGGTGAAACCGTTTTGCTTAGAAATGTGTAAAACAACCCAAAATGTAATAAACTATATAAAAACTAATGAAGCTTTTTTTTGTGGTTAAGAAGATTCATTTTCAGTGAAGACTTTCTCTAAGTCTTAGTGCTATCGATGTACGTATTATGAAGCTAACTCATACGTATGTTAGTGCATGCATGGGACAGGCAAGCATCTATTTTCAACAAAACTTAGGACTGATTTTTTTTTTTAACAAAATGAGCTTGTACACCATGTTTTTAGTTAAGTTTCTTCTGAACTTATTATTTTCAGATCCACTTAACCCATATTTGGATGACTACTACATACAAAGACCCACAATTCTAGTTAGAATAGTAATCAGGATTTAGGATAAAGAATAAAATTCACCGACCCTTCTCATTGATCATTACTAAAAATTAAACGTGTAAAAAAGACAAAACAAAAATGAAAGATGCGTAGAACCAAATCGCTCAATATAGGATATAAGACGACATTTCAAGAATAAAACGATGAGAAATACAAATTAGAAAATCTTGGCAACATCCTTCATAAGTCCACGGTTGGCAGCTGCAAAATCGGTGAATTCTTGATACGATATGTTTCCATCACCATCAGTATCAATTTCAGCCATCATACGAGTGACGTCTTCGTGCGTCACCGAGCCAAGTGCCTTAAGAGCTTCCTCAAGTTCGGCTGCTGAAATTTTACCATCGCCGTTGGCATCAAATTTCTTGAAAATACGGTCGTGCTCGGCTTTCTCCGTCGCATCAGCCATTTTGTGTTGATATGAATGTGTGTGCGCGCGTGTTTGAACTTCTCTCTTTGGCCGAGGGATAAAGATTATCAAATTATATAAATATTTGAGTGACAAGGAACAGTTGAGGTAGTGCTTTTTATTAGGAACTTTTGGAGGAATAACTAAACAACAACAATTGAACGAACACGAATGGTCCGAATTAAAACTAAATTACCAAAATTAGGATGTGACTTGGTCTTTCACAAAATGTCTTTCACAGTTACTCGGATTAATGGACGATCCAGTTACTTGGAAAGAATTGCCCTATCAACACAAAGACGTGATCAAGTAGGAGTTTTGGAGAGCTATCTTTCGTCGACGTTATTTTCAATTAAACAAACAAACAAGTGAAACTACAAATTATTATCTCACACACATCTAAAATGTGTTGAATTTGAGTATTTGATATAGACAGACCAACTTTCCTTTGTGTTTTTGGTTTCGAAGGCAGCACTAGTTAATACTTAATACAAATTAATGAATCATTAAACTTCAAACCCCAAAAGATTTTGTCTCTTTTTATCTACAACAATGTCATATATCACAGTCGAGCCGTGAATTCCTTAGAATTTGGGATACACGACCATCTGATTGAAAACATATAAATTCATCAAAAAGGGTACGATGTCATGATGTGTTGAGAATATTTTATGAATTCGGATTGAATATTTGTTTATATGTCATGTGTGTTTATATGTCATGAAATCATATAAATTCAATGGACCCTTCACGAAAACATATAAATTCAATGGACCCTTCACGATGTCATGACATATAAACATATAAATACATTCAAAATCGATTATGTCAAAAAACTAATTAAGAATCCGAAACCACTAAAGGGTCCATTGAATATTTTAAATATAAAACACATTTAAAAGAAGAGTATATATTCAGCTTTAGATTTTTGGTGATTTATTTTTTAATGAGTTTCTAGGTGATTTTGGGTGACTTAAGAAAAAAATATATACAAATTATACAAATTATAATACTCTAGAATCCCATCTAAAATACAATAATTAATTTTGTTCCAAAACCATTAAGATTTGTATTAAAATTAATTATTCTTTTCCATTTAGGACTTTTTCTTGTTATGATTTAAATGGGAGTATTCAATTATTTAACTTCTTCTTTTTGTCAATTGAATACTAAACTTCTTCTTTTTTTGTCAACAATAAAAGGAAACAACCTTTCCTTATTCTTGTAGTCGGTTTGAATCTACTAATTTTCTTCTATAAGTATAGATATAGTTTTTACTCTCTTCACAAAAATTGACTTTAAAACATCACCACATTATTGTTAAGTTATTACTCTAAACAAGAATGTCTATTGCAGAGATCTTTGAGAGAGTCGACAAAAACAAAGATGGGAAAATCTCATGGGACGAATTCGCTGTGGCCATTCGCGCCTTTTCTCCTAGGATGACATCAAAAGAAATCGATGAGATGTTCAGAGAACTTGACCTCGACGGTAATGGCCAAATTGATGCCAGAGAGTTTGCTTCATGCATGGTGGTCGAAGGTGATGGAGAAAAAGACGACGAAGAAGTTGTCATGAGAGATGCTTTTGATTTATTTGATGTTAACGGTGACGGAAAGATATCTGCGAGTGAGATCCATGTGGTGCTGAAACGTCTTGGTGAAAAGTGTACAATGGACAAATGCGTTGCGATTGTCAAAGCTGTTGATGTAGATGGCGATGGATTTGTGAGTTATGAAGAGTTTAAGACTATGATGAATTCTAACCACAACAAATTACTATGATTTCACCTAATTATTTAAATGTTTACTTTGGTTTCCGTTTTGTTTTGCTTTTAACTTACATCGTGTGGATGAATAAACTTGTATGATGATGCATTTGACTCAATCTCTATACTTTTTAGATATTTAATTTTGTTTCCATGCCAATTAATTTAAAATATGTATATTGTTTATCATCGAATTGTTCAAAGCCCAAGTTTGAAACATTTGACTCTCAAAGCCCAAGGCTTAAGCTTCTCAATTCCCAGTTTTGGAAGTCCATAACCCACAAGTTGGGCCTTTAATTTATAGTTTTAAACTTTTAATTAATCTGTTAAATATGTAACTAAGGCAAAATAAAATTCCAGCTCATACTCGATGATGTATATTGGATTCTAATACAAAACAATCACTTCTTCATATGTCATCCTAATTAAATCTCGATCGATTGATGATTTTCTGACTTACATACTAAACTTAAATGGTTAAAAAACATAATCAGAGTTCGTGTGACCGTGTCAGTCGATAGTCAATGTAAGAAAAAAGGCATAATGTAAGAGAATTTAGCACTCTGTTCCAATGATTTCAAGCCACATGTTCAGTCACATTAGTGCGCGTCTCACACGTGTCTATCTTGTCGACACCTCTTTAAAACTAAAAATAAAAAAATGAAAATAAGAAGCCAGCCGACCTAAACTCCAAAAATATCTATTAAATCATTCAAAATAGTAACAAAACCTACCCTACGTGGAAAGAAGAAAACAATAATAACTCAAATGAAATCGTCTCTATAAAGACTAGAGGTAGTTACTCTTTCAACAAATCACAATCTCTCCTCTCTTTTTCTATAATCTGATTTCTCCGAAAAAGAGTTCGATAAAACAGTTATCATCGTCGATCGTCGTTGAACGTGCAAGAAAAGATGGTGTTTCCGGCGTGTGTTCAGTGCGGAACGAGACAAAACCCGTGTCGTTGCAAATTCGTTGGACCGACGCTTGGGTTCGTTGCTTTTCTGGTGACCGGACTCATCGAGTGGCCGGTTGGTGCGGTGGTTTACATCTTTAAACACACAAAAGGTCGCCGTATTATGGGTCATCCCGCGAGAGTCGTTTACCCCAAAGTCTCGAGATCTATTCCCATCTAGAGACTTTGTCGTCGTGAATCATGATTATTATGTATGATATGCTTTTGTATTTGGTTTTAACAAATGTTTGTAGTTTCTCTTTTTTTTTAATATGTCTGGATTGATTAGTATCTGACCAGATAAATATTACCTTGTGTGAAAATCGATTCGAGTCTTTCGACTCATTTGATTTACATTTTACTTGATCATGTATGTCTTTTTTCTCTTTTTTTTCCCTGTATTATGTACTCGTGACAGCTAATAAATATGATCGACATGAATTATATAGCTCTGCCTAAATCGTAAAAAGCCTCTAATTCTGAAATCTTTAAATCGAAGAAAAATCAATTCTAGAACAATTATACAAAAAGAAACGAATGAAAGTGATACTTCAGTTTTTTTGTTTTCCTTTGTCGAATTGAAAATGTAATTAATTCAGACAAAATGTATAAATTACGCGAACTCGATGTTTGACTTTGGCTTCTGTTTTTTCACACACAAAATAAATATCGACTAGAAGGCGTTTAAGAGAATTGAAGATGTTCATGCGAAGACTCTCTTCTCTGTTCTCTATCCTAACCATAAGGTTTGCTCTGCGAGTGAATCAGTTCATTTGTAAATCCATAGAACAACAACAACTTCGTCCAATTTAAACCCAAGCAAATTCGAAAGCTGACGTCTTTTTACCTGTTTGATTGTTAGATCACAAAGTCGCTTGATTTCGTGTCCTGCAACTTCTGCTCGAAATTGGGTATTTGCTGGATTTCACCAGAACTTACAAGGTTTCATCTTTCTCCTACAAGTTTTGATCTTTAGTCTCTACGCTCTCTCCGACTCTGTTCGTATCTCGCGTCTTCAGCTTTAGTAGTAGACAAGGTGTTTGTGGAAATGCCTCTTAGAAATTATTTGTTCATTTACTCTTTTAAAGTTGAGTTTTTTACATAAAACTGTCTCCAGATTCTCTCAATATTCAATTGTGTTGGTTACTAGTGATGTGCGTTACTCACATTTTAGCTGTTTCATTGTCTTGCAGCAACTCGATCGTACGCAAGTGGAAGACGTAAAGACTACAACCTCTTTGGTAATGTGAAACCAGGTGATAATGATTTCAGAAAAGCCTGGGAGAAAGAAATGGAGGATGGTGGTGATGATGATACTCTATGGTCAGCAAGTGAAGACGAAAGCGATGATGATAACACAAAGCAAGCAAATGGAAGAAACCGCCTTGAAAAAGAAGTTAAGAGAGCTAGGCAACAAGCTAAAGAAAGCTCCGACCTAATCGATGCAGACGATAGTGATGAGTTACACAGTGTTTGGTCAGGAAGCGACGAGGAGAAAACCTTGTGGACTGGCGATGAAGGTGATGACGACGACGATATCCCCACAGAGCCGCGCCCGAACGAAGCGTCTGATAAGTATTTGGATAAGTTGTTTGAGTTTGAAGAGAAGCCAAAGTACAGGACAATCTCAGAGCTGTTGAAATCTGAAAACGAGCCTGAGGAGCTTTCACCGGGCAAAGAAGCGAGGAAGCTAGCTGTTGAGAACGCGCTGAAGAAGCTGAACAAAGGGCCTGACGGGCGTTTCACGAACGTGTGGGAAGTGATGAGTGACGTCGACATTCTGATTGGAGCGTTCGAAAACATTATCTCAGGACCTGAGTATGAAGAGCTGAGGAAAGGTGGACCAAAGAGATTGAACATGCAGTTCTTCAAGGATATACAGACTAAGATGAGAGATCCGAACTTCAAATTCACGCCTGAGATAAAGCTGAAGCCTAAGAGTAAACTAGTGCCGAGGAAGAAATGGCAGAAGACACAGTCTAGAAGAAGGAAAGCTCAGAAACGATAAAAAATAATGCTCATTGCTTGGTGTAACAGGTAAATTCCACTGATTCTCTTAAAGATTGGTTCTTAGTTATTCAAATACCAAACCCATTTCTTGCTGCTTTGTTGATTCAAAATGGACCTTTGTAGGTTTAAATCATGCTAAGACAACAACACCAAACAGCAAGTTAAGAGTCATATGTCTGTTTCATCTTGATGCCAGTCCTGTGAATAATCGGTACCGTGAGTAAACAGCTTTCCTTTGGCGTGATTCTGGACTCTATATTCCTTCTTCAAAAGAGAGAAGCTTTGAATGAAAAGCTGGAGATGCTTTGGTCCCTCTTGGACATTTTTTGGTGGGGAAGAATACAGCTTTTTGCATTTTGATCTTCAAAAGTTTTCCTTTTTTTTCTTTTGGTGATAAACAAAGTTGGAACTTGTAATGTTGACACTCCCTCTTGCCCTTTGAAGCTTATTTTAAACAAAATGGTAAAAAGGAAGCAATTTGCTTAACAAATCACAAGATGCTGATTTTTAGGTCTCTTCCTAATATTCTTCTTTGTTTATTGTTTTATATTATTGTCAATGTGTCATTCATGTCCTATAGAAATTAGACAAGTTTACCAACATCGGCTGTTTAATTGGTCCATTATACTATTATCACCCTTAAAATTCCACTTAGCTTATGGTTATTGATTTGACTTCTTGGAACATCATTCAGCTTAAATTGAAAAACAAAAATTGTTCGAATATAATTCATCAGCTAGAATACACAACCATTTGAAATTGTCCCAAAAGTTAGGCACCACTTACTTTCTCAGTTCTTTGAATTTTTTTGTGGTTTATAGGTTAGATTCTTTTAGACTAAATAGTTTTAAGCTTTTAATTTGTAGATTTCTCGAAGAGCAACGCAAATATTTTGCCAAAGAAAATTGATTTTAAATTACGAAATTGCAGAAGTGAAAAGTTTTAAACGTTAGATTCAAAGGACGTAATACCAGCGCCATAGTTTTTGTCTTGCGTCTCCATGTTATAACGTTCTAGGAATTATAACATGAAAACACAAACAGAAATGCAAATCGTTGTCCAAGTATGTTCATACATCTACAAAATGCTCATAAATGTATATAAAGTAACAATACCTACATTCCGAAGAAGAAAAAAAACCCAAAATATATTTGTATGGTATCGCCTTAGTTTGATTCCGTGTAAGCATTGTCTCTATAATTTATTACATAGTTTCTATATTACGTATGAGAATAAAAGTAGCAAAGACACATTGTAACTTTCTTAATCACATAATTCACATGATGGAACAAGCGGAGTGGACGTTGTCGTCGCTGAAGAGGGAAACGTAGTTTTCTCCAGGTGCGTTTGCGGCTGGAAACGCTTGTGTGGGATTGCGGATGTGGCCTGCGGGGGCGCGTTTGTCGTACATGCCAGGAGCAAAAGGGTAATAGACCATATGCTGAGGTATGTATGGCCAAAACTCTGCTTTCTTCCCTGTGCTCTTCACTCTCTTCAACACCTTGTTTGGGTCTACGTGTCCGTTCACCGTTATTCGGCTCTGTTTCCGGTTCACCTCCACCGATTTCACGCCTGTACCGGATTGGTTACAAACATATAAGTCAAAACGGTTTTGTATGCTGAACAAAACCAAACATGAATACAAACCTTCGAAAATACATATATAGCTAAGCTGTCTAAATCTTGATAAATTCTTTTTAACATTTCTTTATATGAAGATATTTAAAAAGAAAAGAGAAGAGAAGCAAAAGTTCCCAAGAATGGTAACTATACTTTAGAATATTGTGGGTTACTGTTTAAATGTGGTTGTGGTGGTGTATGCAAAAAAATCATCATTTACAACTCGTAAGAGTTTATGAAGTTGTGCAGTAGACAACAACAAAAAGGAAACAAGGTTTTAAAAGTTTAGTGTACTGCATAAGTAATGTTATAAAATTTATTTTCTACTACACATTGGATGAAATTTACTGAATCTTTTTTTTTAACACCATTTACCATACTTCTTCACATGAATCTTTTAGTATATATATATAAAAAGATAGATTCTGACCATTTGATCTATAGTATTTCCGGACCAAAGTATGTACAGTCTTTTCCAATCAAGAGACTTCAAACAAATGATTAGCAAATATAGTTATATATTGGAGCCAGCTATAAAATTGGAATTGATTTTAAGCGAGGAATAAGAATCTTTAAAAGAGAAATTAAAGCAGGAAGAATAAAGGAAATGGAAACAAAAAGGGGAAAAGAGAAAAAGAGAGATTGGAGAAAGTTTTGATTCAAAGTCCGAGAGAGAGATGAGAAAGAAAACCTTTCATGCGACGAACCACGTTTTTAACTCTTCTTTCACAACCATCACAGTCCATTTTCACCTTGATATCCACTGTCTACACAAACCATCGATTACCATATTATTCAAACAAACATGCATAATATATTAGATTAGGAAATCAAGTATGTACAATCATATAATTAAGTTCTAACCGGTCTACTTCACTAACAGAGTGATAACTAAATTACTCTCACTTGATTCAAAATTTAAAACAAAAAAAAAACCAAATTTCCATAGCTATAACGAGAAATTCGACTTGTGTTTGAAAAAAAAAAGAATTAGTATGCACTAAATTACTATCACCTGATTATGAAGTTAACCAAATCAAATCATAGTGACGTAAATAAACGTATTTGATTTTAATTATAGGAGGAGAAAGCAGAATTGTAAAGAATAAAGATATATATACTGAGAGAAGAACGGACCTGCAATGGCTTGCGCTTGGTTTTCGCATTACTGTATGTATATGAACAAAAGCTAGTGATATAATCAAATGCACCCATTCTCCTCTCTCTTCTCTTCGCCAAAATAATTTATGTATATATATATGTGATCAAATGTGTACAAATGTGTTTTATGTGTATGTATATGTATATATGTGTATGTGTATGAGTGTGTGTGTGTGTATATATATAGGGAGAGAAGAAGAAAGAGTCTTTCTTAATAGAGAAGGAGAAGAGAGTTATTTTACCAAAAAAAAAAAGGAGAAGAGAGTTACGTGACATGCATTCAAGATTCCATGTATATATAAGGCTTTCTTGAAGAAAAAAAATTAGTGGTCCGTTAAAAAAAAATGTAACTATTCTCCACGAGAATGTTGTAGAAGAAAAGGTGTATCATAGTAGTAGGGATCAAAACTTTTTATGAAAAATGAATCTTCTCCTGAAACGTACATAGTCTTCATTTCGAACTAGAAGTTAACAGAACTAAAATAGCTGTGTTTGATCTAAATGTTAATTTTTACTATTTTTGCGTACTAAAGTAGTGAGAAATGATGTCCTTAAAAAGCTCTTTTATTGGCCTTATTAAACAAAGTTCCTTTTTTATTGGCCTTTGCTTTGGTTTCGATTCAAAGATTATGGCTTTGTCGCCCATTTATTATTTGAAAATGAAGTTCCAATAATTGTCTAGTAAAGTAATAATATATTAAGATTCCCTCAATTCAGAATTCGTTAAACAAAGTATATAAATACTGTTATCAGATGCTTTTTGAAAGCTAAACTTGAGACCATCGTTATTTCTTGTTTGAATAAAATCATTGAACAATGCTAAAATTTGAGATGCTTTGCGATACAGTGTGATGTTGAGTTACCAATGATCTTTGACCTTCCCTTTTCTATTAATGGATATATATTGCATTACAGTCTATATTTTTCCAAGAAAGAAATAGATAAATGAATAATTATATCGACATATATGTTTGCGTGATATTTAGGTTGTTCTACTGATTAAAACTACCACATAATTATGTAGATACTTGCAACTATATATGTACAAACATAAGAATATCATTTCCAATCGCTTGGGGGTTAATATTATCAAACCTCAAACACAAGAAAATGGCATGTTTATTTTCTAATATTCTTCAACTTACAAAAACTATTCCGTCCTTTTTTAGTGGAATTAAAAAAAAAAAAACAGTCAGTAAGATTTACGCAGAAAACCGTGAGAAGTAGAGAATACGCTGACTTGACGTCGAACCCATGCTATTTTTTTGTAAAATCTGTAAGAGTTTTATATTCTAACTTTACTGAAACATATCAGAACATTTTTAAATCGCTCGTAGGTTCTAAGCGACTTGTGTTGGCCATTTCATTATTTCACTTTTGTGGTGTTTACGCTTTAAATCAAACGTTAAACTTATCATTACTAGTATCCAAAAGAATTGCCATAAGTTTTTGGTTTTGCTTTAGAATAATTGCCACAAGTTAGCGAAGTTATTATATAGGATTTTTAGAGTAAAGGCCAAACACATTCGACTTATACGAATCTGACTATATTAGAGGTTGTTGTATACTGATAGAATAAGATAAGAGCCATGTAATCAGTACAATCTTTTTATACTCACAAGTCTTTGAAGTCAACAACATATATAAAAAGATGAGTTAAAAACATCTGAAGAAGCTCCTCTTACAAACTTCGCAACTTACTATCTTCAAAAACCTTAAAACACATGAGAAAAAAACAAACGTGTTTGTAACTCCAGATTGATTCAAAACACATCGTAAGAACCTCACAAACCCGGCTGCAACCGTCTCTGGCAACGTCTCAGTATCGGTCATGGCGCCTGTACACGTAGTATACATGAGCAACCAAAAGATTTGCAATAAGTAATAAGACGTGCTTCTGTTTTCATAATCAAATTTTACCTGCGGCGATCATTATCCCTCGGTCTTTCCCTAGACCGGGACCGCGAACTGCGACGGCTTCTTGAGTCATAGCCACGTGACTGATTATAGTTTCTGTCATGTTCACGGTGGTCATGGTGCCTGTCGCGATCTCTACTCCTACGGTCAACATCTCTTCCACGATCACGGCTATCTCCTCCGTCTCTGTCTTTACTTGATTCTCTCTCTCTGCTCCTCTCCTTTGACCTGTGTTTCGTTTAGTTTTTTTCAGCAAAAACGTTTAGGGATTTAAGGAAGCAAAACCAAAGAATGTGTTGAAAAGCATAAGAAAATAAACCTCCTTTCATCGACCCGTTCCTTGTGAACTTTGTTCTTTTCCTCCTGAAGAAAACAGAGAGAATATAACCAGAGTCAACATTGGGAGAGAAAATCTATGTAAGTAACAGTGGAGAGATTTTGTTGTTTATTACCTGAAGCTCTGCTAATTTGTCACGAATCAGCATGTAACCCAAATGAAGCTTCCCTCCAAAATGATCAGCTAACCGACGATCACTAAAAGCAGTACAAAAGATTTTTGACATTGCCAAATGCAAATCACAGATTGGACACATATGATATAGTTTAAAGCTCCATTATTTATCTCTAACAGGCACAATGAATCAAGAAAGAACGCACATTTATTAGCTTCAAAAGTAATCCTCGTAAAACTGGGCCCAAATAGCCTGCTGGTGCAAAGGAGGTACAATAGCAGGGGTCAAATAATGAACCACTTGCAACCCAATAATCTATTTCTATCTTTCTTTTAAAATGCCAAGGAACCACAAAGCACGATTTTTAAGAAAGTAACCAAACTCAACCTGTCATATACGCTCAGGAATGCTCCGCATATGTCACATAGACGCAGCTTCTGGTCTGTCTGAGACAACAAAGGAACACAGAGTTAGGCTACCAACTAACAAGCTGACGAAAGAAACAAAGACAGAACAGAGAGCAGGGATGCAATATGGAATACTTCTGTTCAAAAGCAATTTCTGCTAAAATTGGGAACACTACATACATGTTTTCCAAAATAATTGAATTACGCCACTACAAGACTATCTCCCTTAAACATTCTAACAGTCATCCGAAACAAACTATACGAAATGAATACATAAGAATTATGAATCTTGAGGTCCTCTATGAGGAATGGATCTTGATAATTTGAGATTTCGACTTACAATGCGCACATCAGCAGCAGTGTATTTGGCTGAATCCACTACAGGTTCTGGTCTAGCAGTAAGCTGAAACATGTACAGGCATAACAGTCTTAGGAAGTAATAGAAGTATGGAATATATTATATGATAAGTGAAATAGGGAGAGACAACAAGCATGCCGAACTATTCAAGCCATTTGCCTAAAACAAGTTAAAAGAGTGATCCTTAAGTCAATAGAGTTTATTAACATCTCCAAATCCTATGAAGTAACTCGAGACAAGTGCCATACAGAAAACTAATTTACGAGTGAAATCAAACCTTTTTAAGAGCTTCAGCCTCTTCTAGTGCTTTCTGCGCCTCATCAACCATTCCTTGTTCGCCTGAAATAACATATAGATATTGTAACTCTTACAGTGGACCCACATACCGAAATTGCAAATCACAAAGATTTCTTAATCACAGTTTTGTATATTCATAAAGAATCATCTAATAGGCTAGGCGAAAGTAATTTTTTGGGTGAGCCACCACAAATTAGACGTTAGCTCCTTACCAAATTCTTCTGCTTTCTTTAATTTCTCATTGATCATTTCTTGAGTGCGAGGATCAGGCGGAGGTAATGCTGCAGCTGGTGGCTGAGCTGGGACGGGCTGTGGCAAGGAGGCCCTATCTTTGTTGAAGGCTTCTAACAGCAGCACAGCCTGTAGGGAAACAAGACAAAGAACTTGACTTTTAACAAATTACTAGACACAACAAAGAGCAAATCACGTATCACACACCTGTTTGTCAGCTCTCTGAGTCCTCATCTCTTCAACTAACTCAAGAGCCCTAATCTTTAGATCAGTTTTTCCTTCAAGATCTGCGATAAGACATAATCATTTCTGAAGATTATAGCAGTGACCAAAGATTTATAACCACACAACAATCATCAGGGAGTGGCTGGTTTATTTCTTAAACGGAGCTAATATGAACCTTGTAGCCTGATTAAAATGAATCAACTATTTTGTTCATGGAAGCACATACATATCAAGATACCATTTCCAAGTAGATAGCGTACTCTAAACCATTGCAAGTATACTGCCTACAAATTGCAAATACAAAAAGTTCCAGATTCATATGAGCTGCAATGATCTTCTAGTCATAAGAAAACCTCGCTGTCACATGAATAATTACTTCTGTATTATGAAATTACAAGAGCATCACACCAGAGAACAGAGCAATTCCCTTTCAAAAAAGCAAAATGGACTACAACAACGGAAGCAGAAAGGAACATTTAGTGGTCAAGCAAGCAACTAAATAAATATTATAATTTTCTTAGATATTACCATGCAGGTCTGCTTCCTTCATCTTCTCTTTGATTTGCTTCGATAATTCGAGAATTTCAGGAGACTGGAATAAAATAAAACAATAAAGTAATGAAGAAAAGCCTGAATTTAAAGATATTCAAAGGGATTTCGATGAATTGAAACTTAGATTATCACCTGAGTAACTTCAGTGACTGAGATTGCAATGGCAGCTTTGGCATCCTCTTCCTGAAGACGCTTAAGAGCCCTACCAATCTTCCTATCGCATTCAACAATAAGCCTGTCTATGGCATCTTCCAATTCCCTATCGTAATTGTCAACACCTTTTGCCTTTGCTTCTTTATATCTACGGAGGAGTTAAAGCAATACAGTAGAGGAAAGAAATAACGTTCCACTGAAGAACTAATGTGGATCTGTGGATAGAGATATGAAAAAGAAATCGAAAAGGATACTCTTTCCTCAGCTGCAAAGAGTGCACCTTTGGGCAAGGACCCATATCCATTTTCTGATAATAACAAACAAGTCAAAGGGTACTCATAAACCAAATTAGCAGACTCACAGAAAATTTAATACATATATATATGAGTGAGCCAACTCAAGTTTAGATGTACAACAACTTACAAACTTGGAAATATGCATATAAGAGCAAAACGAAGACTTATGCAGTAGCAATTTCAGGTAGCAACGTACATCCACTGTGATAACACACAAAACTGCACACTTTTGTTACCTAGCTCAACAACCTCCCCCAAATCAAAGCTACAATTATCACTGAATCAGCTAACAGAAACTTCTAAAGCTTAGGCAGGAAACAAAAGATTTCTTTCTACTTTCTAGTGTATCAAAGCTCTCTTAATGTCACGTTTCGTCAACCCATTCTCACTACGGATGAGGAAATTAGGGGTTTTCAATATAGTACTAATCGGTGAGCCAATTAGAAGAAGAAGAAGGAAACATGGGCATCGAAGATAACTATTAAACGCACCGTCAATTGGAAGAGCTCATGAGGGCAGAGACCGGATAAGTAGAGACGACAAACATCGCGGTCGTAGTATTTGCGATTCACCTCCGTCACATCGCCGTTTCTGTTAGCTCCCATGAGCACATCGAGCTGCTTCCTCATGGCATCCATCTTCGTTATCTCCTCTTTCTCTCTTCCACTCTCTCACCCACTTAGCTTAGCTGAATCACGAATCGATCCTCTCTGCGGGCAGAGAGAGAATTGGGTATTGGTTTGGATTGAAAGCTTCACGAATTACAGAGAAGAAAGGGGTTTTTGTTGTTTTGGTGTACAAGAATTTTGGTAATTAGGGTTCAGTCTCAAAATAGGCCCCTAGAGTTTAGATAGTTTTCGATTTTCCCCAACTGTATGTATAGGGGCTTATTTATAGATTGAAAAGTATCGAACGGAACAATAAGAACTTAACAATTAAAAGGATCAAAATTTAACTATTCCGAGTCTTCTCCGTTTTAGACCCGAGTCACCCGACCAGTGACTTATCAAAGAAATATGAATGAGAGGACAAGTCTTCTTCCATTTATATTTTAGTTAGTGAATTGGTCCCAAAGCAATAGTTGATTTGCATTAACTCCATTGTACTAGGTAATGGAGTAATTGTTACTATATTTGGTTATTTTAAATGATTTATCAACTTATAGAAGGTCTGAAAATGAAGATGGAAAACAAAATAAAACTGCTTAAGCCACATCTATCGATGGCAAAAGCAAAACTTGATTTTGGTTTGAATTATATAAAAATGCTACAAGAGATTCACGTTTTGCATAAGACTTCTGAAAAACGGTGACCACTGAAGAACAGTGAGGTATTTTAACACTAGCACTTGGTTATAATTTTACCATATTTTTGCTGTTGCAGAGTGACATTAATTTTTTTTTGAAGAGTATGATTACATTTACTTTAGATTTGAACACACTAAACGGACTCAGTTTTTTCGGTTTGGTTGGATTTCGGTTGCTAAAATTGGTTTCGGTACGGTTTCGAATTCCTAAACCAAATTAATGGTTTTCCGGCCTTTTTTTTCCTCATCCCTAAGCCTAATCATGAATTTGTAATCCAATCATGGGACTGTGTGTATCGCACGCCAAAATAACCATTCGGTCAATTATAAATCTGAACGAATAAAATACTTGTTCTTTTCCAAGAAATATTAAATTAGATACGAAAAATAAAAAGTTGCGCGAAAAGAAATGAGATGTCAGTCATGCAAAGAATGGCTGTGATGTGGATGGGAAATACAAGAAACTCGCCCGCTTTGACCGGGGGGAACCAGAAGCTTTTCGCGTTTATATATATACATGAAAATGGAAAAAAGTGGAATAGTTGATTGTATTCATTTTTATGCTCTGAGATAATAGAGCACAAAAATAAATAATATGATATGGAAATGACACTGGCTGATGCAATTGCAATGTGACAGTGTTATGGGTTTTCGTACGCTAGGCAGAGTCTTGCAGACCCTCATCATTTCCACACTCGTCTTTACAATACTCCCTCCGTTTTTTAAAGATAAATTTTCTAGTTTTTTCACACATATTAAGAAAAAGTTGATTTTTAATCATTAGTGCATAGATTTCTGCAATAAAACAATTTTTTATAATTTTAAACCAATAAAAATCCAACAAATATAATCATTGTATCTTGAAAACTGAAAAAGTGCATAAAAAGGTAAAAATTTTATCTTTGTGAAATAATACATAATGGCTAAAAAATTTATTAAAAAAAAACGGAAGGAGTATTCGTTTTTTTTATTTACTAGCAAGAACAGATATGAAAAGAGTTCTCACTAATCGGATGTATGCTTAGGCACATTTCATTTGATTGGTCAAAGGTGGAATCAGTGAGTACACTGGTGGTTCGCAAAATTTCAAATTTTTACCATCCTTCAAAAACAAACCTTTTTTTTATACAGTACTAGTTATGTGTGTGTATGTATGTAGGTATCAATGAGTAAAAAATGTGCATGCAAATGAACAATGAATGGGCAAAGTAAAAGGTATTGGGTGGGGGAATGGTATAGCAGTTGCAGTAGCATTTATACTGACAAATATCTCAAACTCATCCATCTGATTTCTTTTTATTTTCCTCTTTTTAGTTTTTAACCACTTCTCTTTCTTGTTATTTATTTTTCTCAATTCTACTTACTTCCAGATTCTTTTGTTTCTTATTTACTTCAATAAATAACCCCAACAAACTTAGGTTTCTTCAAGAAACACACCTTCAAGATAATTGTTACCTTCGTTTGGATTTGACGAGGTTAGTTTATGATGTCGTAACACACCTCAACCTCTCTTTCGTTTTTAGCATTAAAATTTAAACAAATGCAATGGAATTTTTATCGTGGATGATTATTCAATAGGTTTACAAAAAAATTTTGGTCAATTTTAACACGTCCCGGATCAAAATATAAAGTACATGAATAAAGTTTGTTTGGTAGAGATCGTTAAATATTAATCGTATACCCCAACTACAAAAGCTTTTAATATACCTAGATCTACTAATTGGTTTAAGGTATTGGAATAATTGGGTACCAAAGGTTCAGGGCTATAAACAGATATGAACAAAATGTTAGGAAAGAATAATTTGATTTTGTAGGTACGAGGCAATTCTAGAACGTGTGTTGGTGGTGTGTTAGATATTGCAGGCATAATAATAGAGGAAGTGAAACTAAACTATAATTAAATAGAGAGAAGAGAATCCATTGAATCGTATCTTACAAAAGAAAATAAAATCTTATAAAGATTTGAAAGATTATAAACCCATGCACATGCTCACTATCGTCTCATTGATCCATGTGTAAACCCTAGTACCTTCTCCCTAATTACTCTAATTCCCCTACATCATTATTAATTCAACGTTGATAGGATAAGCTCGACTAGTAGTACATCTCTAGCATCCCTACTAGTCATCCACATCTTGGGTAATTATGCTCGTTAAAGTATTATTTACTCCTTTGCGTTTACAATGTTATAGTTATCCGAACCAGATTTGTTTTGATTTTTTTGGACGGTTTTAATTGGTTGAACCATAGTCTATATCCACTGGACACTTATTCTTACTATATACTCAACTACTGTGGTTTTTTTTAAGTTATGATGAGAGATTTCATCGTATAACAAGATTACATGTGATGCGAATTACATTATCGATCTCTAGAGAGTAGAAGAACATATGTTTCGTTCAAAATATCAAGCACTAAACCATGAATCTCGAGTTTGTTGCAAATTACTAAAAAGTGACGACGGGTTCGCTTTTAAAAGAAAACGCCAAACGCAATCGCTCGTTCGTGTCATAGATTCACACATACACAAATGTCTACCAGACACAGCATCATTGGTCTTAAATCGACAGCGAGTGAGTTTTTGGATTTTACTATTGGTCCTCGTGTTACCCTCTTTTGTCCTCTTACATTAACCTTTTAATACGCATGAACATGAAGGGAGAGAGATTTGAATGGGTTTTGACTGGTTAATTAAAGAGATGTCATTAAACCAAATTGGAATTAACTTACATTACTACCCCTATAGCCTTCAAACCGACCAATACATCTCCACACTTTTCAAGTAAATAACTTTTTTTTTCTTTTCTGCATTTAATTATAAAATTCATTTATGTAAATGCGCATAATATGTCTCCTCGGAAGAAATGAACATCATATTTTTGACTTTTCTTCTTCTTCATCCTCTCTCTTCATTAAGACCAAAACCTTTTTCTCCTCTCTTCATGCATGAACCCTAACTAAGTTCTTCTTCTTATTCCTCTTCTCTTATACTACTATCTCACAAGCACTTGTTAGATTATTCTGTGAACTCGATGAATAACAATAACTGGTTAGGCTTCTCTCTGTCTCCTCATGACCACAATCACCACCATACGGAAGTCGACTCCTCCACCACCACAACCGCCGTAGATGTCGCCGGAGAGTACTGTTTCGATCTGGCCGCTGCCTCTGACGAGTCTTCAGCCGTTCAAACATCGTTTCCTTCTCCCTTTGGTGTCGTCCTCGATGCCTTCACCAGAGACAACAATAGTCACTCCCGAGGTTTTTGTTTTAGAATTATTTATTTATTTTATTTGTTTGTTAATTTTCCCCTTCTTCCAATGCATAGAACAAAGAGCAAGACTCACGCTCGCACGTAGCCCTATTTTAGTTTTTGTTTTGAAAATTTCCATGAGTGGTTTTATGTTTTGTTCACTTCTTATGAATTCAAATCTCTGTCAACTATGTATAGATGTGAAATTAGACATTTTATCCAATATTCTTTATTTTTTTGTAAATTATTTTATCCAATATTCAACATTGTAATCTGATCACATACATGTTTCTATTTTAAACTTGTTTTCTTTCTGTCTTTATAATAAATGAGAGGAAGTCGAAAACCCATTTCCTATATAATATAGATCGGTGATGAAATCAAATTCAACAAACCATGATTTATTAAGTTTCTCTTCGTTTTTCTTATCTCTCTAGATTGGGACACCAATGGTGGTGCATGCAGCAACATCCACAATAATGACCAAAATGGACCAAAGCTTGAGAATTTCTTCGGACGCACCAGCACGGTTTACAATACCAACGAGAATGTTGGAGATGGAAGTGCCGGTTGTGGAGGAGGAGACGGCAGTGGTGGCGGCTCACTAGGCCTTTCGATGATAAAAACATGGCTGAGTAATCAACCGGTGGCTAATGTTGATCATCAAGACAGTGGTAATGGTGCACGAGGCTTGTCCCTCTCTATGAACTCATCCACTACTTGTGATAGCAACAACTACAACAACAATAGTGTCGTTGTCCAAGAGAAGACCGTTCCTGATGTTGTCCAAGCTACACCGAAGAAAACTATCGAGAGTTTTGGACAAAGGACGTCTATATACCGCGGGGTTACAAGGTTCCTACATTTATTTAATTTTCATTTCTAAAATGTCGCGTGAATCGTGAATTTCTTGGCGAAGTTTGGGACATTCTAATCGTTCGTTTGAGAGGGTGCTATGGAATGTTCCTTGACATTTATTAAATTGACTTTATTAGTGTAGATGGGCTTATATAGAATAATACATTTATATTTGGTATGTGACTTTATCTTATGTATGTGTGTATTAAATGTGCAGGCATCGGTGGACTGGAAGGTATGAGGCACATTTATGGGATAATAGTTGCAAAAGAGAAGGCCAAACTCGCAAAGGAAGACAAGGTACATTTATCAAATTATCATGATAATTTGAAATTTGTTACATTTATCGAACTAACCTAGGTTTTCCTTTTTTCATGCGTTTCTTCTAAATTTGCACCTGGTCTCTTCTCAGTTTATTTGGGTAAGTCTTAATCTGATTATGAATTGGATAAGCTGTAAGTAAATATATGACTCGTATAAGATAACTAATTTGTGTATCTGATCGATCATTCAGGTGGTTATGATAAAGAAGAAAAAGCAGCAAAGGCTTACGATTTAGCCGCACTTAAGTATTGGGGAACTACTACTACTACTAACTTCCCCGTTAGTTCATTAAACCATTATCTTATTAATAATCATCGGCTGTCATGTTTATATCGTTACATTTCTTACTTTATAAATTAATAATGTTCGTTGATATTAAAATGCAGATGGGTGAGTATGAGAAAGAGGTAGAAGAGATGAAGCACATGACGAGGCAAGAGTATGTTGCTTCTCTGCGCAGGTATATAATGGAACTGTTGAATTTATTGCATATGAAATATAGTATTATTCAATTCTATCACATGATAGAAACCCATCACGTATATATTTTATTTTTTCTTCCTCAATTTTTAGTATAATTCACATTACACATTCATAATTCACATTCAAATATGCAGGAAAAGTAGTGGTTTCTCTCGTGGTGCATCGATTTATCGAGGAGTAACAAGGTAATATCCATATCTATGACTATACGTTTCAAAATCCTTAATTGTATATACTTTAATCGATGCAAATTAAATTACCATTATTTTTTCTTTATCAACCATTATTTATATAATTTTCCTCTAATGGGTCCAAAAGGCATCACCAACATGGAAGATGGCAAGCTAGGATCGGAAGAGTCGCCGGTAACAAGGACCTCTACTTGGGAACTTTCGGTAAGTTTTATCTTCTCTTATAGAACTTCACATTCAAATCTATAATCATATGGATCACATCTAAGTAAGGTATGAACATTATATATGTAGGCACACAAGAAGAGGCTGCAGAGGCTTACGACATAGCAGCCATTAAATTCAGAGGATTAAGCGCAGTGACGAACTTCGACATGAATAGATACAACGTTAAAGCAATCCTCGATAGCCCGAGTCTTCCTATCGGTAGTGCCGCGAAACGTCTCAAGGACGTTAGCCATCACGTTCCAAGTATGATGATCAGTAGCAACGTTTCAGAGAGTGAGAATAACTCTACCGGTTGGCAAAACGCTGCGTTTCAACATCATCAGGGAATGGATTTGAGCTTATTTCAGCAGCAGCACGGTGGTTATTACAATGGAGGAAACTTGTCAACAGCGAGTGCTAGGGCTTGTTTCAAACAAGAGGAGGATCAACAACATTTCTTGAGCAACTCGTCGAGTCTCATGACTAATATCGACCATCATAGTCCGGCTTCGGATGATTCGGTTACTGTTTGTGGAAATGTCGGTGGTTATGGTGGCTATCAAGGATTTGCAATCCCTTTTGGAACATCGGTTGCTTGTGATGCCTTCACTGCTCCTGAGATTGCTTACAACGCAAGAAGCCATTTTTATTATGCTCCGCAACTAGAGCGGATTCAGCATACGCCGGAAGGAGATTTTCCAGTGCCGATTTCGAATAATGTTGGTTACTTTCATGGGGAAGGTGGTGGAGAAGGGGCTTCACCGTTTTCAGTTTGGAATGACGCTTAGATTTCTTTTTTTTCTTAAAAGATATTTAGTTTTCTACTGTTTGTTATGAACAGTTTTATGTTTTTTTTTTGGGTTATTTTCTTGTGACTTTCTTTAATAGTTTCATTATTTTGGTAAAATTTTCAGATCAATGACAGTTTTTAGTTTCTACTTAATCCTACAATTCCTAAATTAAAGATGTGATCATGAGCACTGCCATACTACTAAGAAATGTATTTTGCGATTCCATACGTTTTTTTTCTTAGAGGTAGTGCAATCACAGTTTCATGATATTCTTTCATATAGTAAAACAATATAACCATCCAAACAATAATATATAGCTTTTCTTACTTGGTAGATGATGAAAAAGGTTGGGCAAGACTCAAAGATTCCGATTTCAATAATTAACAAGTGCTCTAACTTGATTCCAAGTACAGCCTAATTGGTCAGGGCTGGTCAAGGTCCAGGCCCAAATGAATAAGTAAAGCCCGTCAAGGCACCCATGGACTGGCAAATCAATTAGGTGCACATACATGACGGTGAGAGATTGAGGACTTTGGAATGGACAAGAAAGGGTGAAGAAGCAGGCTCAGTTTGCATATCTCATTTATCTTTTACATTGTTTCTTGTTCTTGTTGGGAGCTCTTTCGCTTTATCATATGAATGCAGAAAACTCACCTAAATGACAAGGAACTTAACTTGGCTTCCACTCCACTCACCAAACCTCTCTAATAAATATTAGTTTAAAGGAATTATTAGTATGTTCGGCCAATCTCTTTATTTATTTGTTGACAGCCTTAATGTTTTTAGATATGAATCTAATATATAGTTAGTATAATTACCAGAAGGAGTGATAATTATTTAATTAAGTGGGAAAAAAGAAGATTAAGACAGTAAAATGAGACAAGGACAAGAAGTGAAGCTTGAGGAAACCGCGACGGTGAAAGGAAGACATATCAGCTAGCTGCTAGCTGATGGATGTGAGTGAGTTTGTTGCATGAAAATTATTAAATAAAAATAAAAGAGTATTTAAAAATGAATATAAAACGAAAGCTTAGCTTGAAGGCAATGGAGACTCTGCAACAAACTATGGTACCATACAGAGAGAGAAACTAAAGAGGGTTTCATCGATAAAAACCTTACTTCTTCTTCTCACACTACAATGTTCGATCACATTTTCTTCTCTTAGTGTCGACGTCGATCGCTGCTAATCTCCGGTCGCCGCTATGGAGGCCAGCGCCGGTCTTGTCGCCGGTTCGCATAACCGTAACGAACTTGTCGTCATTCACAACCACGAAGAGGTAACTGATACTAAGTTAATACTATATACTAACAATTAACCCATTTTTAGTAACTCCAATGTCACCAAAACTTAAAATTGCTGTCATGAGATTCGAGACGGGCTAAAGTGTATCATATACAGTGTTAGGTTCAAATTGATTTTTTTTTTTTTTTTTTTGGTAATTATTATTAGTGTCTCTTCATTTTGACGACTATATAATTTGTAGCTGCAATAACTTTTTCTTTGAAATCATTACAATCAGAGTAAATGAACCACTTAAATCATTTTATTAACATCAAGTTTATACGATAACTATAACTTTAAAATATGCATTAAAAAATCCAAGAACCTGAATTTTGTAGTTTGGAAATGAAGATTTTTGGTAATGATTGTTTATAATCCGGTGGTATATATTTGTCTACTTGGAAATAGACGGATAGTGTGTCTTCATGGAACTGAACATTTTGTCTGTGGAATATTAATACAGCCGAAGCCACTGAAGAATCTGGATGGACAATTTTGTGAGATATGTGGAGATCAGATTGGCTTAACAGTTGAAGGAGACCTGTTCGTGGCTTGCAATGAGTGTGGTTTTCCGGCGTGTAGGCCTTGCTACGAGTACGAGAGAAGAGAAGGCACTCAGAACTGTCCTCAGTGCAAGACTCGTTACAAGCGTCTCAGAGGTATCTATTATTATCACTCACTGCTCTTATGTTGTTCGATGAAATGCCTGAATGAAATAAATACTCGAAAAAATGATGTCTTTTGTTGGTTTCTGCAGGAAGCCCAAGAGTGGAGGGAGATGAGGATGAAGAGGATATTGATGATATCGAGCACGAGTTTAACATCGAAGATGAACAAGACAAGCAGAAGCATTCTGCTGAGGCTTTGCTTTATGGGAAAATGAGCTATGGAAGAGGCCCTGAGGATGATGAGAACGGGAGATTCCCACCTGTCATATCCGGTGGCCCTAGTAGACATGTACAAAGAAATATGCTTTCACATGATTCTTTCAAGTATACATTATATGATCAACTTTGTGTAACTGATTAAAAATCTTTTTGGTTTTCTGCAGGTAAGTGGAGAATTCCCAGTTGGAGGAGGTCATGGGAATGGAGAACATGGGCTTCATAAGCGTATACACCCATATCCTTCTTCTGAAGCTGGTGAGTCTCTCTACTTAACGTCCTCTGTAACTCGTTGTAACTCGAAGTAGCACAAGAAAAAATGTTTTTGTTAAGCGTAATGAAGCAATTAGAGTAAAGGTTTCCAACATAACTTTTGATTGGCTTTTGGCAGGGAGTGAGAGATGGGATGACAAGAAGGAGGGAGGATGGCGGGAAAGAATGGATGACTGGAAGCTCCAGCAAGGAAATCTTGGGCCAGAACCAGACGATGATCCTGAGATGGGAATGTAATGCCTCTACAGACATTTGTTCTAAGACTGAAGTTTTATGTGATTCGGATTCATGCTTACAAACTTTTGGATTTTTGTTTTGGAAATCGCTGCAGGATTGACGAGGCGAGGCAGCCACTCTCCCGGAAAGTTCCCATTGCGTCAAGCAAGATCAATCCATATCGGATGGTCATCGTTGCTAGGCTTGTGATTCTAGCAGTTTTTCTACGGTATAGGCTCTTGAACCCTGTGCACGATGCTCTGGGGTTATGGCTGACCTCTGTGATCTGTGAAATCTGGTTCGCCGTCTCTTGGATTCTTGATCAGTTCCCAAAGTGGTTCCCCATTGATCGTGAGACCTATCTAGACCGGCTCTCTCTCAGGTAAAATCCACAAATTCTCAAGTAGGAGCTTTATAATCTATGAAGTTTTGAGTTTGGAAATGAATCTCTTTTTTGTTAATACAGGTATGAGAAAGAAGGTGAACCAAACATGCTTGCCCCTGTAGATGTCTTTGTCAGTACGGTGGACCCTATGAAGGAGCCTCCACTCGTCACATCCAACACCGTGCTGTCAATCTTGGCCATGGACTATCCAGTTGAGAAAATCTCCTGCTATGTCTCTGACGATGGTGCTTCAATGCTCACTTTTGACTCTCTCGCTGAAACTGCTGAGTTTGCAAGAAAATGGGTTCCCTTCTGTAAGAAGTTCGCCATAGAGCCACGGGCACCGGAGATGTACTTCACGTTGAAGATTGATTATCTCAAGGACAAAGTCCAGCCAACGTTCGTTAAGGAACGCCGAGCCATGAAGGTTAGTGTAAATTACTTGATATCTAGTAATATCACCACTCTCAAGTTTTCACTATAATCTAAACACCATACGGTAAATTGGTTTTTGGCAGAGAGAGTATGAGGAGTTCAAAGTAAGGATCAATTCTCTTGTGGCGAAAGCCTCAAAGGTTCCTCTAGAAGGTTGGATCATGCCTGATGGAACGCCATGGCCAGGGAACAACACTAAGGACCATCCCGGTATGATCCAAGTCTTCCTCGGCCACAGCGGAGGATTTGATGTCGAAGGCCACGAGCTCCCTCGGCTTGTGTACGTGTCCCGTGAGAAGCGGCCTGGTTTTCAGCACCATAAGAAAGCTGGTGCCATGAACGCCTTGGTACTTTCCTTTACCTGCCTTGGACCAAAACAAGAATTTTCTCTCTGAATCATGGGCTTAACGTGACACAACCTTCGTTTTCTTCTCCATACTTATGACAGGTTCGAGTAGCAGGTGTACTCACAAATGCTCCTTTCATGCTGAACTTGGACTGTGATCACTATGTGAACAACAGCAAGGCCGTTAGGGAAGCAATGTGCTTTTTGATGGATCCTCAGATTGGAAAGAAGGTCTGCTACGTTCAGTTCCCTCAGAGGTTCGATGGTATTGACAGGCACGATCGTTACGCCAACAGAAACACAGTCTTCTTTGATGTAAGACGCAATCCACTTTCTATTAACTTCTGGTCTAGGAGATTAAAAAACCCCTCTTTCTTACCCTCTTGTGTTTGTTGCAGATCAATATGAAAGGTCTAGATGGAATCCAAGGTCCAGTTTACGTTGGTACTGGTTGTGTTTTCAAACGACATGCTCTGTATGGTTATGAACCGCCAAAGGGTCCTAAACGTCCCAAGATGATGAGCTGTGGTTGTTGTCCTTGCTTTGGGCGCCGTAGAAAGGATAAGTACAAGAATGAAGTGAATGGCGACGTATCAGCCCATGGAGGTAAATTATTCCAATAAACTTATAATATTGGTTCAAATCTTGAAGTAGGTTTAGATTATGGTGGGAATGTTGCAGACGTGATACTGTTTGTTTTTGCAGGAGTAGAGGGTGATAAGGAGCATTTGATGTCTGAGATGAACTTTGAGCAAAAATTTGGCCAATCATCCATCTTTGTAACCTCGACTCTGATGGAAGGTGGTGGTGTTCCTCCGTCATCAAGTCCTGCGGTGCTCCTTAAGGAGGCAATCCATGTCATAAGCTGCGGTTATGAAGACAAGACTGAATGGGGAACTGAGGTAATAATACTGAACAGGAAGGTATCACCTCAGTTATTTGTGATTTAAAAGCTGACCATATCTATGAAATGCAGCTTGGTTGGATCTATGGCTCTATCACTGAGGATATCTTGACGGGTTTCAAGATGCATTGCCGTGGCTGGAGGTCTATTTACTGCATGCCTAAGAGAGCTGCATTCAAAGGTTCAGCTCCTATTAATCTATCAGACAGGTTAAACCAGGTTTTGCGTTGGGCACTCGGATCTGTTGAAATCTTTTTCAGCCGGCACAGTCCTCTCTGGTACGGCTACAAAGGAGGCAAACTCAAGTGGCTTGAGCGTTTCGCTTACGCCAACACAACAATCTACCCATTCACATCTATTCCACTCCTTGCCTACTGTATCCTACCAGCCATCTGTCTCCTTACTGATAAATTCATCATGCCACCGGTAAGTAAAATCATCAGGTAAAAACTTTTGAAAAGCTGCATCAACTTTGCTAACTATATGTTTTTCTTTCAGATAAGCACATTTGCTAGTCTCTTCTTCATTGCATTGTTTATGTCGATCATTGCAACGGGAATCTTGGAATTGAGGTGGAGTGGAGTGAGCATTGAGGAATGGTGGAGAAACGAGCAATTCTGGGTCATTGGAGGAATCTCAGCTCATCTCTTTGCGGTTGTCCAAGGTCTCCTCAAAATCTTAGCAGGCATTGACACAAACTTCACAGTGACATCAAAGGCAACAGATGATGATGACTTTGGAGAACTTTACGCGTTCAAATGGACAACTCTGCTTATCCCTCCAACAACTGTGTTGATCATAAACATTGTTGGCGTCGTTGCAGGCATCTCAGATGCCATTAACAATGGATATCAGTCTTGGGGACCTCTATTTGGTAAACTCTTCTTCTCCTTTTGGGTCATTGTTCATCTCTACCCATTCCTCAAAGGTCTGATGGGAAGACAGAACAGAACACCAACCATTGTGGTGATTTGGTCAGTGTTGTTGGCATCTATCTTCTCTTTGCTTTGGGTCAGAATTGATCCTTTTGTGCTCAAGACCAAAGGACCTGACACTTCCATGTGTGGCATCAACTGCTGAAGCAAATGTTTTTTTGATTTCCTTTTGAAAACTTTTCTATACTTCGTCCAGAGTGTTTTTCACTTCTCTTTTTTTTTTGGATTGCGTAATTGGATTTTGTTTAATGTATATTAACCACCAAAACAGATGGATTTGGATCTACTGCGAGAGATTAATGCATTGTAAAAGGGAACTCGAACAAAAGTAGTAACTCAAAAGTACCTTGTTTGTTACTGTGAAACCACACACATCTTGAATGCAAGCTCTAAACAGAGAGAACCTGAGACCTTTTTCTAAACCGTGGAAATTCACTAGAGAAAAAAAAAAAAAAAAAAGAGTCGACAACAATTGACTAAGCACACACATCTCAAACCAACTTCAAGCTGAATATCATTTGATCACATTAAAGCAAATTGAATTGCCTGAGTTTGTTTAGTTAAAGTCTCGCTCATTCTTTCGAAACACCAAGGATCCACTGGGACAGATGAGTCAAGTATGGCTCAGCCTGGGAGCCTTTGCTCAAGACTGGTCCTAAGCTCTGCAACTCTGAGTTGAATTCCCTCTCAAAATTGCTGGTAAAAGACATACAGAAGTTTAGAACAACACGTTAGATCGAGTTCAAAACACGTTAAATGTTCGGAAAGAAAGAGAAGGGATAAGTCTTCAGAACATTGCTTTCTATCACTTACAATATAGACTCTGTCACTGTTGCGTCTCTTATCATTGTCTTCTGCGGATGAGACTGGCTATTGATGTCGATTGACGATGATATTAACCACTGTGTGGCTGCCGCATATTGCAGGCACACTGATTTCAACTTCTCCATTTTCTGCAACATCAGTAAAGACGAGTGTAAACTATTGAAAAACATCACACTATTCTGCAAACAGAATTCTCTGCTATCGTTGCGAGATAGAGAAGGACATAATTATATTGATCTTGAGAGAACATAACACTAGATGGAACAGCGACAAACCTTGAGGACATCAGGTAAAAGAAGCAAGCATCCTCTCAGACATTTATCAAGAAAGAAGTCGTGATGCTGTATCACCTGTAAGATGATGGCACATTTTTCAATAACGTACGTTTTCCTTGCAACTATAACAAAGCAGGTCTCTACACTTACTTCATCTACACTCCTAGTGGATTGTAGTCTATCGTGCATCACATGCCAATTTGGTTCGAGAACCTGAAGAGACATCCCACATAGAAGAAAGGAAATGTAACATTAGAAGAAATTTGAGAGCCAAAAGATGCGCTAAACTAAATGCCAAAATCATCTCATAAAGAATTGTCATAAAGTAATCCTGATGTGATATCTCTCAGCTGCTCATAGATAATGTACTGATATCTCTAGAATCTATAACTCACGATTTCAAGAACGTATATCTCAAAACTCACAGTTGAACGAAGTGCCTACATTTATAGGTATGACTTTTACAAACTTCAGAGATATTTGATTCAATATAGAGTGAGCAACTCTAAAAGTCAGTTTTCCAGAGACTTATACTACAAAATCACAATGGAAAACAGGATCCGCGGCTAGACAATCAAAATCTTTAAATAAATCCGAAATCCATTCACTACTTGCCTCAAATGTAAGATAATGTAGAAGGCTACTGATGAATTTAAGCATGCTACGGCAGAGAAGCGATGATCTACGAATTGCTGTACCATTTGAGTTCATAGACCGAATCCCCTGAAGAATTTCACAGCAGTTTTTAAAGAAGCAAATAAAGTAAAAAGGTTTTGTTAGAAACAAACAATAAAATCCAAGCTTCCAATATAATAATATAGTCCATACTTGATGTATCTGCCAAGCAACGCAAAGCTGGCGTTCCACATGTTTGCAATTAAAAAGAAAGCGGAAAATTAACTGGTACTTCGACAGGGCTTTCTTTGATATGACAATAGATAGTGGCCATTGCACCTGAAACACAAAGCCACAACTAACTGAGTAGCCAATCTTATATACAATTGTAACATTTCTAAATACTTATAGAATTACAAAGGATGAAAATTCAAGCGACTTAGTAGCTATCTGTAAACATCATTGATAGTATTAAGGCTGTGAAATTACTAACACCTATCACAACGAACAAAATAGTTAAAATCTGGATACAAACACGTAATTGCAGAAATGGCAAGAAAGGAGCAGACCTTGTAGCTCAAGGAAAATGTCTCTAGACCAGTGATGCTCACTGGGTCCTCTATACTATTGCTATCAGCGTCCTTGTGCATTCCCAAAGTCGTAAGCAATGAAGCTCGATCCTAAGAAATTAACACAGAGTGAGAACACATGGTGTACAGCTTATTGATCACATCCAGGAAAAGACAAAATGACTGCTCACCACACAACAAGTCAAGTCCTCATGGCGAGGATCTGCTGCAGCTGCTGTGGTACGTAGAGCAAGATCTAGCAAAGACTAAATAATACACATACTTTCAGATTCCAGCAAACATGTACAGAGCTTTAATTGAATAATGGCAGCAGACATTCTCTAATCTTTTGACCATGCTCTAGTGGAAATAGTACCTGCAACTTTTCAACAGAGATTTCCTGCACTTTTTTGTTGAGCTCCTCTCGAGCAATGTCCATAAAATGAACCAAGAAATCACCCTGTAATTCATTACAGTGTCGTACCAAAAATAGTTAGAGACTAAACAGCTGATAGAGTATCAATGACAGAAGAAAGAACCTTAACTACAAACTGTTCAGAGTGATAAATTTGTACTTAGAAAAGTATGATGAACTCTGAAGATAACTGGTTTTCTACGAATAGAACCAACATACCTGGTCCAGAAGAAGATAGTGCTTTATAGATCTAAGCCTTCCAATGAGGTCATACTGAATCATAAACTGATCGTGAGAGAGGTTTATGTACGAGAAATGACATAAAAGAAGCAGACATCATAGCACAATTATTACCTTGTCTTTGATGAGACTCACAAGCTCTATACTAGCAAATTCGTGAGCAGCTTTTATGCATTCAAGATAATGATGATTTGAACCAAATATTGTTAACTTAGACCTCTCTGAGATGGGAACCTGTCAAAGAAAATCAGTTGATGTCATGTTCAATATCACACTGTTAGTTGTATTAATTACAACAAAAATACATCCAAAATCATACCTGGACATTGTGCCCACATTCTCTCATAACGTTTAGATATTTCCCTGTGGTCAATATTGTTGGAGCAATGTTTGCAAGAAAGCCAGGAATAGTATCCTTGAGACTGTATCTTTGGCTCCAATATTTAGCCGTAGAGTCCTGACTGAGGCTCTCCTGTACGAAAAAGTTGAAATTGTAAGATTAAGCAATTGACACTTGTGCAGGGGATCTGACCAAAAATGAAAGTACCTTTTTAAGAGACCTGTTCTCAGCAATGAAAAACTCCCCATACGGATCATCAATGATCCCTTCATAGACCCACCTTAATCAAACACTAATTCAAGTCAGTTTCACTTCTGAGAATAGTATGAGATGTCTAACAAATAGGCTAATCCATGTACAGATCTGTCAAAACAAAATATACCAAACACGCTCGCTAGTCACCTTACAAACTAAAGGAAAACTTAGGCACAGGTTGGAATTAAAATTCTCTGAGCATTTCCACAAAGAAATAACAAAGGAGAAAGGGCAGAGAATATAGCACAACTATGAGTCTAGTTACAAGCAAGAAAGAAAGGGGAATGGGAAATCAACCTTTCCAATATGCTCAGGTATGCATTGCTTGCACACTCGGTCATTTTCTCTAACAATGATCTCACTGAATTATCACCAGCCATCGCTTTAGCCTAGGCATGACAGTCTTCAAGATTAGCACATATAATAAGAAAGCTAGTTCCAACAAAAAAGAAAATCCAAAAGGTATTTTTGTGACCAAAGCAAGAATCCACCTGACTCTGCAAGAGATTAAGCACACCAGAACCCACGAAATGCTTCGCCGAAGCCTGCTGAACTACTGCAGCCAATGCGCGCATGGATCCCATCATGGGCTGAGAGATACGAAAAACACTTCAATCAGCATACTTCTCACGGAACTTGGAGCTTGTATTATCTGAATAAAGACAGACCTGACAGTAAAACCATAATCCTTGGATAGAAAGTCTTCCAAGTCGAAATTGATGTTCTAATTGTGCCACCATGGCTTGATAGTCCTAGTAAAAGAAAGGATTGTTACTACTTTCAGCATTAGAAAAGAATGTTGTCAAATTACCTCAGCGCACAAGAAATAATAGCAATCAATCTAAAGAATGCAACTGATTAAACATGAAAATCCATATGTGAAAAATGGTAAGAAAATAACTATTCAATGGGGCAATACTGAGAGAGAGATTAACTCAACAAACAAATGCATCACAAATACCACAAAGGTAGCAACCTATATCACATACAAGGAGGAGTGCTCTGAGTGCAGCTGCGAATGCATGGTTAACTAGCCCGTTCTTGAACTGCGAGCTTGACTCCACAAATTGGTCAATCAGCAGAAAACATTCACACAACGGGAATATTCTTTTTGCCAATTCCTGCAACATTATTTGCACCAGTCAATATATTTCAAAAGAGCCGATTAGAATAAGACTTGAAAAGTTAACCAAGTTTATTGTAGTGAGTACTACTTGCCTGCAATGCCAAATCCATTGATGGATCAACTTGGAAAGCTATACTATCCTCCTTCCCATGGAATCTTTTAATTGATATATATCTCCCTTCAATTCCAACCAAAGCAGATAAGAGATCATCAATGACAATAAGTTCCTGCATGCCAAAAGTGTCAAAAAGGTTACTGGAATGGACATAATAGAAGAGATGACACCAAGTCTCAACCTAGCCTAGCAAGTTCCACAATTATTTGGCTCAGATCAATTACTTTAGTCTATAGCTCGAAAACGAGAAGCCATCTTCATATACACTTATGCCATATTGTAAAAAAATACTATACAACTCAAACCTAAGCTTTAAGGATCAAAACAAACCTGAACCGGTGTGTCATAGCAGCCAATTGCCTGCTCTACTCCAGAATTGCTGAAACTCATTGAGAGTTGAAAAACATAAAAATCAGTGATTTTTTTAAATGTAATCGGAAGAGGAAAAAAAGCAAAATTGACTAAGGAGCTTAAAATACGATGTACAGCAAATTTTTAGCAAAGAATTTAAGAATACCTAGACGAGTCTATAGGAAACCGCTTAGAATCAGCTAACTTGGAGCTTGCCCTCGTTTCCTGAGATAATAAAATCATTGTCAAAAATCTCTTTTTTTTCTTCTACAGTAACCAAATCAGAAATGTCGAAAATTTAATATGATTCGAAAGCATTAGAGAACAAATCAAAACCAACATCGAAGAGATCAATCAAGCACCTGGTGGAAGCGGCCAGTGAGGAAGGGCCTGTCTTGGTTCCAACGAGGAGTCGTAGGGCACGAGATTGGCGTCATTGATTCCATTGCTTCGCTCTTCACTGTCTTCAAGTCTCTCTCTGCAACTAAAGCAGCTTTCTGGAAAACAAAAGGAGACGCAAATTAATCACCATGCCGGTTTTACGTAAACCATAAAAATTCATAAAAGTAAAAGTCCGGTTTGATTGAACCAGAAATATCTCAGATCCCTGGTTTCAAATTCGAGCCAATTCAAACAATTCACGACGCCGCGCGATGCAGAATGAAAACAGAATCGGTGCCAAAGCAAAGTGAAATCAAATCCTCACATATAAATGATAGAATCGAGCATTTACGCCAAGTTTATGATCGATTTTTCCGGAAATGAAATTGGAAACCAGAAGTGAGCTGAAACTGATTTTAAACTGAAACGTCTGAAGAAGAAGAAGAAGGAGGAGGAGTGAAAGGAGCATCGAGAATCAACAAACCTATAGATCTCGGCGCTGCAAGTGATGGCGTCGAACGTTGCGGGAGTAGTCAGAGAGGGATTCGCGCTCTCCGCGGCAAATATTTGGTTTTTTCAATGTAAATTATTTAAAAAATTTCATTTTTACTCTTTGCCAAATATATTTGTTTTTGCTTTTTCTTTTCCAAATTGAATTTCTCTAAGAAAAGAAATTGAAAATAGGAAAGTGACAAAACGTCAAAAAAACCCATCTTTCCTCTTCTTCTGTGACTCCAGCTTTCGATTCACAGAAATGATGATAATAATCTCTTTTCTATTTAATTGTCTTCTCAAAGGAATATCAGAGAAAGAGAAATCGCCGGCTTCTCCTCCCCTGCACCTGGAAACAATCTTTCGCCGCCGAGTTCTTCTCTCTGCGGCGAAATGATTAAGGAATCTCCAGGTTTTTCACTTCAAAAATCTCATCTTTCTGTTTCCTTTTTATCATTCCTCTTCTTTCGGATTCGTTGTTTGATTCTTCTTTTCAAATGTTTTGGGTTTTTACTAGGCTTTGACAATTCTATCTCGAGAACCCAGAAGAAATAGCATTTTCTGATTTGTGTTAGTATTTGGTATTGAAATTCAGGTGAGGGAAAAAAGATGGCTTTAGTCGGAAAATCCGAGAAATTCTCAGCGGATTTCGTCATGGGAGGTGCTGCAGCCATTGTTGCGAAATCCGCAGCTGCTCCAATCGAAAGGGTGAAGCTTTTACTCCAGAATCAAGGGGAGATGATAAAGACAGGACATCTCATAAGACCATACACTGGCTTGAGCAATTGCTTCGTTAGAATCTTCAGAGAAGAAGGCGTTTCATCTTTCTGGAGAGGAAACCAAGCCAATGTCATCCGATATTTCCCTACACAGGTACTCAAATAGATCTTCCATGGATTCATTCCTCTTTGCCTGCAAAATTGCTTTAAACTTCTTAATTGTCACTAAATTTTAATTGCTCTTAGGCTTCCAACTTTGCATTTAAAGGTTACTTCAAGAACGTTCTCGGATGTTCCAAAGAGAAAGATGGTTACTTGAAGTGGTTTGCTGGCAATGTGGCGTCTGGAAGCGCTGCTGGAGCAACGACTTCTCTGTTTCTGTACCATCTTGATTACGCACGGACTCGTTTAGGCACTGATGCAAAGGAATGCTCGGTTAATGGCAGTGGCAAGAGACAGTTTAAAGGGATGCTTGATGTGTACCGTAAGACTTTGTCAAGCGATGGTGTTAGAGGACTTTACCGTGGATTCGGCGTGTCGATATTGGGAATCACTCTTTACCGAGGAATGTATTTTGGGATGTACGACACGTTTAAACCCATTGTTCTTGTTGGTTCTTTAGAGGTAAGTATCATCATCATCATCATCTATGTTGTTGTAGTTGGTTAGTCTAGAGGGAAACAATAGGTTAAAAATGGTTGTTTGATTTCTGCTGCAGGGGAACTTCTTGGCTAGCTTTCTATTGGGTTGGAGCATTACTACCTCTGCAGGTGTTATTGCTTATCCTTTTGATACCGTGAGGAGGAGAATGATGCTGACATCAGGACAGCCTGTGAAATACAGGAACGCCATTCACGCGTTGAGAGAGATAACGAAATCCGAAGGGTTCTATGCGCTGTATAGAGGAGTTACTGCGAACATGCTTCTTGGAGTTGCGGGAGCTGGAGTGCTTGCAGGATATGATCAGCTTCACCGGATTGCTTGTAAGCATTGGTCTCAGTAGTTTTGAACCAAAATCCAAAGCAATTGAGCTCAAGAAGAAGTGTCACTTACAATCCAATGTGTTGTGCTAATTAACAGAATCTCGGAATCATTAACCGATTGAAGCAACAGGAAGATAGGGAAAATTGTTTATAAATTCTTGTGCAGATACATTGTTATTTCATTATAATCCAAGAAAAGCCTTTTCTTTGCTTTTTAGTATTGGAGCAAGTTTGTTACATTGATCAGATATGATAAAAGGAGAACTTTTTAAAAAGCTTTTTGATGATTACAAACACAAAAAGAGGAAAGCTTGTAGTGTTCTTAAGCGAGGAGCCAGAAGTTTTTGTGGCGTTTGGTGGTGATTAAGTAACCGCCGAGCCTGCGGTTCTTGGGTTTAACCGCTATGGTCATGCAAGAAGCGTTTTCGAGACAGTATTTGAGAACACCGCAGTGTCCACGACGTCTCTTCCAAGCCCATCTCTTCAATAGCCTCCATACCGGAGGTTTCTTCTCTTGCCCAACCACTAAAAGACTCACTTGTTGTTTCTTGGCTTCTTCAACTATCTTCCCTCCTTTGTCTTTGTCTTTTCCTTCTAGCCTCCTTATCTCCACTTCTATCTGCCATACATAAACAAATCCACACATCAACATTATGTCATTCCTTAAAGAGCGTCTGCGTTTAAAACGCAAACGCAGATTTGTAACAAACAGTTGAGAGTGAACTCACTCCGGGCCGTTTTGTTTGGCACAGTTTCTTCAAAGTATGCACTAATTCATCAGTTTTCACCTCACGTTTTCTGTTCTTCCTTTTGCCTAAAACACGATCCCAAAAAAAAAACTTAAGAAACAGAAACTTAAACAAAAGAGGAGAGGAAAGGCAGAAGCAAAACCTTTTCTAAAGGGTTTTGCAAAGTATAAGAGAAAAAGAGTGTCTTGTGGTTGTAGAGTATGTGTTATAGCCCATTCTAAAGCTCCGGTAGACGCAAGCGCTTTATCCACCACCACCATTACTCTGTTCCCGCCTTCCGCCACCTCCTCCTTAACCGTCTCAACCGCTACCACCGCCTCTTTTCTTCCTTCTACTCCTCCGTTGTCAAAGGTCTTGCCATCATCTTGCTCTTTCTCCTCTTCTTCTTCTAATATTACTTTGACTGTTTTTTCTTCTTCTTTGTCTTCAGTCTCTTCGCTTTCGCTGCTTGCGCCTTTGTTTTCTTCTCCTCCTGATCCGGCATCATCTCCATTTTCGCCTAGAAACTCGATTCTTTGGTCTCTCTCTATGGAACTCGAGTCTGGTTTGAACCTAATCGACGGTGAGTTGATCCGGACTCGTCTTAGACTCAACTTGGCTGATTTCTTGAGCGATCTTGCCATCTTTTGTTACAAGAGACTCAAAACGAATATCGATTTTGCAACTCAGAACGGAACTTAACATTGGTTTCTATAAATGCTTGCGCGTATGAATACGTGAGGACAATTTCGAAAGAGGACGTGCGTGCCATTACAAATGTTTGATTCTTTATGGTTCCACACGTTGCTGTTTATTTATTTTTATTTTTGTCAAGCTCTTATGTTTTCTTTGTTAAATTAATCGAGTCCAAATTTATTCGATAGAAATGATTTGATGTTGACATTTCAAAACCGTATTTGAAAGTAGTTAAGTAGATCTATGGAAAAACAATAAACTATAAGAATATCCGAAAGTTGATCCATGTAGATATTTTACAAAACAAAAAGTTTGAAAATTTGTTAGCTCAATCGGTTATGGAATCGCGCGGGTATGTATAAACAGTATAATATATTTTCTGATCATGAGAAATCTTGGAACGGCTCTAGTTGTGTCGTGGTCAAAATCCACCACCTTTTGTAGAAACACAAATGCAATTTTGTATTGTCTTTCTTTACTTACCACAATTCTGAATTTCTGATGGCAGACATCAAGTCAAGAAGGATAGTCTAATGAGGATGGGACGAAAGTGTCATTAAAACACTGTCTTAATAAAAATCTGCACCGGACCAAACAGAACTAGACAAGGCCACTTGTACAAAACCAAACCATTTCATCAAAATTCAGTTATTGAGAATATTAGGTGAAGGAGGACTCGCTGGTGACCAAAAAGTATTTATATAATTTGGATCACAACACATTCGTATTGTATGTACAAGCATAACTTTATGTAGTGAATGAATAGTTTGGTGGTCATTTTGTTAATCTGCTAATGCTATAGAAGTATAGATAATGATTTATTTAACAAACTTACTAAAATTAAAAATTTATAGGACACAAAATAGTGAAAGACAAAACATAACAGAATTTCCTAGAGTTATTTTTAAATAAAGAAAATATATAAAATATCAATAACTGTAAAACACACTATTAATCACATAATTAGTAGACAAAAGAATGTAAAAACCAAATCAAATGCCTATATAAGTAAGTGGTAAGTGAAGCTGAAACTTGAGCAATCAAAGAAAGATCGATCAGTAAACATGGCGGATAATTCAGCAGCAGAAGCAACCCCTCCACCGTCAATCGATGGCAACACTCTCGTGGCCAAGTCACTAGCTCGTCTCGGCGTCACCCACATGTTCGGCGTCGTGGGCATCCCCGTCACGTCTCTAGCTAGCCGAGCCATGGCTCTTGGCATACGCTTCATCGCCTTCCACAACGAGCAATCCGCCGGATACGCCGCCTCCGCCTACGGTTACCTCACGGGTCGACCCGGAATCCTCCTCACGGTTTCGGGTCCGGGCTGCGTTCACGGGCTCGCGGGTCTCTCCAACGCTTGGGCTAACACATGGCCGATGGTGATGATCTCCGGTTCCTGCGATCAGAGAGACGCCGGCCGTGGAGATTTCCAGGAGCTTGATCAGGTCGAGGCGGTGAAAGCTTTCTCTAAACTATCGGAGAAAGCGAAAGACGTTCGTGAAATCCCCGATTGCGTCGCTAGGGTTCTGGATCGAGCGATCGCGGGTCGACCCGGCGGGTGTTATCTGGATCTCCCGTCTGATGTATTGCGCCAGAAGATCTCGGAATCAGTGGCGGAGAATCTGGTGGCTGACGTCGAGAAATCTCGTAAACGCGAACCAATTCGGGAAACTCCGAGATCGGAGATCGAATCGGCGGTTTCGCTGCTGAGGAAAGCGGAGAGGCCACTGATCGTGTTCGGCAAAGGAGCGGCGTATTCGCGAGCGGAGGACGAGCTGAAGAAGCTAGTGGAACTCACCGGAATACCTTTCCTCCCAACTCCGATGGGTAAAGGTTTGTTACCGGACTCACACGAGCTCTCAGCGACGGCGGCGAGGTCGCTTGCGATTGGGAAATGCGACGTCGCTTTGGTGGTTGGAGCTAGGCTTAACTGGCTTCTCCATTTCGGAGAGTCACCGAAATGGTCTAAAGAAGTGAAATTCATACTTGTAGATGTCTCTGAGGAAGAGATTGAGCTGAGGAAACCTCACTTGGGGATTGCCGGAGATGCAAAGAGAGTGATTGGATTGTTAAACAGAGAGATAAAAGACGATCCTTTTTGCCTAGGGAAGACTAATCCATGGGTGGATTCGATTTCAAAGAAAGCGAAAGAGAACGGCGAGAAAATGGAGGCACAGCTTGGTAAAGATGTTGTTCCTTTCAATTTCTTGACTCCGATGAGGATCATCAGAGACGCGATTTCGGCGGTGGAAGGAAAGAGTCCTGTTGTGGTATCAGAAGGAGCTAATACGATGGATGTTGGAAGATCGGTTTTGGTGCAGAAAGAGCCGAGGACGAGGCTTGATGCAGGAACTTGGGGAACAATGGGTGTTGGTTTAGGTTATTGTATCGCTGCTGCTGTTGCTTCTCCTGATCGTCTTGTTGTCGCTGTTGAAGGAGACTCTGGTTTTGGATTCAGCGCCATGGAAGTTGAGGTATATAGTAAAACGTTTCCATAAATATGGAAATTGTCTTTGTCTAATCGTATTTTATTGATGCAGACATTGGTTCGGTACAATCTTGCTGTGGTGGTTATAGTGTTCAACAATGGTGGTGTCTATGGTGGTGATAGGAGGAGTCCTGAAGAGATCTCAGGTCCTCATAAAGAAGATCCAGCACCGACATCGTTTGTGCCAAATGCAGGCTATCACAAGCTTATTGAAGCCTTTGGAGGCAAAGGGTATGTTGTGGAAACACCCGATGAGCTGAAATCGGCTCTCTCTGAGTCGTTCGCTGCGAGAAAACCGGCGGTGGTTAATGTTATCGTCGATCCTTTTGCTGGTGCTGAGAGTGGGAGATTGCAGCACAAGAACTAAAGAAGCTTTGTGTAGAGAGTTCAATAAAAAAATGTTGTTGAAGTTGTATTTTAGTTTTTACTACTGTAAACTGGATCATAAACGGTCCGGTTTGAATTTAAACCAAAATTGAATAAAATACGTTTCCGGTTTAGTTCACATTAGCTCCTTCGTGTTTAACGAAACCTAAAGCTATTTATAATGCGCATGTTAGTCTTTTATTGGAGTCTGAGAAGAAAAACAGAGAACAGTGTTGCGTTGCCTAGGAGACAATATGAGACCAGGTCATTGAATCATCTTCCTCGATAAACTTTTCAATTTTCGATTGCGTATCTGGGATTGATGTTGGAATTTTTTTTTTTTTTTTTTTTTTTAATTTGATTTCAGAACTTCCTGGGTTTTATTACGACGAGGAGAAGAACAGATACTTCCCCATTAAAGGCCCTATCCCTGGTTCAAAATCTGTTACTTCTTCAAGAACGAAACGAAAAAAAGCCGACCCAGTGCCTGTACAGGTCGGTTAATACTAGCTTTACTTAAAAATTTGGACTTTTTTTTCGAATTTCTGCAAAGTTCGAATTTTGCAGAGTCAGTGAAAGTTTTCAGCTTCTTTAGCTCGTATTCTGGCTTGTAATGTTAAATCGCTTATTACCAGGAACCTAATTATCAGAAGAGAACGAAACTAAAAGCATTGAAGCTACTTTATACACGAGAGCTAAGTGGCAATGTGATTCGTCTCAATAAGAAGAAGTCTAACTTCAAGGAGGAGATCCAAAAGACACAAGCCTCTAATCCTGTGGTATTTACCACCCAAAACTCTTAACATTTCTGTTTTCTTATTAAGATTACAAGAAGATAGATATGAAACAGTCTTCTTTGTGTGTTTTTGTGCAATGGTGATTGATGATGCTTAGGTATGGAGATATGGATCGACGGAACACCTAGGCGATGCTGCTTTGAAAAAGTTTCAGACTGATGTACAAACATCTGCAGGCTTGACTCCAAGGAACATCTTAATAGCAGGCAGTACAGAAGGCTGCTTGAGGTATGTTATATGACTCATTAGGTTTTATCAATGTTTAAGACTGTACATTGAGTGTTTAGTCGTAGCTGTTATTTTGCATACCAACCTATATATGCTTTGGAAGTTTGTTCTTGCAGCGTACTGAGAGTTTCCGAAGCTGGAAATGTACTCTTTGACGAGTCTGAAGCTCAAGATTTTGATGGTGGAATCGAGTGCGATCCAGATTGTCTTCTTCCTCGCAAAGTAAAAGATGCAGAGTTAGTGAAACCACCTAGACTCTTATGGAAACCTGCACGCTCTCGATTACATGCGTTATCTAGTATCTCTTCTATTCAGTTGATTGGGAAACAGGATGAATCTGAAATCTTCCAGAGTGTGAAACGGGCATTGTATCCTTTGAATGTGTGTGTCTTCTTCTCTTTTTGCTTTCCTCTCTTGATCTCCCATTTTGTTAAAAACCTTGACACTAGAAAACAGGATAACTACTCTGGGATCAACTGGCTGTGGATCAATCTTTTTCTTGAATCTTGCTGAGGAACCGTATATGGTCTCTCCACGAAGCCTCCAAGGGAATGTTTCCTCTAAGTGTACCATTTGGACAGCTGATTGCAGTACAAGTGGGAGTCATGCAGCTATTGGTACCTTCTTCTTTCTTACTTTTGGTGTTATAATAAGAAAGCAAACTAAACGGTAGAAGGAAAGACAGATATGATACTATCATATTGGCACTTATATAAGGATTTTGATATATTATAGGTACCGACCTAGGAGCAGCTTTGGTTGATTTGGAAACAGGAGCAGGTTCATACTTTCTCCGAAGCAAAAGCGATGTATTAGCGCTACAGTTTCATCAATCGGTAAAAGTTCTGTTGATCAGTTAATTCTCATTACTGTTTCTCAACTGCTGGTTGCTATATGTTCGTTTTTACTGAAGGATACATGTGTTCATGCTGTTTCCACCAGGGAAACATTGTTCAATGCGGGCTCAGAAATGGAGCCATTGTGTCGGTTGATGTACGTGAGAGACCAGGGAGACCTTTCCCAAGCCTCACTAGACACAACATACCAACCGGTCAAAATAGTAAAAACCGTGATAAATTCTTCGAGGTACTTCTAAGATATATAACGACTTTGTTTGTGGTCACAAGTTTTCATCTCTTTCCCTCACAACAGTCTGCTAATAGTTTTCTCTAATTGTTTACTTTTTCAGCTTAGAGGAAACATAAATCCGTCTCGTGTAATCTATATGCCTACATCTCTTACATGGTTGGTAAACGACTTCAACCATATATGAAAATTCTCTATAACTCTTTGTTTTTCCTGACTCTATAATTCGCTATTTCCCTAGCCTGAAGACACTGGAAACTTATGATCAGTACTTAATGGCAAGCTCCATGGATGGAACGGTGAGTACTGATACAAGCTCTAGCTTCTGCATAATGCTTACTAAGAGATTTTCCAATAGTATTTCGATCGATATCTAAAGAGACATACTTTTCGCTTTTTCTTAGATTAAGCTATTCGATCAACGCATGGTTAAGAGAGGAGTCGCTGTACAGAAATATGAAGGACATGTAAATTCTCATACTCGCATCGAATTTGGCATCGACCCTTCAGAAAGATTTCTTATTTCAGGTAATAGAAACATAACCGTAATGTTGGATTTAGGAAAAGGATCAAGAGTTTGCTTTCAGTGAGATGATTTGAATTTTTTTTTGGGTGTTTGATTCAGGAGGAGAGGACTGCTATACTCGCATTTGGAGTATCAAATCTGGTCAACTTTTGTCTGCAAATAAATTCTCCAACACTGTCCCTTCAGTTGTGTGTTGGTCTTCTGTTAAAAGTAATTACAGACTGATCCTTCTCCTTGCTTCCTTGACTTCTTGTGTTCTTTTTTTATCTTGAGTGGAATCAGTAACTTGTAAGTTTTGGACTTTCAGGGCAAAGAGAAATGAAAGACGGCATTGTTCACGGTGCATGGCTTGGATCACGCGAAGCAATATTCAACGTGTTCTAAAGATGTTCACTACTTAGCAAGAATGTTTTAAGGCAATGGAAGCTGTTGCTAGAGATTCAAATTCAGTAGATTGCAGCAGAAACCATGATCAGATTCAGGATAGAAAGTTGTTTTCTCTTCCCTTGTAACAATAATAGGATCAATTGTTTTGATATTGTAAAGAAGATTTTCTTCCATCTTCAATGATAATGAGTTTTGGAAAAGTAAAAACTTCAATCAAATATCTACACTTGACTCAAAAACTGATAACTCTGCAACTGAGTGACAATCTTCCCCTTGTATAAATATATAGTTTCCTCAATGAAGCCAACATAGACAAAAACAGTATTAACCGATTCTTATATTGCTAAAGCCTTAGTATCATCTCAGGGAACTTTGTTGAAGAATTTAGTTATTGAAGCTTGCTTTGGCCCTCCAGGTTGTTCCACCTTAGAAGAAGCTTTTCCTTTCTTCTTTGATCTACCAACGACTTTTCTGTTCCTCTTCACAGGAGAAATGCTGCTCTTCTGAGAACTACTAATGCTCTTGAGCTTGTGAAACTGCTGCGACGAAGGACAAGTTTGTTCTCTCTCGTGGATAAACTCCAGTTTCGAAACAAGTGCTTCGGTGTTACCCGAACCAATCCCATCTCTAGACGTGAAAGATATGACAGCAGAGACTTGGTCGTAGAATATAGTCTCGTGTTCATAGAAATCGTCAACTATTTCGACTACGTTCCTCCATGTCCCTCTAATCATATCTGTTACTTGTTCTTGTGTAACCCATTTGGGCAGACAGTTCCTTAGCTCCTCCACAATCTCCTCTTTACCACAAGTCAGACCCAATGAAACTTTCGCTTCCAGAGGCTTGTGAGCAGGATTCTCATCACTCCCCATTATCTTGACAAGATCGCAGATTCCTTTAGCCTCAATCAAACCAACATTACTCCTCCTTTATGATCTGAAAACATTCAAAAGAACACAATTTCAAACAGCTATCCAGAGAATTTATATCGTCCAGATTACTATCACTAAAATTTTGCAAATTGTATCGAATCGAGAAGAAAGTATCCATCTTTCTCTTCGACGTATAGTTATTAATTCATCAGAGATTGAACACGCTCTTCCTAAAACCCTAATCCGTCACAGATGTCCTTCCAGAGAACACCGGTTCGTTAAAAAAAATTATAGAAAAATTTCGAACCTTGCAATGGGAATATTGTATCGTGATTCAACTGATTTCTCCGGCGACAGTTTTCCTTCAATTTTGGTGAATCCAAAGGCCTTGGCCCGCCGATTATCAAATTCCGATAATGCCAAAGATGAAACGGCGATGATCGGCGACGGCGTCTTGTCGAATAGACCAATGCGCACGTTAGTATTATTCGGGTTTTTTAGTTAGGCAAACTAAGATACGTCATTAAAAAAAAATATCAAAGAAATATAACTGAGTTAAATATAACGCTCTTGATTAATATTGCACCCCCTAAACAAAAGATTAACCGACGTATCAACACGATTGATTAGGAGTTAGTGTTTACACATATCCACATAAAAAAAGACAACTAAATTTATATGCAAGTCACAGACCACAAGTCAAAAATCGTATATTATGTTTGTTTAACAAATCGTTTTTACGTTTGATTACATAAATGTGATATATCTTGTACCTCATTAGCGTACACATCTACGACCAAAGACATTTATCAATTTATCTTGTACCTCATCCAGTGTAACAAGTGTTCCAACTTTAAACTATTCAAGTGACAAGTAAGAAAATGCGTTTGCATACTTTTGACGTTTGCATACTTTTGACATTGTTCCTCCGAGCTTGTTGCCGGTGTTGCGTGAGGACGAGAGTGGGGTCACACGATCTCGATATGTTGCTTTGTAATACGTTTTTGTTCTTTTAATAAATCTGGGAGCTTAGCTCCCTGTGCTTCACCAAAAAAAAAGAAAATGCGTTTTCGTATAGACCGACAAAAAAATGAAAAGGTCACATGTTCATTCTCGATTAATGTCTCTTTCTGTTCATTAATTAATACCACAAAAGAGAAAAAAAAAAAACCACTTGCGTGCGAGAGAACTAAAACAAAATAAACAACGTTTGAAAAAATCAAAATATTTGATCTTTGTGTGTTACAAAGATTCTTCGATTATGGTTTCTAACTTTGGCTTCTTAGATTTCGAAACTGAGATCCTATGCATAAACTCCGCCGCCGAAAACTCTTCAATGTCTTCTAAATTCAGCTTCGATCCCAACGATGTCATTCTTACGTCATCTTCTTCTCCGTCCGGCGAAACTCTCCCGCTATGACAATGTTTCACCGCCGTTATGGCGCCGTAAGATTTAGTTCCGACCCCGCGGCGCTGTTGTTTCTTGGCAGCTACGAATAACCGAGCCATGTCCGAAGCGTTAGCTGCTGACGTGGAACGCGTCATAGGGAACGCGACGTACACGTGGCAGCCTTTGATTTGAAGATCATCATCGGCGGCTAAAGGGTTGAATTTCCTGCCGATTTTTAGCGACTTGGCGTCGACGAGGAAGAAGCTTGGAATCTCCATCATTAGCTCGGCGGCTTTCGTCGGCGCGTGAATGTGTCGCACTTCGCCGTCCGGAAGAATCACTCGCGCCGCCGATGAAGAAGAAGAAGAAGAGGACGTTTTGCTTAGTGCAGAACAAACTAAGTTTCCCATGACGTGAAAAGAAGATCGAAGCAGAGAAAGTAATGAAACAAGAGAAATGAAGAAGTGTTTTACTTTTAGGAGAGGATCCAAGAAGACATGAGTGGTATATATACAAGAGAATGTTTGGGGAAGATTATTAGAAAAAAGAATATCATTTTATAATTGTTTTTTTTTTGTAAGGTGGAGATAGACAGTTGTGCAAATAGAGGTTGACACTATATGGTTGAATGCGCGTCTTTACCATTATAATATATTCAAATACGTAGCCGTGTTTTCACAAGTCTAAGTCTATGACTATTTTTTTTCGTTTGCTTATCACTTTACTCTGCATGAAAGTTATAAGTTGTAAATGGCCAAAAACAGGTTTTAAACTGATATTTGACGATTTTTTTTATAATAGAAAAGCTTTGAAATTTGTCAACAAAAGTTAGGAGTTCTAAAACTAAAGTGAACAAAACAATTTTATATTAAGTTAAGGTTAATTTTCTTCTTCTGTTTTAACTTTAACGGATATTGGAAGAATAATAAGCTACATCACATAAAACTAATTTTAGAAGTTTCTGATGTTTTAGTTTTTTTTCTTCCATAGATTATGATAGTTTTTTTTTTCCCCAACTGAAGCATAATCTGAAAGTAGAGCATGTAATTGTCTTGTAATTAGTCTATAGTGACACAAATTAGTTTTGTTGAACTCAAGTAGAGTACAAATCACATCACAAAAATCGAACTGAATTTTAATTTGTTTACATTGATATTAATTCACTTCAGTTTTGTTTTTGTCATTAACATAAATCACTTAATATATGCAACATATATATTTTATTTTTTGACGACATATGCAACATATATAATGATGTATTATCAATAACAAAAATTAATAAAAGGTTTAATGGCATATCCATAATACTACTAGTTAATGCAAACTTACAAAATTAAAGATGAAAAGAAATGAAATGATGACTTTTGATTAAAGATCATTTACCAACTGAGAAGAAATTTGCATCAGACCCGATTAGACTATAGAAGATTGAACACCATGTACATACGGAATTACGGATATACCACGTAATATGAGTGGAATAACAGGAAGCTGAAAGTGTGGAAGGACGCAACATTGTACTATAATAATATTCTTACTTCCAGTTGTTAAAATGATAAGATTCATAGTGATGATCAGTAATAATGCTGCGAAATTATATACATAATATTATAAATTGCGTGTGGGACCCAACCCTCGTTTCCTTCGTACTTTCGATTTGGTTTGATTCCTTCGTTTCGTACTTTCGTCTGATTTGGAGGATCCTTTGACTCGCATATGCGACTGTTCCCCTTATCTATGGGACTCCTTGCTTCCATTTCCTTTTTTTTTTTTTAAATTATTAATTATAACAAACATATATCAAAATGTTGTGTTTATATCGTAACTATAATCGTCAGTTGAAGTTTGACACAACCTAACACCTCCTATGGTTTGAATTTAACTTTTTTAACTTCATTATCTGGATTTAAAAGCATTCATTGGTAATAATTGAATGTTTCATTCTATTGACAGCAACAATTCTCATATCTAAACTCTTCTGTCTACTGAGGTCAATATGTCATATGTAAAACAAACATTATTACGAGTTTCCATTAGCTAGGGCTAGGATATTGAGCATGAATCATCTTCTTGCATCTCATTTCATTGTTTTTTCTTTGTTCCTTTATAACAAACAGAAACAATAATTCGTCTCATGGTCAACAAGCCATCTCACAACTTTAACTAGTTATATATAGGCTTATAGTCATTTTTAATATTTTTATTACTGCTGCATAAGCTGATAAACATAACATCAATTTTCTTATGCTGGTAGATTCAATGGGGAGATCTCTTGAAAAGAGGTACACGATCTTATGAAACAATTCATATGGTGCATACCTTTGTGAGATTAAGATGTTTAAATTTTTATATATAACTGCAAAGACCAAAAGCGATAATAGACGAGAGATGTACACGACTATAATGATTCTCATCCAACATTTCCCTTGAATCTGTCAAATTATGTTGCCACTCGTGATTCTCTCCACTGAGTTTTGCGTGCCACGAGATCTTCGCAAAATTTCATGATTTTGGTCTCCAGCGAACAATAATTTAGAAACAAAAGTATCTAACTATTTCTTTATTTTGACAGCTTTGAAAAAATATTAGATGTTCTAAAACCCCATTAGTGAAGGTTTTATCTAAGCCCGCATTAACACATTATTCCTTTCCCTTTTCTCCGTCGTCTATTCATGTACAATTTATTTTTGTGGTTGTACAATACAAACGTAGTTTTTACAAATTCTTTGAAAATCTAAAAATGTAGCTACTATCACATTCCACAACATAATCCAAAGGATCCAATGGAAGTTCTGGTTTTTATTTGTAACCGTGATCCAATCCAAACGAAGTTGGTTATAAATTATAATGTTGTGGACCTTATGGTCCAACGATTTAAATTTTCTTTCTTTGGTTAGAGTAATTAATAAAGGAAAGAAAAAGGCTGCTAACTTCTTCATTTCCACAATTGCACCTCTCTTATTTTCTCTCATCTTTTCAGCATCAGAAAGACAGAAACTACCCAATTTCTTATGAAAAATATAAAAAAAATAATTTAATCAGCATGAGTTAAGTTTCTTTCAACATTTGGGCCACACTATCTTTTTATCTATTTTCCGTCTCGCCGGTTAACATTTTTCAAATTTTTAAGCCCATTAAGTAAATTCCAGCTCACTCAATTGTGCGGACGAATAAAAGCATTTTTTTCATCGTTAGCTCGTGATCACGAGATAGTGGAATAATTGATATCCTTTAACTCGCAAAATGGTCAAATATACGACGTAGATAGTTAGATATATTATCGTTGGAATATTCCAAAAGCAGCTCATATAATGGAAACTCATCACTGATCAGATACCTGAAAAGTAGTGACTAGTAGTCTCGTACGATAACTGTAGCGAAAGAAAATCACAACAAACATCAATCAAATCGAGTATACCAAAGAATATTCCAGTAATATGCATGTCTCGAAATTATCATTCTAAATCTAAAAACCCTGATTAATAGCCCTTTATAAACCCATACGCATTTCCATCTAGAAAACCATCAAAAACTACCATTTCTCCTCATTTCACATAACCAAACCTAAAAATAACTCCCAAGAATCCAATAAAATGAAGAACCTCGCAGTTCTTGTTGCTGTGATTCTCATTTCATGCTGTGTCACATCTCAAGTCACAGCAAAAGATTTGAAGTCAATTCCATCACTGCGTAGCGAGAAGCTCGAATGGTGGTGGCATTACCATTACTTCCCTTACTATCACCCTAAACCATATTGGCCGTTCCCCGCCGCTAGAAAGGCCTTGCCGCCACTCCCTGCCGGTTCCAACCACCACTTCCACCCGATTCCGTTCCACCCACCACCGGTAGTCACCAAATGCTTGTCTGATTGCAAGGAGGTAAGAACATGTCTTGCGGATGTCGCCATGGCTTATGTCACCCGCAAACCCGTTATAGGAACGGAGTGTTGCGCCTCGATCGCGAAGATGGATGAAGATTGTGAGAAGACCATCTTTGGAGCGTACCACAACCCTTACTTTGACTGCCTTGTTAAGCTGTATTGCTCCACCAAAGCTGGATCTACTCCATCTGCTCCCTCGCCGGCTTAGGGTCTTAAGTTCTTAACTACTTATTAGAATTAATTAGCTAGAAGTATTGATTTTTTAGTTTCTTTTCCCATTTTTTTACCACATGTTGCTCTCCAAGATAGTTTTTCCTTGCGAATAATAATATCAGTGCTTTTAATAATTAGTATTGTGCATTTATATTTTTTATTTTAGTAACGGGATATTACTTATTAGTGATGGTGATAGTCATGATATTTTCATTCGATAGTATTGTTTTGGACGAGATAAGCCAAAGTCAATATCGGAATCTATCTCCTTGTATATTTATCGAAAGCTACAAAGTTAAATAAATATATATATATATATATAAGTTACAGAAAAATATATGAAGTTGATATTAGAGTTAGAATCACCTGTAATTTGTATTATTTTTTATTTTTATTTTTTTTTCTGCATGGAACAAAGATATGCATGATCATATTAGACTTATCTGACCTAGCTAAAAAAGGAGTTATCATGCATATTCAAAACTAGCTCACGTCGATATACTTTTTTTAACAATATGTTTATCACATCGATAATTATCACTTACTAGATTCCATTCTTTTTATTTATAGTTTTATTTGAGAAAGGATTTTTTTTTTTTACGATAACATTCATATTCCACCATAGAATATTCCATTCTTATTCATAACCATATTCGAAATTATCAAAACTCTGCTTACACCCCTATATAAACACCCAACGTCTTACCATAGTTAAACCATCCAAAACAGAATTCCTATTCTCTTCTCGTTTCACAAACTTAAAGCTCTAAAGAATGAAGAATCTCATACTTGTTCTTGCTATGATTCTCTTCTCAGGCTGTGTCACAGCAAGAGAATTGAAGTCAACTCCATCTTTAGGTAAGGAAGAGCTCCTTTCATGGCCTCACTACCCTCACTTTCACCCAAAGCCACATAAGGTCCACCGCGCCAGAAAACCCTCCCCACTGCACCCTGCTGGCCGTCACCATCCAGTTCCGTTCCATCCACCACCGGAAGTCACCAAATGCTTGTCCGATGGACAGGATGCAAGAAGATGTCTTGTGGATATCTTTAGGGCTTCCGTCACCCGCAAAACTGCTATCGGACCCGATTGCTGCGCTGCGATCAGGAAGATGAACAAAGATTGTGAGAAGACCGTCTTTGGATCTTTCCATAACCCTTTAGTTCACACATATGTTAAACTACATTGCTCCAACAAGGCTGTTTCTTCTCCGGCTGGTGCTCCTTCTGGGGCAGTTTCTTCTCCGGCTGCTGCTCCTTCTCGGGCAGTTTCTTCTCCGGCAGCTGCTCCTTCTCGGGCAGTTTCTTCTCCCGCTGCTGCTCCTTCTCCGGCTTAGGTTTTTATTTATTTATTAGAATTAGAAGTATTGATTTCTTTGGGATTTTTAGTTATGTTTTGGTTTTCTTTTTCTTACTTTGATCTGGCTTTACAATATATTCCTGTCCAGGGGTTTAAAATCACCCTTCTATATCACTAATAAATAAAGTTTTCAAAATAAATTTAGTTAACTTTTGGTTACAGTTCTTCAATTCACTATAGTTCTGTTCATTCTGGTTACGCGTACTTTTGTTGTTCTAATAATTAGACTCTGTTCTCTATCTTTATTAAAACTTATGATGTCGAAACTCCTAGTTTGCTCCGTAATTAGCTGAATTCTTGTATGCAAAAGACATACTCCCTCTGTCCCATATTATAAGCTGTTTTGTATGGGACAAAGGGATTAATTACTAATCATATTTTAATTATGTGCTCATAGATATTATGGAAATTTTTTATTAAATAGATGAACATTAAAATAGAGATAATTGCTCATATATATTACGGGAAACACTGCATATAAAAAAACGAAAAAAAAAAACATACCGTATATGGAACTTGGTACAACAATTTCATACTGTTGCAATAAAATCAAAGGATATTACAAAAAAAAAAAAAAAAAAAAAAAAAATCAAATGAAACTTGGTTCAAAAGAAAGAAAAAAAACCCCTCAAATCTTCAAATCAATGCAAATGCATTATTAATAAAGTATTTCAGAACATTTTCATTAATGTTCAACTAACAGATACCACCTGTCTTCTTCCTGTCGGAGACAAACTTCTTCCAGCCACTGATGATCTCTTTCTGCTTCTCCATATCGCTTTTCTTCACAGTCACCACCAAGTTGTCACCGTTAGCTTCACTTTTCTTCTCTCCTAGTGATATTTTGTGGATCATTCGCGATGGAAGCTCATCAAGCTCACAGATCACTTTCTCAATATCGATCACAAGTCTCTCGGCCAATGTTCTTGAGAAATCTTCTCTGATGACCACTCGAAGAACAGTTATGTGCTGTGCGTCTGGAGGCATTGTATAGGCCGGTACTATCCATCCGTACCTACATTTCAAATACGTATAGAGACTTTAAGTATAGGTTATATCTGTAATTACTTTTTTTAATGTTAATGTGCTTTAGTTACTTTACTATCAAAAGCATGAATCGTAGCACAATGTGGGGGCATTTGAAATCTTAGTTAAGACAACTAACCTGCGAAGCATGTCGGAGACTTCAAACTCAGTGTGAGAACTGTTATCTTTCAAGGAGAAAGCGACAAGTGGCACTCCCTCGTCCTTTGATACGATGTTGAACCTTTCTGTCTTCTCAAGTCCTTTCCTTAGCACGATCATATTCTCTCTGCAATTCTCCATCACATTTCTATAACCCTGTTTAATACATTTTTAACTATCAAATAATGTTTCATTAATTAGCATGCTATATAATATCTATAATCGTGGACCGCCTCACCTCGTGACCCAATCGGATAAGTTGATAGTATTGAGCAATGATTTGACTCGAGCCTGCGTTTTAGTATTTAGAGGAGAATATCAATGAATACAATACAAGAAAAATGAGAGCAATTAGTAGATTATGTAATAAACTAGTGCTTGGTGGTGATAAAGTGAACCGATTACTTAAATTTTCAAGGTAAAAAAAATATAGTGACGTTCCCCTAATTTAAACAGAAAAAGTTTGACCTTAAATCACTCTATCACGTTGATGTTCAAGACAACCACTACTAATTTTAAAAATAGAACAAAATGAATTTGAATACGAAATCATGTACGTGACTTTTACGGTATATTAAAATGGACAGATATTTAACCTCATCACTTTGATGTTAGTCTATCTAGATCATGACTAGTAAAAGTCAAACAAAAAAAAAGGATTAGGACTAGCAAGAAGAGTTAAAATAAACAACCATGATCAAGTAAATTACCTTTGGAGAAATTGAGGGTAAAAGTGGGTTGGTCAGCACCAAGGTAATTGATATGAAAGATGAGTTCCTCAGGCAAATCCTCTTTGTTTCTCCAAACCACCCAACCAATTCCTGCATACACAAGTCCGTACTTGTGACCACTCACATTTATACTCTTCACCAAGGACAATCTAAAGTCCCATTCCAATTCCGGATACAGAAACGGTGCTATGAATCCTCCACTAGCCGCATCCACGTGGATCGGTGTATCCCATCTATCAAATACATGCATCAACCCATATTATAGTTGCTTTAATTTGATATTGTATATTTATGGTAGTGGTATAAAGGTAGTTAAATTACCCGGTTTCTTTGTTCTTTTCAACCAAGAGATCGTTCAAGAGTTTAACATCTTCGAATTCTCCATTAAGAGTGGAACCAAGAATGGCCGCAACACAGATAGTGTTCTCATCGACCATCTCAACAGCTTTCTCCGGATTCATCACATAATATCCTTCACTTAGTTTCACTTCCTTAAGCTCAACCTCAAAGTACCTAGCGAATTTCTCCCAACACACCTAACATTTTGAATTTTTGAACTCGTTATTAGAGATAGCTCAAAAACGCAAATTGTGATTGTTAAACTTGTATAATCGTTAATTACTTGGACATTGGCTCCGGTGACAATGTTGGGTTTATCAAAGGGTTTGCCTTCGGCTTTACGTTTGTTCTGCCATTTCCGCTTGAAGGCCAAACCGGCCAACATTATGGCCTCCGATGATCCAACTGTTCCCACTCCGACAGCTGTCTCCGTCTCTCCTAACGGTGCATTGAATAGATGCGCAATCATGTTCACACATCGGTTCTTTTAAAAAAAAAACAAGATATTAAAACAAAAATATTGATTAGTAAAAACCACTTGAGTAATGACTTATTGACATCGAGAACGTGACAGATCATAACGATAAAACTAAAATAATACACACTCAAAGTGGTGGAGATTAATAAGTAAATTAAATTATTCTACAGTGCAACTTGAGATCGTGTAATAAATAGTATAATGTAAGAAACCACGATCCTAGTTAACGAAGAACAAATTGTGATCATGTTCTAATCTGAATAATGAAACATACATACATATATATATATATATATATATATATGTGTTAGTAAATTTGACCCAGTATGTTTTTCTATATCATATTCTTTAGGCTTCTAATTTAAAATACGAGGAATCTAATAATTTGAAAGTATACCGGAATTCTCTATAATATTCTTTTTGTTTCTGCATGTGATGGCCAATCAGAAAATATCATTACAGTTTGTCCGACGATCAATTTAAATATTAGAAAGACCAAGACCAATATTCCCACTAAACTACACGCCATACTATAATCCCAAATTTGATAATGACTTCCAGAGAAAAAGTCATCATATTTTTTTTTGATAAAAAAATGTCAACATAGTTGGTATACATATATACAGTAAATATAAGATTTAACAAAACATCTTATGATGATACTACCTAAAAATGGTATGAAGATAAATTCCCCCAAAAAAACAATCAAAATATACCATACAATCTCGATCCGGAATATCAATTACCGATCATAACATTTTAGCTTATCGTAAAAAATAATTTGAATATAAATTCTCCAGATCCTATATATGAACATTTATCTCCATACATGTAAGCCGATATATGATTATCTATGAATAAATAAATACCTGGAGTTCGGTGGTGACGGGGTACTCATCCATGTCGACATAGTTCTTGTTAATGGAGGCCATGATGAGTTTATCGCACTCAGGCTCCATCCACGTCGTCACAAAGGAGGCCAAGTTCAACCGTGGATTCCCGTCAAGCATCAGCTCGTCGTTTATTATCTGATACGCCGCTTCTTTCGGCATCGAGTTTTCCGGCATCTTGAACCTGATATTTACGTTTTCATTTTTCAATGTGATCAAGACAATTAGTTTGATATGATAATCAAGATTAGTATATTGTTAGCTATAGACACATTACCTGGGGAGTGAAGTTCGGACGTATCTTGATGCGAACGTTGAGTGGACGGAGACGTCTGACTCCGATGCGGCGTGTGAGAGCACCATCACGGCGATGAGAGAGAGAAAGAGAGAGAACTAATGGGAAAATGAGATCGAGAAAAAAAAAAGTGATGAATGGGATTGAAGGAAGAAGAGAAAACACCTTATGGGGAGTTTTATATCAATAAATATGATCGGCAACCATGTGGGTTAACTTGGGTAATAAAATATTTTTTTTTATATAAAAGAACTTATGGAAATTTCCGTTTTCAGAAATTTTCGTCCCAAGGCATATTCTTTGTTTGAATTAGCAAAGTAATGTCTCTAGTTTCTTTTCCAGTGGTAGACCCAATATCTTTTCAAGAACTTTTGTTTCAAGTTTGATATCTGTTTCAAAATCGAAATTAGAATCATTACGGGGTCCGGAAACATACGGTTTCCTTTTCAAACAAACTAAAACAGAAATTGTAAAGACATTTTCTGTGTGTGAAATGTGAATAAGAACATTCATTAAAAAAAACTTATGAAAGCACATTGAAAATACGACTGTTACTGATTGAAAAACACGGTGAATATATCTAATGCTTGCTAAGTAAATGACGAATGGTATCTCAGACAAAGAGAAGCTTTTGTAGAGTTCTATGTATTAGATTGAATTATGACGTTCTCAGAAATTTATGTTTACGGCCAAGTTCGTTTTGAAGGCATGCAATTTGTTTAAACTTGTATAATATCTTTTTTCATTACACAGTTAGACTAAACGTTTTTAGTATTTACATTGTTCGCTGTTGAACGATAACATGTATGGGACCATACCATATAGTTTCTGCTTTTTAATATCAGCAGTATGGAAACTCGGACCGAGGTTTATCTTCTATTTTCGAAACTGATTTGGGAATGCATTGAAAATATGGGAACCGATAAGTGTGTTAACATATTTACTACTGATCAGGTAGAAACGCTATGAAAATGCTAAATTTTAAAAAGGTGACATCCAAGTTTGTTTGTTTGTTTGTTTTTTATTTTTATTTTTACATTTGTACTTTTGGTTTAAACTTTTAAGTCCATTAACTTCTCTTTTCTTTGTTTACGAAAAAAAATTGGACCATTTTTCAATTTGTGCGTGTATCATTCCAGTTTTATCCGATGTCTCCGAAGAAACAAGTCCATTAACTTTTCATAAGCAACTAAACAAAACAAGATCAACTATTAATCATGGCCCAATCATTTTGAAAGTCCAAAATTCGATATTCGGGTTAAAAAGAAAGCTTTTTACAAACAAGAGCCTATAAATTCACGATTTTAGTTTTCTAGGTTTTTTAACGGAGAAAACAAACAACACTTTTCACAGATCTTTAATCGGCTTTGTTTATTCCAGGTTTTCGAGCGCAGAAGAACAACACTTTTCACAAATCTTAAATACATATATGATTTCTTTCCTGCGCTTTTCGAATTTGACATGATTTTTTAAAACTTTTTTTGTCAAATCAAAACTTTCGTAAATTCTTAAATGTTCGTGAATATATAGCTTTATACAATTATACTCTCGGTAACGAAGGTAGGTTTTCTTATGAACTTCTATTTCTAGATAATCTATTGTTTTTTCATGTTTCTCTAGGTATTTATGAATCTTATTTTCTTCTTATTTATATATAATAATAATTTTATTTTACTAATTTTTAACCATTTTTACATACATTTCTTTTCTCCACTTTTCAAATTTGATCTGATATTTTTCAAATATTTTTTTTCACAATTCTCTTTAACAATTGTGAATACCTAGACGTTCCATTCCCGGTAATTAATCTTTTTTTTCATGTTTTTCTAGATTTCTATGAAATTTCTTTTTCTCATTTATACTTAACAATTACAATTCTTTGTATAAAATCTTCAATTTTCTCTATGATTAAGACATATATTCTAAAATTATTGAGCTGTCTATGCATAAATCACAGAGTTGACTAGAAATTAGATTTAAGAAATAATATTATATAAGAACTTAAAACTTGTTGTGAAATGAAAGGAACTTGTAATTTATTTTATTCTAGAAGAAGTTAAACTTATTTTAAAACCATAGACTTTAAAAAATTAATATATTATTTCTTTTTTCAGATCAGTATTTAATATATTAAAAATTCCAGTATATATTAACTGTTTCATAGATTAGGACAGACAAATATTTTCTGTTACATGTTTGGTATAATTTTAACTTTTTACAATTTTTAACTGTTTATATGTTTAAATTTTTTTTCCAGTATATATTAACTGTTTAAAAGTATACAATAATATATACAAAAATTAAAGAAGATTAATGTTTTTAAATTTCTGCATATTTTTTTAAAAAGAAGAATACTATATTTTTGGTATACAGCTGTGCTAAGTATTTTTGTTTTTGTAAAAACACATTAAACATATAACTGGAAAATATATTTAGATAAAATAGAAATTATAATGTTAGAAAAAAATTATATATATGGTACAAGATCAAAACTAAATCAGAATATTAGTAGAAATAGTTGGATCAAACAACTTTTTACTAAAATTATGGCAAAAAGAAAAAACATGTGACACATGTTTTTTTTATAAGATCAATGACCAACATCCAAAACATTATGGAAATAAAAATATATTACAAAACTAATTATAATATATATATAATTATAATGTATACCATATCTATAATTGTTTCATTCAAAATAGATATTCTACCATATACAATATAATCTTCTTCCTTTTTTTGTTCACAATGTGTATCTCTAAAAGAAGAGAAAGATTATAATGTAAATGGTATAATATCTATTTTCAAAGAAAAAATTATGTATATGGTATACATTATAATTATATATATATATATATTATAATCAGTTTTGTAATATCTTTTTTATTTCAAAAATGTTTTGGATGTTGGTCATTGATCTTATCAAAAAAAATGTGTCACATGTTTTTTCCTTTTGCCAGAATATTAATAAAAAGTTGCTGGATCCAACTATTTGTACTAATATTCTGATTTTGTTTTGATATTGTACCATATATATGAACCTTTTCTAACATTATCATTTCTATTTTATTTAAATATATTTACCAATTTTATTTGTTAATGTGTTTTTACAAAAGACAAAATACTTAGCACGACTGAATACCAAAAATATATTATTCCTCTTTTTCAATAAAATATGCAACAATTAAAAAGCATTAATCTTCTTTAATTTTATATAATATTATTGTATATTGTATATTGTATATTGTATACTCGAACTTGAACTTCTGAATTTTTAAAATGGAGGCATATATATATGTGAAAAATAAAATCAAACATTTCAGGCATGCTTTAAACTTACGAAACAGTGGGAGTATGACTTTAAATTATATATATATATTATATATATATATATTAGTTTAATGATTCGGTCTTAATATACAATTTTTAATAAAAAAAATACTGATTCGATCCTATTTTTGTTGGGCTTATAATATTACTGATTCGATTCTAATTTATATGTCATCTATATTTTATTTACGTGACATTATATACATCAAAATATACTAATCACTTGTTACTAATTTTGTGGGCTTGAAATCTTGCCATTTTAGATCTCGTTATGATTTCATGTTATCTATAATGGAAGTTCATTATGATTTCAGGCTATCTTGCCATTGGTTGACCAACCAGTAGTATCTAAAATATGTGGTTATATAAATTAACAGAGACAAGTTTATAATAAATTTCAAGCATAATGAAAGTTGAATTGTTTATGATCGTAGATTCTTGTGAAACACTGAAAACTGTCCGTTGTAGATTTTTTCTTATATAGTTTTTTCTCATAATTTGTAATAAAATATATAAAACTCATGTAAATTGATCAAATTAGTATATACTCCAACTGTTCGTCTATAAAACTTATAGGATTTGAATTTAAGTGTAATTCATTGTCACTTCATAATTTAATTTAATCTGTTTATTAGAATCATTTGCTATTGGATTATTATTTTAAAACTATATTCTATATATTTAAAATTTTAATATTATTATATTTGATATTTTAAGTTGAGTTTATGGACTAAATGTGATTCAACATTAACTCAAAATAAAATAAAATAAAAAAATTTCATGAAATTATCCCAAAAAATGAATCAGTTAAAATAAAATCTAAATTAATACAGATTTTTTTTTTATAATAATAACACTAAATATTGTAAAATGAAATGAAATAAATGTTTAATTATATATACCGTCTAAATAATTATAATTTTTAAAACTGATACCTCTATATATTAGTTTATGTTAAGGAAAATCCAGAATGTCATCTTAACATTTGCTTGCCAACAAGTCACCTTGATTTATTAGACAATCGTGTTGAATTTTATTTAGTTTTTAATTTGTGTGTTCAGTTCTTATCCAAATGTACGCTATGTAAAACGTAAATCCAAATTATAACAGAAATTAGTTTTCTTTTTGACTGAAAATATAATAAAATATTTTAGTACCTACCTTTACAGTAACGTCCACCACAATAGAAAATCTGTAATGAGATATTTTTCATAAATGGTTTTGTTTTGTTTTCTTTTGAGGCTTTTCCTCCTTATTCATTTATTAATTATTTTTAAGGCTGTAGAAAAAACTTTTAAACCATATTTGGCTATCTAGTTTTCTATATAAATAGCTATAGTGGTTAGTACTTTATGTGTACTTTCTTTCATCTCAGTTGGGAAGAAGAAATGAGTTCTAGTCGTGATGATGACAGTTCAAGCGATGATGAAACTTCTGAGACCACCAACAACAATCAGAGAATGTACCATAGGCATACAAACGCCCAAATTCAAAGACTTGAAGCGTAAGAGCTTAATTTAATTTATAATCAGTTTTTTAAATATAATTTTATAGCTTCTAATTCATAATTAATATTTTGTAAATTGATTTAAGGTACTTCAAGGAATGTCCTCATCCAGATGATGAGCAGCGACGTCAATTAGGCGAGGAACTGCAGTTGCGATCAAAACAAATCAAATTTTGGTTTCAAAACAAACGAACGCAAGTCAAAGTAATTATTTTTTTCATATCACAATTTAGTATATGATTTGCTTTAAGTAAAACAAGCGAAAGTATAACTAGTCATTATTTTGTTTTACTACAAACTAATTGGTTTTATACCCTTACCACAAATCATGAAAACTGCGTATTAATTCAAAAATTTAAATTGAGGTTTACCTTTTATTTTTATTTTTGAGAAAATTACTTTGAAATTTTGGCTATTAAAAAACTCAGTTTAACATATTTTTATATATTTAATAATGATAGACTCAATGTGAAAAAAATGACAACCTATCACTAAGAACGGAGAACATGAAGATAAGACGTGAAAATGAAGCGATACTAGAAGCGCTCAAGACTGTGACTTGCCCTCCATGTGGTGGCCCTCGTCTTGGGAGAGAAGAACGAAAAATTAGTGTCAGAAATTTACGAGCACAGAATGTCTACCTCAAAGACGAGGTGCGTGTTCATCCATATTTTTTTTCATAAATAAAATTATTTTTTTGATGAAAATCTTTTTAACTTTTACCATTTCGTCAGTCGTTAAATGGATGTTTATATTCTGAAATTAAATAAAAAATTTGGTTATTTTAAAATTTTATATACTTATGGATGATAATCTCATATTAATGTGTAAATTATGAAGAAGAGATAAACCTTTATTTGATGATTTTTCGTAGATGAATTTTCGTTTTTTTTTCTTTGTGTTTTTATATACAATATTTATTATCGATGAAAAACCTTATTAGGGTTAGTATGGTTCACTATGCATTTAAAGTATTAAACATAAGAATAAATGTTTGAAAATTGTTAAAATGAAATAAAAAATAAGAAACATATGATTTTTTAAAAAATAATCAAAAATGATACTATACACATATGTTCTATTTATATTTAAGCTAATAGTATTTTTTAAAGAAAATAATCAATTTAGTTATCCAGAAAACTTATAATTCTATGCTTATATAAAAGATAATATGATTTGTTTCTTGTTTGGTTGTACAAACAATGTCTATATGCGAATATTTTTTTCACTATAACCCCATCTGTATTAGATATAAAATCATCAAATGCTCCATTGTTTCATAAACATATGCAATATTTTAGGTTGAAATTTTTTTGTTTTGTTTTACCTGTTTTATATGTAGTATTTACTAACTAGTTCTATGTCGAATGGGTAAAGAAATCTGTTAAGGTTTTTCTAGTTCCCTGTTGAATGATTTATTAATAATTTTAACTTATAAAAGATCTGAATTTTGAAACATGACATAAGAATTTCAATGGAAAAACTCTACAAATATTTTTTTTTAATTGTAAGACGACCAAAAAAAAATGAATTGTATATATAGTTATATATATATATATATATATTCATGTTTTGCTAACGGGTTTCTTTTTAACATCATCGGTTTAGTCCCATGGTTTGTGAAAGATAATAACATAATATGATTTGTGTCCTTGTTCGGTTTTACAAACTACTATATGTCTATATGAATATATGCGATTATTTTCACGCCAACAACGTACATAAGAAACGAAATCACTAATATTTTCGTTGATCAAAATATGAATACCAGCACGAGAAACTGAAAGCTGCCGTAGCCAACAACGGAGGGAACTCTATGCTTAGGGCCGATGAGATACCATTTCACAATGGTCAACCATCGTACGCCAGTAATCCTCATTTCTCGTATGGATCATCGTCAAACTCCTCGAGAGTCCTCGAGGCACCAAGCGGATCAGGGGAACCATACGCTCGTGAACACATGAACGTCTCCCAACCGCCACGGCCCCGACAACCGCTACAACTGCAGCATATCCGGCCGCTAACTCAAGCGGAGAAACTGATGATGTCTGAAATGGCGAAACAAGCAGTGTCAGAGGTCATGAAGCTGGCTAACCTCGAAGGACCGATGTGGATTAATTCGTCTATCGATGGCAGAATCGTGATTGATCAGGGCTACTACGAGAAGGAGTTCGCAAAGCCTAGCCATTTGAAGAATACAACAAGTGTTCGTGTTGAGTCTTCTAAGGATGTCGTGCTGATTCCAGTGGATGCAAAAGACTTGGTCGACATGTGCTTCGATTTGGTACGTACTTATGCCATTTCATTTCTTATTTTGTTTTGGGTGATTAGGAAACCGAAATTTTCATTCGCAAGAGATAGTAAGATATTTTGGATGAATACTCTTTCCGTTTATATAGTAAGTTTCTTATATAATTTTTTTTTTCGTTATAAGTTTTTTTTTTTATATTTAATGCATAGTTTGATAAAAATTATAGATTTCTCGATGGGAGGATGTACGGATCTCGATTCAGAATTCCATATAGAAAAAAATTAATGAATTAACAAAAAAACAGGAATTTAATTATTTTTAATATTTGTAAAATAAATAAATAAAAAATACACTTGCAAATAAAAACAGAAGAAGTAATGTAGAAAATATTTATCTTTTTAGAATTTTCATTTATATATCTTTCTCGAAATTACAACATCTTAAACCGAATATTGCAGGAGAAATGGGCGAGAGTTTTTGCAACAATCGTGAACGAAGCTAAAACGATTCACGTGCTGGAGGAGGAGTCCATAGACCTAGAAAGACCGGGCTTCTCGAAAATGGTATGAACCTTAAAATGTTTTGAATATATTTTCCCAGTTTTTTTTTTTGGTTAAAGAACTGTTAGTGTTATATATGATTATTTGGTACTTTGGGTGATAATTTACTAAAATAGATGTATGAGCAACTGCACATACTGTCGCCGTTGGTGCCACCGAGAGAGTTTGTGATCCTAAGACGTTGCCAGCAAATGGAAGATAATTCCTGGGTGATTGCTGATGTGTCTTATCATCTCCAAAACGTTGAGTTTGACTCTCCGACTTGCTCCAAACGTCCCTCCGGTTGTCTCATCAAAGGCTTGCCCGATGGTCGCTCTCAGGTCTCTTATATCTTTTATTTTATATTTGTTTAGTCTTTCTTAATTCAGTATATATTTTCATATTTTGCTCTCTTTAATTTAGTCCCTTTTCTCAACTATAGTGGCTTAACTAATCCATTGATATTGTTCAACATATTAATCATCTAGACGTCAATAATCAATTGGTATTTGTTTAGCATGCATGTTCATTTACACATCTATAAGCAATTGGTCAAATTTGCAATACCAAAAGAATAATCAAAATAGAAATGCTTATGGTCATGATTGTGGTAATTGTTGGATGGTTACATATTATATTAGTCAAAATGTGTAAAAGGTTAACTATTATTTGATTACACTTTTACCACTAGTGAAATGTGAGTACCTTAAAGAAAATCAAAACAATGACAAAAGACTATGGGCAGGTGACGTGGATAGAGCACGTGGAAGTGACTGATACAGTGAAAACTCATCGCCTTTACAAGGACCTCATGTGCGGCGGCTCCGGCTATGGAGCTCGCCGTTGGGTTGTTACTCTTGAGAGAATGTGCGAGAGGATCGCTATCTCCTCCAGCCCTGACTTCCAAACCATCGACATCGGCGGAGGTACTTATTACCTATATATACATACAGTACTCTTTGAGAATCCAAATGCTATCATATTTGTTATACGGTTTAGCTAGTCTAGAGAATTATATTCATTCACAATTTTTTTTTGCTGAAGTTTTTTTCCCCACAAATCTTATTTACAAATAAGACATACGAAATTCATGGAACGTTTCTTAGTTTAAAAAGAAAACGTATATGTTTTAGAAAAACAAACGTTCTAATATACAAATTGAAAATCTTGCTAGTCATCTGATCATACATTGACAAGTACTTACCCAAAATCTGATACTTTGATTTTGTTTTGTTTTTATGTAGTTGTGAAAACTCGAGAAGGAAGAATGAGCGTCATGACTTTAGGAGAGAGAATGACGAAGAATTTTGCATGGGTGCTGAAAATGTCTGGAAAACTCGATTTCTCTCAACTGTCTGAAACCAGCAATAGCGGAGTGAGGGTTTCGGTTAGGGCAAACACAGAGGCCGGTCAACCCCCCGGTCTCATTGTCTGCGCCGGTTCATCTTTATCTCTCCCCCTCCCTCCTGTCCAAGTTTACAACTTGCTGAAAGATGTCGACATTCGTCACCAGGTACATTGCTCAAGTCCATATTCAAATAATCATCTTTTATATTATTTTTTAATTATATTTACAATGTCGTAATTAACAACATTTCTATAATGTTTGTATGTAACAAAAAGTGGGACGTTCTTTGCCATGGGAATCCTGTCGCTGAGGTTGCTTGCCTCGTCACTGGATCAGACCGCAGGAACTGTGTGAATATTCTCCAGGTAGATTATCCATACTGAAACCTAATTGTTTTTACAAGATAGTCAATACATCTATATCCTCATGAAAGTTGATTACAGTTTTGATTTATTTGTCATTGTGTTACGTAATAATAACTAACGTTAGTTTTCTCTATGTATGTATACAGCCTTCTTCAGGTGCTTCGGAGAATGCTGAGATGATGATAATACAAGACAGTTACATTGATGCATTGGGAGGTATGATGGTCTACGCTCCGGTGGATCTCAACACTGCGTACGCGGCCATTTCAGGCCAAGTCGATCCTGACGGCATTCCAATCCTCCCTTCTGGTTTCATCATCTCCCGTGACAACCGTCCTTCCTCCGCCGAGCCCGACTGTGGCCCTGACCATACCCTCCTCACTGTGGCTTTCCAGATCCTCGTTCATGGTCCGACGACTCACTCTGGAGAGCTCAACCTGGAGGTGTCTACAGCGACAGTCAATACCCTGATTAGCTCCACCGTTCAGAGGGTCAAAGCGATGCTTAATTGCAATCAATGATGTTCAGAAGTGATCTGTTCAATCAAAACCTTTCTCAATAATTCACAAATTATCTGGTGAAATCCGTTTCTTTCTCTCTCTTTTTCAAATAATGTTTTTGAGTGATGAGAAGACAGTTCTCCGATGATTCTCTTTTGAGTCTCATATGCTCATAACTTTCATTTCTTTTGGTTTAATAATTTCTAAGGCAAGGGCCTTAGATCAAACAATATTTATGCTGTTGCATGTTGGTGGCATGCTTGTTTGTGTTACTGTTGTAAGACTATAAGCTGTTTTTGCTTAATTTAAGTACTTTATTATGGATAATTTTGCTGGTATTTCGTTATTTTTTTTTTTTTTAGTACTCTGTTTCATGACTTGAGATTTTTAAAGAATTACTTTTGTTTTATACTTTTTTTTGTTTTTGGAAAAAAATTACTTTTGTTTTATACTTTCAATTTATAAAATGTTTTGCAAGTTTGTGTTTGTAGATTTTAATGTTATATTATAACTCTGAATTTTTAAATTTTTAAATCTTTTATATGATTGGCTGAATTTTGTTTTTACTAGTTATTAAATATTTTTTTCTTTAAAAAAATGTTTTTAAAGTTTACATTTTTATCTAAAACATCTTATATTTTTGAAACAGAAGGAGTATGACTATAATTTTGAAAATAATAGAAGATGTTAAATATTTGTTTTTTGTTTTAAACTTTCAATTTATAAAATGTTTTACAAGTTTCTTTAGAGATTTCAATGGTATACTTTTATATGATTGGCTAAATTTTATAAATAATGTTTTGTTTTGAAATATATTAATCAATTCTTGGGCCTACATCGATTTGAAACGAGTCGGCCGGGTGAATAAGGGGATATATATATATATATATATATATATATATATGTTGGCGTGAGAAAAAAGCAACATGGCCTAAATCGAGAAACCTAAACCTAAATCGCGTAGACGACAATAATGATCTTGGAAGAGGATCCTTTCGGTGAGGACGTACATTCTGCCTGCACTTTGGCCGAGGAGAAAAAACTGGAGGAATGCGGCGGGGTAATTTGTTTCTTTACTCTACTCTGAGAGATTGATCTGTTCATGTTCATGTCTCCGATCGAATTGAATCTGATTATATATGTTTTCGCATGTGATATAGGAGTTGAATTTCAAAAATCTGATTATATATATGTTTTTGCATGTGATTTAGGAGTTCAAATTCAAAGGCTATGCGCGCCATATCGGACTAGAGTCAGTGGCGTGTAATGAGCGGAGGCCATGTCCTCCCCGAGTCAGCCTGTATGCTAGGATGGGCCTCCATCGTTACAATTGGTTGAAGGGTAGAAAGTTTGAGCTGAGTCGCGTGGGCCGTTACGTTAAAACAATTGGTTCTGCTGCTAGCACTTACTATATGACTCTGTATGCAATGGATATGGGAGGAGGAGGAGGAGGAGGAGCCTCTTTGCCGCCAGAAACTTGTTTTGAGATTGCAGTATCAGAATATAGCGCCAACTGTTTTATTCTCTTCTGCGATATTGCAAGAATTCAAGGTATGCATTTAACTGTTCATCCCTAAACCAGCAGCTTAATTAATTGCTTGCTGATGATGATTCATCTGTTCCATCTTCTTAATTAGTGTATATATCTGTTAGGGGAAGAAGACCAAACCAAACGTAGGAGAAAGCGTATGGATACTCACTTGCCTGAGTGGCCCCCAGTGAATCCTCTATACATGGTAATAAGATTAATCAAAGAAGGAGGCACGTGGCATCAAATATATATGATCAACAAATTAAGTTGTGTTTTGCTTTTTGGTGGTTAGGTGGAGAAATCAGAGGTACAAGAGCATGATGAGTGGATTCGTCTATATGTGGAACTTGCTGTTGCCTTTGATTTTCCTCCCAGAGGAGGAGGCGACTTTGAGATTCTCGACGTTGCCATGGATCGGAATGATGAGGGGCTCGATGCCAAAAATGCAACCTTCTACATAAGCTACAGGGACTTAGACGATGCTCGGCTTGGTAAGTCTTGTCATCGCATTGCTACAGTTAGAAGATCATTTGATGAGGATTCGGGAAACTTCTATCTAGTCGGTGGCTCGGAATTTAGAACAGAAGGATCAAGCTATATGCACAGGCCTTTATCCATTTGAAACTGCTCGAATAACTTGATTGATAATCTGGATTGTCAAGTGGATCGTTTTTTGTTTATATATCTTTTATGCTCGAATAATGTATATAGAAAAACCTATGTTTGGGGAAGAATGGGAATCATATGAAAAATTCACAAAATAACAGTCAACAATGATTCCCATGATTTCTGAGATATTAATAAATTAGTGTGTCATGATGTTATCAGTCATGTATATAGCAGATAGAGGAAATGATAGGAAGAATAAAGTATTTTATTAATAAAAGAAATCTGATAAACCACATGACAAAGATAGATCCATCAAAAAGCATCTCCCCTGCTCCAAAATCAATACCGAATTTAGATATATACATTTCAAAGTCTAGTGTTTAATTGTGCAGGGTGAGATTAATAAAGCACCTCCCATCGGTATGCTTGTTCTTCTCGTACCAACTCCACAACTTTACTCGCATGCGACTTCAATCACTGAACAACACATCAATCTACTACTTCTCATAACATCTTTCTCTATCGTTGCATCCGCAAATTGTTCTCACGTCTTGGTGCACATCAAAGTGAAGCAAAACTCTGTTTTGACTGTTGTCTACAAGCTAGAATGCTTCTGAAGTCACTTGTTATAATCGGTGCTTGCTTTGCTAGGAATAGTAGTGGGATCCATTGGCACAGCGGTACCATGGCTGTCTTCACGCACGACAAGCTTGTCACATCTTTTTCCTTTTTCTTGAGAATTTGTCTCTTGTGTGTTTCCGGCAACACATGTTCAAGAAGGACGATTTTCTTGGGCCTACATCAATTTGAGGAAGGCCCGTCTGAAGGGGATATATATATATATATATATATATATATATATATATATATATAGTGTTTGCGTGAGAAAAAAGCATCATCGCCTAAATCGAGAAACCTAAACCTAAATCGCTTAGACGACAATCATGATCTTCGAACCTCATCCTTCCGGTGAGGACTTACATTCTGCTTACACTTTGGCCGAGCATAAAAAACTGGAGGAATGCGGCGGGGTAATTTGTTTCTTTACTCTACTCTGAGAGATTGATCTGTTCATGTTTTTTTTTTTTTTTTTTTTTTTTTTTTTTGGTTTTAAGATTTGTTCATGTTCATGTCTCCGATCGAATTGAATCTGATTATATATGTTTTTGCATGTGATTTAGGAGTTGAATTTCAAAAATCTGATTATATATATGTTTTTGCATGTGATTTAGGAGTTGAGTTTCAAAACTCTGATTATATATATGTTTTTGCATGTGATTTAGAAGTTCAAATTGAAAGGTTATGCGCCCCATATCGGACTACTCTACGAGCCGTGTGATGAGCGGACGCCATGTCCTCCCCGAGTCAGCCTGTATGCTAGGATGGGCCTCCATCGTTACAATTTGTTGAAGGGTAGAAAGTTTGAGCTGAATCGCGTGGACCATTACGTTAAATCAGTTGGTTCTGCTGCTAGCACTTACTTCATGACTCTGTATGCAATGGATATGGAAGGAGGAGGAGCCTCTTTGCCGCCTGAAACTTGTTTTGAGATTGCAGTATCAGAATATAGCGCCAACTGTTTTATTCTCTTCTGCTCTATTGCAAGAATTCAAGGTATGCATTTAATTGTTCATCCCCCGCAGCAGCTTAATTAATTGCTTGCTGATGATGATTCATCTTCTTAATTTGTGTATATATCTGTTAGGGGAAGAAGACCAAACCAAACGTAGGAGAAAGGATAAGGATACTCGCTTGCCTGAGTGGCCCCCAGTGAATCCTCTGTACGTGGTAAGATTAATTAAGAAACGCACACAAATATCATCATATCATATATATAAGTGCCCCCAGTGTTAATATATATATATATATATGATCAACAGATTAAGCTGTGTTTTGCTCTTTGGTGGTTAGGTGGAGAAATCAGAGGTACAAGAGAATGATGAGTGGATTCGACTATATGTGGAACTTGCTGTTACCTTTGATTTTCCTCCCAGTCGAGGAGAAGGCGACATAGAGATTCTCGACGTTTCCATGGATCGGATGGATGAGGGACTCGATGCCAAAAATGCAACCTTCTACATAAGCTACAAGTACTCGGACGATGCTTGGCTCGGTAAGCGTTGTCATCATCGCATTGCTGCAGTTAGAAGATCATTTGATGAGGATTCGGGAAACTTCAGTCTCGTCGGTGCGATTCTGCCTAAAGAAGGTGCACAAGAAAGGCCTTTGTTTCCCAATCTTTTTGGCGTCGAGAACAACTAAAGGATCAAGTTGAATGTTCCTCCAAACCAAATTAATTAGATCAAGTTGAAGGATCAAGATGAGGATTCGGGAAACTTCAATCTCGTCGGTGCGATTCGGAATTTAGAACAAAAGGATCAAGCTATATGCTGAGGAAGAATGGGAAATCATATGAAAAATTCACAAAATAACAGTCACCAAATTTAAAGAATTTGTAAAACAATGATTCCCATGATTTCTGAGATATTAATAACATAGTGTGTGTGTGTCATGATGTCATCAGTCATGTAATATATAGCAGATAGAGGAAATAATAAGAGGAATAAAGGATTAGAAAACAACATTCCACTACTAGTAGTTACAAAGTAACACCAAATCTGATAAACCACATGACATAGATCCATCAAAAAGCATCTTCCCTGCTCCAAAATTCCAAAATCAATCCCGAAATTTACAGTGCTGAGGGTGAGATTGATAAAGCACCTCCCAATTGGTATGCTTGTTCTTCTCGTACCAATGCCTCTCCACAACTTTACCCGCATGCGACTTCAATCACTGTAAAACACATTTTTACAAGCCAAGCAATCTACTACTTGTCATAAAACTTCATGAGTTCGGAAAATGTAGACAAGGCATACCGGGCCACTCTTTCGCCTAGCTTTGTTAGAAACTGTGTTGCTGCATCAAAAACAACATCCCCATGTTATCGTTAATGAAGGGAGATGAACTTTGATGATAGGTGTTCACTATTGTATGTCCCATAACATAGAAGAACCTACTACACACACAAATGCTACAGGGACTTGGACGATGCTCGGCTTGGTAGGTCTTGTCATGGCATTGCTGCAGTTAGAAGATCATTTGATGAGGTTTCGGGAAACTTCTATCTCGTCCGTGCGACTCGGCTTATAGAAAGTGCACAAGAAAAGTGTTTCAAAAAAATTTATGAAACAGAAAGAATATGACTAATTAAATACTTTAACCAAAAAAAGAGAGTATGACTAATTTATTCAATCATATTATCAGACGATGAAGTGTGACTATGATGATATATATATCTACATTAAGATTTATTTTCTCGTACGTGAAAACTACACCAGCGAAAATGGCTAGCTAAGCTTACCTGCAAAACGTGGTACTCGTTTTTTCACATTCAGATGAATATTCGTTTTTAAAAATAGCGGTGATAGTAATAAAAAATATTTGGACAACGGCGTTCCATATGGTTTTTGGTTCTGTATAAACTTGGGTTTAGTCGAAAACTGTTTTTGATCGGTTTATATTTCTACCAATTTGAGAAGAAAAAATTAAGAAATTTAAACAAAGAAAACGTAATCTTCTCAAATTTTCTTCAGATTCTGAATCTGGTAATTTTCTTCGAGAGATTGGAAGAGAAGGCAGCGAGTATGCAATAAGAATACAGCAAATTTTGGGTGAAGAAATGACACGATTTGTGAAAGAAACTCTTTCCAATTTTTTTTTTTTGTAGTGGAAAACTGCCACTAGAATACCAAAGAATGTTCTTCGGCCGGTTCGAAACCAACTTCTCCATTTGATTTGTTGGGCTTGTGTGCTCTGTGATTTGATCAGCGCCATACGAGTGCTTGAGGAGAACAATTGCATTGCCAGACTACAAATAAATTTATAGGTGATGATGACTTGATTAAAAGAATTTTTTTTTTTTGAATTAATATTATGTCCTAATATATTTTCAATTCTGAATGGTTTCCATTAAAAATATGATTCAATCCAAATATTTCCAAGTGATTATGTTAATTTAAATGATAAATTGTTTAATAAAACATAATGGTTCGTCCTTGAAACTGGACCCATTCAAAATCAGCTTTTGCACTTAATATGCGCATTTTCGCCTCATTTCGCTATAAATACAAAAATTTGGTTATTTTTAAGTTTGATTTACTTAAAGATGGTATATGTCATAATGTGTAAATACACAAAACGAATAAGCCAGTTGATTTTCGTAGAAATTTTTTTCGTTTTTCCCTTTAAAGTTTTATATATAGTGTTTATTATAGATGAAAAAACTTATTAAGGTTTGTGTAGTTCACTATTCATTAGAAGTTTTAAACATAAGAATAAATTCTTGAAAATTGTTAAATTAAACATAAGAAAAATTTCAGAAATCTAAGTCGCAATCTGTTTATGTATTGTGGTTTAGTATAAACAAAGAAAACGTATAATTTAATTAAACAGGCTGAATTAAAATTAAATTTTATATTAGGTCGTTGATCTATAGTGTAACTTCTATGAATAGAACTGAAAACGAAACTAGTTTGGTTTGAATCTGTATTCATGCGCTTGTTTCGAATTCATCAATGAAATGTATTGGTCGAGCTAGATCATCGATTTGCTTGGTTTAAACACTTAACCAAACCGGTACAGTAAAAAATAAAAATAATAATAATAAAAAATAAAACATGCGACTGCTAGAGCCCAGAGGTGTGTTTACAAATGGCAAAGAGAAGACAACGGACATATTTTCGGTAACATGTATTCCTCACCACTAACTCTCCTCCCCAAACTCTCCTTGCTATAAATATCTCTCCGCTTTAACTCCACAACACTCTTCATCCTCGATCTCTCATTCTCTCTCTCTCTCTCTCTCTCTCCTCGCCGCGGTTAATTTCTCTAGATCGGAATCTCTCATCGGAAATCATCCATGGCCGCCGCAACCGAGAAGCTCCCTCAGCTCAAATCCGCCACCGATGGACTTACCGAGATGAGGTTTGTGCTAGCTCAGATTCTGGATCTGGTGATTTTCTTCATCGCTTACACTGGTCTGTTTTCCTTGTCTCAGCGCAAATGAGAAGAGCGGATTCATCAACCTCGTCTCACGCTACCTGAGGTTCGTCCTCTCGTTCCCTGCTTCCGATTACGTAATTCCTCATGTGCATTTTCGAATGTTGATCGAGATTTTATTGATGATATCTTCATTTGGTGGAAGATCGAACAGTTTCTGGTGTTTAAGTAGTCACTGATTTTCTGAAATGAGCTTGAACTTTCCGGTTGATGTTTGTCAAATTCTCTATTTTTGAAATGATCGACTTATATCTGTAAATCGTATCGGATCTCGATACAGATCTAGAATCTTAGATTGTCTACATACGGATGACCAATTGGTTCTAAAAAGGTCTCTGATTTTGATTTAAAATTGAAGCGGTGAGGCGCAGCACATTGAGTGGAGTAAGATCCAGACACCTACTGATGAGATCGTTGTTCCTTATGATAAAATGGCCAACGTCTCCGAAGGTATTGTATTATTCTTTCTTTGACTGATGCAGATTTGTATTGGACTCTGCTTTTTTCTGTATGCTGGATTGTTTTGGATTGGATTGTTTTCTCCACACTATTCAAGAACAATTTTGATATGTTTTCCAACATATTGAAGATGCTTCCGAGACCAAATATCTGCTGGATAAGCTTGTTGTGCTAAAGCTTAATGGAGGACTGGGAACGACAATGGGATGCACAGGTCCAAAGTAAGTAAGCTCTCTACTCTTGTGCCACTACCAGTATCTATATCAAATTTCGTCTTCACGTAAATCTTGTTGAGATTTCTGTATCTAGTCCTTCCCTGATGCCGTGATGCGTTATGCGTCATTTTCTTTGTTCAAGCAATAGGTTTCATTTTTTCGGTTTCTTGTTTCTGTGCAGATCGGTTATCGAAGTTCGTGATGGTTTGACATTTCTTGACCTGATTGTTATCCAGATCGAGGTTTGTCATTTTCTTTCTTCCTTCTAATTTGTTCTAATCTGAATGCATTTACCTAACCTCAGATGTCGCTTTTCCACAGAATCTCAACAACAAGTATGGCTGCAAGGTTCCCTTGGTTCTCATGAACTCGTTCAATACGCATGATGACACACAAAAGGTACTTCTTTTTCACCGAGGATCACATCTCTTTAGTTCTAAACTTATCTTGAGCTGACTGGTTTTTTGTCTCGTTCAGATTGTGGAGAAGTACACCAAGTCAAATGTTGATATTCACACGTTTAATCAGGTACTTCATGTCACTGCCACAAATAGTTAAGAAACTAAAACTTCATTTATTATTTGAACGATCCAGGTCAATCGTGGACCTATTAATGTTGACTTTAACGATGCAGAGCAAGTATCCTCGTGTTGTTGCTGATGAGTTTGTGCCATGGCCTAGCAAAGGAAAGACTGACAAGGATGGCTGGTATGATTTCCTTCTGGTAGACTTAGTAAACTCATACGGCAATTTTCACTGCCTTTTGCATTTGGATATCCTTCTCTGTTGCTGCCAAATCGCACCACTTACAAAAGATGTCTTTGTGAAGGTATCCTCCCGGTCACGGTGATGTATTCCCATCCCTCATGAACAGTGGCAAGCTTGATGCTTTCTTATCACAGGTTCATTCTTTGATCTAGTCTATTATTACTTTTGTCTCCATGTTTGTGTCTTTCAGCAGTTGCCATTTAATTTCCGGATTTTATACACTATTCAGGGTAAAGAGTATGTGTTCGTTGCTAACTCAGACAACTTGGGCGCTATCGTTGACTTAAGTATGTCTCTTTGATTGCTTCTGCTTTAGTTTCAACCATGAAAATAACATTCAACTAGAGACTAATTCTTGACTCCACTCTGCTCCAGAAATCTTGAAGCACCTGATCCAGAACAAGAATGAGTACTGTATGGAGGTTACACCCAAAACCTTAGCTGATGTAAAGGGAGGAACTCTCATCTCTTACGAAGGAAAAGTACAGGTAAAATCATTTTCTAGCTTTTCTGCTACATGGTTGATATAAACTTAATAATCAAACCTGTGTTATATTACCCACTAAAGAGATTTTGTGCATTCTGCAATCTCTCTTCTTATTTTGTAATCTTTTTTGCAACTCATCATCTTCGCACTGTATCATTCTTATTATTATACTGGAGAATGTAAGCAGTCTTATCGACCTCTAAAATTTACTTCCTCTGTTGTGTATCTCAGCTTTTGGAGATTGCTCAGGTTCCTGATGAACATGTAAGTCC